TCTCGATAACTGCAATGATGCTGAAAAGATTGAATGAAAATCTGGAAGATGACTTCTTTTGAGCTAAATAACGCACAAGATAAACATGTCGTTAGTAAAGAAAAGGCTAGAAGTAATTCTTCTGAGAAGCTAATCTCGGTCTTAGCACTCCGTTTCTCAATTTTTTGTTGGTTTTGGTGCTAAAGATTTTTTTTTAAATTTTCGTAAGTATTGAGAAACATAAAAGCGTAGCATATGATAACATAAGACAGAATCACTTAATTAATATTTTAGGTTCTTGTTTATTATCTATATCAGTTAAACTTGAAGAAATTAACTATTTTTTTGCAATAATCATTTTCACCCCATCTGGAAAAAATGGTTTTCGAGCAGATTCTTCAGGTTGAGGGTGGTCAGTTTTTTAATTTTTTGGTCGTCTCAGGGCTCCGTATAATTTGTAAAAAAAATGTGTAAACGTAATTTTGTTTAAAAAAACGTATAAACTTGGTTCCATGCAATTGTTCTTTTACAGTAAATGAACTGCCTTTGGCAATCATCGAATTTGCTTCATGTTGGACTGAATTAGTGATTTTCCACCATCATTTAATAAATCATACAATGCAATAAAATACATTACAATACAATATGTATTCGCATAGACGAAGCTCTCGATGTGCGGCTGGCAGCAAAGCCAATGATCTAGTGATGGAGCCTGCAAAAACGATTTTCTTTCAAAGTTACAATTATGTTTGGCTTTGACCTGTTATTTTTACTTAACATCAAGTCAAGCTGATCCAAATACCGTGGAATGATTTATACTAAATAATTGAGAGAGGCATAAGTTTGGGATGATAGTGGCTAAATATGTCATTGATGTCCAGCGAAATTTTGAATTCTTTATCAGGTTAATCAGCGGCACCATAAACAGATTTTGCCAATGACATTTTGTCTTTTACCGTTGAAAACGTTATGTAGTTTAGCCGATAGGGCCGCCTGGTATAAGGATTGCAAGGCGACTAACCCAGAAAAACGTCCATCTAAAGGGGGCAAAATATAAAGGGGCTATAGCTCCAAATATTTCGGCAGAAAACATATTTTGCAACTTTTAGGAATTGTAAGACAAGGTCATTATTGACCTATTCATACTCGACCCCTGCCCGGATCAGGACTTGGATGAGAGCTAATCTAGCAAAACTATTTCAAGAATCGAAGATAACTTGCGGCCTCGACTTGGAAAGCTCCCGCGTGAAAAACTGTGTGTCATTTCTGGCTCTTTGTTCATGGATTAAGGGACCGCAGTACATATTGCGTATTGAGGAGGTTACAAGATTTTTGGTGGGGCTAAACATGCTAAGATCCAAGGGCAAGACGATTTTTTGTATGGTTTTGAGAACATTTTAAAAACTATTTGGGGGCTAGACCACCTTCGTCCCTACCCTGCTTCTGCAGTCTCTGCGTGGATCAAATACCAACATAATACTCCAACCTTTAGTCGGTAGGCAAGAAGGAAAATAAGTATTTGATTTATGTGGACCTGGACAAGTATTGAATACACAAACATTTTCAATAATGTATTGAATTCGTTGGTTCGCATTCGTTGGTCCTGCATGCCTTACCTACTTATCAATTCACCTGCTATATAGAAAACTGTCGATTCTTACGTGTCAGAATTGTTTCCATCTTGCCAGGTCACACATTTTCTGATGAATTTGTCAAAAAATCGTTTTCTCCTTCTGAAGAAAACACCTGTTTCAACGAACTCTTACTTGAGATAGATTCTATTACGACAGTAAGTCGGGTGAAGATTAAACTTCCCATTTATATCTACCTGGTCTAGGACAACGAACTGACCTCGGTTAATAGGATGACTGATTTCATGAACACAGCAAAAAATCTTTAACACAAATGCATGGATATAGGGTGTACCCATGGGTGTGGTCGTATATGTGACTTCTAGCCGATTTCTTCAGCACAGCCGCCTTTCTCATTTCAAAGGACGATACCCCTGGGACCATCTCCATTGTCTTAAGACGAAATAATCAACTGGACAGAGAGAAGTCCAGCAAGTTTTATGGTTTATAAACAGCACTTTTAAAGCCTGTGAAATAAAACATTGGAACAGTGATTCATGCACTGCACCTGCAGTTGAAGTAGAAACTTTGTTGAAGATTTGGGAATTTTAAATGAATTCATTTTCATTTAATTTATTTTAATATCTCATAGAATTTCAAGGCGTTTTGTCATTGTAAATGACAGTGTTTTCTTTAAGTTTTGCTTGGCTTTTATTGGCTATTCAGCTAGACAATCATACTTTAAATAAATAAATTAAAATATTCGGGGTATTTAAAAGAAAAGAAGAAATCCTATAACCCATAAATTTTTTCGTTCATAAATGTAGTTTCTTATTTTTGATATGTACTACAAATTGACGAAAGTTTATGCAGACAAACCACTAATCCTAATTCTACAAGTGATAACTTTTTCCTATTCACCAAATCATATTCTTTCTCATATCACATTCAAAATATACCATTACATTGATTTCTTATAAACAATTTTTGTAATGAAATTGTTTTGTAAGGAATTCGTATCATATTCTTCCTCGTGTCACATTTATAATATATTATTACACTAATTTCTTACAAGCAATTTTTTGTAATGAAATTGTTTTAACCCTTTTCGAGATTCTACTCTTATTGCATTAAAGAGAGAACAACCAACGCTTCTGGGTGATAGTTTATTATTCTTGTTCGGGAGACGAAACCTTCAATCTTTTTTTTCGAAACAATACCGTCTTAAACCAATCAGTGTTGCAAGGTCATAGCACATGTGCATTGATAACAGTATTCGCCCAGCTGTTCTGTCTGCGACCACACAACTCTCGAACTTCCCGCCAGGACTTCGAGTGATAATGCGCATGTGCAATGACCCTGAAACGGGGGCCAGTGCATGGTCTGGAAGACGAGCATGATTCATCTCCCGAACAAATTCCAAATACCGTAAATCCTCGAATTAGCCCCCTGGGGGCTTAATTATTTTTGATATTTTTGGATGGGGGCTTATTCAAGGGGGGGCGTTTTTGAGGGGGGGGGGCGTTTTTGAGGGGGGGGCAGGCCAATTCGAGGATTTACGGTACATCTAATCGTTGGTTTTGGGAATGATTTACCCTAGAGTGAGGCTGGTACCCAGGGAAGGAATGAATGAACTGAATTGCGTTGTGATTAATATTTCATTCTCAATAACACATTTTCACTTCTAACAAAAGGCTAATGCTAATCCATCAGTTTCCTTGTAACTAACACCACAAATACACTTTTGACAACATTGTAAATAAAGCTGTTGCAAACAGGCTTCAAACATCTTATCTAACGAATGATTTCCTTTTTTCTAATGCTAAGAAATTTTGCTGCATATAAATAGACTTGAAATTCTGTTCATTCTATTACATATCACCAGACCAGTATAAGTTGAGTTGTAGCGTCTAGTATGCTGCTGGGGCCGTAAATCCCAATGAATGTCAAGGAAAGAATTTTACCTATAGTTATGCGAAGATCCTACTGATTCATTATACCAAAATGGACATTCTACAAAAATATCTTCCCCTCTTCTCCCCATCAAAACAGCCCCTACCCTCCTGCTTTGATGTCCTCGGCTTTATGGTCATATAAGATAAAACTTTTATTGACTGCTGGATTGGGTGATGTAAAAAACAAGCATGAATCTGTTTTTTAACTATCTATCATATATATGTCAACGTGATTTGTAGGTAGTTAGAGACTGTGTTCTGATTCCATAAATAGGAATGACTTGTACGCACACGTGATTAGAGCTGAAGGAGAGTTGTGTGCAATTGCTGTGATCGCAATGAAGTTTTGGCTCCTGATTATGATAAATTTGCCGGAAATTGTGCCATTCTCGGTTTTTTCCTTTATTCCAATCAGCTTTCAATGAGGAAGCAACAATTAAGAACGTATAAGTCATATGTATTTGGTAGCAGTAGAGGAGCACAAGCTTTAACACAACATTGTGAGTTTTCTCATTGTGATGCTTTAACGAATTCGTTGGAAGAGCTTTGCCCGATTCATGGCTCTCATATATTGATCATGTCATAGGTCATGTCTGTCCTTGGAGTTGGACAAAAGACTTTTCAGTAATCTGGCGGCGATTTCTTTTTCATATATTATCTTTAATAAGCTTTAAACTATTAATGTATTTTGCCATTTTTAAATGAATTTATAGAAATATGAATAATTATAACGATAGAGTAAAGAGGCAAATGTTCAGCTAATAATTCCCTATCAATTTGATTAGGATTGTTCTAATTATGATGCAGGTCAGGCTGACTTCTCCTGTTGGTCCAGCAATTAGACTACGCACCAGATTGAAAATATACACTTTTTCAAATGCATTTGCTAAAATCCAATAGCACTAAATTATAGGTTTTTTTGCTAGATTAATGCTCATTAAATTGCAAGATTGATTGGGGAACCAAAAAGAAGGCGGGGAGGGGGGTATGGAGCTCAAAGAGTTATCTGTAAAAGTGTCCTCTTCTCTCTACAGTTACAAATTTTTGGCATCGTGTCCCTTGAGATCATACATTAGATTGGTACAAACGGTACAAACCGACCATTGACAGTTGCAATTTTTTCAAATAAGATAAAATAAGGCTATGACTGTCTGGTAGCAATGCGGCTGCACTGCCTCCTTAGAAATCTTTTGACATCAAATTTTTCTAATTGTCTCTAATTTAAGCAAATATTTCAATAGGTTAAACTACCAATAAACTAAATGAAAACTAAAATGATGGTATTCATAAGATATCTTTTAAAAGAAAGGGAAACGGCCGTGTTTATGCAACAGTTAAGAAAGCACCTGCTTGTTTATGCTCACCCCACATCTACATAATGTTGTAGCCCCCTAGCCCCTAGCTCCCTGACCCCCTAGCCCCCAGCCCTATACACTTAAGAAGAAAGATATCAGTAGTGAAAAATCCAAGAAAAATTATTGTCCAAACAAGAACTGTACATGGAGTTTCACTGAGTTTGGGGACTGCAAGGAATTCAAACATAAGCTTTGGCCAGACACAATATTCGCAGAGGTTGAAGTGTAGTCAGTTGCGCAGTGGAAAAGCACCAGTTTGGTTTCAAATAAGGATAATGTGGCGGGCAGGTGAGATAGCAATTCAGCTGCTGATGCAGCGCGGAAAACACTTACAGGAAACCATTTGTATCAAGATTCGTTAAACTCTGCGCTGTTTGATGCTGTTATAACATTGACAACTGGATGGTAAGTTTAGCACTTTGTTTCGCTGTCGTTTACTGCTGCTATGCTTGCATGCAATGCTTCGTTTCGACTGCATTTTTCTTAAGGAATCGAGAAGAAAAATACTTTCACAAGTGTTTATTCGTCGAATGCCTGAACTATAGAGATACTCATTTCCAGTTTTATTGTATTACAATGACGGTAAATTGAAACGTATCTGAATTTTTCCATAAATATTCATAAACATTTAGCCTTTTTTGATATATTGAATAGGAAAAATTGAGCATTAAATTCATTTGGAGTACCTTGTGATCTAAAATATATTTCAAATGAAATTAAAATTTCGCTCCCATGTTTCCTTCAATTGTTGACATTTAAAGATAACCTAATATAACAACATGATTTGATAAAGCTTTTTCCTTGCTTCGTGCTAAAGTTTCATGACAGCAATATTCCGTTTCTATTTAAAGAAATTTTTTCTTTTTTAAAAATTTTGATTACGTAACGTGAAGTCATAGACAAGGCACACAATACAGACAAACCAGCAAATCATTACCGTTTTATCAAACCCAAACATATTTAAATCAAAGACATAGTTCAAATATTGAAAGAGTTTGCAGGAAACTTTCATCACCTGTGTGTTTTTTGCTTTGGACAGACGGGATGTGTATGTTTTTACATAATCTGCCAATTTGTTTGATGCATGTATACGCAGTTGACAAAGATACGCAACTTTATATCAGGAACTGTGTGTAAAAAAATGGGCCTTGAGATGTCAAAAAACCGAGAGACCAACCATAGAACGTATCGCTCTCATTTTAATAAACTATACGAGAATCCAATTTTAAAAATGGGATGGGAGTGATACATTTTCTTACGACTAGGCATCTATTTTCTGTTTAATTGACATACAATGCCTACCAAAAGTACTTGGAATACCCAACAATTTGCGTTTTATTTTTCGATTTTTTCATTTCTTTTCTCGAAAAAGACTACTTCTGCCCCCTTTCCTCCGAGAACAATGCTGATAGCTTAGAAAAATTGGTTGCAAATCGAGGAAAAAACATACTTCTTAACCTTCTGCTTTGTTTAATCATAAACCAACATTGTTCCAATGAGAAGGAAGTGTTTGGATTTGCTCTTGAAAAGTATCGTTGTATTCCAAGACTTATGGCAGGCATTATTGACAAAGATAAAAAACTTCTTGTAACTGATGAGAGGTTTTGTTTCTAAATTGTGGCTTCAAAACATCTGGTATTCAAGAAAGCTTTAAGAAACTTTCAGCACGAAAATCACCAAAAAAAGAAACTGTACATTAATCTGGAGCTTAGCTCCTTATAAAAAATGCGTGGATACAATGTTTTGGAGCATCCTAAGTTGCAGATAACTATCAAGTTCACAACTTGACTCAACAAGTGTGACTTGCTATTTTGAGCAGGTGTGCACATTCACAACTTGCTTCAGTTATGCTTATATCGAATAACAAATTTCGACACTAGTTTCTCGTGCAAGCAATCGACAATACAAAAACCAACGAAGAACAAAATTGCAAGAGTCCAAAGATTGTGTTAAGCCTAACGATTACAGCAGACTTTTGCCTTTGCGACAAAAGCTATAGTCGCAAAAGATGTTTGCCTTTTGCGATAATTTTTGAGATAAAAAATGTTTGATATTTGATAATAGTCATTTTGCAGACAACCAAGAAGAAGGTAAACGAAAACGAGGCGTGGTTATCACACTGAGGCCACAGTTTCTATTTTTGTTTACAGGAAGGCTTTTGGAGTTTTTTCTGATAAGATAAAGAAATTGATAATTTTCCGGCATCTGCTAAACAGTCAAAACAAACTGTTCTCATCGTGCTTCTATTGTTGAAACGTCTAATTTAATGAAATGTAAATTAGGAAAAAGCTTTGATTGATTGTTTCAAAATTGTCTTGTTAGTACTTTGTTTTCCACGGCTAAATGTGGCTGTTTACAAATGAAAAGTGATGTTTGTAGTAACAACAATGTTGCCACCTTCTATCCGACTGGTATTCAGTGCTTAAATAAAGCTTTCGATAAAATTAGCATTGTGAAAGGAATTTTCTTGCCTTTATGATTTCTCTTATAAACTTTATAAAAATGAAAATTAAATTCATCATTCTCGTTTCAAGCTACACGTTTACAATTTTTGTTACATAAACATATACTTACGTAGTATTTCTAATGAAGAATATTTCCGTAGTTAAATTATAATTTACCATTTATAACACGATGCTTCTTTCCCACTGTATCAATGAAACTTAGCTACGCAATTGAATTGTGTAAATGCAGAGTTCGTCTTTTTTCACTACCTTTGGTGACAGGAGTTATTTAAAAAGCGTATAAAAATAGGAAAAGCAGGATACGCGCATTTTTCATCAAAAACTAATCTTGTGATTAGAAGTCAACTCAGCTTCTTGTTCCCTTGGTTTATTTTAGTACTTTCTAGTAAGTTCTTAAATACCAGGTACCAAATAGCTACTTGATGCAAAATCATAAACGTAACATGATATAACATGAAAAAGTGCACTTAATCAGTGCTCTCCAGTGCAGAAAAACTCTTCTCTCTGTTATCTGTGTAAGTTTAGCAGCAAATAGGCCCGTTATGATTGTAAAGGCCAGTTTACCAGCAAGTTGGTTTGTTTTCTTTCTACCTTTTGAAGATTTAGGAGCTTTTTCTTTAGGTTGAGGCTGATCAGTACTACGGTTTCTTAAATTTGTGGTTGTATCAGACCTCTGTTTTGTTTAATTATTACAGACGATAATGCAAACAGATCTGGCAGAAGCTCGCGTTACGTTAGGTAAAATCATTGCTATGGTGAGGTTCTCAAAAGCCATCAAATTCAAGCAAATAATTATTACATGCTACAGGCTTTGGATGCTAAAATCAACGTTTGCGAAGGACTTGTATAAACCACTTCAAATCAAATCCATGTGCAAATCTATATCTACTTACGTCATCACAAAGCTTTCCTTCAGCACGCATCAGTAGATTTTGCCCACAGCTGCAGAAAGAAATGATCGAGTGCATGACTGATAGACATAGCGTGTCTGATAGCTTGTTACCCGTAGATGCTATGATAGCGAGAATAAGAGCTAGAATCTCTAAAATTCATGCAGGGATCCTGGAAGCAGGGGGCTGCTGAAGGCTGTCTAGCCCCCCAATTATTTCCCAAAATGTACTTAAAACGAGACAAAAAATCGCCTTACTTGGTTTTGGTATGTTTAGCCCCCCAACACGTTTTAACCCCTTTGATCTGCAATATGCCCGCAGTCCTTCGGCTCGTGCGTTCTTCCTTCCTTTTCACACTACTTTTTCACTTGAGTTGCCACTGACAACCAAATTTCACGCCTTGGGTCAGTCCAGCAACTGATGAGCTCTAATATTGGGCGGTATACCGACTGTTAGAGGTGCAATTGCGTTTATGCTCTCAATATTCAATGCAGCTCTATGGGATAGAACAAAGCCTCTTGGTTATCTGTCTTTAAAGATTGTTATAGTCTTTCGGGCTTATGCATTCGTCAAAAGCTGTCATGTCAACATTGTACTTAAAAAGGGGTCTGTCTGAGCAATTGGAAGTTGTCTGCACTTTTAGGGGCCATTTGCGTTGCTTTGATTTGACAGCAAAAGTTTTGTTGAGTAAATCATGTGCCAAATTCTGGGAAAACACTTCATTCTCTTTTCAACGGTAGAAAATTTGAGGTGGTGTTCTTTCCAAGTGGCACCCAAACTACATCTGATAACTGAAATAAACAAGATAGGCCAATTGAGAAGCTATAGTGTGGTAAACTCTATTTGTGTATTTTTGTAGAATCATCGCATTTTAGGGAATTATGTATTGCGCTAGATGCCAAATAATACCTTGAGTTATTCGTTTTCAGATGACGAGATCAGAACGCTCTTGTTTGGCAGGATCACAATCGTGATGTTTTATTGCATATATTCTCTGGAGTATCGAGCAAAACATTTCTATTCTGTTAAACAATTTTTAAACAAAAAACGCTTGGTGGCTTAAATGTAGGCCGAAATCGCATTTACTTGACTTGCTTTCAATAATTGCAACTACTGTGCTGCAATTAACACCTTTTTGATCTAAACAACAATTTTCCATTAGTTTTAAAAACCATAGGCTCAATTTTTGCTGATCCAAGTTAAAACTCTGTTCTGTTTTAAAAACTTTAAAGGCTTAGCGTGGATTTGTTACAAAGTTTTCTGATCATCTCCTACTGAATATTTGCAGCTTATACCTGAGCTCGTCAAAATAAAACTCACTTTTAACAAATCTACTTGTTTGAAAAGCAAAAATCAGGATAAAAAGATTTCAGTATCTTAAATTTTTGCACCAAAAGATTTCATTTCTAATTATGTTGCGTTTAAAATGTATCTTGTCATTTATAAACGCTGGCAGCATTGTTTTCCTTTCCGGTAAATTATGTGAAAGTTACTTGATCCCTTACACAATGAAGTTTATAGTTATCGTCACATGCTCAAAACGAATGTGCTAGCATCTGAAGCAGGTCCGTCGCTATAGGAGGCGTGTGTTGTGTGACATCCCCCTTGAAAAAAATTCTATTGCATCAACGAGGAGGTTTTTTGCCATCCAGAGGTGCTTTGTCGGCAAATTTCCAAACTTGTCGGCAAGTAAAGAATGGCTCATCCACTTTGTCGGCAAATGGAACTTGGAAACCCCTCTTGAGCACAAGAACTAGCGATGGGCCTGATCTAAAGGACACGGGTGTTTTAGCAACATTTGCAGGTATTTAAACATTAAAATCACAGTTGAAAGTAAGCAAGAACGCACTGCCAGGATTTGTGGTATCTACAAAAACCAAAAACTTTTTAACAAAAAGTAATGTTCACATTGCAAAAGAGGTGTTATTTCATTTTTATTACGGTGGGATGTTTCAAAATTGGAATCTTTTGCTCGAATAGCCAAAATATATTGTAACCTTGGTCTGAACGGAACTCTATCCGAGGTTTAATTTCAAACGCTATCTTCTTGGAATGACATTTTTACAGCTTCATTTCAAGAAAGTAGCCTAAATCTTATTTACGATGTACGCAAAACATTCAAATTTGCCAAATTACCATCCATTTGTACTGGAATTTGATATACCCTAATGCTTCATCCATATTGATCTTTGTTTTTTTACCTTTTCATACTCCTTTCAGGTCACGTGTCGGCTTTTGACTGAGGACCTGAAGACCTGAAAAAGGTTCGTTCCTACTGCTTTTCAAGCATATTATCCTTCAGTCATCGTAAGTTTCTGAAGAACGTACCCGGATTCCTTGCACCAGTTTATCCTTGAATCATAATCAGTTGCGGAGGAATTTAAGTGCAACCGGATATGTACGGTCTTTTGTTGGAAAGTGTCCGCTTTTATATAAAGCAAAAATATGGACAAGATGCATGGGAACAATTATGTAAGCATACCGGTTTGAAGAATAATGTATTTGCTACAGCAGACAGCTACAGTGATTCAATAATACCGAGGTTGTCCGAATCTTGTTCAAAGTGTCTTCCATGCGGATTGCAACCCGACGCATACATGGAGTTTTTCGGAAATTGTTTTGTGGATTTTACAAGTACTATGGGCTATGGAAAAGTTCTCAAAGTCTATGGACGCAGTTTTCGTGACTTTTTAGACAATATTGACAGCCTGCACGAACATCTTCGTTTTGGCTACCCGAAACTGGTGTCACCGTCTTTTGAATGTAAAGAAGAAACAAGCGTTGGCCTTACACTACATTACAGATCAAGGAGGTTTGGGTACAAAAATTACGTCATTGGTCAAGTGAAGGAAGTAGCAAAACTGTACTTTGATTTGGATATTGATGTGAACTTGTTAGATGAAGCTGATATCTTAACCTCGTATGGAGTAAGAAGATGTCACATCATTTACAGGGTGATTTTCGATAACAGCGGATTCATGCCTCTTGTCAAAGAGCATAAAATGCTGAACCGCCATTCTGTTCCTGTCGATCTTATATTCAGAATATCTCCGTTTAGTTTTCTTATCAACAAAGACTTAGAAATTTTCCGTGCATCGAGCGATCTAAACCAATATTTTGGCGAAAATATGGCTGGAAAGAAAGTGCGGCAAATTTTTACTTTGAGAAGACCACCCATTGAGTTGACATGGGACACTGTAAGTAAATTGTTTTCTATTCTAAACGTATTGTTTGTTACAGAGATTGAAGGCACATAACCAATAAAAATAGCACCATTTGTAACATCATGTGACCGTTTGTGTCTAAGCTGAATGCAAGCCTTATACATGTTATAAAGCGGAGGATAAAGGATCGTTTCCCTCACACATTTGAGGGTTGCAGCTTAATAGGCCTTAAGATGTCTAATAGGCCTTAATCAATCTATTCAAGATTGCTTCTATGCCACACAAACCTTATGCCTGGGCCTAGGCCTACCCTTTTCACCGATTGGTCAGGTTAGATCGTAAATGATGAACAATTTTCAAGTTGAAAGATGACAAAATAAAAAGTAATTTTAGTTTGTAGTTTATATTTGTCACAGTTGCGTATCTGCAAAAAACTCATTGCAAATGATTGGCCCGTAATTTTCCATGATTGATATGCATTTAAACCATTGATAAACAGAGAGTTATCCATAATGGCAGCCTAAAACGGTTCATAATGGCGGTTCAATGGGGCTTCCAGTTGAAACAAAGGAATAATTTAAACAGACGTCTTTGAAATCAAAGATGTTCTCTTACATTTTGGAAATTGGGGCTATGTCGGACTTAGTAAAACATCGAAAAATGCAGGTAATTTGTAATTAATTACATGATTCTTCGTCTGTTTTCGTTAGGCCACAACTTTAGATACTCACATTATTTCAGATGAGTTGTAAGAAAGTTTTTACGGAAAGATGGATTTTTAAGCACGGTTCGACCTCTAAGTGTAAAATTATATTGTTTTTTTTATAGTTTCGATAACATAGGTGATGTTAATCTATATATGGCAAATAAAGAGACGTTCGAACAATTTAAAGCTTACCTCAAATGTTTTGCTAATTATGTTTCAGATTCCGAATTGAAACAACAACTTTTATAAAATGTATCGCACAGTTTATTCAGGTTGTCTCATTATCATGTACAAACTTAACAATTTTCTAAGCGTTGCTTTTGCAGTAGAACTTTTCGATGCATTATGGAAAGTTATGACGCATAGTGAACAATTCCGTCAGTAGCGAGTTTTGTCTAGGGCTCTGGCTAAACGATCCCAAATTTTATGCAATATTTGTACTGATCTCCGATCGTATATCTGACATTATACTTCTTTGTATTCTTGGCTTCTTTGAAAATTAGAAGGAAAGGTACTGCTCAAATGAAAAAAAGGAAAGAAAAGCAAGGCAGACATAAAGAAGAAACATTTGATCAGAATATTGCATGTTGCATATGGGTTGATAAAAAATGTTGCAACGTGTCAGCAAATGTTGGATCGTTTAGCCGGGGCTTGAGACTCTTATCGCAGAATAGAGATTTTGTTGTTTCATTTAATTTTTTCTTTTGTCACTAGTTGGTGAATCATGGAAGAGTGATATTTGAGTTTGTTGCCAGGCAGGCAAGCAACATAAGCTTGTTTACAGATGGAAACAATGTCGAAAGCGGCGATTTATCATCTAGGAAAAATGACTGGATTGAAAAACTTAAGAAATTAGAAAGAGGATACAACAATGCTTCAGATGTTAGTCGATTTTCAAAGCTAAAATCAAAGTCAGTCGATTTCACCAAAGAAAAATTGACTGAAAGAAATATTCTTCAGAACGTGACATGTAGTAGCAGAATCAATGCTGAAAGCGCTAGAAACATCTCCGTCGGGCAGACTCCAAAAACTATTATGGTACAGAAACGAGCTATGCTTAAAGAACGATCTTCCACTATGGATATTGCTGTTATAAACACTGAAGATAAAATCTTGCCTTCGCGAAAGATCAGTCCACGAAGATCTTGCGAATGGAACGGAAAAGCTACTGCAGAATGTGATGAGAGACTCGATGCTCACAGCAGGACTAGTTATCCAGGATGTGTCCAAAACGAGGACGACAATTCTTCAGGTAACCTAATCCGGCCAGAGCCCATTGGGAAACAACATTCACGTGACCTGAGTCCAAGTAACACAGTAAAATGTAACCGGATGCTCATTAATGGAACAACAGATGCCCATGATGAAAGTGACCGACATTTTGCAAGTGCTGATGTTTGGTACACTTCGCGTAGCATGCAGAGACCAGAACCCATTGGACAGGAGGATGAGACAAAGTGTTCGATGGTTGGGATGCAATCAGTCAATGGCCCTACAGGGAGCAAGACCGATACTGCAGCAAAGTATAAAACAGAAAGAACAGTGACAACAGAAGGAAATAAAGTTAAAAGAAAGCAAGAAAGCTCTTTGGCAAAGAGAGGTGTTGTTAAGAATGCGAGAAAAGTGAGCAAAGATGTCGCTGGACCAAGTATAAGTAATAATAATAATAAATACAAGGAAAACAGTTCCATACTGAATAAAGTATTCCAGAAAAGGAAAATAATGAACATGAACATAAGCGATGAGGCTTTGATAGGAAGAAACCAAGAAAAGGCTTTTGATAATAAGGGGAAACGAGCTATAGGTACTTCCAACGTGGATGCAAGCGCCATCCAAGCAGGACTTCCACCTCCAGAATCGATTGAAGATCAAGCAACTCTTTGCAGTACGGGACTTTTCAGCTCCATCAGAAGAGGTGTCGGCAGTATGCGGTTAGCTTGCTTCCCTTCTTTGAATGTCAGAAATGTTAAAGTAGGAACTGCGTTAGCTTCGACTGAGCAGCAAGAAAACAAGTCGGTCGCTCAAAGTGTTCCATCAAAGAAGGACAAAGGAAGCGAAAATGCAAAGATATCGTCAGCGCCCCTCACGAGGAAGTCCCCGGCAAAGTCGACTGTTGATGTATTAAAAGAGCAAAACATGGAAGTGAAAACTGATCCGGTTTCAAGGAAGCGGGAACAGGTCAATAGGCGCTCGGTTCCTGAGAAAAGTGACACGGAGCAAAAGAGGAAACGGGTTGAGATGTGGCTACAAAGACAGCAGTGCAGACCACTTCATCTCAGAGGACAAACGAAATACATTGCTTCCTGGAATATGGTTCTTTTTATTGGTACCCCATTGTAAGTATCATATACAGCATAAGCTTTTAATACATGCCATTGTTAATGTGAGTAAAAAGCTTCTAGTGCCCTTTTCATGTTTGTTTTATTGTTTGTTTGTTTTGGAGACAAGCTACTGAGAGTCCTCACTAGATACAGTACAATATTTCTTCCTTGAGCAAATATATCAATAAATTGAAACTTCATTTCATCGTTCCATTGCGCATGCTCTTTGACTCTTGGACGGAGGGTTGCCTTACGAACTAAAAGACTTTTTTTTGCTCGCTTTCCCAACAGGTGTGATAATGTTGTTCTTACAGATTTCCTCGCGTACTCGGCGAACCCACAATGAATGCGCAACTTTTTTATATCTCTTTCCAGAGAGGCAATATTGGAACCTCTAAAAATATTCCAGAAATTTCTCAATCCGATGATGGAATACTTGCTCTCAGAAGAAGCTTTTTTAAATCTATCAAAAAAATCTATTAAAAATCTTAAATGTATACGAATTGGCATGGACGCCCAATTTGATTTGAATGAATTATTTCTCCGGCATCCCCGATTCTCACGCGAATTACGAAAATGTGAAACAGGCTTTAGCTCCTTCGTCGCTCCGCAATAATCTCTTCGTTTTCCAGCTCTAATACGCTACTCTCACAGACAGTGATGAGGATTGTTTTTCTTCAAATAAACCAAGCATAAAATTTTCTCAATCCAACATGAGACAATTACTAGATGGTTATTAGCAGTGCTTATCGCTGGATTTTTCTGTTTTTAGAATCGGCACAGTGGATGATCTTCTTTCGTCTGGTCTTTATCTCAGTGACCTGAGTATGCATGATGGGAGCAGGTTCTTGACAATACAGGGAACCCAGAGATTATCAGAGATAGAATTCTCATGTGATCGTGTAAGAAGCTTACTTTTCTAAATATTGTTAGCTTATGCCCAAACAATGTGAGTGCTGTGATCAAAAATAATTATCAAATGTAGAAGCAGGTGCAGTTGGATAATGCAAAGAAGCAAAATGACCTCAAGTAGATTGGTATCTCAGCTCTTTAATTCTAGTTAATACTTTAGCCACTGCCAGAGATAAAAAAGAGCTTCAGATCTAATATTATCTTTCCTTTTGTGATTGATTGAAAAAATCTTGATAGAGATTATCCATCTAGTCATCACAGGTGTTTCTGCACCAACCATTAAGAGTTTAACATAACTTTCAGTTTTGATATCTTGAAAATACGGAATATGGAACGTTGGAATGTAAAACGTTTGGATGTGGAACGTTGAAGTGCTGGAATGTTGGAATGAGGGAATTTGTTTTATTGAACCTATACAAAAACAAACTAACAAGTGCAATAGTAATTTTTGGGGTTCCTTGATATGACAGCTTACTGTAAAGGAATGCACTTTCCTACAACACCTTAATTCAACTATTCACATTCCAACAGTCAAATTTTCCACGATTCCAGCATTGCGTATTCCACATTTCCGTAAAAATCTTCTCTTATATACAAAATCTAAAGATCATGCATTTCTATGGGATTATAACAAAATTTATTTTTGGAGATCTATCTTTTTAGTCAGGTCATTGACATTAAACTATTCTGAATATCTTATTTCTAACAACAGCAGGTCTTTTCTTCAACCGTAGCCTTTGTAGTGTCAATCTTTTCTGTTCAACAATCGATAAGAAATTTTTTTATGTTGCATACGAAAATCAACTTTTGATGTTTCAAAAATATGATCAACGTCAAATTTCTATTTTTAATTTAAAGTTATGGATACAAGTTTGCTTGAGGTTAAAAATTAATATCTTAGGAAAAACTAAAACGCGAACTTTTGAAAGATACAACAAAGAAGCTGGAAGAAGAAAAAAGGAGAACTGAAGAGCTGCTATATAGTATGATGCCAAGAGAAATCGCAGAGCGGATGAAAAATGGAGACAGAGAGCTCACAACTTGTGAGGTAGGACCTGGATTATGGCGAAACAGTATAACTCTAGTGAAGACAAACCTCAACTGGCATTTCAGTGGTGCGTGATCCCCGTCCTCGCAGTGACAAAACGCCTGCTTGATATTGTTTTCATGTCATTGCGCATGCACTTTGACTGCATGGACGGGGGATCACTCAGTCCCTGAGAGACCAGGTTTTGTTCATCTTCGTGTCCACGACAAATAATTTTTTATATAATAATGCTCTACACAAAGCCTCAGTAATAATATCCTTGTACTTTCTTTGCGTTTTCAATTCACTTTTTAAAGATAAAGTAAAGTTTTACGTAAATTTTCATCGCGCTAATTTTGATCCACATCTCCATAAAAAATTTACAGATTACCCTAAGTCGACTTTTTACCTTGGGTCGACTGACTACCTTAAGTTATCCGACACTTGTACTTGCCGGTCGAAAGAACTGAATTACGCTATGTTTCCATCTTTCTGTACTATCCTAGAAAGATTTGTTCGATACTCCTTGACTACTTCAATTCTCATTTCAGACATTTGACGATGTGACAATCTTATTTGGATATGTGAATGATTTCACGAAAATCTGCAACAAAGTTGAAGCAATGAAAGTTGTCCAGCTTGTCAGTGAAGTCTTTTCATTATTCGATATTCTCAGCGAAAATCACAAAGTTTACAAGGTATGTCAGTGAAATACTTAGCTAGATAGATATCAGTTTCTGAATATGTTAGAATCCTTGAAAAACCTGATTGGCAGCCCCGAATAAAGAGAATTTCTAGTGAAACTTAGACCTTTAGCTTTGGTTTTATCTCTATGACAGATTAAACCTATGTATTAAAGATATGAATCATTAAAGATGGATATACCACAAAAATTCTGTTTCACATAATTACTATGGAGTTGCTTTAAAAGCTGCTCAAAAAGTCTAGATTCCAAACTTCTTCTTCGCTCGAGTGTTTTACTGTACTCCAAATTTCTTTATTCAGTACATTCTCCCTGAAGTGAGTACATTGCTAAATTTGCTCTCGATTTAAGATTAAATAGCCGTACAAGGAAATTTGATATAATGGAATCCTTGCACGTAAAAATCTTATTACGAGCTCCTTGCTAGTTCGAACTAAAATAGTTTCTTATGTTAACCCTTGGTATCGCGAACTCTCGCTATTACGAACTTCTCGCTATTACGAATCAATAGTGTAGTCCTTGCAATAATCCCCACGTGAGGAATCACTGGTATAACGAATTCCTACTATTTCGAACTTCTCGCTATTACGAACTAAAAACATAGACTCTTTGAATACTCTCTGTATAAAGAATCCTCGATAAAACGAGATTCTGCTATTCAGACTTTTTCTTTGTTCCTAGAGTATTTGTAATATTGGTGTTTTACCTGTAGGAACAAAGTAACCTGTCCATTTCTCGAAGGCATTTATCGCTGAGGGGGTGTCGAACAAACCAGGTCCGTTGAAAAGTGAGATATCTGTCTGTCTCTTAAACAATAATTCATTTGAATTTCATGTAACTCAGGTAACCGCTTTCTATTTTTAGTTTGAAACAATTGGAGGTGGTGTTTACATGTTGGTGAGTGGTGTACCGGTCAAAATAAACGAACATGCAAGAGAAATGGCTCTTATGGCACTGGCAATGCTTGAAAAAGTCCAAACTTTGATAAATCCACTAACAAACATGCCTTTAGAATTACAAATAGGTTTGTATATTTCAGACTTGCTACTGTTTACAGGGCTGTCACTACAGTGGGGCGAAAGGGTTGTGCCAACTTCCTCGGAAACAAGTCATTTTTTCGATGTAAGGGTGATTTGTTGGCAATTCTTCAGACTTGTCGGCAAATAAAGGATGGTTCACCCATTTTGTCGGCAAATGGGACCTGCGCACCCCTCCCCCTTTGGATCACAATAGCGTTGGCCCTGGCTGTTACATAGCCATTTTCCTATCTTTTACGGTCATTCACGATAATAGTAAAGAAAATATGATATAGGTGAAAATCGATGCATGAGACTACAAACATGTTTCTTTGATATTCTTTCATCAAATTATAAATAGGATTGAGCTGGGTTTCATTTTAAGTAAAAATAAAGAATGTGAATAAAAATAGTTATTCAGGAAGCAGAAAATAATTGCTACAGATTACCGTTAAATTGGAAATGTTTTTTATAGCAATTACAGATGTCTAAATCTTATAGATAGATTGTCTGATAATCGAAATCCCCCCTCCCCTCTCTCTGTACTTTAGATCATGATTTCAAATAAACATTTATAAACAATCTTATATGTTATTATCAACATTGCCATCTTTTTAAAAGCCAATATTGATTTTTTATTAACATTAGAGTTTACAAATTGTCACTCTGGGCTAAATCAGCAATGAAAGCTGGTGTGGACATTGCTTTTGCGATGGGTTTTGTTTTACTTAAAGAAATTTTGCAAATTGGTTGACGAGGACGCAGCATCCAGCTTTATGAAAAAATCACCCTTCTGTAAGAAGTACCCTTTTTTAAATTCTGGAAAAAGTGGCCCTAATATTGCTAAAAGAACCCCTTCCTTCCAATTTTGAAATGCTTCTGTTCTCTCTGATGCAAATGAAAATTTTGTTTCTAAACCAACAAGTCAATGCAAGTATTTTTGATTACTTCGTCACTATTTGAAGGGATACATTCGGGACCTGTGGTCGCAGGTGTGATTGGCCAGGCCACACTTCAGTATTGCTTGTTTGGAAATACAGTCAATATTGCATCCAGAATGCAGACAACAGGCACCGTAAGTCAATTTTCATTTGATTTTTTTCTCCTTGCATTTGTCGTACGCTGCTTTGCAAAAACGGGCTGCTGGCTGCACAATCGTTATCTGGTTAGCTGAAAATTTAGTTATATTAACTGTATTCAAGATGTGTTCAAACTTTGCATAAATAGAATAGAAAAGAAGTAGAATTATAAATTTGAGAAGTTATGCAAGACACATAATGACAAAAGATCGACAATAAAGATGCCTTTTATTCGTTGTTGGAGTTGGGTGATTATAATCATTACGTGAAAAACATCTAACTTATTTGTCTTTGATAAGTTAAAAAGCCTTACTAAATATATGTGGTCTCCAAAAGGCGCTTTAGCATTTTCGCCTCGCTAATACTGCTGGTTTTTACATATTTTCTTCGATTATCTATTTCTACTTTTATAAGTTTACTTATAGTTTACTGTTCTTATTAAATTTACTTTTCTTCGTGCTTCAAAGTTTACACCTGTTTTTCTGCGATGGAATTAAGAAATAACCGATTCGCTGAGCTTTTTATCTTACAACTTCTTCTATTGTTTAATAAAATTTAATCTCCGCAAACTAATGTAAGGCGGAGAATTGCTCACCATATCAGATAGCCATCCATTTGTCTTGCCAGTACAAGACCCAATAACCAATTTCCAGAGAGATCATTCCAATTTTTCAGCAAGAACTCAAAGAGATTCGTTAAAATCCTTTTAAGTTAGTCTTACTTAATATTAATTTTATGCTAAAATCTATTCAATTTTGCAGAAAATGAAAATTCATCTTAGTGAAGCCACAAATCGAGAGCTCCAGTGCTCCGAGTTTGATACTGAATACAGAGGAAGAGTGCCGGTCAAGGTAAAAGCCTACTTAAAAGTCTCTTTGACGCTGACAGTAGGAAAGAGGTTGTGTAGAGCTAATATAGGAGATTTATAGGGCTGAAAACCTCTTGTAAATGACAAAAAGTTCCACTTTCTAGTTCCTTTTATTGTCTATTGAGAATTATAGGGCGAAGGTTCCCTTGTCCATGCAAACAAGAGTTTTTTTACATTGATTAATAAAATTCAGTAGATTTGAATATCTACTTGTGCGTGATAAAAAGTAAAGAATTAAGGACTTGTTTTTTACCCCTGTCTAACCTGGGTGCCAGAGTCTCCATTATTTGGTCTCAGAAATATAGTTCGAAACTAGTCACAGAAATATTTATCTGGGCGAGGATTGGAGATATTTCCATCCCTCCTCGGCATCCATTCATTATTTGCCACCGCAGCTGTCTACAATACTTTATCCTCGGTTTCACGAGACTATGGCAGCCAGAGTAGGTTTAGACTATTCATCCTTCATATTTTGTTTTTTGCTGCTTTTGATTTTGCTAAATTTTGTACGAGAAAGCATATACTACATTTGGTTCAAAATATAACAGAAAGAATGTAAAGCTTGTTGCATTTCATTTGCTTGAAAACGATCCTCAAGGAAACATTCTGTCCATAAATTGTAATATTTGAAGCTTGGTAAAAAGCTCGCAACTTTCTTACTGCAGATTTTTATGCAATCTTATACACTTATACTTAAATATTCTTTCAGGGTGTCGGTAACCTCAACACATATTGGCTAATCGGACTGAAAGGATGTAGCAAGTTGAATGTAAATAGCAGTAAATTGCTGGAATCTGCAGAAGAAACAGTGAGGTGATGCAGATTAGTTTGTCAGTGCTAGTCAGGTGGAAGCAATGCTTGACATGTTTTCGATGGACGAAAACAAGAATCAGCCATTTTGATTAAAGTGGTGCTTTATGTAGCAAGTACTGAATTTGTATATCTGACATCTTCTCATCCCTGTAGATTGAAAACCATATAAGATTTATCTCAGCACATTACTGAGCGAGATTGAAGGCTAAAAGAAGTTTTCTTTGAAAAAACGAAAATGAAAGAAAAATGTGTATCTATTTGACAGTAATAACAGATTTTTAAGATAGCCAGATAGATAGACACCAATGTTACGTTACTAGCCAGTTTGGCTTACATGAAAAGTTGACTGGATAATCAGAATCTGTAGGCTGTATTTGCAAAAGAACGGTTGTGGGAGTCACAAGCGATGTGTTCAGGCCCACCAATTCTTGGAACTGAAGCAAAAAGAAAGATCCATGATGACCTCTTTAAAACCGTGATTTTCATTGCTTTTGTTCTTGTTAGGAATGTTATAACTTTCGGAGCCTCTTTCAGCTCGGGGCCTGAGGCGGAAATCTCCCTGTCCCTCTCTTGGCGGTCCTAATGTGGTTATCTCGTAATGATCGAAATGGTATCGTTTTATTCTGAAAATCGGAACGGTTTAAAAAGTTACAGGAAAAATGCTACGAAAGCATTCAATTGTTTCGTTACGTTTTCCAAATAAAAGGGGGTCTGGTCCACGAAACGAAAATAGCTCTTATTTCTCTTTATTATCTTACCGATAAATTAGCGTTTAAAGGAAAAGCATACATGTGCTCGAATTACCTGAAGCTAGCATATCAGAAATGATAGCGAAAGAAATACTTTTATAGAAGTAAGAAGTAGCGAATTATTAGCCAGCAATTTTTTTCTTGTTGATAAATTGAAAGGTCAAAATCTGGTGAAATTGAAACCACTAGCTTAAATGTTTGTAATGTATATTGATAATTCAGTGGCAAAAATTAAGTAAAAAACATTCTATTGTAGTAGAGTTTCGACGCGATATGAGATCATCTCTATGTATTATTATAGATAACCCCAATGTGTGTGACACATAACATGTAAATATGTTTTGAAAATTTATTTCTCCGTTGATCTCGAAATCAAGTTACTTTTATTTAAAATGTAGTATAAATTGCATTGCAATAAACGTGTTAATATATTTCTGTTGCAAACAGTTTGTATGCATATGCATATAGTAAAAACGACATTATTGAGTATATATGACAATAGTTGTGAATTAATTGTGAACCAAATCCACGCCGTTTATTCAGTGTAAATATTATATCAACCGTTGTTCAGATTTCTTTGATTTCAATAATTTTTAAGATACACGTCAGGATATCATCCGAGCATCTATAAAAGACTTTCCGGTCAGTTGTACATACTGACAAACAGGGGCGGACACTTGGTCAAATATGGGGGGCAAGTCTATTATTTCAATACGATGACATCACATTTCCCATTGTCCTAAAACAAAAGACAATTGTTCTCCAAAGTATTGGGGGCGACCGCACCCTTGCCCCCCCCAGGTGTCCTCCACTGCTGACAAATGCAAGTTTCTCTTTGCAATAGTCATGAATAAAGTTGATTTGAATTGTTGCACTTTTAACCTTGAAACTTGAACGATGACCTCTGAGATTTTAAAATATGTTGCTATCTAGAATTTTTGCATCTGTTTGCATGTCTGTATGTATCATCAGACTGAAAATGGGAGTAAAAGCATGGATCGAAGACACTTAATCGTAAATTTTGATTATTTGAAAGGGCATTTTTCGATTTAAAACAGAGTGGCAGCTTTTTATTGCACCAAAGAGTTGGAAAACAACAAAGGCATGTTATTTCTTGATTTTAAAAGCAAAGCAATTGGAAACATTGCTTTAAACTTTAGATATCGAAATTCACTAGCATAAGGACCTTCTTGTTGTTTAAATCTTATGCACTGTAAAGGATTCATTTCCAATTTTCTTGATGTTTAATCCCGGAAATATGAACAATCAAATCCCGGAAATATGAACAATCAAATATTGAGTTCCTGTTGAAACCTTTTATGAATGTTCCTCCTTGCTGAAGGTTAGAAATAGGGGATGGGATGGCGTTGGGGTGGGGTTGCAGGACCATCGGAACCGGGGGATGGGGGGGGCTGGAACCACCCAATAATTGTCAAACTGTAGTATGTTTCCTTTATAACAGTGTACTGAAAGAGAAGGAAAATAATGGGCAGCCCCTTCCCAATATTTATTTCGTTCTGACGACACTGGTTAGGGTTGGAGACGATGGCCCGTCCCCTTTATGCCAGCTACCTTGTCCCCTGTGATTACACGTTGCCACATCAATTTGTTGTGTTGTTGTAGTTGTTATAGATCTAAAGTTGTAAGCCTCGTCGTCTCAAGAATTTTTCTTAATATCCTTGTAACATTGGCTTAATTGTAACATTGATCAAGACTGCAGCAAAAAGAACAGTAGCAGCTAGGTATTTACACATGATTCACTCTAGGACGACATAGTGGCATCGCCAAGGAGGAAAAGGTGGGGCAAGCATTGGTTGGCCTAAGGCAAGGATAAGAAGCTTGTCCAGTATAATTTATAAAGCAGAGAAAACGTAGAAAATCAAAACATGGTAAGTGTTCCATGATGGATTTTTTTATGAAAAAGATTTCTTTATTATAATTCTTTTAAGAATTAGTTGGAAAAAATGGTCAAAGATGGAAATTAGCTAATAGGCGCGATGAGTTGTAGATCGTTATTTTAAATTTAATAGGTACGAATTATTATAAAAAATATAAAATGCAGGATACTTGGGTTGTGGATCGATATGCTAAGTTGCAATCATCAGACAACTTTTCTTATTCTATGCGAGCATCAGCAACCATCTGGAAACAAATTATGTACCTTGAGTTTTACTTTTATGGTTAGGCCTCAGCAATTTTGTACCTTTCCTGCTAATCTTTTTTTATTTAAAAAGGAAATTGTTGCCCTGCAAATAATTGCCACCCTAATAAAAGTTTCTGATTAGCAAGAAATTTGACATGGAACTGAGAACCTTGATACATATTGTTTGCCCTCAATACAATTATTGCTAGGCAATGAAAACTGCTTGGACCCGAAAGGCCACCACAGAAAACTAATGCAGAGCCTTTATGTTGGTGCAGACTATAGTTAGTCTACTCTGAAAGTTAATTCCAAATAATAGCATACATATTTGATGAACTACAGGGGGCATGGAGGACTCTACCTCCCTTCTACTAGCATTTTTGTTTGAGAATTTTGGGTTTTCAAACCTCTGATATGTTGAGCCTGTTTTCTTGTTAAATAGGGAAAATATGGCAGACACTTGGGGGGGGGGCGAGGGGGGGCGACCGCCCCCAATACTTTAGAGGACAATGGTCTCTTGTTCTAAAACAATGGGAAATGTGACGTCATCTTATTAAAACAATAGGCTTGTCCCCCCAATATTTGATCAAGTGTCCGCCCCTGTGTAGACTAGAGGCATAGATATAGTGGTGGTTTTGGTTAATAACAGGGAAAGGCCTGCTACAACAATGCGTTCTTAGGGCACAACTGACCTTTGATGCCTCTTGGCTACTGTGTCTTTAGGAAAGGCTTTCTAATAACAGAGCTATTGAACAATTTTAGAAAGCACATACCAGCCTGGATATATTAGAAAGTTATAACACTTTTAAAAAAGCTTCATAATTTTAAATTCTGAAAATCTCCCATCACATGACATGCCCAATGAAAATAAGTATATTTTATTCCTTCCCTGCAAATCAATGGGCCTCCATGGGAATGTATTGTAAACAATGTAACAATCTTAATTAGAGATGTCTTTGGGTATGGCCTTACATTGTTTAATAACAGACCTGGTCGTTTGAGGTGATCGATAGCTCGCGCTTGCCTCCATGCTCCTCTCGCAACCTGAGGCGATCTACGAATTGCTCTCCTAAACAGAACATGAAGGGAGAATCACTCCCCTAAAATTTCTATTCATTTGCCATTTTCCTATTCAGAGAACCCTGAAAACCAAGGGTTAATTGGGTTATTTTTGTAACAGTGACTCCCGTCATTACATTTTTTGCAATTAACTTTTTGCTTGTTGGACGGTTTTTGTTATGATAGGCATGAACTTCAATCTATTTGGAAAAGGATAGTTAAGCAAAAGGTATGTTTGTAGCGATTAGAACCTTTCAATCTTAAGGAAAGGAAAGGAAAGTCAAAGAAATTGGTAGGAATTGTAGATTGAGGGATATAATAAAACAGCAGGTCCCTTCTAGCAATAGAAACAAAACTATCCCTCAAAGAGAACAGGGTACTCTGTCTTGCAGATCAAAAAGGACAACCAAAACATGGAATTCCACTATCCAGCAGCATTTACTGAAAAACCCAGATCGGGTGAAGTACAAAACTATAACGGCGACATGTTTCGCAGAAACAACCCAGTGCACAGAACCAATTAGTTTTATGGTAGTTATTTTGTTTGCGATGATGTTTCGTGAAGTAAGTGGCTGATATCCCGGGAATGCGTTATTAGACAGGCAGCTAATAACATGTCAGTAAAATACATTATATACATGGCTATTTTGACATTTTGAAAGGGACATTGAAGGCAAAAGAATTTCAATAAAAGACTATTTAAATGCAAAGCGCAAATCTAAGTCAGGGTTCACGAAAACAAACAATGAGGACCACTACGCCTATAGTTTTGGAATAAAACATTATTAGACTCATACCACTAATAACGCTGTAAGCCACCCCAGTTTAGATTTTATTAACCTTTGGGCATCCTTGACACATTGCTGTTTATATAATATTAAGTCTGTTCTCAAATCTTTTAGTTTAGGCTTTTTTTCTCATGGCAGCTCATTCTCTTTTTTTTAGTCAGCTATATTCAACTTTGGAAGTCTGTTGACAGTTGTCCTTCTCCTCATCTGCACATGTACTTACCTGAGAGCATTGGCTCCAAGTTTGTTAGATAGAAATAAGCAAGGGTGAGTGTGTAAGAATTTATTTTGTAATGTTATCCGTTTTTTCCAAGCTACTATATCATTGTAAAGTGATGATGTGATCAACATTTATTATTTGTAAATCCCTAAGCCTACTTCAGTTCCACAAAACTCATTTTTCATCATTTTTGTACACATATGAATGTTACAAGTATAGATAATAGTATTGGCATCTTTTTTGAGCCCAAGGAATAATCAGCCTTTTATTTTTTAGCCTCACTGGAATATTCTGGAAATGTGCAAGGATAGGTAAGATAGAATTTCTTAATATGCTAATTTTTACAAAAACAGATAGATAATTACGGCATAAAGACTGAATTTTATAGTGGATATAAATTTTTAACAAAAATCCACCAGGACGTCCTTATCCAAGATCCCTCATTTTTTGTTTTTGAGCCTTACTTTTTTTAAAGAAACTACAAATTATTTACAACAAAGTTCATTGTAGCGTAAGGAAGCATGTCAAAAAAATGAAAGAGCAAAAATTTGATTAAGAACTGAGAATTTTTATTATATTGTTATGTTATGATTGCAGTTTTCTATTTTAAGAATGTTGTAACTTGTTAATATTCCTTCTATTTCTGTTTGCAAGACACGGGTAGCCTTTCATCAGTTTATCATTATTTGTGATTTTTTACTCGCCCGGTTTATTCCAGCCCCTTTCTATTCAAAACTTGATTCACCTATTTAAATACAACTATAAATTTTTGAGAAATGAACAATTCAGGTTTTCAAAAATAAGGTGTTGTATTTTTTTGTTACAGGTGAAAGAAAAAGCCCATGGGTAGCATTATGTTGTATTGCAATGGCATTAAATATCCTGTTCTTCTGAGATCCACTGCATCCAAAACTGATTCCAGGAGAAAAGTCAGACAATAGGCCATTTAGAATAGGCCATTTTGTAAAGAGATTAGGCAGACTTTCCAATGTAAAGTAGTATTTGTGAATTGTCCTGTTAAGAATAATTGTTTGGATTATTTGGTTGATATTATCTGGTGTCAGAATTCTTTTGCTCACAGTAGCAAAGCCTAAGCAGGTTTGTGTCAACCATCCAATGCCTTTTGGCTGTGCAGATATTGACACTGCTGTCATTCATACAAACTTGCAAGACATTATTATGCTTCCATCCAAGTCAACCTGTTAAGTCATGCCAGAGTAGAGTTCTAAAGTGTGACGTTACAAAAAACTATTTTTAAAATTTTCAAATTTTGACCACAATAACACAAAAGAACACCATCAAATACTCCCAATTATGCAAAATCAGTTAAAATTGTCGAAAAATTGGGTGAGCTATGGCCGATAGAAGATCTGAAGTTTGCTAACGGATTACTGTTATTTTGGCTCAGTTCATGAAGTTATGAACTTAGACCAAATTACAGAGGTTTGATGGGGCCAGAGCTTGTGCTCATCTGGACATATCTCAGCCAATTCGTAATACCTTAAACTGATTTTGCAGATTTTGAGGTATTTCAGGATGCTCTTTCAAGTTATGAGAAAAATTACTAAAATTCTAAACATAGATTTTTGTGACGTCATCACTTGACAACTCTATATGGTCTCAATTACAGTCTTTGATTTACAAAAAAACATTAGCATCTTTGTGAAGTAATGTTATACTTTCTTTATGACTAGATGCATTCTATTCTATTCTATTCTATTCTATTCTATTCTATTCTATTCTATTCTATTCTATTCTATTCTATTCTATTCTATTCTATTCTATTCATTCTATTCTAAGTTATTTAATGTTTTCTCTTCTACATGATGAAATGAAATCCATTCTGCACAAGGAATGGCATTAGTTCTACACGATAAAATGTCAATTTTTCTAAAATGTCAATTTTATACCTTGCTACACGAGATAATTATCTTGTAAGTCAAATTTTCATCAATTGTAGCTAAGATTATCCCTTAGAGAATATGCATGTTTGGGTGGAACAAAATAGGCCTATTTTTGGCAAAGAGTTATAAATAAAAACTAGAAAAAATTTCACAGACAATGTAATGTTTTGAAAAACAGTTAGGTTATTTTCTGCACCTGAAAATTCTCATATTTTGGTGGAACTTATTGCCATCAGAATTGGGTTTTATCTACCAGACTATAGGCATGCATTTCAGTACCGTTGTGCCATAAACTACAACCTGTATTACTCTGTCTAGCTTCTTTGTAAAAGAAATTCATTGAAGAGGTCAATGTGTTTTTAACTCAATAAGTAAGCATGTCTCTTTATAGAATAATTGCTACTAAATTGAACTAAACTGAAAAGCTTTAGGCTAGCATCTTAGAACAATTTGCAGTGAAACATGTTTTATATAAAATCGAAGTAAGGCTAAAAAGGGAAACGTTTGGAGAATTATTTCCAATCAAAACTGATCACTTTTGCAAGGCTACAAGCTTGTATTTCTAAGCCAAATTGGCCAGTTTCCACCAAATTGTAAGTGTTCATCCGAACTTAACATGTGCTTCATAAAGTAATTAAAGAAAATCTGAGGCTGGATCGTTCTTAATTTGTTCTTAATCTAATAGAGTGTAAGCAGTGCGAGTGCTAGCCTTTTCGCTCTAGGGTGGTGTTGGTGTACAGGCCTCATTTGTCAACAAAGTGAGTGAGACAGCCTTAATTTGCTGACAAATTAGAATATTCATCGAAAAAGCACCCACACATCGCTAAAAATCCTCGATTTTGAGAAAAAATGTTGTTCAAAATTGCATTTTGCATAAGCTCAGCCTCATCTTGTTCTTAATTTGCTCTTAACTTTTGACCAATTTTGAGACTCATGTTTTTATAAAATTGTTCTTATAAAAAAGAGAGTGCAGTCTTTCTCGCCGTAAAACGATTCTATAAACGATTTATATGGATTAAACCAGAAAGGATAAGAAAACAAAACAGACAGCGCCATGAAAATAACATCTAGGATCAACGCTGCAGCATTCAATTCATTTACATTTCTGTACAAATTACGTATTCAATGCAATGTAACCCTTAGATACAAAGTTCAGAAACAACGTATGAATATCTCCGAGCATCGTGTTCACAAGAAAAGTGGTACCGTCCAGAAACCTTGGGGGTGGGGGCAAATTCTACAGACGTCTACAACCACATTGAGCAGGTTTTCTGGGCACAAGATACATTTTTACATTTTACTTAACAACTCTTCGTCCTTATGTCCTAATTTTTATGAAATTAAGTGGTACCACGAAAATAAACAAAAGGCTCGGAAAAAATCAAACAATTTAAGACTCATTTAGTGTACAAAAATACCAATTTCAATGACTAATAACATCCCTTTTTGATTTGCACCAGGCAATAGAAAAAATCACTAAATCCAAAATATATCTTTATGTATCTAAGCTTAAAAACTGAACGAAAGTATGAAAACAACTTCGATTCATTCCAGGAATAAGAATGAAACTACATTATCAAACGTTTTCCTAATTAGAATAGTATAGTAAATCTATAAAATCAACTATCGATACGGATTACCAAACTTTATACAGTTGAAGCAAAAATGATATGTTGTCTTGCAACAAATATACAGCCTTGTTTTTTGATTATTTGCAATAATTTGCTCCATCATCGAAGAAATTATGCTGTTTTGTGTAATATATACGATGCTATTAGAAAATACGTAATTGGCTTGAAAAAGCAGCAAACCGAGTTGTCAAATATTTAAGAAATAATATTTCGACAGCACATTAAAAATTATCTAATCCCAAGCTGTATTACGGCTTTATGTGCATGAATTTTAGAAACAGACTCCTTTAAAAAATCTAGCAATAACAATGAAACATTGAATTATCATGCAAAATTGCCTAGGTGAAATATCGTTTTGATGTTTAAAGTTAAAATGTATATGCCTTTAGAAATGCAGCAAAAACCTCTCTGTAACGAGGAAGCTACACAAGGTACTTAATAAACGCTGATAAATGTATGCCTTTAGAAATGCAGCAAAACCTCTTTCTAACGAGGTAGTTACACGAGGTACTTAATAAACGCTGAACATGTATTTAAATCAAAACCAATTAAAAATTAAAAAATTCCTAGATTTGAATGACAAATGGTATCTATAAACAACACTGGAACATCTTGCGGTAACAACAAAATGCAGTTAGCAATAACCTCAGCGATTATTAACCCAGTTTGTTCAGCATTCAGACATGGGTCCATCCTCTTCGTAATACGGGTCTTGGTAAAGAGGATTGGCCATTGATGTCGCTCCGGCTTGGTTATCGGTCTAGGAAAGAATATTCAAGATTTTAAGTAAAGTGCATTTGAAGGTCCAGAGTGCAATGACAAGCGACGGCAAGTCCCTTCTAAATCTAGTCCATAATTACATCAAAGCTTGATTTGAAATGTCTGAAACCAAGGCTAGCAACTTGAACAAAAAAATTAGTCTCGAAAAAATTCCAAAATAACGCAAACGACACACGAATTTGGCTTCAAAATAACCTACTCCATTTACTCAGGATTCATTCCTTCTACACAGTTGAGCCACTGTTTATACGACGACATTTTTAAATGGAAAGTTAATGAGGGGAGGGGAAGGGGGGATTAGATCTTTTCAACAGCTGAAAACAACATTAAATTTTGTTTTTAAACAACAAACAATGAATGCCAAATGGACAAAAATATAGGCATGTATAGCAAATCGCCGCTTTTGTCTCACCATTAATGAGAATGAAAAACCCTGATGATAAATAAGAACGAGGGAAGTTTGAAAAATTTACCGGAACAGTGAAAGAATCTTCTCCAAACATTCCCATATCTATTTCTGCACCGAGCTGCAAAGCAGACAAAACAAAATATATAAGCAGTTATTCGTGGAAAGATGGGACGATTGGATTTACAAAAAACAGCATGCAAAACTCAAAACTCTTTATCACAACATTATCAAATTCAGGTTTAATTCCACGTGATTGGCTGACCGACCTATCCAATACATGCCCAAGGCAGGCAACTGGCAGCTAAGGTCATAAATTATCATAATTTATGCACCCACACTTATAGCATACAATGCCTGCAATGCATCATGAAAAATTTTGATAATGTATAATTATTCCTACTGATCGATTTAATTTTACTACTGCTCTTATTTCAAGGAATATTTAGATTTTTTTAGACTCACACTTACGTCCTCAAAGGGTTTCTCATCGTAAACAGGGTTTGAAAGTCCAGTATCTTCTTCCTGCTTTTGCTTCTTCTTAGAATCCTTTTTACCTTGAGTTCTTGAATGAAATAAAAAATATTGTTTTAAATTGGCTTGCCAATGCAATATTTGTTCATTTAAAAGTAATTTTTATGCGATTAAAATAAATAATAAGGAAATTTGTATGACAATCTATGCGTTTTCTTCATCAGCCTCCATATCACGGACACCGATGTATACGTTAAATAGAGGTTCCTTTAAGAGCGTTTGACAATTTGGGACAAAAAATCAGTCCGTTGTTCAGAAGTGTCCGTTGCATCTCTTTTTCCATTGAGCAAGAGATACAGACTAAATCTAAGCTTTGGAACTTCCAAGCTACTTCGTCGCAGTTTTATAATCAAGCTCGATCTTTCCTCCCTCTTTTCCAAATCCCTCATCCCTTTCCCCCTTTTCCTTGTTAGGACTTAGGCTCCTGGGCCTTTCCCTGAAATTTCCAACTCGAAAAAGTAAGAAAGAGCAAGGACGATTAAGTCAAATGACTCCAAGCCATCCCATATTTAAGTTACTGAAACTGAAGAAGCCACATACATATCGTACGTATTTGAAGAGATGACATCTGTGTTACGAGCGAGAGATTGCATACTCATAATGCATACTTACCCGGACTGAACATCCTGTTTTGACGGGTCATAGAATACTGAGAACAAATGCAGCTTCTTTTCCCTGTAACATTTTACAAAAAATTAGCGTCAAAACCAAATCTTAAAAAGGCAAAAACAATGACCGAAATGGAGGATACTAGAGTGACAAATAATAACTTACATATGTCAGGTACAAAGTAATGGAGAGATATTTATGCAAAGACTTTTAATACACGGCCTCAGTTTAAAACAGTCCTCTCAACTAATGGGGGGGGGGGTAATCATGTGCATAGGTAATGAAAAATGAAATGTTATTAATCTTGAACAACAAAAAAGAGATGGGAGCAGGAATTCTAAGGATAAGATTAGACAGAGTATCTTAACGTTCTTGAGGATGTGGAAAATAGCGTTTTGTTTTGCTACCGGTAACGTAAGATCACGTGATTAGTTAGTTGGGGAGTAAGAGTTTTGGGAGCTGCGGGCGTTTGAGGAGAGAAAAATTTTAGTTAAGCTTCAGCCATCGTTTAAAATCGTTATAGTTTGGAAACGGGTTCTGCAACGGAGGCAGATCATCCAGATTGTGTTCGATATTGTGGCCTTTCAAGCCGTCTAATATAGCATGAACATCTTGAGCATAATAATTGGCAAGTCAGCGTGACTTAGGCCAGCATTTTCCCCACAACGGAAACAATGATTTACTATAGAACCAAAAAGTCAACTACAGGGGCATAAACAAAACAATATAAATCGTCGGCTGGAGATTAACTCACCTCTTTCGCTTCATGACGATGTACGCTACAAGGATGATGATCAACACAACCACAAGACAGCCAACAACAATTGCAGCAGTCACTCCAGTTTCTGTACAAAAACAGACATTAATAAAAATGAGGCTAAATAAAGATGGTAGTCCAGTACGCAAGCATAAAAACACAGATGTCTGTAATCAAATTAGTGTATGAGTTTTATCTGTATTACAAACTAAGTACATCTACAAATATTTCTCAAGGAACGTGATTATGAGACTCACTTGTGCCTGATTTTCCTGTCTGCTTTCCAGTATTGCCACCTGAAAACACAAATGCAGCAACGATTAAGTGATTTGATTCTTTATAATAAAAGTTAACAGGAACCATTTGATACACACTTGCATGCATTCTACATGTAAAAGACACATTCTCGCGCGGGTTTTGTCGAAACCCTACGAACAGGGTTTATGATATGTTTTCTTATGTCTCGAATAAAGCAGGTTCAAAAAAGGCCGAAGAATTTGATTTCAGAAAAAAACCGGTAACCAGGGCCGTAGTTCAAAATGTTCTTGGGGGGTGGGCACAATACCAACCAGAAATTGTGAAAACCTATTTGATTCCAATGAACAATCCCAGTTTTCTTATTGCTCTGAAACAAGGGCGCCCAACAATAATTCTCTAAACTTTTTTGTATTGCAAAGTATTGCAAATAAAAATTAACCAACCACTACAAACGGTCTTGTCCTCATCAGATCCATCAAGGCAATCATTGCTACCATCGCACAGTTTTGATTTTGGGACGCAGAAATGATAGGTCCTGCATGTGAACTGGTCAGAAATACAAGGTGGAGCTCTCGTAGGGAACACAGGCCTACTTCCATTTGTGATGCAGTCAGGAGTGAATGATATGTCATCAACAGCTATGTCTCCTTGGTAACTTACTCCACGAACACCTAAGAAAAAAGATTATCATGTTACTTTCTACGAGCTTTGATTACCGCGTCGTAACGTACAAAACTGGTTGATGTAATGCTGTATGCAATACTTCTTAGACTCGACATGAAACTTTAAACAGAAAACTCGGACTGGCCGCAAAAAGGAGACAATAGCATTCTTGAGAAGATAAGTAGTTTTAAAATTGCTCAAAATTTGCGTTTTTACCTAAAAAGGATAGTGAATAACTTTCAAACTTTCATATTCCTTATTAATTTCTTGACTCAAAACATATCAAGCGATTAAATACCGAAAACAACACTCTTGAAAAAACAAAGTTTCGATGCAATACAATTATTCAAGGTGCAAAATACTGTAGATCTAACCTTCGATAACAACCCTGAATGGGGAGTATTGTTTGCTGAGATCTATGACTGCCTTTCGCCATTTATCACCAAGATTTCCCGTTGCAGTATAAACAGTCGTGTATGACTGGCTGCCGTTAAGTTGCACGTAAACATTAAGATCTTTAGTGTGTGTGCCAAACATGTGGTAAAACATTCGCATTTTACATGAGCCTCCTTTTAAGGCATTGAACAATATGCTAACGAGGCGAGCCTTTTGGTTTTGGCGCCTTCCGGACGTTTCCATGTACATGTAGTAACCTTAATTGAAAACAAAACAAACTCAATATAAAACCACTTTGACATTTCATAAGTTGAACAAATAGTAATCAAACCGGAATAATGGACTTTGACAATTTTTCATCAATAGCTGCAAGTAGTTAGAAATCAGAGAAATGATAATGTCACATTGAAGAAGTGAAACGAAAATAAAACCCATTTTAATGGGTCATTAGATTCACAAACCTGTTGAGGTGCCGTAAGTATGGTCTCTAGTTGGACCACTGTTGACTGTTGGCGTGCCACCACGATCCCTTGTCCAGTCAAAGTCGTCATCCGTAGCCTGGGTCCAATTACACGAGTCTTGTATGGATTCGAAAGTGCAGCCAATATATCCCTGACAGATACCAGCTCGGTCTTCGTCGCTGCCATCGCCACAATCATCGGTCAAATCACAAACTTTGTCCTCGTCAATGCAGGCTCCATTTCGACAGCTGTTTTGAACAAAATCGAGGTCTTTTTTAAGTCAAAACGAGACCATTCGCAAGTGTCATATAGATGTGTGTGAATTTTTGCATATAATATAGAGCCAAGTCATTTATGGAATCAAATTTAAAATAAAATATTAGGTGTAAACTAAATTAAAAGATTATACATACGCGAATTTGCCAATTGGATTTTTACAAGCACCGGGTCTTGTGCAGTTAGCAAAGTTGATTTCATCAATGGCGATATCTCCCTGCCAACCATTGCCCATAAGACTGTAGAATGACATGTTGAATGGGTGAAGTCGACGACCAATCGAGACTTCTGCCCTCATCCATTGGTTTTTGCTAGCACCTGAAGAACAAATTATGATTGATAAAAAATAGAACAAAATAGAACTCATACAATCACGACGTTATCTGCTAGAGAGACCCAAAGATTTCGTTCGATTTGTCTACTGAGCAGTGTATCGTTTCTTACCCTGAATGCAAAATTTTCTACTTTGAAAGTTTTTGGAAGTAGTTTCTCAAAACTCTAAAGTAGAGAATTGCATATATCATTTACATAAAGATTGAGAAACAGTACAAATTTTGCAGGCAAAGTAATTAAATCCAACAATATGGTCGAGATTTAGCATTAGGAAGCTGTAGCAAACCTGCGTATCTCCACATAGCTGTATGTCCGGTGACGTCACTGAGGAGAAGCCAGAGAGAACCAACATTAGCACCGTACATATGATAATAGAACACCATGGTGCAATCAGCAAATGCTCCTCCGTACGTTGGACTGAGTAGAACGGCTCTCTTGTTGTACCTGCGTTGCGAAGCCTCTACGTAGGCGTACATTCCTAAGTAAATACAGAAAATTCAATCACAAAATTCTCAAGGGCAGAAAAACAATCATCAACATATTAAGTTCCCCTTACTGATGAAATGTTCTGAACTAAAAGCTTGGCGTTATTAAGCATTACCATTTGTAACCTGAAAACGGAAGGGTGTAAACTATAATTTGTTGAAAGATTAAATGAATGCTCAAGTCAACAGCCAACAAAAAAGCCCCATGGAAGAGCCAAGAGGAGCTCTGAATGTGACATTCTTCTTTATTGTCACCATAATAGTGATCATGTAAATCGAGAACTACCTTAAAGGGTATTAGGAATAATCGTTATGTTCATTAAGGGTTCTGAATGGTTTTGGCAAATAAAAATGATCAGATGACGCTGGTTCTAAAAATGCTTGGCGGTGACCACGAATCCAATGGTAACAGTGACCGATTAATGACTTCTTTTTCAAAATTGTATTACAAGTGCAAACGAATTTGAATTAACAAGATCCCATGCTAATACCGAAGATTTTAACTGCAATCTTTATCCAAATTTTTTATTCAGTTTCAAGCTAATTTGAACGAAATTCAGGGACGAAGGTGAAGGGACGAAGGTGAAGGGACGTGGGTCGAGGGACGCTTCAAGTTAATTACCTGTTTTGTTTCCAGTTGCATCTGTAGATGGTCCTGTTCCAGCACTTGCGGTCCCACCGCTATGTCTCTGCCAGTCGTAATCATCAGTGAGTTGATTCTTATATCCACACCAGCCATTTTGGAACGAGCATGGATAGCCACACATATCTGGGGCCTCGTCCGTCGCACCAGTGCAGTCAGGCGTGAAATCGCAAACAAATCTTCGCGAAATGCACTTTCTGTCTTTTACGCAGTAGAAGTTAGGGTAGCACGGGTCAACAGGTGGTGGTGTCGGTTGGCCTAAACAGTAAAATTAGCAATTATATACCTTCAGCATTATGACAAAACATTAAATATGAACTACACCGAGGTTTTAAAGAGAAATAAAAAAGAATGCTTATTCTGAGTAGTTGACAAATATAAGCTAAATTGATTTTATTCTAATATTTAGATTTAGAGATTTAGAGAGAAAAGAAAGGTATCGGGACATGACAAATGTGCAAGAACAAAGGATATAGAAGAATATAGCTATAAAAATATTCGAACAAACAAAGGGCGGAGAAAGAAAAACAGTTTCGTAAACGTAAACAACAAAATACTTAAAGTTGCCTGTTCACTCACCTGGCAATCTAGCACCATTGAAATTGCATCCTGGTGTGAACGAGATGTCGTCGAGAGAAATATCCCCAGCAAAGCCAGTGCCTACAATGCCCTCAATAATAACTTGGAAGTTTGCAGAATTTGAAACCTGAACTTCACCTCTCAACCACTGACTACCTTTATCACCAGACATACTCCAGACTTTGTTACCAGGCTGTCCATAAGTAGTGGCAGTATAGATGTTCAGTTGTCCAATGTGTGCGCCAGACATGTGGTAGAAGAAGCGCATACGGCAGTCGCCAGTGGCACGTCGTGCGCGCGTTCCGGAGCCTTTGATGGTTGGACTAGCAAGGCGTGTTGTGTCGTTCGTCTTCCTTGGGCTTGACGCTTCCATAAATATGTATTTACCTGAAATATATTTAACACTTGAAAAGGGTAGCTCTAAAGATGCTGTACAAAGTGATAAAGTCAGCCGATTAATATCATTAGATTCCATCCAAAATCTCTTCAAAAAGGTGTTTGAAAAAGGGAAGGTTGCTCTTCGAGGGACAGTTCGCGATTTTAAGGTAAATCAAGTAAACCCAAGAGCGATTTCAGGAAAATAGTATTCAATAGTCCTCTGTTTAAAAAAACTTAAAATAAAATGGAATGTGTTAGGAGGAGCTGTCTATCTCAAATTCCAAGGCTCTGATTTGGATTTAAAAGGTAAGAAAATCATAAGACTGACGACTTTATAAGAAAATAGAAAGTCTCGTGTCAGGAAACAAGATAGTTAGATAAGCAACTTTTGTAAATTTTTATTTCAATAAAGTTAGGGTGCAGGCCGCCAGTAAATGCAGATCTTCGGTAGATGTGCAGCCGGTAAGCCTTGGCTCCAAGCAACAATGTATTAAGCAACGTTAATATCCCCTCTCATTAAAATGGTTAACACGTTAGACAACAGAACAAGCGAGGAACGCACCATGCTCTTCCTGGAGCGTATGATCTCTGCTTGGGCCAGTGTCAAAGCTACCTGTATGGCCACTCGTTAAAGTCCAGTCAAAGTCGTCACTCTGCAGTTGAGTCCATATATCCAGGCCAGTTTCAAATGATGTGCTGCATTGCAAAATGAAATCATAAGGCAAATGTCACGTGGTTTTCCACTAACTATAGGCAGGACTGCCGAGAGGCTTCTGAGGCCCTGGGGCAAAACAGAAAGACGAGGTTCTCTGCAAGCAGAAAAATTTCGCGACCAACCCCTTAAGATAAGCTAAAAATTCACTCATTCGTTCAATTTTTTTACTATTTTCAGGCATAATTTTGTTACTTTTAAGTAATTTTATTTCAAAATAGAATTAATTACTGAGGCCCCATAGACTTTGAGAACCATGGGACAATTTGCCCTTCTTGCCAACCTCTCGGCGGCCCTGCCTGTAGGTGAATGAATGTTGTACACGCATTGGATGTAGAGACCCTAGTTACGATATACCATTCCAGGAACTGATAATATTACATGGCACATAAAATATATATACGATAAATCCTTACGAGGTATAAAGGAACGGGTTTCTACCAAGATGACATTCAAATGATTCCTTAGACAGCAGACAAATTGCGTAGTGAACAGCTAATTTTTTGTATAAGAAAATATTTGATAAGATCTACTGATAGACAGCAACAATAACAAAAGCAACAAAACAACAACAACAACAACAACAACAAGCAGACCTAATTTCCTAAACAATTTATAGGATCCCTTTAATTAACTCCCCTCTTTTCATAGAGAGCAAGAAATTGGTCAATGCCCAATGTCCTAAAAAGATATTTTATCGTCTACGTAACCTTTCGATTGAGTTTTGTTCACATTGGTAACTAAATGAAAACACATCGAGACCGTACTTACCGTTTGTAAGAACTGCAGAGACTATCGGTCTCATCAGAACCATCACAGCAGTTTCTGTCATTATCACACAAAGTATTTCTGTCGACACACTGGTTGGTCACCGTGCACTTGAACTGGCTTGCAGAACAAGACGACGGTGGGGCTGGGTCTGTGCACTGGAAGCCAATGTCATCAACAGCAACATAGTTGGACCGCTGCCAGAATCTATGGGCTTCTAACACAATCTGAAAAACAAGAAAATAACAACAAGTAATGAATGCCTCGCTGCTCGCTGAATATGCGTATCCGATGTTATGTGCTGACGTTTTCGGGCAATATCGTAGATTGCTCCTACATGATTATTATAATTCCTCAATTTAATTGGCTTGAATAGAATTCCTAATTGAATATAGAGCTATTTCGAGCCTGTACCGTGCACGCAGCTGGTATCTGCGCACAGCTAGACTATGGGGCACAAGCCAAATCTTAGGCTAAATTCCTTTGAGCTAAAATCAAGGAAAGTAATACTAGAAAGAAAATTTCTCTGTCTACGCAGCACTGAACATTGTTTTTACAAGCAAAGACAAGAAGTTCACATCAGATAAATATAAAACTAATTACTTAAATCTATAAACCAATATTAAAACAGAATCAGCTTTAAATACAAGCTTTATTGATTTAAATTGGAAGAACACATTCTACATAACAGCAAAGATTGACCGAGTTCAAGGTCCTTCAATCCTGGTCACGGCACCATTTTGCAGAGTAGCCAGTAAAACATACACTAAAAACACCAAAGCCTTTGCGTAAGAACTCACTTGGAAATCCGTGGGGCAGTTAGGTAGTGGCACTGAAGCAGCCTTCCATTTATTGTCTGTCTTTGAGCTAGTTGACCACAGGACAGTGTCGCGACCTCCACGTCGATACAACACTCTGAATGCGATATTGTCGTAATTACTCCAGTGACCCATGTTATACCAGAAATTGTATTTGCAGTTTCTAGAACCTCTGAGATAAAGCGGGCTGACCAGATGTGCGTTCGGGAACGCGCCACCGACAAGCGCCCGACCCAAGGTCATGAAATAACCTAAAGATATAACGCTGTCTCAGAATCTAAAATCAAATCCGGATTCAAAGTAGTTGAGGTCTTTGTTTCTAATTTAGCTGTGAAAATCTTAGACATTTCGAAATATCAATTTCACATTCTCCACTAGCCTATATCCGTGTTATTCCTAAAATGAACTTGCCTTTTGCAAAAATAGGCTTTGATATTGCAAATAATTTTAAATCTAGAAACATTGAAATTTAAAGGTGGTTGAAAGAGGAACTATACAATGTTATCCAGAAAAAGACTTCAACCCAAAAATTGCTTGTAGATAGGTTAGGACCTACAGCCTTTGAAGTGCGGGGCCTAGAATAACATCAATAACTTGATGCCTTATCCTCATATATTTACTTTCCTTACCGCTTGTTGTATTTGTAGTATGATCTGCCAATGGCCATGTGCCATTTGCTCCGGTTCTTCCACGCAGTCTGAACCAATCCATTTGGTCGCCCATTCTGGTATTCACCCAGTTGCACGTGCTTTTTTCAAAGTCACAGGAACTTGTACAAGTTGCTTCATCCGACCCGTCACTGCAATCATTCTTGAAGTCACAGAACAGCTTGGCACTAATGCACTGACCACTTTTGCATCTATAAGATCATTTCAAAGTCAAAATGTAAGTTCTGCTATACACCATCGATAATTATCCGTGGAATGTCGATAACTTTTACTTAAGTTTACTATTTGACTGTTTACTATTGTTTATTACTTGAATGATAAGAGTTGCAACGACTATAAAATCATAGGCGCGTGCCTTAAGTTTAAACCAGCTTAAAGGCTGGTCAGTGCATCCACAGGACATCCGTAGGACACTGGAAAAAAAAGTTCCGAAACGTACTGAATAATCTTAACTATATACAGAAAACTGCTAGGAAAAAGGAAATTTCGCTACAAACCTGAACTCGCCAGATTGACACCCTGGTGGTGGAGATGCCGTGACTATATTTGGTGGCAATGTAACTGAAAAGTCTACGTTGCAACCGGGGGTGAAAGACACATCGTCAATTGCTATGTCGCCTTGGAAGCCACCACCTCGCTTTCCTTCAAACACAACACGGAAGTTTCTTGTCATGAAACTGAGGTTGATTTCGTCCCTGTACCAGAAATCACCTTGACTGCCTGAAATGCAATCAAAAAATTCTAAAATAAAACAAAAGCTAAACAACGTCGAAAATGCACACAGCTCGGCCCTAACGGTCTTTGTAGCTATTACCGCTGGTTTGAGAAAGACATTAAATTTCGGCCAAAGCAAATTATTCTAAATCGTTTGTCTTGAGGAAACTGGCAAAATCAAATACTTCCAGACTACACAATCACTCTGACGAAGTTTCATTGGTCAGGGCGAATTAATAGTTAACAACTTTTTTATTTGTCAACTTCTTGCTTTTTTCAAATTGGGTTAAATCTATACTGGTTTGCATCTCTAAATTTTGCGTTGTTCATAATTAAGATTTATAGATCCGGCAAACAGCCTTGATCCAGCTCATCGCCCTTCCAACACACTTTGTCTACACAACATGGTTTCAATTGAAAAAAGTTTACACCTTAATATAAGCAGTGCCTCCTTTATACGCTTTTATCCTCAGTTGAAATGCGTTGTTTATAATTAGGCTAGATCAAATCAATAAGAATATATTTGCCTTGTTTTGCCCAGACTTTCTTCATTGGTGAGTAAGGATGTGCTGATGTTTTCAACCAGATGTTGAGCTCCTTCACATGATCCCCAAACATATGATAGAAGAATCTCAGCCTACAATCGTTGGAGCCAGTAACTGGCTTAAAGGGCGCACTCATCAGTAGAGCCGTATCGTTTTCAACCCTCGGCGAGGAAGTCTCAATATACAGGTAGTAGCCAAGAACGTCTCCTGCAAAAATAACGTTTCGTTTTGTATCTGCAGGCACAGGGGAAGTGGATGTTGATGGGAAATAAAACACCATTATCAATGACAACATCATGACAAAGAATATCAAAAACGTTCACGTATTTTTGTTTGATAAAAATATTTCAAAATAATTCTTAATATTTGCTCTATATGATAATTCTCGTGGGCAAACATCAAATGCTGCTCAGTATCTCTAAACAAAGGAATTCAACAAAAATCAGACAGCCTGAAATAGAAGAGAACCATCAGTTAAAAACGGCCAACTGCAACCAATCCTTGATGAAATGAGCAACATACCTCGAGTGTGATCTGTTCCAGGTCCAGTACCAGTTGACCCAGTTGAGCCACGTCGTCTGCTCCAATCAAAGTTATCCCCTTGGACCTGAAGCCAGTTGCAACCACCAGTTTCAAAATTGCATCTCTCCTTATAACCACTGCAAAGTCTAGTTCCTTCATCACTGCCATCTCCACAATCATCTTGGAAATCACAGATCTGTACAAAAATTCGATTATCAAGATTGCCAAACTTAATTGATAGTCAAAACATTACTAGCATCAGTTTTTAATGTAAAATAACCGAAATGTTAAATAACCATTATTGCTACGAGCACTGCCTGAAATAGCCTACATATAATCTGAGTCTATCTGACTTGTTTATTTCTTGGTAGCTGCGAATAATATGCTACAGGTTCAGGACTGTAGCTTCCATTGTTCTCTTGTGAGGGTGGGGGGATGTTAATAACAAAATTCTTTATCAATGAACAATCCTTTTGGTTCCTACTGTTCTCAAACAATGATGCCCCCGATAATTGCTTATATTCCTACGGGACAGACAGGCGAGCCAGATACGAGTACTTCACAACAGGCAGCCGCCGTTTAAACAGGTAGCCAGTAACTATAGGAAGCATATGATAAGAATTTTCAATGAAACAATGTACCCTATTTCCTGCAATACAAGCGCCGTTTGTGCAAGCAAATTCTTCTTTCTTGCACTGGCCTCCTCTGTCTGGAGCCAGGGAGCAGTTGACAAATCTGATATCATCAATGGCAAAGAACGGTCGGTAATACGTGAACGCAAGTTGCCAGCCTGCAATTATGACAGTAGTACAGTTATGCAAAATGGAAAACAGGTTAGATAACAAGAACCACGTGTGGTACTTCGTTTAATAACTTACAAAGAGGACTACAGTTTGAGACACGATGAAGAAGATGTGGTCCCTGTAACCAAAGCCGGAGGGAAACGTAGATAAATAAACGAAATTCAAAGGAAAAGTCCAAAATAAACATGATCAAGTATTAAACCAAGACCAGTTGCACTTTACGGTTAGCTCTCAATATTTTATTTTATTTTCTTATTTTGAATATCATCAATTTACTTTGAGCAGGAGTTTAGAAAAGTAGCTACAGAATTAAAGCTTACTCAAGCCAACTTCAAAGTAAAATTGTTTGTAAAGGAATGAAAAACAAAATAAATTTCAATATTAACAGATAGTGCGGAAAAAATGTTAAGAATACATGTATACGGATTAGACAACATTTTTACAATATTTCGATATCAAAAATATTTTCTTATATGGTATTTACAATGCAACACACTTTATTCGCTAAGGAACCCAACCTAAGCCATGAAAAACTATATATTCACATATATTTTTATATTCACAATACTTTGAATTATTTTTGACAGATAGTTCAAAGGCAATATTAGCCATTAACTTAAGCTGGAAAATAGATTTAAAGGTGACACAAAGGTTACCAGCGAAGCAATGGTGCTGTAAACATTACTTTGAAACAAATCAGCGAAATAGCCTCGTTTACCTGAAGGCCTCGATCCTAACCATAACAGATGTCTTTTCCATTGCCCGTTAGTGCGTGATGTTGTAGAAAATAGTCTCGATTGAATCGAGTTTGCAATCCCGTAAACACTCAACCAACTGTACTGTGTTTCGTTCATGTAGTAATAGAATTCCAGAGCACAGTTAGGCCCAGTCTTGCTCAACATGGGACTACGTAAGACGGCATACCTATTCAAAGTTCCAGAACCTTCTATTGTGCGCATCAAGTAACCTAGAAATCATAAACCATACATTTTCAAAAGAGTTGTCAGCACTTTTCCTCTGTGAGATAACATTTCGGCCACGCCAAGTCAAGTCCTAACAAATGGCGGGCCTTGAAGGGAAATTGCGAGGAAGATTTTTTAAATATTAAACACCTTATAAAAGGCATTTGGCTAGCTACTACGTACGTGTTTTTCATTTTTTTCTATGCAAAAACTACACGTTCATCAGGAAACAAACCTTAATAACAAATATAATCTATATTATGGAATAGGATCTGCTCAATCTTGAAAACTAAAAGCCCAACCTTGATCTGTCTTCTTCGTGTTGTCTGTTTGAGGTCCTCGTCCTTGTCCAGTTGGATCAACAACAGGGCTCAATGCCGGGCTAGCTCTTCCCCACATGACCTTGCCAGTACTGCTATCTTTGTAGCCACAAGAGTCCTTTTCAAAGTTACAGTTTCCTGGAAGAAAGGTTGAAAAGCATTAAGTTTTAAAAATGAACGGAAAGCAATAATGGAGGAGCAGCAATAAATCTCTTGTCATTCTCGGGTCAAAATTGGTTTTTTTTCGCATTGAACTTTCATACCAAAATATTATGGGCTCCGTCTTTCAAGCAAAGTCTTTTAAAAAAAGGTTTGGCAAAAGTAGGAGCCAAGCTCTGATGATGACGAAAACGTTTCATTTATTCTGTCTAGAAACAATAATTATCCTCTCCATCACCTCACAAAGAACATTTCATTGCAAACGACAATCCATTTCAAAATCATCTTAAAGAGCATACCGCAATTCGCTTCATCTGAACCGTCTTTACAATCCGCATTGTAATCACATCTCTTCTTTGCTTCAATACAAGTGGCATCTCCTGGACAGTAAAACTGGTTTGACGCACACGGAGTGGTTGTTGGCTTCGGTGTTGTGGAAGGTGCTGGAGTTGGCAGAGGTCTGAAGGATGGTATGCAGCCATAAAAAGACACATCGTCAATTGCTATGTCTCCCATGTAACCAGATCCTCGTTCAGCTTCAATAATGACCTATGTAACGAAATCGTACCTGTTTAGCTAGGTTTTTACTTGCTTTTAAGGTGTGAAGGAGTAGATACTTAATAACGGCTAATATAAAAATAAACAGCTAGGTGTGAAGGAGTAGATACTTAATAACGAGACGAAGGTTCGGGCAAAGTGGGCCTGTATAAGTGGGGGCTCTGGACAGCAATTGCTGAATGGAATGGGGGTGAAGGCGTGGGAGTTACCTGTTAGAAACTAGAAAAACAAAAAGCACATGAAATCTTTTACATGAATTATTCAAAGGTGGAATTCAATTTGAAATTGCTCAATTGCGTTTGCTAGAGTTCAAGGCTAGTATGGCAGACGCCCCTTCGATTCCAGCAGAGACTTAAGTCTTTTCAAACTCACCTGGAAAGCTTGGCTGCTTCTCAGAACCGAGGCATGCCTTATCCATACGTCTCCGGTCGACACGTTACGAGTCCAAACGAGCGTCTCTGGGCAACCGGCAGCCTCGCACTGCCTTGTTTTTACACTGAGTCTTCCAATGTGGTCTCCATTCATGTGATAATAAAACCGTATCATACATGAAGTACCAGAAGCAGAAGATGGCATCACGTTCCTGCTGACAATGCGAGCCTTGTCTCCCTTTATGCGAGGGTAGGATGCTTCAGCATATAAATACTTGCCTAAAAATGTATGGCAAATAGCGTTATAGGTTAACAGAAACTACACCCATTAAAATCAAAGAAATGTTACAAAACCGCAGTTTTGCTGGAGCGGAGGACTGGCGACTTATCTTTGAAGCTTTGAAATATCGATAACAAAATTGATTAATCAATAGCAGAGCAGAAAATCAAGAAACATATCATTTTACTAATCTTTCTATCAAATCATGGGTAGGGTATTAAGCATAGCAACGCTTCTTGTTAATTCAGTTCAACATTTGATCATTTTCTGACATTTTATACTATCAGGAGAGGCGTATGATTTATGTCGCCAAATGTACATTCCAAAAAAAAAATAGGTTGGATATAACTGAACATATAACTGGATATAAACGACATGTAACCATCATAAACTACATGGATAAATGGGGCCACGAGTCCTTACGTAAATCATTTCACAGTGCTATTAGTATCATATTACGTACCATAATTAGTTCCAGATGTGTGGTCAAAGAGAGGACCAGTACCAGAAGAATCAGTTGAGCCATAAGAACGGGTCCAGTTAAATTGGTCATCTGTCAGCTGCCGCCAGTAGCACAGACTGTATTCAAAGTTACAACTGGAAAGGGATATTCAATGGATAAAGAGGATGGCAGTACCAGGAAAGATAATAAGGTGTTTTAGCATATTCATGTTTAGCTTTATAAGAACGTTTCAGCGCACAGCTGCATTTTCTACAGAACGATACTGCTTTTGATTAGAACAACAGGGACGCCAAGCTGTAAATCCACAAAAATACAATTTTCAACTAGTTTTAGTATAATTTAAGGCATAGCTAAACATAAATCTGGAAACTAGGGCGAGATAATAGCTGCTAAAGGTTAACAGTGAAACCAGGTGTGCAAAACATTTTCTTTTCGCTGGGACCGCGGTTATACAAATATTTTCTGCGTCCAAAACTAGCAGTATAAAAAACTGCCATATTTAAGTTTAGCCTATTGAGCATTCTGGGACACAAAATATTTTCTTGGACCAATGGTCAATGGCCTAATACTTTCTCCTGCCATGAGAGAGGCCAGTCAAACCCAAGAACTATGTTGGCAAACTAAAGTATATAATACTAAAAGATGTTCCACCTTAAACTGATCTGTGGGTATTGGCAGTTGATTTCGTCAGTTCCATCACCACAGTCATCGGTATAATCACACTGCCTAGAGTATGGCACGCACGCTTGCGTTTTTGCACACCTGAATCTGTAATAGCAGGAAGAAGCAGCGGTTGGTAAAGAGCATCCCTGGAACGTAATATCATCAACAGCGATATCTCCGCGCGTGCTGTATGATCTTTCAGCCTCTATCTTGATTTTATAAGGAACTGTTCTGCGCATGATGTATACTGTTCCCTGAGTCCATTGGTCGCCTGTACGAAAAAAGTTATTGTGTAAGGATTATCTATCAATAACATAACATTGGAAAGAATTTATCTATCAATAAAGAGACTGAAAAAAAGTATGCGAAAAATGGGTGCGGAAAACTAACAAGGTAAATCATATGCAATTGAATGCAATGAGCAGTTTACGTAAAGTAAATGCTGAGAAAATACGGGTAGTATTTTCAAAAACCAGAATTTTTAGTGCAACTCGAGTAAAAACCAGAAAAGCAGAAAGAAATCTGTTGAAACAGTTGTTTTGCAATCACCTCAATCACTTACAAACCAAAGTAAGATCGTCAATACATTCAAGGGGCTGGCATTTTGTTTACAGGATATGTAATCGCAGGATAACAGAATGGGATGGTGTTGCTTTCAGCTCAAAGGGAATTTGCAAAGCAGGGCATTCAAGCTCTCATAAGTATTGAGAAGTTACTGTTACGGGTAGTGCTCCAGTCCGTGTTTATTGAGCTAGAAAGGAAATCAACTACCTTGGGCATTGCTGTTCTCGAGATAAACCCCAAAAGCACAAAGGAAAGGAAGCATATTTAACCAACTTGTTGCCATCTCCCTCCTCAATTCAAAGTTAGGACGTACATAATTCAATAGCAGGTGTATTAACATTGAACTGAAGAAGGAGATGCAGTAGTTCAAAAGTTAAGGATTATAGGGTCACTCCTAAAATTACTGAAGATAACTTCATAGCACAAACCTTGATTTCCACTACGGTGCCATAAAAGAGTGAGGGATGTTCCAATTTCTATATAAACTCGTAAGTCCCCAATGCCAGTTCCGTACATGTGATACCAGAAATTCATTTGACACGTTGCCGAAGCTTGCTTCAAACTTGGGCTTTGCAAAGTGGCTAAACTGTACATGCTACCAACTGATGCTTCGACGTAAGCATAATACCCGGAACTATCACCTGCAAAGAATAAAATCATGACAAAAAGTGGAACTGGCTCCACATTTGGGGAAGGTTGTAGACCGCTATATATACAGATTAACGGATACGAAAACATTCAACTGGGGGAGGGGTGGGGGTTGGCAAGCAACAAATATACAAATGTTTATCTCTCCTCCCTTGCCTATTCAACAGCAGGATTTATAGCTTTAAAATTGAGATGGTAACATAGTGTATCAGACAGCGAAGGGTTATAAGAATGCTTTGAGACATTAGTCAATCTGCCGCCTTACCCTTAGTGTGATCAGTAGAGGGACCAGTGTTGGCGGTAGCCGTAGCTCCATTGCCACGCTTCCAGTCGAAAACACCAATGCTTGAATCATTCCATTGGCACAGTCCTTGAAATAAAAGAGCAGATTAGTAAGGTGCCACGGGATAACATATAAGAGCAACACGAGGAAAGGCAAAGATAATAGTAACATTTAATCAGTGATCAAGCCATCACAAAGAGAACGCATTCATAACCACTTCATTGTCATCAATATGAAAATCACTTTTTTACGGATTGTCATAAAAAGGTGTTCAATTCTAAGTTGTAATTCCGAGCTTCACACTTAATGCGACCATCAGACAACTTTCTGCCTGCAATCTACTTTCAGCAAGGAGTGCATTGAGGTAGGAGGGGGAGGGGGCTTTGGTTGAACCAACATAATCACTATCAGAAGTGGCCTGTTGAAAACACTGCTGAAATATAATATTTATCACAAGTATATATAAAAAATCAGCCGCTTTTGAAATGGAGATGTCTTGAGACTTTATTCATGGCTACACAATAAGTTCCCAGGACCATTCGTGCAAGAATCTCGTTTGTTAAATGGTGCCTCATCTCTGGTTAGTTTATCATTACAACATGTAGTGGTGAAGAAATTCAAAATGCATTCTGTAGTCTGTCATTAGCTTATATACATATAACAGCTTAGAGCCACAAGGTGGTTAACGTAGAGTTTCTGAGGTGATATTCTTTCCTGTCTTTCAGGCAACCATAGCAAAGGCCAACTGTTAAGCACATATGAACTGGAATAAAAAACATTCCCAAAATGGTATCTCTCTTTACGACTGTATTGAACGATAAGAAAGTATTTTACCAGATTCAAAGTCACAGGCTCCGCAGTTCCGTTCATCTGTATCATCAGTGGCCCCGCAATCATTGACGAAGTCACAGATCTTTGTTGCCGGGATGCATCGATTGGAAGTCTTGCAACGCACAGCACATGGGTTTGGTGAAGGCGATGGTGTTGGTACTAGAGAGATTGATATACAAGCTTAATAAAAGAAGTGAAGAATAAATAGGAAGGAAAAGGGTGAAAGAAATCTCCGTTGATAAGATTCTAAGGCAATGGGCAACAAACAAAGCTAGTACCATGTAACGACACTGATCAGCCTAGCCTTACTATCAACTTAAGCTGAAAAAATTCACGTGAATGCGTTATAACAAAGTTTTCTAATTAATAGCAAAATGTACTTTTGTCACGATCAACAAAGAAATATTAGCTATGAAAAAATTGTACATTCTTCACTTAAAAAAGCGATTTTAGGTTTCTCAAAATATTAGGACAAATGAACAAAGCAACAAGAAAAGCACAGCGCCATTTCGAATCAACCTCTTGTTAACCAAGATGACTGACCTGGGCACTTTCCTGGTGTAACTGATATGTCATCGAGACTGATATCTCCGTCGTACGATTTTCCAATTTTACCTTCGAAGACAATCTGAAAAACAGGTATTGTAGAAACGTAGTCAACAAACCAATTTCGAGTATAAAACGGCACTAAATCAAAACCATCTTTCCAGAGTAAGGACATTATATAAGAAATCGATCATATAAGAGAAAGTTACACATCAAAAGAACAAGTGAGTATAGATCTCGTAGTGGAACACAAGTTCACCTGAAAATCGTAGCTTTGGGTGACATCAACTTGCATCCAGTTCCATCGATCTCCCTGGTTCCCCTGTAAGACTTTGTGAGTTCTGTAGTAACTTCGTCCGCGTCCCCATGACGGTCTATACAGGGACTCAACAATGAGAGTGCCTACCGACTGGCCATACATATGGTAATAGAAAGTGACACACCAATTGAACTGTGGGTTGACTTTAAAGAGCTCGCTAGCAAGGTGGGCATAGTCTCCTTCTACCCGAGGTGACGAGGCTTCGATGTACACGTATTGGCCTAAGATGAGTCAAAGGATGATTTTACGATGCAGATACATAAAAGAGATTTTTAACTTAAGAGAATTACTTGTACGACTATTTATATACTTGCTGGAAGCAAAAAAATGTACTACATGTTCAGATAAAGACAATAATGTTAAACAATGGCTATTTAACTATACAGAAACAAAGTGTACACTATAACCCTTTCTTTTCAAGTTTAACAACAAAGAAATTAGAACATGACCGCCACCTTTCAAAGGGACAACTGAATAGGCGAATAACTGAAATGCTTGACGTCTTTAATTCTAGATAGGATTTAATTTAAATATAGCTAAAATAGTTCAAATACGATAAGAAAGAATAAAGATAAATTTAGATTACTGACCAAGAGAGGTTCCAAGGGTATGGTCAACCTTAGGCCCGGTTTTGACACTTGGGGTGTCACCTGAATGGCGAATCCAGTCAAATTTATCATCGTCTATATTGGTGTAACCGCAGTACCCAATCTCAAAGTCACAAGATCCCTTTGATGGACATGGGCCTTTGTGTATCTTGACGTCATCAATAGCTGCGTCACTGGTATAACCGCCACCTCGTATGCCTTCAAACACGATCTAGAAAAATTCGACTTTATAAAATCAATACTGCAGTTTTAATACAAAAAAGGGCTGAAAATGAATAAAAACTCGCTAGAAATATACCAAACTCTATAAAAAAAATGACTCCTACGTGGTTAGGGTCACAGACGCAGATCCTAGGGTCTTGGTTTCGAGTCCCTACATGACCGAACTTTCAGCCCAGAGTGAGGAGAGTCAAAGGACTCGCTGTAATTCGGCTCTCTGTAATTCCAGGCGTAGGAATCAGAATGTGTGGCCACATCGAGAGAAAGGACCGGGAAAATGCTCGAAACGCATAGCCTCTCACTTAAGAAATACAAACAAACAAACAAACAAACAAGGTACAAACAAATACAAACTTCAGAAGCTAGGTAGAAACAGATACAATTACAAATTCTGCTGTACACCCAAATAACTGCTTAATGTCTGCACACCGGGATTCCAAAAACAGTTGAATTAGTTTCAATACAGGACAAAAGCAATTTCAAAGAGGTTTCTTACTGAAAAGGATCGTGACGCTTTTGTTTTCACTACTGTACAGACAAAGATATGAAGCGGTCAAAATAAGACTTTATGAAACAGTTAGTAGATGGAAATGCTGCATGAAATGTTTAGGAATGCTCAACAGGGAGGCTGTGGGCCTAAGCCTTATAGCCTAGTTTTATTAAAGACTTTCTTCCAGTTCATTACCCACCTGCCAAATTTGGTCTGTTTGGACTGTGAACGAGCCTCGGTGCCAAACATTTCCTTGGTCACCACTCAAAGTCCAAACCGGGGTTCGATCAATCCTTCCTCCTTTCCTTAAGAACATCCTAAGCGTGCCCATGTCAGCTCCATACATGTGATAGTAGAATTCAACGCATTTACCACCGATAGTAGCAGGATAGGCCGGCGACTCCATAACAGCTCGATCACCAGGTACGCGCGGATATGATGCTTCAATATGCATATAGTGTCCTAGCAGAAAAAACAACGCCGATAACAAAGAACAATCATAGCTCCCGCAAGACTATATACTTCTGATAAAAAAATTCATAAAAGTTAACTTCCAGTACTTAAAAATTCCTCACTCTCATAAAAATTGAGAACGCAATGCTTTTAAAAAATTTCTTTAACTTAAATTGTTGATCCCAGAAAATTGTAAAAATGCAGGACATATCGTAAACGATCTTATAATCCCCCAGTGCCTTAACAAACGTTCGATCTTCTAGAGGGGGCTAATTTTACAGGTCATTAAGGGGAGGCTGAGAGCTGGGATAAAAGAGAAGCCAAAAACTGTAAGATGGGATAGAATTTGCAAGCAAACATGACCAGATTTCAGTCCACTTGCCAGACCAGGGGTTGAAAAATGGGGTGATTGTGCTCATATAAACAGGCACCAAAATGTTAACTCGTTTCCAGTGACACTTTTAATCAAAATCTCGAGACAATAAACAGCTTCATTACAGTTTTGAACCAGCACCGGAACGTTTGTTGATCGACGGGCCCCTTTGTTGTAGCTTAAGAAAGGAATCTTACCGAAAGCGGTTCCATATGTATGATCTGCCGGAGGTCCGGTTCGGGAACTTGAGGTATTAGCAGTTGCCCTAGTCCAGTCGAAGTCATCGGACAGGTCTTGTGTGTATCCACAAATATCTGGGGATTCGAACTCACATTCATCTGAAATCAAACGACGAATTGTTAGACAGCTCTCGCAGACGGCGCAATAAAAAAGTCTATAAAAACAGTCTATTTAACAAGCCTAAGTAAGCCGCGGAGTTCAACTTGGTTCAACTTTTTAGGCCAAAGATGTTCATACTAACCTGTTGGCAAACAGTTGCCATTGACAAAGCTGACGTCATCGAGGGCAATGTCTCCTTGATAACTTGGACCACTTGTTCCTTGGAAGATGACCTGCAGAGAAAGCAATAGTGATGTAAACCAAGTTAACTTATCATAAAATAATTCGACACAACAGAAATCATAACACAATTTAATTCATACAATGTGAGATAAATGTGTCCAGAAATTATATGAATCTATCCTCCGAATGACATAAAAAAGACCTGCCGGCCTACGTCGCTGCAGGTCTGCAAAAACAGATCCTGATTTGCTTCAGCATATATTATTATCAAAACATAATTTGTTGTGGGTTCTATTAATACTTCTATATTGCAAATTTCGAAATCATTTCGTACAAACTTAAAAACTTTAAAAGCAAACAGAGCTGCCCTAGTCATAGGCAAAGTTTTGTCCGTTTTGTAGAAGGTTATTCAAGGTAACATAATCATGGTAAACCAGCAATCTTTGAAAATGGTTTGACTACAGTAAATCTTGTTTTGTTTCAAGGTACCTAGGCCTTTTGGCCTCTACTCGTACTTCAGATTCATATCATATGCTGTTCTGAATGAGACTCGGACCAATACATGTCTGCTTGCAGTGGCACGAGACAACAGTGTTGCAAACTAAGGCATGGGAGCCACAAAATGTAAAAAAGGAATAGTTTATGCAAGTTAGTAGAAACCTACTAAACATTTATATGCCAGGATCAGACTATAATCATATATATGCCTGGATCAGACTAAAACCGCAATACATACATTGAAAGCCGGTGTTCTCTTCACAACTATTTGTCCAAGTCTCCACTTATCTCCTTGTGTTCCTTTTCTCGTCCAGACTGGCTTGGCTGGCATAGAAGTATCATTTTGAATGAAAACATTTAGAGCATCCACGTGTGAGCCGTACATGTGATACCAAAATCGAACACAGACTGTTCCCTGCGCGTTTCCATTTGTTTTGAAATCGATTTTAGGACTCTTTAGATTAGCAGTATCATTATGTGACTGCCAGGATGTTTCGATGTACATATAGTATCCTACAAGATAAAAATGAACCAATGTCTGAGCATTGCTGTCGGTGAATCCACTAGAATCACTTCACTTCACTGTTTTAAAGTTTCACAATTGATCAGTTATTGCAAAAAAGATCCTGGTCTGTTAAAAGCATAAAGTAGTAATGTACCAAACTTGAAGAAAGGAATATACAATCTCCAGAAATAATAGTGAAATCAAAAAGTGGCATAAATCGAATGAAATAAAATGGCAAAAGTTTTCTAAAGATTCTTATATATGCAAACGGTGGAGAGTTTAACTTAAGACGTATATTTGTGAAGCTAGATAATAACCATTTGCGTTTCCTTGGGTGTGGTCGGCCGATGGCCCAGTTAGAGCACTTGGAGTTCCGCCTCTGTCTCTTGTCCAGTCAAAGTTGTCATCTTTGGTGTTGACAAACTGACACAATCCACCTATAAGGCAAATCTAAGATTAGAAAATTGACAAGGAGCGCAGACAGTATCACAGAAATCACTTATTATATGTAGTATAAAACATTTTGTAGAATTAATTTCATTATTGGACATACAAATAGGCCTAAAGACGTAACCCAACGGCACAAACTTGGGAGCATTATTGACAAGCTTGTGATTTTTAAGCTTCTGTCCTGAACTACTGGGATTTTACCATAGATCAGCAATCATCATAATGGGGAGGCCGTCGATTTTGACGGATCCTGTCACTGCGATGGCAGTAGTGTGTCCACCTCAGATCAGCAATATCACTATGCTAACAAGTTGGAACACAGGCTAAATATCAAACTGAACACGTGTCGATAACATACCGTCAAAGTTACAGTCGTATGGTGACGGAGCAGGTGTTGTGATTGGCGGTATCACGCTTGGGAATGGTGTAGGTTTCGATAGTGTATGGTAACAACTAACGCCACTGATAGAGCTTGCATCATAACAGCATCCCATGTTTTGACAAGCAGATCTCGAGATTGACGCTGTACCACATTGTGTCCTAGCTGCAACAGGTACTGCGGAGCACGTGGCAGGGTGGTAGAAGCAATTGGGTACATTTTGAACCGTGTCGTCGTAACAACAGCCCAAAGTGACCCTACAAGTTCCGGCTGAGACACTATAACCTCCGCAGCGAACCCTGGCCATTGGCACAACTGAAGTACAAAGGCCAACACAATTGCCATCCTTAACGTAGAGATCATCTAGAGAAATGTCGCCACGATAATCCGTGCCTCGAGTTGCTTCTAAAATTACCTGTAAAAAACAAAGATGAATTGACGATATTTGCATTTTTCTTGCGTGTAGATTTTTATAACACTAAATCTAATGTGACTTCTATATAATATTTCTATTCCATTCTATATTTGTTCCAGTTTAGCCATGTTTTGCAGTTTAAATTATAGTTAAACATTTTCTAGATATTTCAAGAATGACGTTGATAAAGATACGACACCCGCGATAATCCTAAAATGGCAGTATATCTTAAAAAATATATTCTTTCAGTGCATACCCTGAAATTGGATCGGCTGTAAAGTCCAACTTCCCCTTCCTTCCAGATATTTCCTTGTGATCCATTATATGTTTTCAAAAGTGTTTCTCCATTACTGTTCTTCAAGTAGATATTGAAGGTGCCAATTGTTTGACCGTACATATGATACCAGAATGACAAACATTTTCCATTTGAGGTACTGAAAAGTTCACTTTCGAGTCTTGCTTTTTCTCCGGCCCTTCGATTGAAACCAGATGTTTCGATGAAAATGTACGTTCCTAGAATCAAAGCAAATAACAATAAGTCCCAAATGTCCAACAATCAAGATACAATATTTGTATGACAGGTAAACGGATGGTCACATGAGGTATTCACTTACAAGGCGGTGTCTGTTACTCTATGTAAACACTATAACACCAAAGATGACTGTAAAATCGAAGCTTCAATGTGCTTAAATTGTTATTGTTTTTGAAACATTTAAAACCCCATCTGCATTTTCATTCCTGTTACTTCTTATAACACCGAGCCTTTTGCGTTTCTATAGTGAATCTATAGTCCTTTTCAAAACTGTAACAAAAATCTTTAATGCTAGGCGATGCGCTCAGGAGGAGAAGGCCACCAGAAAAACTTGCGCTAAAATCTATTTCAACGTAAGATCTATTATAACTAGATCTATTAGGATGAGTTTCCTCTTTAAAACAATATCTTTTGAAAAATAACGTGGCGACCATATCCACAGGTTTTTGCGTTCTACAGGCCATCCCATACGAGCCTTTCAGAAGGGAAAAACCACCGACTCCTTTCGGTGCAATAAAACACGGCATACCGAGTGCAGTTCCAACGGTGTGATCAACAGTCGGTCCGGTCCCATAGCTTGATGTTGAGCCACTGTTCCTTTCCCAGTCAAAGTCATCTTGCCCTGTTTGATTGCCATTTGCGACATTGTTCCAAGTACAGAAGCTTCCATACTCGAAATCACATGACCCTGCAATCAATGGTACACATCAAAGTTGATAACCTCGTTTTTTCTATACAAATTTTTATACAAAGAAAGATAGACCAATTAGCTGGCACTCAGTTGGCTTTTGCAAATGCTACATTACTGAATATCAATGAATATCAATACCTATAGCTATATCTTAAAGCCAATATGTTCAACAATACCCGTGCCGTAGTTTGACCTTTCCAGACTAGGGAGATGGAGAATCATCAGCTGTAAAGTTTACTGACGACGACATAGATTATGATCAATTTATTTCACCTACCAAAGAACAATTTTACCAGCGAAAGAGGGACTTTTCGATCAACTGAAGATCTACCGGCAAACTCATGAAGAATGGGGGGATGGTCTCACACCCCCTACACCCTCGCTAGCTTGGCCCCCTGGACCATTACATGCAGCTAGACAAACAAATACGAACGCTACACGTACACGTGATAAATGTTACAAAAAACTTCTCTAAAAAAACTGGGACTGGTATTTGTCGAAGCTCCTCACGGCAACGAAGTCACTTAACCTCTGGTTAGAGTAGCCAATAGGAATACACCCCTGATCATAACTTTAAAAACCGTACCCTACATTCTAGACGAGGTGATGAAAAACTACTGCGGAGACATGACAAATAAACGTAGATTTTTTCAAAACATAATCCACGTACCTGGTGGTGGGCAAGGCATTTCGGAAATATAGATGTCATCAAGGGCAATATCACCACGATAACTTTTTCCAACAATACCTTCTATAACAACCTATAAGCAGAAAAATGTAAAAAAATCTTGTAAAAGAAAGACAAATCACTGAAAATGAAGTAAATTTCCATAGAAAAATCATCATAAATTTTGACAGCTAATGAAGTGGGATCGAAACGAATGAATGCAAAAAAAGATCTAGAGAAATGAAGTTATATTGCTCACCGTGTATGAAGAATTGCTCTGTAGGGTGACACGACCATGTCTCCAAACATTATTTTGATTACCAGTTCTGTTCCACAGCGGTGTTCCTGTTGGTGTAGTAAGGTAAATATTCAAGCTACCAATGTCCGCACCGTACATGTGGTACCAGAAGTTGAGACATCTTCCTTTCACAGACGCCGGGTATACCGGGCTATAGAGCCAAGCTTTGTCTCCTCGTCTTCTTGGATAAGAGGTTTCAATGTAGACATAGTTTCCTGGAAATAAAGGCACATGGATATAAGTTAAGGCAAATACATCTCGCAAATACATATTGATGCGTATTGATGCATCAAGCAAAAAGGGACTAGATCCTGACGGCATACCTGGGCGAGGACATGCTCCGCTAACTATTTTCAGATCATCAATGGCAAATACATCATGAGTGAAAGTAGAGTAGGAAAGAGTGGAAGTATATATATTATCCTATAGAATGATTATGGTACGATAGACGGACTCTGCTAGCAACGTCCTTGGAGCATCTTGAACATTATTTGTCGCTGTAAAAGCTTCATTTGCAAGCACTCATATCCTGTTACTTTGAATAGATACAACGAATTTGACCCATCAATACTTGCATTTCTTAGGCATATAAAAGGAAAAGCTCACCCTGACTTGTTCCAGTGGTATGATCAGTAGACGGTCCAGTACCCAAAGATGGTGTTCCCTGGTTACCTCTTGTCCAGTCAAACTGGTCTCCACGTCTGTTTGACCAACCGCAAAGTGTCGTATCTTCAAAGTCACAATACATTGCGCGTGGGCAATAACTGTCCAAAACAACGACGTCGTCAACTGCAATATCCCCTTGGTAACTTGTTCCCCGCACTCCTTCAAATCGCAACCGAGTTACGCTACTGGAATAAACATTGACCTGTGCACTTCGCCACTTGTTGCCTTGTGTTCCCTTTCGAGCCCAGATCCTATGATTTGGATTAGATTAAAACACAATCTGTATAGCGCTTAAGTTTAAAGAACAGGTACTATATACTAAAGGCTTTATATATAAAATATTAGACAAAATACTTTTTGTCGGTCTGTCATTAAGTGCTCGATACCGTGTAGGCAGAGTCGTACACGCTATTTGATGTATAGAACAAGAAGGTTCTAGGTTGGTACTCCGAGTTTCACGCTTAATGCGATCATCGGACAAACTTAGAACCAGGGGCGTGGTGGCCCACCTTTTTCTTGGTGTTTTGGAAAAAAAACTCAAGACAAACTAATTGAGGTAGTGCTAAGCGGATCTACATTTTTTGACGACCATGAAAGTTGTTTGATGGGCATAAAAACAAAAATTTGATTGATCCACAAATATTCAAAATGGCAGCACCTTCCTTTCTGGGAGTATAAATGGCATCGAGCGCATTTTTTTCTGAGAGCTGACACCTAGGCACCATGCATGCCACTGGTTGACTTAATAGGCATGTCATTACCATAGGGTACCGAAGTGTGACGTCATCAAAAATTTATTTTTATAATTTCTTAATTTTGACCACATAATCTGAAAGAACAGCATAAAAAACTTCTTAATAGGCAAAATCAGTTAGATCTATTCAAAATTTGGTGAGATATGGCCAACAAAAGACTTGTTTGCCAACGGATTACTGTTATTCTGGCATGGTTTGTAACCCATTCTACAGATTTTGCAGATTCAGAGGTATTTCATGATGCTCTCTCAGGTTATGGAATCAAAAGAGAAACGATTTTTGTGACGCCATCACTTCGGTACTCTATTGCGAGTAATAAGTATAAATATACCTGACGAATCGTGAACCGCTTTGCTTGTAAACATTGAGCTGATTCACGTGTGCTCCGTGCATGTGGTACCAAAACTGCAAACATACAATTGAGCGCGATGGCTTAATGGGAGGGCTTTCTATCACCGCAGTATCATTAGCTATTCTTGGTGACGAAGTCTCGATGTATATGTAATGACCTAAAATGAAAAAAATATTCCATTAAAAAATTGTCTTCGATTTTAATGAAGCATTGAAAGACACAAGGTATTCAGGAAAAGTGCCGCAAAACCTGCAGCCTCTTTATCATGTGAACATTATTCGTGTTTGCTACATTTCTAAGGCTAACAGGCCTCGTTTCAGGCATCTTACCTATAATGACAGGCTATGTGCATAAGTATTTTTAGAAAGTTTAAAACCAAAATGCCGGATTTGGAAGCTTTGCCCTAAACCGTTGAACAATGTGGCCCATATCATAAACTTTGCTTTTTCCGGAAATATGCTTGTTAGAAGCCACAGTAGGTTAAATAAAAGGGGTTTGGACAAGTATTACGGCCCTGTAAACAAACCTGTGAAGTCGGCAAGTTTAATGAATGAGTTTCAAAGCAAACAAGGGATATAAAAAGAGTTGGTATATTAGAAAGTTCAAATGTAGCAGCTCAGGAGCCGGGCGACAAAAGTTAAGAGGACGGTTTAACAAAAAGTAGAAGAAACCGAGGCCAAAGATTGGTACATTTTGGAAAAGAATATTGCAATTGCCATCCGAAACTTGAAAATTTCTAAGGGGTGCCTGGGGAGCACTTTGCTTGCTAACGGTTAAGAAAATTTCTCCGGCCCTCTAATTAGCTCACCTTTGCCTGTAGTGTGGTCACCAACTGGCCCGGTCCCCACCGATCCAGTGTTGTCCTTGTTCCTCTTCCAATCAAAATTATCTGTGGTCAGCTGCCTCCAGTTACATAGACCAGTTTCAAATGTACAGTTACTGTCGGATGGCACGGTTGTTGTTGGTGCTACCGTCGGGGGAGCAGAGCTTGCTGGGATATGTGAACATCGTGAATTGGTGTAAGATATGTCATCAATTGCAATATCTCCGCTGTAGGATGAACCCACAATCCCTTCGAACACAACCTGGTGAAAAGCGAAATTAAAAATTTGAAACTTCTGGCTAACAGATTTTTACAAATTTACGGGTTCGCGTATGATTTACTTTAAAATAGTTTCATTAAAAATTCTCGGCAAACTAAATATTAATTGTGCCAAAACTGTCAATACTTTTAAAATTTTACTGCTTTCTATAAAGTTTAACAAACATATACTTATGAGTTCAAAGAAACGTCCCAGCTAAGAAGGAATAAAAAAGAAATAATTTTAGTCTCTTAATTTGCTCAATCTCTTTGAAGAGAAACTATAATTTTAGTTTGAAATGTCCATTAATGGAACTAAAGGATAACTATCTGATTGTGAAAATGCCAAATATATTCTAACGTCGGGCTAAGTTATTCATAAATAGGCAAACATAAAATCATTCAAACTACGTTTCATTTGTCATATGGAAAGATATTAACAAGACTGTATGAAATGAGTGCGTTTGATTTGGATATATCATACATTGAGGAACTTACTGCATAGCTCTGAGAAGAGACGATAGGGGCCTGGGCAGTCGGAATCCAAACGTTTCCATGGTTGCCTGACGTTGACCAAATCAAAGTTTCTGACTGATTCCCTGCCCCAGTTTTGACGTAAACATTGAGAGTTCCCATTGACGTGCCGAACATATGGAAAGCGAATTTCACACATCTGCCAAAAGTTCCAGTTGGGGGGAAGAACTCACTGACGAGTCTTGCTTTGTCTCCTTGCTTTCGTGGGGCCGAGGCCTCGATATACATATAATGACCACTGGCATCTTTCTTGGTGTTGTCAATAGACGGGCCCGTGCGCCAACTCGAGGTTGCTCCATGGCCTCGTATCCAGTCGAAGTTATCCTCACTTTGATCTTGGAGGTATGTGCATGTTTTAAAGGCTTCGAAATCACAATGTCCTGCAAAAGAATCATTCGATCATATAATCACTTGGCACTTATATGTGGACAGTGATGTACCGCAAACAAAAACAAATTAAGCAATGTTACATGATATCGTAATCCCTAAAAACGAATTGACGTCGTTGCTTGTTTTCTTTTTTATTTTACTTCACTTTGTTGCCATTTTATTGCAAAATTGTTAATCAATACTAAAAGCTTGGATTCCAAATAGACTAAGAAAATAATATTTTTCTAATAAACTGCATATTCGAAATATCAACTACGAGTAAGTTCTATAAATTATGCTTAACTTTGTTTGCAAAACTTTATTGTCGGAGGATATGTTATTTACTGCCTATAATCGTGATTTTGATACTTAGTCGATTTCTCATGTGTACTTAAGTCTATCACAAAGCTATCATACATGAAATATTATTCAATTTAACAGACGAATTTATCTAATAAATAAAAGACCAAATAAAACTGTGTATGAAAAAATGGCTAAATTTGGCGTATTGATGCATCAAGCAAAAAGGGACTAGATCCTGACGGCATACCTGGGCGAGGACATGCTCCGCTAACTATTTTCAGATCATCAATGGCAATATCTCCCGTGTAACTGGAACCAACTGTTCCTTCAAACATGAGCTACAATAAAACGATCAGCTATTAGCTTAGCTTATCATATCATACCAGTGGGTTACTTATATAGTATACCAGTATTTACTATAGCATAGTATACCAGTGGGTTACATTGCCTTCAAGTTGTTAGAAAATGAAATGTTGATAATTGTAATTTAATTTAAAAATGAGTTGGGGCTACTTGCAGACTGTGTATCAGAAACTGGATGAGTGTTGTTCTTACTATTCTCCGTAACTGATTTTCCGCTCAAAACGGCGCATTGATATTCAACAGCCATATATAAACAGCCATATATAAAGTCGTACCTTTACTATACTAATCTATTTTTGTTGCTCCCTCAACGCACAACACGCTGAATTACATTAATTATCAAACTGAATGAATGTGTATGGCAGAAGTAAGATACACCGGAAAGCCCGTCCGCCGAATTGTGACGCAAGGTACAGGAACAACGTAAAACAACGACGAGAATCCAATATTTTGAAAAATAGAATTTTAAAATAAATAAAACGTATCAGAGGCCTCGAAGTGACTTGAATGTGGACAGGGGTTTAGTTGAAGGATTAAAGGGACGGGGCTATTGAATATCCAAGACGAATTTAACAGGGTCCAATCAACACTCTTAATGGGATGTTTACCCAACAGCTCGGCTGGTAAAGGGGCGCAAAGGCAATCTGTCACGACGTTGATTAGTTATAAGAACAAAGGGATTTTTACTGTTTCCAGTCCACCTTCAATTTATCGCATTGTCAATTATATGGCGGAGCGCTGGAATCGTGTTTAGGCTATTGTTCCAGCTATTGTTCTCAATAACCAATCCACAACGAGACAGATTGCCTTTAAGGAAGACACGAGACGCTGAGATACATCAGTCCCTGATTGTTGACAAAATACAGATTCAAGTCAAGGAGTGCAAAGGCAGGACATTACCTGATAATTAGAAGATGAAGTTAGTGTTTTCATGGCCATTCTCCAAATATTTCCTTGATTTCCTGACTCGCTCCACAGCAAATTATCTGCACTATTGACTCTACTGTACAAAGAAAGGCTGCCGATTGTTGTTCCGTACATGTGATACCAGAACGCCAGACATGAGCCGGTCGTTGGTGAACGAACCGGTGACAGGAATCTTGCCTTGTCTCCTTGACGGCGCGGGGATGATGTTTCTATATACATGTAGTAGCCTAAGAGTGAGATTCAAACTCATTAAAACTCTTGTATCAATCAAACGTACATAACAAGACACCCTTCTTTGTTAAAAGTTCTCTTTTTACGACATTTAAGTTTCCCATTTCTAATAAATGGATGATACTCAAGATCAAGATAAATTGATTAAATATAATTTTTATAAAAAAAATTTAAAATCTATGTATTCCCCAAAGTTTTCCAGCGGGTAACTTTAGAAACGAAAAATGAGCCACCAAGAAGAAGCCTGAAATTACAAATTATACCAAACTTTTGAGGCTTTCATTAGGTAACGAACGAGGCAGTGGCAGTGCATAGATGGCATGCGCCCTTCCGATAACAAACTTTTTTAAAAGGCCTTGATTGTCTGTATTTTGAAAAGACAATTTTTTGGGAAACACAGCTTTATCACATTGCCCCCTTACAAAGAAGGTGAGATTCGCCGGGTGCCCTCTCCTGAAGCTGGGGTGAGGTCGAGGTGCTCACAAGTTTGTGTGCCTTAACTTTCTATATGCTTGTAATTCACTTCTTGCTCTTACATTGAACGAGATTTAAGAGTAATTTTGCAGATCAAAAACGAAGTTGAAAATCAAAGTAACAAGAACCTTGGCTTGTTTGCAGGGTATGGTCTGTAGCTGGCCCAGTGCCAAAGGATGCTGTTTGTCCATTGGCTCGTGTCCAATCAAAATTGTCGGTTGTTTTGTCCTGGGTCCATTGACAGTAAATATTACCTCCAACACTGTACTCAAAGTCACACTCATCTGGAAAAAAATATATTCGACTCTACCCAAAGCCATAAAGATAAAATTATCTACATTAGCGCTCTAAAGCATCGCCGTTTCATATGTACAATGGTTTCTGTAATCATAAAACTAATTCTGCATACCCAGAAACATCTCCTGCGTGACTACCTTATAGCATATCGAAGTTACACGTTAAAAAATTGCAAAAATATTTAGATAGAATCGAGCCAGACTGCCAACCCCACAAAAGATCCTCGAAAAGATATTTTATTTCAAGACTGATCATTAAATGCAACGATTTACAATGAATCTACAACCTTTCGGGCTCATTAACAGCAATTTTTATAGTAAGCTGCGGTGGTACTTTGAAATTTATTAACATAGCCCTTAAACTTCGTTAGCAAATTTTTAAAATAATCATACCTGGTGGTGGACATGTGCCTGACATGACAGAAATGTCATCAATAGCAATGTCCCCGCTGTAACTGACACCACGAATGGCCTCAAATACAATTCTGCTTTTGGCTGTAGTGGTAGGCAGCTGTACAAGACCGCGTCTCCATTCGTCTCCTTGGGTTCCTGTTCTTTGCCATTTCAAGAATGATACGGCTCCAATCTAACATAAGATACAATGATATGTATTGACAGACAGGCCTAGTTCTCTACGAATATGCTGCTTTGCTTTTTGTAGAGCAAAAAATTTGAAGATCTTGTTTTGTTTCATTGACGAAGAGACAATGATTTTTCAGTGTACATGTAGCAGCCCGCGGACGAGACTCGTTTTATCATTTCATCATTCACAATGACGTCATTCTTTGCCTAGAGTTACGATAAAATACTTGACTTAAAGTAGCGCTGGAAAGAGCTTACGAGGAATGTGTCCCTTTGAGGCAAAACCAAAACAATAAACAATATAAACTTGCCTTGGTCAGCACTCTGAGTGAGCCAACGTGCGGTCCATACATGTGATACCAAAAACTGAGACATTTGCCAGGTGCACTAAAAGCAGGGATTTCGGCACTTGTAAGCTGTGTCGTGTCATTAGGTTGTGCTGGGGAGGAGGCTTCGGCATAAACATAGGTTCCAGTGCCGTTCCCGTATGTATGGTCATAGTGGGGCCCAGTGCCAGCAGAAGCTGTGTTACCCTTGTGCTTGAGGAAGCGGAATCTTGCTGAACTGTTCGTCGTGTAGGTGCACCAACCCAACTCGAAGTTGCAGTCGAAACCAGTATTGCCTAAAATACGTTTGGATGCGTTACTGAAGCGATAACTGGGGATTGGTGTTATTTCCTATGTATGCTATATCATCAGTTAATATTTCGATACTACCATCAAGGTATAATCCTTTAACTATATCATAAGCAACCTAACAAAACATGTTGCTTTAGTTGGAGATATATACGTGAGGTATCTAGTTGTGGCATTCGATTTGCTGCACAGATCGGATGCATTTATAATTGGCTTAATTTATTGGTTGCACAGCGGAATCCCAAGTTTACGAATTAGGAAGGGACCAAGAAAAATAAAAGTAAATTCCTTACCGGCGGTAGGTCCTCTGGATGGTGTCACACTTGGTGTTGGCGCTGGCGTACTGACGCCAGGTGGCAAAGCAGCGTACGGGGTGAATGCGCAGGAGCCTTGAGTGAACTCGATGTCATCTACAGCAATGTCTCCACTGAAACTTGTGCCTCGAATTGCCTCGATCATAATCTAAACGAACAGAAGGTACACTGTCAGGGTCTAATTCGATCAAACTCTCATTACTGGGTGGCCTGTCTTTGAACATACCTGCAAACCGCTTTCAATAATATTTACTATTCGTCTATTTTATTCTTTGAAATTGATTAACCTAATATTTTCGGTCATTTGATGCAGAAGAGGCTATGACAAACTCTCGATCCTTACCTGGTAGTTTGTGTTGAATGTCAAGGGAATTCTCCCCTGCAGCCACGTGTTGCCTTGGTTTCCTTTCAGCTGCCATAGCAACCTTGTACCGGTTACTGTTGTGCCAACAAGTGTCTTCTGGAATATGTTCAATGTACCAATGGATGAACCATACATATGATACCAAAATGAAATGCATCTCCCCCCGCCAGTGGTAGCAGGGAACTCCATGCTTGTCAAAACAGCCTTGTCTCCTGTTCGCCGGGGGGCGGAACTCTCTATAAACGCGTAGTACCCTTCGAAAAGAAAATGACATCATAGAACAGCTGTGGATTCAAATGCCCGATCATTTGTTTCATAGCATTGATATCGATATTCTTAGTGAAATAGAGAATTGAAAGAATATGCTATCAAACTGTTGCATTTTTGTAAATGTTGTGACGTGGGACAGTTACAGTGTAAAAATGAGCCATGGCACAAAAAAGATTGAAAAGAACTGACCTAAACACATTTGTAGCGATGCATGAACAAAACTGACGATGCAACTACGTCATACAGAGATTCGGTCCATTCGTAGACGCACTGTTAATATACTACAGCAATTGTAGACTTTATTTATTTGAAGCGACAAATAGTAAAGCTCACCTGCACCAGTTCCTGTCGTGTGGTCAATCCTTGGTCCAGTAAGAAAGCTTGGCGTTCCACCTCTTCCTACTATCCAATCAAAATCATCCGCCTGTGAGTTGGTCCAAGAGCACGTGTCTCCATCTTCGAAATCACAATCTCCAGGGTTGGGACATGCACCATCTCTGATCTTGAAATCGTCAATTGCAATATCACCAGTGAAACTTGAGCCTTTCACAGCCTCGAAAACCATCTATAAACCCAAAGTTTTAAGAATTTTGAAAGAATTGAAAACCAAAGAGCTAGCGGTAAAACTTAAAAGTCGTCAAGCACAAAAAAGCATATGTACCATCTTCCCGGGGAAGAAATTCTAGCTCAAACAAAAGCAAAATTCATCATTCAAAATCTGTAGTTAGCTCAAAATCACCCACTTACGGATGGTTATCTTATGCTTAAATCTCAATACGAAATTCATCAAAGGGAACTCACTTTTATATATCGAACCTAACTTAGCGCCCTTTACTCGCATACAGGCCACGTGGCTTCGATTTCCTCATCTATGAGTCCGTCAGCTAACTGTATCCAAAGAGCGTTTATGGTCATTGACAATTTTTGTCAAAAAAATCATGTTTGGAAGTTTTGAGCTCAAGTTTAACGAAATCGAGTGGTATTTAATTTTCAAACGACCAGAAAAGAATTAACATATATGCGTGTATTTAAAAGCACAAAAACTGGAAGAATAGGCCTAAGTTACTAACCCTGTAATACGTTCTTCTCGTGACCTGGACTTGGGCCAAACGCCATGTGTCGTTTTGGTTGCCAGATTTACTAAACAACAACTGGTTGCTGAAGAAGGAGTACTTCACGTAAACATTCAGCTGTCCGACTGTATTGCCGTACATGTGATAATAGAATTGAACACACTTCTGTCCGTTGTTGTAGTAGTATGGTGTATTGATGATCGCCTTAGAGCCAGCAGGCAAGGTTGTGGAAGTTTCAAGGTACAAATAGTGACCTAAATTGGAAATGTCATGTAATTGAAAGCTTATCATGGCGAGAATATAACCAAGGCTTTTCTAATGGAAGTCTTTGTTATAATGTTAACAGAAAAATAAAAGCCACTTTGTCAATAAAAAAAAGGTCCTATAAAGACAAACGCTTTTAGGTGCCAGCAAATATCAACCTTCTTAAAACCTACCGAAACCGGTTCCATATGTGTGGTCGTTCCGGGGTCCGGTTCCAACACTAGCAGTGCTACCACTTGCTCTTTTCCAGTCAGAAGCGTCTGTTTTGCTGTTGACCCATCCACAGATATTAGCTGCCTCAAATGTACATATCCCTGGAACAGAGAAATGTCGTAAAAGAAAGTCGTCCAAAAGCACACAAGAGAGAAACGATTAGGAACAATGCTGTAGCTTCCGTTTAAGAAGGGTCTTTCCGGAACGAAAAATCAGCGATCAAAGGACGGGATTTCAGAAGAATTTCAAATTTGGAAGGACACATGAGAGAAGGAGCACTATGTCACAGAAGAAGGGTTCTTTTGCAAATGTTTATTAGAAATGAGTTGTTTGTTCTAAAAAATGTTGGGGTACGTATTCCTAATGTCCATCCCGGTTGCGACGTCCTTGGTTACATGGGCTTCAAACGCAAAAGTTTCGAATAGCAAATGAGGTTGAAATCAATCTTTCACATGACTATCAAAGGTGATTTAATCAACTGAATGTCACAAAAAACTTCCTTATCTGCTTTGAACATTTTTTGCTACATTATTCCTGTGATTTGGATCAGCTGTCACTTTCTACACTTATAAATCTCTTTGTAGCCTCATAAAAATATCATTGATAGAAAAGGGTTATGATTGATAGAAAAAAGGTTTGGATAACTGCAGTATCTTTAACATATACTGTTGTCAAAAAATAATAAGAGTCAACGACACCAACCTGATGATATGCAGTCTCCGTATTTCATATCAATATCGTCGATTGCAATATCACCCTTGAAATCTAATCCTCGTTTTCCTTCGAATACAATCTGAAAAAGAGGTTAAAACCGTTATCTTGAGCCAACGGACAAATGATTGAAATATCCCCAAAAACAAAGAAGTCAGCAAAAGTTGCTCTCACGCTTCATAACAGCAAACTATCCAATTGCGATGGACCTCTTAAAACGCAACACATTTTAGTAGTAGTAAAAAAGCATTTAACAGCATTCGTAGCTACGAAGAGACTTACTCCAGGTGAAATCTAACTTAAGTCTGGAAACTAACCAAAAAACCTAATTTACTGGAAAATTGCTTTCTAAAGTTTAAAATTACCATATCGTGGGTCGAATCGATTTAACATGAATATGACTTTCTAGTATATTACAGAACTATATGTCATAACTTAAGAAATTACCAATTTCAAAAGTTTGGTTCTTAATAATTGATGAAAAATCAGTTTTCTCTAATTCAGACGTCAACCAAAGCAGAATAAGCTTAAAAATGAAATTATTGGCAAAATCGAAGTACAATAAGAAGATAATTACCATTGAAGGTATGACAGAATTGACAGAACGATTTTAACGTTCCAATCACGTGGCTGCGATAAATTAACTTTGAAATCAAGAGGGCTATAGGTTACCTTTTAGTTTTTAAGTCCCACTACGTACAACTTTACATACATACAAACCCTATACAATAACACATAGCGACGAACAAGCTAAATAATGATACCAGAGTGACAAATTATCGTTTTCGTTTTAATATCAAGGATCAACCTAAGAAGATCCTTGCGTAACACTTACCTGGAAGGAATCACCAGTCTTGACCTGGACCTCGCCATAACGCCAGTTAGGCCCTTGCGTACCATTTCTAACCCACAGCGGGGCGTCATATCGGCCGTTCGACCTAGTGTATACTGACAAAGTATTGACGTGCGGTCCGTACATATGGTAGTAGAAACTGACGCATTGTGTAAGTACGGTGCCATTTCCGCGTACTACTGGACTGATTAGTCTGGCAGTGTCGTTTGGACGACGCGGAGCTGAGGTCTCAATGTACATATAGTAACCGTACCCTAGTGACAAAAGTATTTTTAAGAATACCACGAGATACTAAGCACTTTTTTAGAAGTTGCATATACAAGATTGACAGAAGTATCTATACACAGTACTCCAAATGCACTAAAGACTTTCACAGTCAATTACAGGGGTCTCACCTTGTCAAGAGACATATTTTTTAAATCTATTAAAAAGATTGAGCAAGGGATGACAAACAGCTTCAGCTCAAAATATTATTAAATGCAGGAACTACCATTTTCAAATGATTAAAAACCGGTTAGTGACGTAGCATAAAAGACTTGGCACAAAATAGTGGCCTTTCCTATTGAAGGTGGGCGAAATATAACTTGATTACCTAAGAGTCTTAGCATATTTATAACCCAATAAAGCAATATTTGAAGGATAAAGTTATGGCAAACGTTCTATAACTTTCTCCCTAAAAGTCCGGAAAATACATCGGGATGCGGATTAGCACTGAGTATAAGTGCACCGGATGAAATGTTTCACTTACAGTTGCCGAGAGTGTGATCATAGTTGGGGCCAGTTCCCGTAGAACTTGTCCGCCCACGGTATCTTCTCCAGTCAAATGAATCATCTGTTGTCTGGCGCCAGTTACACGTGTCCTGTTCGAAATTGCATCCCCATGGGGTAGCCTGTGTTGGCTGCAGTGGACAGGTTCCCTGGATCGCTTGCATGGAGATATCATCTAGAGCAATGTCACCCTGGTAGTCTGACCCTCGTATACCCTCAAATACGATCTAAAATTCAAAATAGTTACATTTGGTCAATCATTTATGTCGATAACTTAATGAACAAAGGTGATTTTATCATCTCACCACAACAAGAAATAATAGCCTCGTAGATTGAAATAAAACTGTCTAGTTTGGAAACTCCAGCACAAAAGACTGATGGTTAAGTAGAACCATTTCCTTGTTGAGCCTACGACAAAAACAATTTCAGCCGACAAGCTATGTATAAATATCAGCCAAGACTAAAAAACATCGTTGAGACTTCAATCACTAGTGTATTTCATTTCCTTTTCAAGCTACCCTAATCAACTGCTGTAACTATTCAGAACTCTGATATGAGAGTGGCTGTATATCTTCATTCGCAGATTCGAACTTTTAGTTTTGAATTTGTTTTCAAGTTGCTTATATTTGCATACATTCAATTATATATTAATGTAATTTATGCAGTTGAATTTGCTGATCTTAGATTAAATCATCTTATTCGCTGTGTCATTCTTTGTCTTTAAACCTTCAGACCATAAAAAAACTTTTGCTGGTCCCATTACTGTGGATTTTTAATTTTAATTATGCAGTAATGTAACAACCGTTGTATACTTCTTAATACAGTTGAGTAATAATGAGCTTCGTAAACAAAAGAGACATGAAAGGTAGAAAACCTGGAAATAAGTTATACAACGAGTGGATTCTGCACAAAGACTGGCGGAACGCACAAGAAATGACGCATCATATTTCAGTGGTGACAACCAAAATACACACCTGGAAATTTCGTCTTCCACTTTTAACCGGAATCTGGCCTTGCAACCAGCTCGATCCCTGTGCATCACTCAAACTCCAAAGAATGGAGGTCGAGATCCCAATTATCTTCAAATATACATTGAATGTTCCAATATGGGCACCTTGCATGTGATACCAGAAGCGTAAGCATGTACCGGTGCTGGAGCCCATGATGACCTCGCTTTCAACTCTTGCTGTCTCCTTTGGAAGTCGAGGCCATGATGTCTCTATGAACAGGAAACGACCTGGAAAACGAGCACAAGTATTGTCAGGCAGGCAGATTTGCGCTGTATAAGACACCATATTTGCACGATTAGTATTCCCATCATCAAATTCTGATTATTGTGAGCTTGGAATAATATCGTTTCATAGATTCGATCAGTGTACTCACCAGATTTCGTTCCCGTTGTGTGATCAACGCTTGGGCCTGTAAATTGGCTGGTAGTACCTCCAGAACCGATCAACCAATCAAATTCGTCTCCAGTTTTGACATTCATGTATGTGCACATCCCAGTCTCGAAAGCACAATTTCCTAGCAACAGGAATTCAGTAAGAATGTCAAAGTGCATGGCAACAATTCATATCTTATTTACAGATAGAAAATGTCTTGGAACGATAAAATAACAGGATATAATAGCTTTACCTGGTAATGGGCAAGCGCCATCTTTGATAAGGACGTCATCAATTGCTATGTCGCCAGAGTATGAAGTTCCAACAGAAGCTTCAAATATCATCTGAAGAGAAATTTCAATTAGTTGGCTTTAGGACTGTTTTACGTTCACATTCAAATCTTGGTTTTCTCCACACGATATTCAAAGCCGAGTGATTTGATTCAGGATTCAGGCGTAATAGGGTGAATAGAACGCCTTTCTGAAGTGAAAAGTGATCCAATACAAAATGCATACGATATAGCATTAAAGGACCTGAATAGAACAGAGGCCTTCGCTAAGAGGCTCATGTAAGGAATAATGCCGGATCATTATTGAATCTATGTATATAATCACTGACCTGATGGTTAACGGTGCTGGCAATAGTAACTTGCGCAATACGCCAGATGTTCCCTTGGCTTCCACTAAGGGAGTACAATGGAGTTGACCGCGACCCGTTTGAGTACGTAAGAACATTCAGGGTTCCGACGTTGTATCCATACATATGGTACCAGAACTGTAAGCAACGACCGGTTGATGGAGTGAATACCGGACTGCGCAGCCAAGCCTTATGTCCCTTAGAACGTGGAGCAGAAGCCTCTATGTACACATAGTAACCTGAAAGAGAATTGTCTTTCTTAGATCACGCGAATGGCGGTGGCTTGCAACTGGCAATGGAGCCACGAGATTGAGTTAACATTCAAAGGAATAATTCTATGCAATAAATACATTAAAAACAGAAGTTGTCTTTGCTTTGCTTTGTAAACAAATCTTTAGCCCTTGGTGTTATATCTGCAGCCATGTATCAGCCTTAGGGCCTCTTTTCAATACCTGAAAGCGATTATCAGATAGAAAAGAGACGTCGTATTTGAAAAGAGAAGGGAATTTTTTCCTAAGTGTGCTAAGTAAATGAATAGGGAGGCCAAGCCCTGCCTTCGTAGACAAAGTACAAAAAATGTTAAAACTTAAAAAACAATATCAGAAAACTTATATCACTTTTATAAAATCAGAAATAAGTATATCACTTGTATAAACACGTAAATATGTTTATATATTATTGAGGTGCAATTTGCCGTGCATAGGGCTCTCTCTTCTCACCTTGACTGGTTCCATATGTGTGATCCGCACTCGGTCCAGTACCGACACTGGCAGTTGATCCGGATGCCCGGGACCAATCGAAATTATCTCCGTGAACATTTGTCCAGCCACAAAGGTTTGTATCCTCAAAAGTGCATTCCGCTGAAAATCAACAAATATGATATCAAGATGAAACATCAAACAGATGCGAAATAAGCAATGTCATTCAATCCTGAACAAATCCAAAAGGAACGACCGAAAAATACTTTATCATAACTATTTTTCAACTCTTTATCTTGAGTTGGTGTGTACAAAATAGCTACAAGACTAATTAAAACATGATATAGTTTTGTAAGTCGAATCAGAGTCCAATGAAAAGACAACATATAATTAAATTAAACCATTTTTGGTTCATATTAATAGCAGCATTTAAGGCCCGTAGGCCAATATAGACGACAGTATATACCAACTTACCTTGAGGTGGGCAGCTTCCGTCATTCAAGGATATATCATCCAGGGCGATGTCACCTCGGTAGCTAGCTCCTCTTGTCGCTTCAAAAACAATCTAAAACAGAATGATGAATTCAAAGATTTCTGAAAATCGCCTTTCCACTGTCACTTACAGGCATGGCAAAGTGATTGCGGTCCATAGAATCCTCAGAATTTTGCAAGGTAAATTAAATTTCAATTTTAGGATACAGGTGTAAAAATACAGTAAATAGTAAAAAAATATAAAATAAAAATAATAGTAACACACAAAAAGAGTTTTGTTGTTTATGAATTTACGTGCCAGTGTGATTCTGGCTACGTAGGACGCACTACCCAAAGAGTGGGGGATAGAATAAAACAGCATGTTCCGTCTAGCATTAGAAACAAAACTCATCCCTAAAGAGAGCAGCCACCTCGGTCTTGCAGATCTAAAAGTACAACTAAGACATGCGATTCTGCTATCGGGCAGCATTTATTGGAAAACCCAGATTGTGCTATAAAGGCGATATGTTTCGGATTATTGGTAAAGCCCGATCATCATTCCACCTAGCAGTTTTGGAATCTATCTACATTAGCACGAAAAAACCGCTATTGTGTAGACAGAAAGAGTTCGTTTTCACCTTAGGACTCCATTGGTAACATTCTCAAAAGGCAAGCGGCACTGATTGGTCAACCTCAACAGTCATGTGTTCGTGTTTCTGATTGGCCTAGTCCGATCCACAACTGGGTATATGTTTCCTAGAGTAGAGTTTTCGATCTATGTTCTGACGTTTTAAAATTTTAAGAGTGTCAGATGACAAGCTTTAGTTTTCTCAAATGTTCTTTTTCAAAGCCATTTTAAAAGATATACTGTAATACACATGACCCACAAAAAGCATGGACATATCGAGCTCGGGTTATTAGCAAAAAGGAACAATTAAAGCAAAACAGAAATAATTTTTAAATAATACATAGCAGAAGTAATAAATTCAAAACAGGTCTGTAAGAGCATAAACTTTTCATCAAGACGCGTGTTAGTTGTTAAGACACTGCAATTAATATACAACGAACTTGCTTTCGGTGTACGGAACAGGAAGGTTTTAAGTTGCTATTCGTTGGTTCATGATTAATCTGACTATCAGGCAACTCGGTTCACCAAAAGCATGCATTGTTTTGCCTATACGGCATCGAACGCTTTGTAACGGATAGGTAAACAGTAATTTTCACGATATAACTAGCTTGTGGAAAGTTAAACTATTATAACTTGCTCAAATTGACTGTTTTAAATTATTTAAAGAAAACAACATGTCGTAAGCATGAAAGTTAATTTTTATTCATTCATGACATCCTTAAGAGCAACATGGTATGACTTTCTTGATAATAGATTTCAACCAAGCCTAAGAGTACAACAAAGACGTAAAACGTACCTGGAACATTTGACTGGACACGATATTGAGTAAGCCATGACGCCATCTGTTGCCTTGGGTACCACGCTTCTGCCATAATTTAGTCATACTAGAGCCAGTCTTCATGTAGATAGTCAGGTTATCAACGTGATCTCCATACATGTGATACCAGAACTGGAGACATTTTCTATTGGTTGACGGCACTCTCTGACTAACCAATCGAGCAGTATCATTAGGCACACGTGGGTAGGATGTCTCAATAAAGATATACCATCCGCTTGCTAAAAGTAACCCAAGGAAGACACAATCAGCATAAATTAACCGATTAATCAAACAATCAAATTCGCAATTAACCAAAATAATCCCAGAGAAATTATTTCGAGATATAGCCTTCTAGTAAATCAGCTGCAAACTCTAAAATCAGTTGTATTCGACAAGAAGCCCATATTTCAGAATATCTTTGATTGCGGCGTTGTTGTTTAATCTATTTTTGGTCGAAAAACTTGCATATTTTTGACAATAATTTAAAAAAAGAGAGAGGGAAACCAAATATTCTGTTTTGGAATTTCAGACAAGAAGCATTAAATTCCAACTTGCAGAGTATGGCAAGTAGGCAGATTACTAAAAAATACTAAAAAATTGAACAAAATTCAGGGGCCATGATTTTCAAACTTTCGCTGTCTTTTCACCTAGATTGGACCGTTTAAAGGAATAACTAATTGTCTCTAATAACCAAATAATTTTTTGGTGGCACAAAACTTGAATTTTCGATCCATGTTCTGACGTTTTAAACACTGAAGATTGTCATACGAAAAGCTTTTGTTTACTAAATGTTTCCTTTTTTCAAAGCCATTTTCAAATAATTTTATCCTTAAAATTTTTGACTGCCACGAACATACTTGTTGTCTACGTGATGTTGAAACAGGAATTGAACAAAGACATATGTAATTTATTTAACGTCGAGGGATCACAGAAAGTAATGGCCGAATAACCTGTTCCGGTGGTATGGTCATTCTGTGGTCCCGTTAATCCTGATCCAGTAGAGCCCTGGTGTCTGGTCCAGTTAAAATGACCAGTTGGATCATCTGCCCAAGAGCATTTGTCTTTGGTGAAATTACAATTCCATGGTGATGGTGCTACAAAAAAGTCAAGCAGAAGGAAATTAGTGACCAACAATCTTGAACAATCCAAAACAATCCTCGAACGAACATTAACACGATCCAAAAAAACAATCTGTAATTATGATCTTTAATTATACAAGACATACTGGGGTGTGGATTGGAAGTTCTTTGAGCTGGAAGACAGAGGCAACATATATAAAAAGGGGTAAAGTTTGCACACCAGCACGACAGTCTGCATATAAAACAGGCTTTTCATGAAAAGCTTCAACAGCTAATCATACATTTGACAATACATGGTCATGACGTCATATTTTACTATCATATCACCGATAATTCAACGGAGTGCATTACAGCAAGAGAAACGACACAAAGGGTTACTTTTTTGAAGTACCTGGTGTGGGAGGTCTGGTTGAAGCTGGAGTGCTTGGTGCTTTGGTGGTTGGTGCAACTGGAACGGAGTTGGCTGGAAGATTTCCGCATGCGAAGTTTGTGAACTCGATGTCATCAAGAGCGATATCTCCTTGAAAGCCATTGCCACGTACACCCTCGAAAATCATCTGCAAACGGTGGGGAAAAGAGTCTCAATAGTCGCTTTTAATGATAAAATTTTTTAAGTTACACGATGATACTACTTTGAGAAAAATGGTTTCAGGTTAAGTGTCGGTCTCGCATGAGTGGCCACAAACTGTCTAAGGCAGTTCGAAGCACTGCTAAAGACATGAAATGACTTCTGGGTAACTGATCAGGCCAATGTGTTCATATCACATACCGGGTATGGTCACTTTTCAATATTCGCTCTGGAAATAAATGATATGGTATGTGGGGTACACTACAACATTGGTGCATTTTTCTGTAAAGATGACCGGGTCCACCGTCTTTCCCGCTGGCAATTTCATTGATAAAAAATAATAATTGTCTGCTCAATACTATTTGGCATAAACCTGTCAAATTTGAATAACGTTGTGATCAACTTTGATAAATACTTTGGTCTGCTTTCATTTATTATTACCAGTTTCCTATTCTACCGAGTCTATTTATGTCTTTCGACTGACCTGGTAATCCACATTCGATCTAATTGGAGCCTGTCCATACATCCAGTTATTCCCTTGCTGGCCGGTTAACGACCACACAGGGATCTTTGTTCCGTTTTGCGTCATCAAGTTGACATTGAGCGTACCAATATTTCCCCCCATCATGTGGTACCAGAACTTGATGCAGCGTCCGCGAAGACTTGTTGGAAGGAACATTTCAGACATGAGGTACGCAACATCTCCTACCTTTCGTGGAGAAGATGTCTCGATGAACATGTAATAACCTGAAATAAATACCAGAGCATATACATCTTTAGTGAACCTGGTCTATCATCTCAAAAGTTTAGTATTTCCGAAACCAGCCTAAACTCCAGACGCTGTCGCACTCTAAAGCGAAACTTTGAACCATTGGTAAGAGTGTATCCTGCTGATATCACAAGAAACAGAATTTGAAAGTAACCTAAACCTTTATATTTGCAATACGTTTCTATATACCTGCCGCTGTCCCAGTGGTGTGGTCAACAGACGGTCCAGTGAAGGCACTGGGCGTGCCTTGAGTTCCCCTTAGCCAATCAAAATCATCTCCTGTTTGGGCGTTAACCCAGGTGCAAGTACCAGTCTCAAAATCACAATGACCTGAGAAAAGTAAAGGAATAATAAATTGTTTGTGGATAATAGCTACTTCAAAAAAAGACCCCATAGAATCTGGGCATTATTATTTATTACTCGCAACTAAATTCCAAGTTATAATTGAATACACGACAAAAAGTCAATGAAATTTAGAGGTTGAGACGATATCAGTTATGCGCAACAGAGATGAAAATCACCGTGCAAGCAGCATAATTACATAGAGAGGTGGGAAGAATGGAGGTTGGATATTACCGTGTATGATTATGGAAGTAAAGCGTAATTATGTGGACATAGAATAGTTATGAGCTCTGGCATATAATCGAATATATTTAAACCTCTAAACATTGGACACCATGTCCTATCTTTCGTGGACCAGAATTGTCTATTACAGAGGATTTATACTTTAATTTTGCCAAGGTTGTTTCTCTACAATTTTAATTTATTGTGGGACAAAACAATTTTTTTCTGTTATTAGTGAAGTGCTCATTTATTAAGGTCTAAAGAAAATTTTGCAGCGAGGAGAAGAAGTTCCAAATAGGTTTAACAAGCCAAATCTGAAATGTCAAATATGAAAATGCCAAAATAATATTTGAACAATTCCAGGAAAACCTACCTGGTGGTGGGCAATTTCCTGGAATCATCTTGATGTCGTCAATCGCTATATCCCCCGAAAAGCCACTTCCGCGAACACCTTCAAACGTTACTTGGCGACCAGCACCCGCACTGACAGTTACCCTGGCGATTTTCCATGTGCCACCATGGTTGCCACTTTGGCTCCATACAATACTTCGAACACTGCCAACACCAGTTGACTTGAAAAAGAAGCGCATTTTTTAAAACAAGTTCAAAACCTCTGGTGAGGAGTTACCCTTTAACCAATGATGAACTTTATTTCTGAATGCATTGAATGTTTTAAAAGCAAACATAAATAAATGAATTCAGGAAAGTATAGCAAGTAAAGTTAAATAAAATAAAGTAAAGTAAAAACAAAATTGTAACGCAAAGCACAGTAAAAAGTTAAAAATCAAAAAGTAAAATTACAGAAAATTTTCATCCCTTTTTCACATTACCATAAAATGCAGTAATAAATCTTTTTGGCAAATAATGAGAATCACCAAAGGGTGAGTGTCTTTATTGTTTAGAGAGCAATAATCTCTTTAACACTTGGGATGTTGAGTGAATCGAACACTGCAGGCCCGCACTATTTGAACTATTACCGTATTCATGCATACCTGCCGATAAACGTTGAGAGTTCCAACATGAATTCCCTGCATATGATACCAAAATTCAAGACAGAAGGCGTCATTAGTGCTGACAACTGGAGACACCATTCTTGCCTTGTCTCCAGGTCTTCTAAGGCCAGACATTTCCGTGTAGATATAATAACCTGTTTATAAAAAGAGAATGGATGACAAATGCATATCTAGGCTTTCCATGGTTTCGTATGAGTTTGTCGGGTTGTGAACGGAATTAGTTCTTCATATTTGGTTCTTCAGTTGATGTGACAGAAAGACAAAACATAACTTGCGACTTTTGGAAAATTAGCATTAAAATTTCACGGCAGTTTTGTGCAGTACCAGTAAAAACACTCAAACGTGTGTGTCCAAGTTTCAATTTTTTGCGTTGCCCCTCCAACGTTTAGGTATTCTGTTAGTCCTGGCATAAACTAGTTCGCAGTTAAAAAACTTCGTCAGGTCGACGCATCGTAGTGTATGAAAAAGAAATTAAAAATGACTTGTATATTCTTGACAAAGCAACTATCATTACATATTTGGCATTTTTATACAGTATAAAAACGATGACTCGAACTACGTAATAAACGAGAAAACAATACCTTGATTTGTTTGCAGTGTGTGATCAACACTGGGCCCAGTTCCGATGCTTGGGGTACTACCCTTCTGTCTAGTCCAATCAAAATCATCGGTAGAATCTTGGGTGAAACCGCATAAGCCATGCTCCCAATCACATTCAGCTGTAAAAAGAATATTCATTTTAAGTTCTTAATCCCATGAAAATTTAAAAAGATCAAGCTTTGATAAAAACAACATCGCTTTTCATTCAAGGCATGAAAAACAGCCATGGCTTTCGAGACATATTTCCAACTTGCCTCTGCATTAACATTATCTTCTATAGCGCATTTACAGGATTAAAGAACATGATATTTCTTTGGTGGTCGTACATCTAGAAATGCGGTTGGGTCACAGTGTAATGAAACGAAAATCCACACGATACGATGGACGAGATACCCAGTGACAAGAAAACCCTTAGTGCTACACGACCTTAGGGTACTAAGACTCACTTGGTGTTGGACAAACGCCAGGAGAGACATCAAGGTCATCAAGGGCAATGTCACCACTAAAGCTTGTGCCACGAACGCCTTCAAACACGACCTAGCAAGAACAAAACAGGAAAAAGTTAAATTCACTATTTGATTTTTGTTACCGCTTACTGTTAAAATTCTAAACAGCCTTTTAAAAGCATCTGTGCACAAAAATTCAAAGATTTTATCCTACTGATGCAAAGAAGGAGTCGAAATGAAACTCAGTGACTTGAGCCACCGAGTCTAGTTGTAAACATGGCTTCTAAAAGACAAAATGATGGAGTCTAAAGGGCACGCATATCGCATACCATGCAAATTAACAGACCTGGTATTGCACATTGCTATTCAGAGTCACTTGGCCATATCTCCATATGTTACCATTGTTTCCAACTCGTTTCCATGCCAGCTGTAGTACATTACCGACTTTTTTGTAAACATTCAAGGCATTTACATGCGGACCATACATATGGAACCAGAACTTGACACAATGACCCATACGACCGTCAGGTGGAATTGTGGGGCTCAGCAACCGCGCCGTGTCGTTTGGTCTTCTTGGCGACGAAGTTTCAATGTAAATATAATAACCAGAGCCTTAAATAGGAAAGGTGTCTCTTGTCAAGCTATAATTTAGGAAACCATAGAGAAAGCTGACTAGAAAAGACAACTGGAGGGATGACGAAAGCCACGAGAAGTCGGTTATTCGGAGGCTTCCAAAAGAATCTACTGAAACAAATTTCGTTATCATTTCTGTTGTCCCGTCCTTAAATACAGTTGTCCCGTCAAGCTGACTATTATCTATTATCGGTTAAGTAACCAGGCTGATTATTGCCTAGCAAATATTTAGCAGATTTGAATGCCTCCTTCAGAATAAGCTACCCGTCAATTGCCTGCCAGTACTCAAATGATTTTAACATGTTACACAACTCAAAGGAATGCCTGAGCATCGAATAACCCTTCCAATCGGTGGCGAACACCTGGGGGCGAGGGGGGCAACCGCCCCCAATACTTTAGAGGACAACGGTCTTCTGTTCCAAAACAATGGGAAACGTGACGTCATCTTATTAAAACGATAGACTTGCCCCCTCCCCAATATTTGACCAAGAATCCGCCCCTGCCATCAGCCAAGAGAAGGTGATTTTTAGTGGACGTGTAAAAACCTTTGAAAACTGGCATCAATCCGCCACTCCCGTCAGCCAAGAAAAGGTTATTTTTAGGGAACGTGAAAAAACCTTGAAAAACTGGAATCCACCAATCGGATCTATAAATACGTAAGGTATGCTTACTATTTTTCATGGTATGATCAGTGCTGGGGCCAGTGTCCGAGGATGAAGTTGAACGGATGTGCCTTGTCCAGTTGAAGTTTGCTGTGGCATCTCGAGTCCAGGAGCAGAAGTCTTTTTGGAAGTCACATGAGTATACAGACGGTCCTAAAACGGATAATGGTAAGTGCAACAACAACAAAAATGGCAGCTTGCGAAACCGCCTTTCGGACGCGTTTTGAGAATATCACTGAAGTTTTTGGGTGCAATTCAAATATCGCGCGATTCAGTTCAATGTATTTCTGTTTCTTGAAAGTATTGTTGCACATAAACAGTTATATTTGTCAAGGTAAATGCTTGAATAAGCCAGGAAAGATTGACAAATACAGCAAAACGGCTGGACATCTTGGCATGCATTTCATGATAAACAAGAGCGATGCTGGCAAACATGGCCTTCAGTTATTTCGGTGCATTCTTCTGTCCTTATTTTGACAAAGATATAGAACAGTGAAAATGACAACACAGATTTTTCAAAAAGCAGCGAGTTTCATAAAGCTAAAATATAATCTTGTCAAAGCATGGGTCGTCCCGCTGCACAACAATGAATTGCATCGAATGCTGGTGTCATGCAGGCATGATCAAATTTGTCAACTAGTCAAAAAGTGTTGTACTCTAGTACTGGCTTGGTATTTTATTGTACCCTCTGATTGTGTCGTATAAAAATAAGGACAAATCTTAATCTCTGACATTATTTGACAAAAGCATTTTCATGGCAGCTACGTTTAAAAACTCTCGGGACGCGTATCTGGGACATATTATTCAACAGTACTACGAATAACATAACTGAAATTGGATCGGGAAGGCTTCACTACCAAAATGTAAAAAATACAATCACTGTTAACTATTTAATTCTTACTCGGCGTTGGTGGCCTCGAAGTAGTTGGTGGAGAGGTTGTCGGCGGCATCGGTACGGCGTTAGCTGGCATGATCGAGCAGCTTCCAACAGTATAAGAAATGTCATCAATAGCAATATCACCAGCGTATCCATTTCCTCTTATTCCCTCAAATACCATCTAGAAAAATCGAAAATCGCGATATCAATATGCGAACCACGAATGGCAGGCCCTTATAAAGGCTTGATTCATCCTATTCATATTCAGCATAAGATTTCTGCTACATCAGGTGACAAGGCGGGTATGGGCGACTGCTGTTCAGAGTCTCTATTCAAATAATCTATTCAGATCTGTTTAGAGTCTTCATTAGGACATGTTCGTAAAAGTCTCTATTCAACACCCTTTCTCCTTTTAACATCTCTCTATTCAACAATCCAGGATAAAAGGAGTTATTGTTTGAAAGTATATGATCATTACATAATTTATTTATTCAAGATATGCAGAACGGTTCAATTAATCCCCGTCCAATTCAAAAGATCTGAAAATTTCTGATAAAACTTTTCATTGTAAATAACAAAATACCTTTATTTCTCCAACAATTTATCAACGCCAAAACAATTGAAATTGGGTGGGGGGGGAATCATGTCATTGCATGGATGGGGCTGGGGGCGCTAGAAACACATAAATAAATTTCACATTGGGCTCCCAGTTTCATTAAACAAAAACGCCTGTTAAAACATGAGATACCGATTAGCCCAACAAAAAAGCCCAACAAAAAAGGGAAAAGAATCTGCAGGAAGAGAGTTGAAATTACAGGTTACCTGGAAATCTTGGGTGCTTTGGATTGGGACAGCACCGTACCTCCAGGTTTGTTGCTTATTTCCTGACAATGACCAAATCACTTTCTCCGAGGTTGTCAGATTGCCAGCCTTGTATTTCATTAAAACATTCAAAGTTCCAATGCTTGCGCCGAACATGTGGTACCAAAACCTCAAGCAACGATTCGCGGTTGTGAGCGGGAATCTCTCGCTTATAAAGCGTGCCTTGTCTCCTTGCTTTCGAGGTGCCGATGATTCAATATATGCATATGTTCCTAAAAATGCAACAGATACTTACTGAAACGTAAAGCTTTAGACATTTCGTAAAGAAACTTAGTAAGAATTATCGGGCTGGAGTTTTATTTTTATCTTGCATTTTAACCAGCGTGTTTAGAAGATTGCACTAAAATTATCACAAAACTATAGCCAACGAAAATAACCTTATTCGACGAAGATACGTTATTCGGAAAATAAAAAATTAAATATATATGAAAAAGGATAAAATTTCAATTGGGCTTCGGAAAATCGAAAAAGCTGTACAAACCTAAAGAAAAATTTACTCTTGAAGAAATCCATTGCCACAAAACAACCTCTTAAATGTTGTAATCTTATTTTAAATCGAATATATTAATTTAAGCTACACAACCGTAACTTGTCTAATTCAATTATTTACAAAATATACAAATTAAATTAACAATTTTTAAAAGTTTTTAAATACAAATTTACAATAAAATCATCAAGTTTTGCATACGTTTCATGTACAGGTTGCCCCGTCCCAGTTTTTAATTAATCTTTTGAATTGGATCAGATTTTCTGCAGATTTTATTTCCTGTGGTAAGCCATTCCCAATTCTTAAACACACTGAACCTCTTAAATTTGTACAAAACAACATTGTTCGGAGGGGGAGAGGGTGCAAAATGAAATACTCAACAATTTAGTGTAGTGTACCAAGACTTTTGGATGGCATTGTACATTTCAACAGCCTACTGTAAATAAATTGATAATAATAAAAATCGTCATTAAACGCTACTTGAAGGTGATCCTTAATAGTGGTTCAACTGTACGGGATTTACTACCTACCTAAGCTATTTAATACAAAAAATTTCTTATCAGTAAAAAATAACTGAAAGTCCTACCATCGCCATTCCGTTTAGTGTGATCAGCTGAAGGCCCAGTGGTCCCAGAGGGAGTTGATCCTTTGCTTATTATCCAATCAAAATCGTCCTCTTGGGCAGTGTTGGTCCACGTGCAGCGGTCGTTCTCAAAATCACAAGAGGCTACAAAAAATTTCAAAATGTCACTTAATAAAAAATTTAAAAAGATGATCCTACAACTTGCGAATTCTATTAAGGTATCGAATGTCGTAAAATGGCTGCCTAGGTAGATTTTCTCTTACTACATACATCTCAATAAATTTCCTGGTGTTTACGTCCAAAGAGGCATTCTGTCCTAGGCTTACTGCAAATCTCTCCCATTATAGCACAACAGTAAAGACGAAAGCAAAGAAAGTTAATACAGCTTCAAGCTACAATTCAGCATTTTATCATTTCCTAAAGTATCACTTTCTGATTGATTAGCACCTCGCTGCCATTTATTTTACTTCTAAAAAATCAGTTGCTGTTGATGCCTTTAAGATGCATAATAATATACTTGTTAAATCCACGCTAATTCAAGAATGGCATTTTTCAATTCCAACGTTTATTACCTACTAAGTACCTAATGGATAAGTACCTCTTGACAATTTTTTAAAGAGAGTTCAGCCATCCTCGGCACCATTTTAATGCAAACAGAAATTTAGGTATAGCATCAAAAATTCGCAGTCGAGACCCGCTACCAAGAAAAACCATAAATTGTCCAAATTTATCGGTTTATGACACTGTCGCAATTATTCTCCTTTCAAATCTTGAGCTATTCAAAGGACAATCAAATGCTGACCAATTCACTTATATGCACGAATCAAACATTATGCTTGCATCTCATCTGCAAATTGAGCAAGTTCCACTGTCAAGTTTTAGATAAACAAAACAAAATCTAAGACAAAATGATCTACGAAATGATACAGTTACACGTACCAGGTTGGTTGCAAGCTCCGTCAAGCATTTTGATGTCATCAATGGCGATATCGCCTGTATAGCTTGTGCCACGCACACCCTCAAAAATGATCTAAGAAGAAAAGTTGAAGTTACCTTACTCCAATGCAAATTGGCTAAATCTAGAGGAGACTTGGTGAAAAGATGAACTTTCCTTGGATAAAGAGCACGGAAAGAAAGCTAAAATAAAATGACACTAGCTCCATAAAAAACGCAAGCATAAAACCAAATAGAAAGCCTACGGGAGCATAAAACCAAAAACATAAAAAATACAATAAAAAACCGAAAATCATATATATATATATATAAATTTATATAATATATGAAAACGTTATTGGCAAATGAACTTACATTAAACGAACTCGTTGTTGTTATTGAGACTTGACCAATGAGCCATTGATTACCCTGGTTACGACGTCTAGTCCACATAGAACTGCCTGGATACGAAGACCCAGTTTTGAGATACACATTCAGCGTACCAATCGAGTTCCCATACATGTGATACCAGAACTGAAGGCATTTACCCCCGGTTCTGGAGGCAGGATCGTATTGAGGACTCATCAGATACGCATTAGCTCCAGTGGGAATCCAACCAGAAGTTTCTATGAACATATAGTATCCTGAAAGGAAAATTTGAATTTCCATAAATTAATATTGGTGCCCATTTTACTGTGCCGTGGGTATCACACAATTATGCTTATTTTCAGAAAATCACCTGGGCCACAGCACAAGATTATTAACTTTCAAGCTTCACAAGCCAAAAGTACTAACAACATCCCGTTGAAGTTATACAATAAACAGCAACGATAAAGTATGGACCAATTCTTCCACAACCACCAGTATTATAGTTTTTGTAGTCAAGATATTTTCTGATTAATTACGAGGCATTTTCACGAACTATCGCTGAAAGCTCGGGCAGAAGAAACGCTTCGAAAAACGCCGAAGTAGTGTTATTTGATTTGCGCCGTTGTCCTTCCCAAACAGTCAGTAAAGGCAATACCTTTATCATTTCCATAAGTGTGATCGCTAGCTGGCCCAGTACCATCGCTGGCAGTTCTGCCTGTCGCTCGGCTCCAATCAATACGATCTCTGCCTCTTACATTCATCCATCCGCACAAAGGTGGGTTCGTTTCCTCAAATGTGCATTCCACTGAAATACAAAATCATTTTGTTTACGAAAAAACAACTTCGCAAGAAGGAACTTCACAGAGCCACAAAGGTTCCACACAGGGGCGGCGTGGGGTGGTATTAAAGGTATTAGTCTAATACCATTTTATTTTCAAAGGAAGGCGACTTTGGGTCTCTGAGATTGCAGGAAATTTATTTTGCCTTTTGTACGCTGCCACTTTTTCACAACAATTTTATCGATGCGACCAGCTCTATTCATATAGCCAAGCTATATTTGCTTTTCTGTTCGTTGAATGAAAGCTTTCCTAATCCTCATTGAAATCATTGAAAAGTGTAATCAATGCCGTAATCAGCAGCCCTGGCCATGGTATTAGCCTCCAAAAACTAATACACTGCCCCGAAATTTCTTTTGTGTGTTGTGGTCTGCATGACGTGAATTTCTCTTGTTGAGCCATGGTAGAAGAATGGGTGAACAGCAGTAAGGTATTAGTTTTTCATTTCTAATACTACGAGGGCCACTGTCAGTGGAAGGGACGGTGGAAAGAGCCCCAGCTCTATTCTAAGGCCTCAGCTTATAGAAAAAATATTTCTGGAAATTAACTTTATGAATTTACAAAATGTAGCTGTACTTTGCTAGCAATGCCTTTGGATGGATAATTTGATTGACAAAATTTAGACACTGAATATAAAGAGCAACAGTCATGAAATAATTTGTTTAAGCTAAAGGCAGTTGTAAAAGTTGTTTTGTATGAACTGTATGTTTTGTAAAACTTTGATTCTATATGATTGTAGAGTCACAGGCAACATTCTCACATTATTTCTCTCGGTTTCTCAAATCAAATGATACATCTTACGTTTTTTTGCTGCATTTCTCTAAAGTAAATCGCTCGCTTTATCGTAATAGAATCTCATTCGCGGGCCAAAAGCCTCATGGTATTAGAATTAATGGGCTAATACCTTGGGGCTCCATTACTGGGCAGCAAACCGCTGTATCAAAACACGATTTCGCTCGAGTAATTTGCCGCAGCCATAATTCATTTGTATTTCGTAGGACCGATCCTTCACCCAAAACTAGTAGGATGAACTACATTACCACAGGTTCATCAGTGTCTGGGGGGAGACAACGGGGGCCAGTGCCTTCAAATAATTTGGTAAGATATGGTATTGCCAAAAGCTATTTTAAACCATCATATCGAAAAGGTCATTTTGCCCACCTTCTTAAATAAGAACATATAAGCTCCACCCCTGTTAAATAGTTTCAGGATCTAGGGAGGGGAACTTCTTATGTCTTAATTTCGGAGGCTAATACCAATATTTTTCTACTCCCAGCCGCCCCTGGTTCCACAGTAGTCGAAATCACCGAGCTCAGACAGATATATACTGCTTCAATTTTTTATAATTAAACTGTTCTTTCTAACAAACGCCAGGCAAATATTGCAGGACATTCATTGACGAAAGGCTTAATCTAATGACAAATTTTCAGAATAAATCAAGGTTTTGGAACAAGGCAGGCGGACGAGGGCCTTTTGGATAATTGCATTTCACCAATGAAAAAATAACTGAAATCTGTGTGTAGTAGACAGTGAAAAGAATACGTGAAACATCTAAACACTTTCATGTTTATTTCAGTGAAATTTTCAGATGGTAACCTAGAATCTATTTGTTGATATGTGAGGTGATCGTAGTCCTGTCATTTATTCAAACCAACATTCCCCTAACCTATCCCTTTACCTTTTTCATTTTTCGATCTTGTCCCTTTCAACCTTGTCCCTTCCTACCTTTCTCTATATTCTCTCACATTTCACACTATTTCTTAGCCTACTCTGCCCTTGATCTTTCTCCTAAATTTCCTTTTCCATCCTTTCTGCTAAACGTTCTGTAACGTTATTCGTACATATATATACAAATGAACATGAGTCTTCATTCTTTATAGATTCACGTGGTTTCTTACAACTCACGTGAAATCTCAACAGAAGTAGCTTCACTTAATACAAAACTGAAGTGGAACCTTAATAGAAGAATCTACACTTCAATAGAATCTAATGGCCTCGAGGAATAGAACTCACGTGGTGCGGGGCAGGTTGGAGTGACTGAGACGTCATCTATTGCAATATCTCCTTGGTAGCCATTACCACGTACAGCTTCAAACACGATCTAAAAAACATTAATTGTGCCAAAATCAACTTCAAACAAATTCAAGGTTAACAAACACAGGAAAACATGGTCATGAACTCTGAACATAAAAATTTATAATATAAATATAATTTGTTATAGATCAATAAAAAATTTGCAGCAAATATACGGCACTGAATCCTTCTGTATCATGCAACTCACAATTGTATGTAACTTAGTAGAAAAAAACCTTTAAAGCGATGGTTAGGGCATTGTTTCGTATCAGAAGTAGCTTCAAAGTTCCAAAAATTTACAAAATAATAAAGTTGTATATTTTGAAAAATACGGTATTCAGCATTCAGAAAACTCTAAATACTTGTGGTAAGAATTCTAGCTAGGATAAACCAACCTTGAATGGTGGGTTTTGATTCATTGAAACATGAGCTGCCTTCCAAACATCACCATGTGTTCCAAACTTGGACCAGACCGGTCGTGACAGATTCGCAGTATTTGTTTCAAGGTACACATTCAGTTGATTGACATGAGCTCCATACATGTGGTACCAGAAGTTCAAGCATTGTCCCTTAGTTGTGATTAGATTTGAAGACATCAACCTTGCGGTGTCATTTGGTTGTCTTGGTGCTGAAGACTCAATGAAGGCGTACCAACCCAGTGCTGTAGTATGGGGCATTAGCAGATTAGAAACAGTTTTGAAACGACAATAATTACGTATATAGACGTCTGTCATGAGATGATTTAAAAAAGGAGTTCTATTAGAGCTTCAAATGACTGCGAAAAAAGTTCTCAAAAACTCCACCAACATTTAAAATACTTAAATTTTTCATATTGAGTTATCTAAAGTACCACCTGCCTAAGAACTAAAAGTGAATAGATACAAATGATGACGAAAAACGTACTTGGAAGCCATGAAAATTTCTGTCTGAATTGCCCACAAAACGTCATAAGAACCAGCTTGTTGTTGTTAGGAGGATTCGAGTAGCCCCCCTTCGCCATTACACATTTCCCACTCTGAATGTGCTGCAAAGACCCTTGTGCGGTTATACGCCAGGTATCTGCTCCACAGGAGTCGCTGATACCGATCTGTCAACAAAGAAGACGTTGATAACTCTCCTGGAAAGGACTTGAATTTATTTCACTAAACTAACGGTAGCAAAGGTTTCCTTAGACTGTTAAATGGCAGTTTCAAATTCACCGTACACCTGTATCAACAAATCCACTCAACCAGAAGACGTCTTAGCTCAAAACAAACATGGGCATCAAACTTGAATAGCCTCTTGAAACGGACTCTTACAAAAAATATTCCGAATGTGAAACTGAAGACATAACTCAGAATCATAAGACTTACCTCGGTTCCATCTGCCACAGCACCTCCCTTTGGCCTCACACACTGCCCATACAGCGTGTGCTTCAACAATCCAGTAGGAGTCAACAAAAACTCCAATCTTTGTTGACCACACCCATCATATGTGACAAGCGGTTGATCATTTGCTGGTTTCGTCCATGCTCCATTCAGAACATGCAGACACTTACCACCCACCTGCACGAGAGACCCTGGTCCCCGAGGTCCAACCGCACCTTTTCCGCGGGTATGATCAAAACTGGGTCCGGTTCCAGCTGAGTGTGTGTAACCTTGCACGCGTGTCCAGTTGAAATGACTGGTACTGTCTTCTACGTACTGGCAAAGGCCGGTTTCAAAATTGCAGTTGAAAGGACCAGTTGCTATAGAAAATGGACAAGATCGGTGAAAATTTATATCTTGCTACCTTGCTTGATTACTATCTGTTCTATTATTTTGGGGTAGCGAGGAAAAACTAGTGTTTTCATAAAAATGTCTCTGGTTATCTTATTGTGTATTAAAATTCAGATTGTAGATTAGCCTGTGGCTGGAGCCTTGCCTTCTCTAGTCGCATAGGTTACATTGTCATGTATGTTTGAAAAACTATAGAACTAAAAAAACTATAGAAAATCTTCATAGCACTGCTGACAATCACAGTCATATCAAAGCGAGGAAAATATAAAAAGCGTGGTAATTTACATACGTATTGTAGTAGGAATCGTGTTTGGGAATGCAGTGCTTGGTCCTGGGGTGGCTGGTCCGTTGGGGTTAGCATTCGGTGGCTGTATGGTGCACCTCTGTGTTGTGATTTGGATGTCATCAATGGCGATATCACCCATATAACTGCTACCGACTATTCCTTCAAAGACAATCTAACGAGAAAAAGGCGCCTTTAGCACAAAATCCTACGAATTTCTTATCAACATTTTCCTGGAGATGGGTTCTTAAGCAATTTGGAGAAAATGTGATTTTACTTATAAAATACAGATCAAGTGGTTACCAAAACAGGAAAAATTTCTAAATTTAAGATACTAAACAAGTATCAAACATTTATAAACATCTATATTTGAGAAGCATTGTTGGATGATGTTTTACAGATGCATGATTCGTTTGACCAGGTCTTAAAAAAGCCTTACCGTGTGATCCGTGTTGCTGGCAACTGGCACACTGGCGTACCTCCAGGCTTCAGTTTCGCTTGTCTGCTGCTGCCCCGTCAAGTTCCAGATAAGTGTCTCTGTGTTTGCTCCAGTTGGAACTTTATAGATTACGTTCAGTTTACCAATGTCGGCACCGTACATGTGGTACCAGAAAGTAAGGCAACGTGTTGTTGTGGCTAAGTTGTTAAACTGTTCGCTCACCAGACGCGCTTTGTGCCCGGGCTGGCGTGGCGATGAGGCCTCAATGTACAGATAGGTGCCTACAAGGTGGTGTAAGGAGGAAATATGACAGGAAATGTAGATCGTGAACAAGTCGATAAAATACTGTCCGTAGGCCAAAAAGTGATTTATCTTAGGCAAACGTTCACAAAGGATTGCAGCAATAAATATCGTTAGGAAATCTATTCAGCGTTGTACAATGTACATAGACCAATTAACAGAAATCTTAAATAATATCTATTTTGAATATAAAATATCTTAAGTATTTTATTAATATTTCTTTCACGATAGTCTTTGTAGAATCAGGAAAGGGGAACGGTTATCAAACTGGCAACTGAAAGGGAAGAAGAAAATGGCTAGAATCATAAATGCAAAAATAAATCCCTACTTTAAACTGACACAGGTAAACATGAAATCATTACTTTTCTGGGCAATGTTACTTAAATGTTTCAGATCTATATTTGTTTTCTTTTCAATTAGTTTGCCAAATAACTAGATTTATTAGGCAAAGATTACCTTAAAAAGAAAACAACAAGGGTATTTCTATCTTTCTACCTAACAAAAATATTATATATTTTTCGGGCATTCCTGTTTACCTACCATTTGAGGTTCCGGTTGTGTGATCTACTGCTGGACCGGTACCAGAAGACCCGGTTCTTCCTTTTCTTGTGATCCAATCAAAATTGTCGCTATTCGCATTAGAATACGTGCAGAGGTTTCCATTCTCAAATGTACATGATCCTGTAAATTAAGTCGTAATGTACCGGTATAAAGACAACGTTGTAAAAAATATGAAAATATTTGCAAACAGCAGGAAATTGGATACGATTCTCCAATGATCGGAGATGGGGGCCTTTACATCAAGGTCGCTGGGACAAATACTATTTGTCTACCGGCTACATTTTAAAAGCTAATTGTCTATATTCGGACAAAGATTCGCATTTAACCCTTTCAATAAACCATATCTTTATATTTCAATACTCAAAAAAGGCTGTGGAGTTTTCAAAAAGGAATTTCAAGCTTTAATTACGAAATTTTCCTCAATATAAATTTGTAACCTCTATCAATATAGTTTTGAACGCAACTTTCAAATCGAATCGGATAATTCTGATACTTTCCGATATACAAAAATTTTTAAATATAAAGAGGAGTCGCATCTTGAAAAAATTGGGGGCTATGTGCGTAAATTCATGCGAGGGTGGGGCTGTAGGAATTGGTATGTAGAACTTGGCATGCAGAGTATCTCTGAATGACTTTCTTGGTACGATTACAGCATGAAACAGTAGGTGATTGATCTTTAGCTCCAGTCAAAATAAAAAGCATTTCGGGTCATTATATATTTGGGTTAACGGTCCTTACCCGGAGAAGGGCAGGCTCCTGCCGTGAGCTTGACATCATCAACAGCGATATCACCTTGGTAACCATTTCCAATAATACCTTCAAAAACGACCTAAAATTGAAAAAAAACTATTAAGAGTCGCAGATTATTGAGAAGTCTTACAGGGGTCGAAAATGGAGAAAAACCATCCCGTTTTTTGTGCAACAAACTTTCATCAACACTGTTGCTTTTACATTTTAAGATTCATACCACTTCTAGTTCCTTTATATCCTATAATCCATTTTAGATCATATTTATTTATACCGGCTTCACGAAAAAGGTTCACTTACTGAAACGCAATTAGATTGACTTTTTATCGAGAAAACATAGGCTTTGATGAATGAGCTAGTCCTAAAAATACCTTTCCATAAAGAATAATAGACCCGTTATTAGCACCTTTTTTGGGTGTTGGGCCAGGACTGCACAAGCATAACTTTCTGTTTCTTAAAGTTAGCTATTGTTTCTTAAAGCTACCTGACGATGTTCCTAAGGTATGATCAAAACCGGGACCTGTTCCAACTGAGGACGTCTGCCCACTCCCGCGCGCCCACTCGAAATAAACCCACAAACAGCCTACCTCGTATGGTTGGGTCGATGCAATAGTTTTCCTTGCCACTTTCCAGGCATTTCCTTTATCGCCATACTCTGACCACAATGGCCTGCTAGGTAGGGTGTTCCCAGTTCGGACGAAAACGTTCAGTGTTCCAATGTCACTGCCGTACATATGGTACCAGAACTGAAGGCAAGATCCTGTTGTCTGTGGACTTGTTGGGGAAATGAGACGAGCTTTGTCACCCCGCTGTCGTGGCGATGAAGCCTCGGTATACATGTAAAAACCTACCAAATAAAGGAATATTTACATCATTTCACAAAATTTCGTTACCAGAGATTGTTAAATCTACTGTATTGATTAAACATACCTTTGACGCAATTACTAGAAAACAAGCTATACAGTTATTGACACATTGCTATCAGCTATTCGATTTTACACTCGAAATATCGAGTTGAAATTTTCCAAGAACTCTACAAAAGGAAGTAAAATGCAACTACGAGTACCTGACGATGTTCCTAAGGTATGATCAAAACCGGGACCTGTTCCAACTGAGGACGTCTGCCCACTCCCGCGCGCCCACTTGAACTTAACCGCACTGGTTTCTTCGTGTGTATAACCGCATATGGAGCCATCCTCAAAAGTGCATGTTGCTGTAATTGAAATAAAAGCTGTCAATTGAGAGTCAGACATTACAATGACTATGGTCAGAATCTAAAGGGTTTACTGGGTATACTATAAATACTGGGTGTCCACTGTTCATGCACGCTTGGTGAAAACAAATTGAAGAAACATAAATGGGCGAACTCGACCAGTCACTCAATAGTTCAAGCGAAGCATTGCATATTGAGCATTCTCACAAGTGCGCCAACGCAGTCGCGCGACCAGACCCAATCAAGTGAAAACCTGCCTTTAAACTGAGTAAGCCCGAAACAACATTGGGCTCTGTTTGATCAAGGTATGGTTTTATGTACTTTGGATGAAATGCCTTCAATTACAAAAGAATTTTGAAGCTGCATAAAATCATTTGGAGTTAGAAAACCTAGAGAAAGACTTTTGAAGCATTCAGAGGTGCATTATTATTATCAAGATGGTATTATATTCACAGAAAAATGATTTCAAGCTACAAAAATTACGCATATATGTTTTATCAAAGCGTAGTGGAAATGAAAATCGTACAGGATACTTGAGGGCAAGGACCGTCCTTCAGCGAAATATCGTCCAGTGCAATGTCTCCTTGGTAACTTGATCCAGCAAGTGCTTCGAAGATAACCTGGGGATTAGAATAATTCAGTATCACATGTGATAGAACTTTTCAAGGCTTCATCCAGTTAAAAAATAAAATTTTATCTCTATCTGCTCACGAAGCATGAAAAGCTGAGGCGCCCATAATGATTTTCGTAGACTATAGTAGTAAAATTCGGTCATAAAAATAAATCAAAATGCATCCTAAGTTTTCTTCCTGCTAGCACTACAATACTTGACTTGAGTCTTTCACTGAGTTCTTTGCAGACTTGGCAAAGTTTATGATTGGCATTGAGTTACATAATAATTTCACAATAATTTCACCTACTGGTACACAATTACTGTCGTTTCTAATAATGGTCGAAAAAATGGTAAGTGGTCAATTTATGTTTTTAGGATGTACAATAAATGTTCATACAACTGAAGAGAAGCATAAGAAATCTTTAGATCTATAGAAATATAACGATCCATAAGAAAATCTCGGGTAAAACGGCCCCAAAGGGGTGCAGATTATCGTTAACGGAGAATTTCATCTTCAGCAGACACTTAAAAGGACCTGAGATAACCTTTATTGGATAGCCCGGACCCCCTTTACGAAAACCCTGGTCCAGACAAAGCAGTCAGTACGCTCGGTTCTCTATCTACACATTTAAAGCCTTAAAACGTTGGTAACTTAACAAAACAAAATGTTACCTTGAAAAAGTAGGGTGAGCGAACAGTTACTGCTGCCAAATTCCATTGATCTCCATGTGTGCCATTTTTAGTCCATACAGGCGATCCCAAATGTGATCCAACCTTGACGTATACATTCAATCTGTTCACGTGGGCTCCATACATGTGGTACCAAAACCTAAGGCACTTCCCATTGGAGGCACTCGTGGCTGGTATTTGTCCACTAATCAGTCTGGCAAAGTTGTTTGGCCTGACATTTGACACCTCAAGGTATATGTAGTAGCCATTTGCTAAAAAAGCATAGTTAATAGAGCTTGAGAAATACGATATCAGGCCGTGCTCTCCTACTTCTCGCGATCAATATCATCATGATCGATCATAAGTCACGAATTGAATATTTGATAAACATGGACGATTAATCACAAATCTTAATACTTTTCGATGGTGTCCTCAATTGCAAACAAAGACATACCTGTGCCCAGTGTATGATCCACGGATGGTCCAGTAGAAACAGATGGAGTTGAGCCTCGTCTTAAAGTCCAATTCAGAGTGTCGTTTGTGTCCTGGTTCCAATATGGCGAGCAAAGGCCCGACTCGAAATTGCAGTCATAACCAGTGTTTCCTACAAAGCCAAGCACAAATAGTATCGAAAAGGCCTTAACCACAACTCGAAAAATTGAGTAAAATTCAGCAGTAAAAAATCAGGGGACAGACTGTCGTCTTTTTAAACAAGAAGTCTTCTACTAACATAACAGGGCGTTCATCTTCGGTTCTTGTCTTTCTTGTTGGGGTTTTTTGAACAGGCAAATGCTTGCCATGCTCCAGATATTGTTGCTAACTTAATCATACCCCTTTTTGTAAATAGTTCCAGCTTAACTTCATTCTTACCCGCATTTAAAGGGTTAGTATATTTTTGCTATCCATACTCATCAAATGAATTTCTATGAAGATTCTTTCTGATGATATTTTACAGTACCGGTGTGTAGTAAACACAATTAGCGTGCACATCAGAGAGTGTTTTATATGAAACTGGCTGGCCCATTTAAGCGGGCTGGCACGCTATACCGCATTGCCAAGATCACTTTTATCCCGTAATTACATTTAGCAATGTAGCCCCTTCAACCCAGCTATGGGTTTGTCTGCATAGGTGACTATACAGATAAGGACTGTAACGCTGTTCTATTCAAATCATTTCTCTTAACCGGGCCAGCCCACTCGCTTATCACTCATGCCTATATAGAAAATTGTTATCCCGACTCGCTAAGATTCCAATCACCTGGCAAAATCTTATTTAATACAAACTTCCTTTATGTTCTCAACAGAAGCCGTGTATGCAGCGGAGTCCCGGGTAACAGAGGGCACTGGAATAAAACCGTAAATACCCTTTGACTCACCAGTAGATGGAGTGACAGTGGGCGTGGTAGTTGGAGGAACAGTCGTTATAACAGAACTGGGATCTGCAGCGGCGGGTACAACGGAACAAGCCCCATCCCTGAATGAAAAATCATCGATGGCAATATCACCGGTGTAGCCATTTCCACGGACGCCTTCAAGAATCACCTGAAAAGAAATGAAGTTTTAACTACACGGTCTATGTTGCAGTCAAAAATGTGTAATGCGACTCCAAAATGACGAGTAGAGGTTTACTTAAAAAATACGGGCATCTCTGTTTTTGTAAAGATTCTCCTATGTAGCTTAAATTTGACAAACAATAAAACCAGAATACTTACACTGTATGGACCACTCGCAATGCCTACATTAACTTGGCCATTGAACCAGGAGTTTCCTTGGTTACCAATGAGTCTCCATTTCAGTTGTTTGCCTCCAGATGAAGTGTTCACGTATATATTAAGTCTTCCAATGTCAGTGCCATACATGTGATACCAGAAGGTAAAGCAACGCCCACTGCCTGCTGTTCTGTTGAATACTGTACTAACAAGATGGGCCGTGTCTCCAACGACTCTTGGTGATGACGATTCAATGAAAAGAAATTTGGCTAGGATGCAAAATATACATCATCAGTAAGCTATAATCATTAAAGGCAATCGAAAGATATAAAAGTGGCTTAAGGCATCTGCAAACAACATTAGCCAATCAATAAGCGTGTGAGTGGAATCGGACTCGCTGATTGGTCAAATCTTGATTGAAATATAGCTTTAAAACTTGTCGATTGCTTTAAATTCAATTCACTACATAAATTGGCCCAAACATATATACTCCAGTCATTTATTGAAAACATCTGCAAAGACATGTGAAAAATGCGAAACACCTAAAATTTTAGCCCCTCCACGCACAAAATCAATCAGAATAGCATATTGATATTGAAATCTGCTTAAGGCCTTTTGTAGTTCTAGCTGCAGCAAACTGTTCTTCAAATTAAGTAAAATTTTCATATTAAAATTCATCTGTAACTTTGTCAAAGGGATCCTTTTTCAAGTGACCTTGGCAATTAAATATATATTTTTGTTATATATATATATATATATATATATATATATATATATATATATATAATATATATATATATATATATTATAATATATATTATATATATATATATATATATAAATACTATCATGATTGCCATGATAATTCTTGCTCTTGTTTAAATTGCCAAAAAATTGTAATAGGGTTGCTTCGATAATATCAAATTGAATATAATTCATTACCTGTTCGGTTGCCGTTGCGATCGGCAGTAGGCCCAGTAAAATAGCTTGGAGTGCTTCCACTACCAACAATCCAATCGAAGTTGTCGCCAACCAACGTGTTGTACCATGTGCAAAGGTTCGTCTCAAAATCACACTCCCCTTTGAAATAAAACAATATAAAACTATTGGTCTTCAAAGTACTATTAAAAGGCATGAGTCGGTACTTAAGGACCTACCTACCAAAAGTGCCTACCAAAATTATTTTGTCTTTTACCTTGATTTCCACATTTTTCTTTCTGTTCCAAAAACCATCACATTCAATCACAATAGACGTAGAACGCATAGACAAAATCTTTCGCATTTCAGGCTCCATTCGAGCTGTTCTACCTCAATGAGGCAATAATATTCGGGCAAGATCCATGCTTAGCCCCCGTAAGTGTTCAGCATTCACTACGCCCATGCCAAATACCCCGGGGGGTTTTTTCGTAAAAGATTTTTGGGGTGGAAGCTTATTCGGGGGGGGGGGGTATTCGAAGGTGGGGGCATACTCGAGGAGTTGTTGTATCATTTCAAGGGCAGGTTTGTTAAATAGCGGGACCGCGGAAGCAGGGCAGTGATGGAGCCTGGTCATTTCCAACATTTTCAAAAAATGAATAAAAGTGTTCTGCCTCACCAGGGTTAGCACATTTGCCATTCATAACTGAAATATCGTCGACGGCAATATCTCCTTGATAGCTGTTTCCAATGACCCCTTCAAATACAACCTGTAAAAAATGCAAGTTAAATATATAAAATAAAAGATTTTTTGTGAAATTCTTTAAATTGATATAAACATATTGTAAACTAAACAGTAACTTCAGTTCCTTTACTGCTGCTATGACGAGATATGTTTCAGTGAATCTTTCTTACATACATCTGCAAAGCCACTTTTAGGTCTCGACAAATGTACAAACGGTTTTTGAATTTCATCAACCCAATCCTTTTTACTTTTTTGCCAAATAAAATGCTACTACGATGGTCGTATTATAATAAATGGCACCTACATTTCCGCTTGTTCCAGGAATTGTGATCTGTCCTTTAGCCCATTGGTTGCCTTGTTGGCCAATCATATTCCAAGAAGTATTCTTGCCCTGACTATTGACATAAATGTTAAGACGTCCAATATCAGCTCCAAACATGTGATACCAAAACACTAAGCAACTGCCTCCTGAAGCCAAACCAGTATACGATTTGTACATTCGTGCTTTGTCTCCATTCTTTCGAGGGGAAGAAGCTTCCACGTACATATAGTAACCTGTAGAATTACGGCAAAGAAAAATTAAGTTATCCAAAATGAACAGGAGAACGAGACTTAGGAAATTTAAGACAATACAACGAGACAATATAAGTGGAAATTTTGTTCACGGGGTACTATGGACTTGGTACAGAAGACTTTTGGTTGGAGGCCCGCTGAGGATAGTGCGCCATCATCATTCATCGAGCTTATCTGGGGCGCAGTGGCTGAAGACCCACTTTTGCATGGAGGTTTAGAAAAATTTGCCTATTTTTCGGAAAATGGTGGGAAAATATTGTCTTCAACCGCCGAAACATTTACCTCCATTGCATCCTTGAAGCATGTGACATGCCTAAAGGCCAGAGAATCGTTGGAATCATCCTCAACAGGGGCCAAAAGAAGAAAGGATGCTATAACAGGGATCAATGCAGTATCAATACTTTAGTCAAAACGCATGCGCATCCAACTCAAAACCACTATCGCGCATGCGCTATCACTTGTGCGTCTCCCCAACAAATCGATTGTAACGTCTCCCTTACATACCGGCTGCTGTTCCCTTTGTATGGTCAGAGCTGGGCCCAGTACCAGAACTGCCAGTTTGTCCTTGGTGTCTTGTCCAGTTAAATCTTCCAGTTGCATCATGCATATACCCACAAGTGTCTGTCTCAAATGTACACATATCTAAAAGGTAGAAGCATTAATAAATTTAGCAAGTGAAATCCAATCGATTTAAAATTAAAGCAAACCAACATTATCAATAATATTTTCTGAAACGAGTTGAATGTGCGGTGCGATAGGCAATTACTTTCAGCAATGTTTGCTCGTTAAGAAGATTGTGGAGGGGCAACTTTCAGTTAACAATAGGGAGAGTTTAGGGCAACTGACAAAATGATCTTTTCAAACATTGAAACCTGAACATACTTCAAGTAAGTCATTTTAAGGTTTCCTTACGCGGGTGGCAGTCAAGTGACACGAGATAAACTAACTTATCTCCAATTTTAAAATGATTTTCACAGCACATAACTTATTTTTTCCTTCAAATAGCTAAGCTCCATTTTACGACTTACCTGAACTGACAGGATTACAAGCTCCATCTTTAAACGAAATATCATCAATGGCGATGTCCCCTTGATAATCACTTCCACGTTTGCCTTCAAAGCCAACCTACATAACGACAAACTAGCTTGCTTTAATCCTGACTACACTAGAAAAAATTCAGTCAAAAGACTGTTTCCACATTACATATCATATTTCACTATGACTGATCACAAATCTCCACATTTCCCAGGCATCCCACTGACAGGCGCTGCATTGACCCATATCAACTTTCAAGTCTCCTGAGAGGTTTCAACAAATAAACAGACCGAATAAAATGTGATAGATCTTTTTCTGTTTAGCATCCATTGGAAATCAAAAGCTGTTGTTGCCCCCTTTTAATTTTTTGCATTTCGTTATATTTCATAAAAATGAAATGGTTTGTCATTGTTACTCGTTTTACAAATGAAAGCAATCTGAAAGCAAAAGTAAACAGATCTGCTTCTTAATCGAATCTTAGACATCCCATTGTTAATTCGATAATTTTTTAACATTTGATTAAAATCTGAAAAAAGTATACCTGGAACGGTGACGAACTGCTAACTGTCATGGTGTGATTCTGCCAGACATTTCCTTGCGTTCCACTTTTAGCCCATAGTGCAGTACCAAGAGTAGAATTGTCACTTGTAACATACACAGACAAGGAGGAAATATGAGGTCCATACATGTGATAAAAGAATGTAAGGCATTTGCTCCCAGCTGGTAAGATGGGCGTAAATAACACAGCAGTGTCCCCATCTATTCTTGGACTTGATGACTCTATAAACATATACCAGCCTAAAAAAGCAATTTAAATAGATATATAACTGATCAATCCTGCGCAAGACAATGTTCATTTATGATATACTTTAATACAAAGACATTATTATGATAACATTAACCTTACCTTTGGCCTCAAAGCTTCCAACTAGGCACAAAAATGATGATTACTGCTACGAATCACCTTATCTTCTATACATATAGACTACTGCTATGTAACATCCTAAAACATACAAGCAAATCATGAAGAATGGCTATGTTGTGCTGTTTGCCAGGAGCACTAATCTATTCCACAATCTTTGTAATTTCTAAATCCTTTGATCATCTGTCGAGTCAGGTTTTACACAAATACACTACTCGCATGAACTTTAAATGACTCTGTGATCTTACATTTTATTAAAAAAAGGAGTATTTACATTTAAATGTACAAAGAAGTATATCTGTTAATTTTTCCTATTTGCTACTACAGTTAACAGGTAGAGCATGATATTTTTTGGAGTTGGAGAAAGTCAAAATACAGGTTTCATCTCTACAAGCCTGTTTAAATATAAATGTATTTATGTATGCAGAAAGATTTGTGTACCTGCTGGAGCACAATATCCCCATTTTTGGTCACTTGGATAATTATTTGTCGTAGCACACCAGTATCTAAGAGATCCAGCTCTTGTGCAACTTGTCCTATTTACACCATTGTACAGAAATGGGAAAACACAGGCAGCTCCCCCAGCATTTCCACCAGTTGTATAGACTAAAATAGCAATATGCAATTCATATCAACAGCTATAATGGACCTTCCCATTCTCCTAGAAGTATCCAACAGATTCTCACAGTAAATGTCATTAATAATCTTGACAGAATACAATTGAAGTAGTCTTGACAGAATTCCAAGAAGACTTTTTTAGAACACTGTAAAAAACCTCTCTGAGTATCTGAGTAAGCACATAACATCCGAGCTAACAGGTACTGATAGGCTAGCTTGGAAATGGGGGACAATTTTTGTAAAGTCCTTCTCCTGTCAACGATAGCCTTGTCATGGACAACAGACCTTGCTCCACTGCACTGAGAAATGGAATAGTTACAGGGAGAAACATTGAGAAGTTTCAGTTAGACTGTTGAATTACCAAACCCACAATCCAGAGAAATAGATAAGAGGAGCTGAACATTCTAAGGACATCATCTTAAAGGTGACATGCCATGTTCTGTTTTTTTATAATATAGATTCTAGATTGGAATTCCAACCTTTTCCTTCATCATTCTGTAGAGGATCAACATCAAATATATGAAAAAACTTTTTAAGAGAGCATCATACTTTTAAATGTTGATGTGCTTGAAGTGTGATCACTAGATGGACCAGTTCCAGAAGAACTTGTTGAGCCTCTTTGCCTTGACCAATCAAATGTGTCATTTGTAGATTGGATATATGAGCATGTCCCTCGTTCAAAGTCACAATTTTGACTACTTGTGAATGCTAAAACAAAAATTGTCACTCATAAACTACTAGAAGACACAAGAAGCACAGCAAATAAATCAAGTATTCCAGCGTTCTTATCATATGCGGAGGAGATAAGTCACAACTACAAGACAAGAAATAAAATGCATCCCTTCGTTTGCCACTACTGAGAATTGAAGCTGAAAGAAAATTGTTTTTGTTTCAAGGACCTTGCTGTTACAACGATCTTCCCTTGAAGATTCGTTCCTTGAACTCTATCGTACTATTTCAATCTAGCCTGAAGGAGTACTATGTTGAACAGTAATTCCCTGTAAATATGAAATATCTCTTGTTTAAACGATTTCTTGAAAAAAATCTTTTTTCTTCTAATTAACTTGACTAGTTTTTACATTGTATTAAGATTACTATCATTATTTTATTACAATTTAATTTTAACAGGGCCCTTGTTGATAACAGTACTTTCTAGTACTGATAAGGTATTTTTACCCTGTATAAATATGTATATTATTAATATTATATTATAAGCATGGAAAACAAGCTATATTTTGCAAAGGTTGGTCAAGGCGGAACTTTGTAAAGAAAAATAAGCATAACCATAATATATATCTCATATACTAAAGTTTATTTTGTACAAGATCCTTTTCATCATATCACTGTTGATTTTAGAAGAGGTTTGAAAGCAAGATATCACAGTGTATGAAATATTTACCACCCTCAAATAAACTCATCAAATATATTTTTTAATTTCACAAAAATGGGTTGTATTGGTTCGAGTTACTTGCACCAGCATCAAACATTATAACTGTTGATTAATTGCAGATATAAACTGTTCTCTGATTCTTTTGGCCATATTCCCTGATGACCATGCTTCAACACCATAGGTATTTCAGGCATGCATAACTTATGCATAGATAAAGTATGATAAAGTATCAAATTTAGATAAAGTATTTTTCACCTTCCAAAAACGGGGGACTCAATTGTTATTACAGCATGGATATTGTTCTGGCACTGGATTTTATAACAGTTTGGCTATTCATCTGGCAGGTGAGAGCATTTTAGTAGTTGCAAAACATCAACTGTGTTCATTTCATTTGATTACTCCAAGAAACTTCTTTCAAAGAATCTAACAGTAAACTGTGATCTGACATTTAGGTTGTTCGGAATGATTTTACTGTAGCGCGTTTGCGAGAATATTCCAGACTTCCAAAAAGCTTACACGGAGCAAGCTCTGCCATAAACTCAAGTGGCAACCCGACACGATTGCCGTGAACCCCCCCCCCCCCCCCATTTTTGGTAAAAAATAAATATAGAAGGCCGAAAGGGGATCTAAATAAGTGGGGGGTTTGATACAGTATTCATGGTAATTCTAGCTGCCCACGCATCCAGAAAATCAAATTATTAATATCCAGACTGCAAAAAGAAAACAAAGAACTCGCACCTTCATCTTGCCAAGTTCATACGACAAAGCAATGTGAACAATTTTAAAAACAAACCTCGTTTCTGTGTCACAGCCTCCTTTGTTGTTTTAGAGTATTCAATGCAAATTTTAATTTCTTGTTAGAATCCATTTCAAAGGGTATTATTGCAAGGTGTACAATACAAACCCCAAATCCCCAGTTACCAAAACCCTAATGTAATAAAAAACAACACATGCCCTCAAAATTAATGTCTCTAGTTTATAGCTCTTGACTTGCAGAAATGCTCAGGCCAAAACATGAAAGTTACAAAATGCTTGGAAATGCAGTCTTACCCAAGCAGGTTCACCAAAAAAATCCTTTACCTGTTCTTACCTGTAAACTTTGAGGAATTATAAAACATCAATATGCACATGATTTGAGTTGAAAAATTTTGCTTTTCACTTAACTTACCTATTAAAAGTGCTAGGTGGATTGCGAAAATTAAAAATGTCCTATATCCCCCCATCTTGGGTGGCTCCTGGCGGGGGATAAAGCCCAATTGCTATGGGAACGAATTTGATCCAGCGACGAACTTTAAAATTTCATCAGAAGATGTAGCAATCTAAAAAGAAAGTGAAACAACAAATTTAACTTTTCCTAAATCTACGTTCAAAAAGTATTGGGACAAACTTCAAAATTTCGAAAACATTTTATGCAACAAAATTTGAAAGCTTTCTTAAAAACTCTTTTCATTCTAAAAGTACGGCAGCTATTTCCATGAAATTTTTACAAAAGATATATATGCACGCCAAACGACTCAAAAAGCATTAAAAATGAAGCACTGAGTTACGAGGAGCGCTTGCAAATTGCTTTCTGCAAAAAAACGCGAATAGATTTTGTGAAATTGCATCAACTTTGAGCTGCTCAATGAGTGCAGCTTTTGTGGTCTGTAAAAGGTTTTACTGTACAAGACGAGTAAAAAATTTACCAAGGGTTGGCAGACCGAAGAAGTTTACGACGCCAGAGACGAAAGATCGTTTCTGAGGGAACTACGAAGTAATAGGTTTGAACCCTTACCAGACAAAAAGAAGCGAAATCTATGAAGATTTAGCACAACATAAACATAACAAGATTTGTTTTAATCGATAAAAGAGTAATTTAACCAATCAGATGAAAATAATTTTTCATTGGAAGTGAAGAAATAACTAAAGAGAGACCTTTCAAACTATGCCTCCTATCCTATAGTTTTCAGGAGCGCTTTATAATTTCTATGTAGGGGTTAATTTAAAGTTTTTATCATAGAGAAAAAACTGTAAGATTAAGAGAAAAGAAATCAATAGCAAAAACAAACAATAGATCAAAAATAAAGCGTATGTACCTGCAGGGTAAAAGGGTAGATCAAAGAAAAAATAAAAAATGGCGAGGGGCAAATCACTCCAAGAAAGTCTTGTACACCTTTTGTGAAAAAACTATTGTTTTATCTGAAAATCGCCAGAAATCCTTTTGTTTTAGGGAAAATCTCGTACGCCATTTGCAAGAGTGAATTGCCCCTCGAAAAGGTTCAGCTGTCAAAGTTAGTTTAAGAAGGTGCCACAAAAGCAGTACGGCCATGAATTGACCAAACACTGCCTCATTTTCCAAAATACCAAGGCAATCAAATTCTGCTGCAGCAATGTTTGCACAATATCCAGTAAGCAGAATCAAGAAACATGCCCGGGCTGGCTAATCCTTCCATCCCCATATCGAAGCACGAATCATTCATCGTTAATTCACTCGCTCCATTTGAAAGTATGTGAAAATCGGCATTTAACTGTTCTTCGAAGGGAACAAGGCTATCCACGGTAAATATTCATTCTGGCGGGGATTTGATTGTTAAGTTCATGGATTAAGAGTATGTGGAAACATCATAACGGCAAAAACATACTTTCCAATCGTAAGCAAACTGATTGGCTTTCCGACCTAATTTTTAAAAGATCAAAATATTTTAAAAACTTTTACACGGTGCTCTAGTGTTTCGTTTTTTTGCAAAGTCTATTTGTTACCTAAGACTGCTAAAGGTGGATGTCCCTGTGAAGGAGCGACAGGGCGCCGAGAGAAGATCAGTGATTCTCTTCTCGCTGTCAAAGCCCGTTCGCTCCTTTTGGGGGTCATCGATTGAAATGCCTGCAATAAACGATTAATATTTTAATCAGTTTTGAACAGACAGTTTTCAGTTTTCACTCAAAAATTGAACCCTACGTCTTACACCTACAATCGTAAGCAAACTGCCTAGTCATCTCCACACAAGCGCCAAAAAATTTATGTTACACATTTTTCTTTCAGCGAGGAAAAAAATTCGTCAAGACTTCACAATCGCACATGGAAGAAATTTGGCACGAATGAGACTTGGCCTAGGTAATTTTTCTCATGTGCCCCAAGCATTAGACAAACCTATGACAAACCAACTAAATAGTATTCTAAAAATTTCATCATTGCGTCAGTGACTGATAGAGGTCATACTCTCAAACAATGATGCTTGCAAGTTTTCAATATACTTGATTAAACATGGTCTAACTCTCCAAATGTTAGTTTGTTTACACACACCCACTGTAGGACCACATGAAAGACAAAACTTGTTCCACAATCACGCAATGCCACTCTCTCCCATACAATACATCAAACAAGGTGTTCTGAAGTATGTGATTGTCGTCAACGGCTCCATGCTGACCAAATATTTTTAAATCAATATTTGTGACACCATCTTGCCAAAATTGCCTTCATCGGAACAAAAGCAAAGGCAGGAGGATTATCTTGGTTTTATGAAATAAATATTAGTCAGCAAATTCTTCAGGCATTCTCGTCGAATGCTATCCGGGTATCATTGTCCAGATGCAGACTTCTCGCTCTAAACAAGCCCGTAGGTACAGTCAGGGATGGCGGAGCTCCCCCAAAAATTCATTGAGCCCCCCCCCCCGTCGGCACTTCAATTTTTTAAAATTTTCAAGTAATGTTGGCACTTTCATAACTTCCATTTCGTGATTTTTTTATTTTCATTGTTTGATTTTTCTCCAGTTTTTTTTCATTTTTTGAACTAGAATTACCACAGCGGAAATGGTGTTATATTACATCTTTGTGGGTGATACACTCACTGTCGGCACTCTGATATTACAGCCCCCCCCCCCAGCATTTCTTTTCTGGCGCCATCCCTGGGTACAGTGACATATGGAAATGTTACACCCAGCACGACACCCAGTGGCCTAGATCGTGTACTAAAAGCCAAGTTGACATTTTTTACCACCTCGGTCAAATATATCACCACTTGCTACAACAGACCCCTACTGGAGCACAGGCTACAAGAGGGGCGCAGTTGAAGCTATCTTTGGCGGGGAAGGGGTATTTTTCCGATAAATCTGATACTTTTGGGCGGCTATAAACCTCATACAGATAGGGTGCTAGGATGGTCATTTTTAGTGAAAAGCGCACCACGATTTTCTTAGTACAGTGCGTATTGCAGGACCGTGGCCTAATGGGAAACCGGTTTGTACCACTTTTGATGTTATGCCCCTTTGGGTACAGGTGATTAATTCTTCTTTACCTGGAGGTAGCAAAATGCAAAAGAGCAGAGAATGGTTTATGCTTTCTTCTTTGATGGCAGAGCGGCTCAAAGAACGTCACCCAAAGACGTTTCAATTGAAAGTATTTCCTTCCTGTGAAAAATCGCACAGCTTGTTCAACAATTTAATAGCATCTACAAATAGCAATGCCCTCGTATCACGTGGGCTTAATTTGTGGATAACCTGAAGAAAGGAAATTGCAAAGCAACGTTATAATCTGAACTTGATTGAGCCTTAAAACATCTCATTATGATTTAATGATATGACGTAACATGGTGGGGACAAGCAATTTGGCCCGAAGCCCAATCCATATAGAAAAAGTTAAACAATCTCCTTTGGAACAAGATCACTGTCCTACGCGACCAGAAGGTCATTTGACCGGTATTCAAAAGTATATCTTTGGATAATTTATTGTCCTTCCGAATTGACTGGTTACTCAAAGTCTATGAAACAGTTTCTTAACATACTTTCACGAAGTTTCATGCAATCCCAGGTTTCATTAAATGAATTCTTTCAATTTTTGACCTAAGTTTTCTTCTAGACAGGTTTGAGCTTCCTTACTCGCCCAGCAGGAAGTAAGTTGCGTTGGCTTCCTACACATGAACCACGCGTTAGGGTCTCGAGTAAGAGACACTCAAGTTTTTTTTACGACTGTCAAAATCATTGCTCGATGCGAGTCGAGGGGCAAATCACTCCAAGAAAATCTCGTACACCTTTTGTAAAAATTCTATTGTTTTATCTGAAAATCCTCAGAAAATGTCGGAAATCCTTTTGTTTTAGGGCAAAATCTCGTTCGCTATTTGCAAGAGTGAATTGCCCCTCGATGTGAGTTTCCACAGGATTGACCAGTTTCATCGGTTTCGCAGCTGGAAAAGGAAATTTTGATGGACCTTTTTCTCATAAAAGTCATCATCATCATCATCATTATAAAAAGGGAGATGTTCTTGTTTGACCTGTTTTGGTACTCCGGGGGACAGCGAGTGTCGCTATAGCAACTTTACCAGCAGGGATGCAGCTGTTGAAAGGAAGGGGTCACAGCTGGAAAAGTAAAGAAACTGGCAGAAAATTAGAAAGAAGTTTCATATTCTTTCCAAACGATATATCATCATGGTAATGTCTGTTTGTTACTGGTTAATTAGTGCAAGGTTGCTAAGAAAATCGCAAAAAGATGTGTCAAACCCCCCAAATACTAAAATTATAGCTTAAATTATGAAAAATGGTTGTTGCAATGAAAATTCTCAAAGACAAATGTTACATGATGATAATGCTCGATATAATACCAAGCAAAATTTACTTTAAGTAAGGTTAGGATAATTATAGCTGCGGGGCTAATTAATTGACAGAAACGAAAGATTACAGTTAACTTGCCCCTATTTACATGATACAAAATATGGTAGCAATAAATAATACATCTATAAAACCCTTAGCTGTTTATAAATTTCTTGCACGGTCTACGGTTGCAGTTCCTAGGCTGGTGTTCTTTATTTTTCAATTTAAAACGTCTTATGAGAACGAGCTATTTATCGGCTATGCAGCATGCTGCTGTTACGTAACTTGAAATCTACAGCACTTTTAGATCACCCTCGTAATATTTCTACATTCTGTGGTAGCTTGTGGAACCTAACATAGGAGTCGATACGCAAGCGGTTGACATCAAAGTTTTTCGTGGAAAGAGGAGACTCGTCCAGTTAGTTATGGAATCGTATACATGCAGGTGTGTGCACATGGTGATTTGGATAACGCATACTGGACGTCAACTCAAACAAAAATCAGCAGGTTTTGTACAATTTCCGAATTTATTATTTACGTTCTGCAGCGAAATATCTTGGAGCCTAACAAGAAACGTTTTATAGACTCCCGCCTTATGTAACATTACTCCTGGCAATCACGACGGCGACACGGATACGCGAAACTCCATTTAGCTTAGGAAAATATCGAAGACAGACTTGTGTTAAAGCAAATCTTGTTTGAGGCACTAGAAAATATCATATTAATGTCTGGATATTTTAAAAACTGCCATTCAAAATGGACGTTTTGGATGAGGAGTAATCGAATGTGTCAAAGTCCACGCGAAATGCGCGTGCTCTTTGCAAATAACTGCGAACTGAATTTCTAGTTGATTAGCGGCAATTTGCAGGCTGGAGTGAAGTGAGTTTGATAAAACGACAAATAGGCAAAGTTAATAGTTGTATATTAACTACCTGCGGTATGACAAAAGGTCATTTTAGTGGAAGCAGATTTGTAAGACAATGAATGGAAGTTACCCTTGACAAAAGCCAGACTTGCGTAAGATTTCCGTAGCATTAATTGACACAGGATAGTCAACCAAGTTTTATATAGAAGTTGCACAGATGTTAAAATGGCTACATTTATTTAATATTGTGCTTACCTTGAGATATAATGACAAGGTGATGCTGACCAGACTTCGCTGCAACTTTTGGCAAGATCCTCGCCAAGCTACGCCTCCTTCGTCAGCAATGCTTTCGCAATCATTAGTGACAGGGGCTCCGTGCAGCGAGGGAAATGTTCTGGCCAATCATAATCCAGCATTCATAAGAAAAGAAAATGGTCTTTCGCAATGACGCCGCCAGAGTTCCTGTTACTTCCCGTTTTTGTGCAGCTTGAATTTCAACCACATTTTTTTGGTATATCAACTTACAATGTAGTACTGACTAACAACAAATCGCAGCTCAAATATTAACTTTTTAAGCTTGAATGAAAATGAATTCAAATGAATGACAGGGGGGAAGTTGCTTGGGGTGGGGAGAATCAGTCGACCCCTTATAATCGGTCTAGCTCAAAATAAAGAAAACACCAGGGCCGTCGGAAGCGGGGGCCTTGGGGTTGGGGCTGCAGCACATGTGGAAACGGATAGCATTACAATGGGCAGTCCCCCAAATATGAATTTCGTTCCGATGGCAGCGCTATACCCACCCAATGTTTCCCTAACTATTGTTTTATCTTGAAATCATTGGATCCCCTTTGTCTCCATGGAAATCTTCATGAATTACCAATAGGGTCTAAATTTCTCTAGCTTTGGCTTACACCTTCTATTTTAAGAATAGAATAAAGAACAATCCAGCCTTGGAAAATGTTAGAACAGCCTGAACCGAATTCCTACATAAATTCCTAAAAACTCCATAGAGTTCTAAAGTGATGACATCACAAAAAAATATCTATTTTTAGAATTTTTGAATTTGGATCCCATAACCTGAAAGAGCATCATGAAATTCTTCTAAATGGGCAAAAAAAGTCAAGTGTGTTACGAATTAGCAGAGATATGGCCACGTGTGTTGCGGCTCTTCCACATTAAACCTCTGTATTTTTGTCTCTGTTCATAGCGAAAATTACAGTGATTCATTAGCAAACCATATTTCAACAGATTTTAGACATACCGTAAATACTCTATTTAGCCCCCCTCTCAATGTACCCCCCCCCCCCAGAATTTTCACTGGTGCTGAGTTAAGTAAACTTGACAAAAAACAGAGATTTTCATTTTATTCATTGGTCGTAAAATTCTTCGCATCAAACCAAAATTCACACCATGTCTCTAGAATTAATAATTGTTGACGATGACGATGACAATATTATTGATATAGAAGGCTGCTTTGATGTTTTTTATTTCGCAAATAACAAAAAAGGAGGTGCTCAGACCTCATTTGCCAGCCACAAAGTGAGTGAGACAGCCTTAATTTGCTAACAAATTTGAATATTCACCGAAAAAGCACCCACACATCGCTAAAAATCCTCAATTTTGAGAAACAAAGTTGTTCAAAGTTGCATTTTGCAGAAGCTCAGCCTCAGCTTGTTCTTAATTTGTTTTTAACTTTTGACCAGTTTTGAGGCTCGTGTTCTTATAAAATTGTTCTTATAAAAAAGTGTATGTCTTGTAATAGAAAAGTCTCATACCTTTTGGTTGCTAGCGCTTCTCTGGCTGCCAATTTCATATCATCGTATCCACGCCCCTCAATTTTGCCGAACGAAACAATGTTTATGCAAAAATTTTTCTTTGAGACTCTAGTTGACTTAGTTTGTCCTTGGCCAAACAACTTTCACGCCTGCTTTGGAGCCCTTGGTGCCCCTTGGTTATTCAGCAAATTGGCGTGGGTTTGCTGTAATGTTGCGATTCCTTCCCACCCCCTCCCTCCAACCAATTAGTGCTAAATTCTCATAAAAACCAACAAGCATTTGAAACTGGGAATTTTCAAAATTTCTTGTTAAAACTTAGCAATCAGAACTTGCAACTGCTATTGATTATGCATGATACACTCTTTTTATAGATGCACACATTTTCAGAAGATCGAAGCTCAATTTGCCAAATAAATTAAAGGGTTTGTGCAAGATAAAAGCGTGCATTTGCAACCAGTAAATATAGATCGAGCCATGATCAAGCGTGAAATCTCTATTCTGTGTTATCATCCCATGGCACAGCAGTAAAACACTCAAATACAACATACCCAGCAGCGTGAACAAACAGTTAATATTATAATAATATTATAATGCCTCAACGATCGACAACGTAAGAACATGTCAACCCTTAGATAAAAATTAAAAGAATACTCAATGTATTTGTGAAAATTTCTTTCATGTCAACAAAACAGAGCAGATTTTATCAGAAAATCGTCGTTCTACTAAAAATGTCATGCAAAACTGTCATTTTGTTGTCATTTAACAATTTGTAGTATGTAGTTTGAGAAAACCAATCTTAAAGAAAAAACAATCTTTAGAGCATCCAAGCCGAAAATCATCTAAAAAAATAAGAACATCAAGCCACAGAATAAGCTTGTGAACAAGCCACGGCAAAAATGATCTTGTGCTGGCAATAAAAGTGTAAAACCCCTAAAACAGGGGTGTCGGGAACAGGAGAAGCTGCACCAGAGGCACGTGTCCAAATTCAAAATTGATAGCTTCATTAGACTAAAAAACCAACTTTTGAAGAAAGCACTAAAATTCTTCACGATAGCCTATGATTTTATGGATTACTCATTATGCTAGCGATTCATTGGAAGTGCCGGCGAGAGGTTGTCGGAGGCACTAGGTATATTCGAAAGAAGAGGAGAGCGAAGCAAGCTGAAAACCTTTGGAGCCACGTCCTTTAGATAAGCTAAAAATATATCTCTTGCAGCCATTTTTTTGCATTCGTTTAAAACATTTTGCTATTTATAAGGCATGCTTTTAGTATGTTTGATTAATCTTAGCCTTAAAATGGAGCTCATTACTTTATAAGGCCCCATAGACCTCGTTGGAAATTAAGCAATAAAAGGATAAATTGGGGATTTGCTGCTGCACATTCATATCTGCAATCCAACAAAATTAAAACAAGTATTAAGAATGATACATTTTGTTGATTAATAATTTAGTTCCAAACCCATTTTTCACCTATCCTTTAGCTTCAGGGCAGTTATAATGAAACGCGCAAATATATAATCAAGTGACACGGGGCCTATTTTCCCCTGTGCTTTGGAATTTTGTTGTTCTTTCTCTGTTTAGTTGCTTCATCGTATTTGTTTTGTTCATTTGGTTCAGTAATGTAGTGACACGTAGCGTAGTTGGATTTAGCCTCGGTTTCATGTTTGTAGCTATAAAAGTGTTGGGGTGTTGTAAGCCAGTAAATTTTTGTGATTAAAAGATCCAGCCCGAAAACATGAGCAACAACTCGGCAAACTCGATCAGTAAAGTTTGCGATTCTCATAGCTGTAACAGATTCTAAAAACTTTCTTGGAACAGAAAAATTAGAAGCACCCCCTCAAGAATAGCCCAATCAAATTATTTTTCAGCGTCAGTTTAAGAATTGGCCTTCTTCAAAAATATTACTTACTTACTTGTTTATGTTTACCTCCTCAGAAAAATAATTCTAAAGAGGAGGTTCTTCCAGAAATTGTTTAAGGAATTTGGGAAGAAGAAGGTAAGGGCAAACTCGTAAAAGAATTATCGAGTTACCCCTTAGTATATCAGCAAAGTTCAGCTTTCTTAGTGAGAAATAAAAAAAGGGGCAACAAATAATCAAGGTGTGTGTAATTATGACATTCATACAATAAAAAGATTTTATGACGATTGAATATGTAATCAAAATGCATAAAAATTTGTATGCTTAAAGCAAGTGAAATTAATAGCGTAAAATTAGCTAAATGTGACAATATTTAGTTCCATAGTTTAAAACCAATTCAATTGTTTGCGGAAAATAGTTTTAGATAATATTTACAATTTCTCCTTCGAAACATTTGCAGGTTTGGAGTAAATTTTATTATCTTTTTTGTCAGCTCTGGCGATGTTAGCTGTATAAAAAACGACTTTTTTTCAATAGATGAGTTGAACATCAGGCTGGTGTAATTATAACATTCATACAATAAAAATAATTTATGACGATTGAAAGTGTAATCGAAATGTACAAAAACATGTATGCTTAAAGCGACTGAAATTAATAGCGAAAAATTATCTAACAGTGACAATTTTAGTTCTATAGTTTAAAACCAATTCAAATATTTGTAGACGATATTTATAATTTCTCATTTGAAACAAACATTTCCAGGTTTGGAAGAAATTTCATGTTTTGTCATTGTCGGCTTTGGCAATTTTAGCTGTGTCAAAAAACGACTCTACATCAAGAAATAAGTTGAACATCAGGTTGGCATAAACTCTGGACATAGAGCTCACGGAGAGGATATGTTTTGCTTAGTACGTAAATGCTGGTTTTGTGGGGGTGTCACATCCACCCCCCCCCCTATAAATTGAAATTGTTTGAATTAGTCGGAAATTCGACTGTAATTGGGAAGTCATGATTCCAATGGTTATTTAGAGGAGTGCCAAGACATGAGAACAACTTAGGGTTGTAATTTGGATGTAAAAATCTTTCACGTTGTGACTTCTTTTTATAACGTTGTGTATAGAAGAGCTTTTGTTGGTTATTCGTATTTGGTTATTGAAAGTTAACTAACGAGTAGGAAAAAATTTCAAGGCCTTGAGCTGGGTAAATGAGCCTGCCCTATTTTCTGAGTATCTTTGTTATTTTCTGAGAAAAACTTTCAGAGTTTGCTCAGACGAATGAAGAACAGTTTCTTTGACTCCGCACAATAGTGATTCTACAAAGTGATTGGTCAAGGAAAAGGAGGTCAGAGAAACCCGCCTTTTTTAAAATACGATGAAAACCAAGTAGGGTGTCAGCATATTATGCGTCTTAAACTCCAACTGCAGCTCCACCCAGAGACGATTCTATATAACCATTGCTCTTGACAAATCAACATAGTTCTGTACTTGAGGAACTGGTTCGTCATATTGATGCCATACAGACGGATACACAATCTAAATGAACGAGAAATAACTTGTTTGTTGAGTACAATCATCTTTTACAAGAAACAAAAATTGCGGCAAATTTTAGCACTTACTGTTTCTTAAGAGATTCTTAATTTCAAATTTTTTAACTTGGGATCTTATAAGTAATTTTTCGTACCGGAAATAGGGTCTCTTTAATATTTAAGTATTTTATTCCATCACGGAAGATAGGAGGCTTTTGCAGTTGGTTGTGTGACATTTGTGAGGTTTTTGATAAAATTTTATTCTTTGCTTCTTGATTTTATGCCAACCAATCAGTTCTATTGACATAAAATCACAATAATTTGGTGTTTTTGAATTTTTTCAAAATTCATTGTTTATTAATGCATATGCTTTGAATACTGAAGTTTAAATACTTTTCGTAATGTAAATTGCACGTTTCTCAAAAGATATTTATTGGTTAAAAATGAGTGCTAAGAGGAAAGACATGTTTGGCAATGATTTAAAATCATGCAGTATAATTTATGCATTATTCTAGATGCTAAATAATTTATGCAAAATAAAAGGGCTACCTAGCCAAAGATTAAGTTGATTTTTAACAAGGTTCAGCTTTGAAATTAAGTGGGGACACCCTCGCAAATTTTAGCAATTTCCTTTACTTTCTTATTCGAGTACCACGACCTCTAAAAGTATGTTTGAACAGAAATTGTTCAAAATTTTAAAAACATATAGACAATTGTTGATCAAAAAGGAGCAGTCGATCTGCAATAAATTCGTTTTCAAGAATCTATCTGTATCGAAACAAATACTTCTCTTCTGAGCCTACACACTTCTAGGACAGATTTGTTCCTGGTGTCAATCAAATCCTATGTTTCGAAACTGGGTTATGTGACTTTCTAACATTCCAAAACATTTACCGTATTTCCTCTAATGAACGCCGCCCTATGATTAACGCCGCCCTATATTGAACGCCGCACCTTCCGCCATTTGTGAAAAACGCCGCGCTCGGATAAACGCCACCCTCTTTTAAACGCCGCATCTTGATAAGCGGCGTTCATTAGAAAACTCACCATACAAGAAGTAACGAATAGTTACTACGCTTACTATCCGAAAGCTATGGAAGTTGTTATGGCATGAGATGAGGGCTCTGATGGAGACAGGGATATTGACATTTCTTGACATTTCCAAAACGTTAACACATCTCTTACAAACTTTGAAAAAATATTCGCACAATCTTTATTACGTGTTTCTTGGAAACTAAAAAATTGTTTAGAGTCTGTTTTTATCACTTTTCATCGCACTTTTCTTGTCTTTTTGCATTTGACAAACTTTTCATTTTGTATTAAACGCCGTATCCAAAATTTGGATTTTGAAATAAACACCTTGCGTTCTTTGGAGGAAATACTGTTTCATTCTTTTTACTTGATAAAGAGATCAATCTCAGCATTTTAAACACAGGGATACACGCAGAAAAATTAAGATATCAACGATTCGCATGGGAAATTTGCAAAAGTTCTGGCTGAATCGAAAGTGTGGATTAAAATTGTAAACAATCAGAAAGAAACGAAAGCATAAAATCGCAACAGGAACATAAAAATATGGATTGGAAACTTACTTTGATATCTTCATTTTCTTTTTTTCTTTTGCATTTTCTAAAAGGAGGGTAAAATAATTGTTAAGTATTATAATTTCTTTAAGTTGAACAACCCTAAAGCCCGTGCGTAAATGTTCCAATTCGGTCTTAAATGTTCCCATCGTTTGCGAAATATGAAAGGTGCCGCTGAGATCATCTTGGCTTTGAAGTATGGTCGATGCCAAACTCTGAGATTCCACAAGCATATTTGCTCAACGGATATTGAATTTCACAAAGGGCTTTAATGCCTCTGTAAAAAATTTGATACAGCATGTTAATCTCTCAAGGTTTTGACTGCATTTGGACTGGGTTCATAAATAGGAACAAGAAGTCTTGCCATCCATTTACAGATAATCGTCAATATAATTAAAACAGCTTTGGCAAAGACCTTCCTTGCTTGTATTATGCATTTCTGCCTTTTTGGCTAGGCGATCCCCGCCAAAATGCACAGAGAGCGAGCGTCGTTCGCTCACAGGTAAATCCTGCAACCAGATACAAGCTGCATGGCATATTTCTTCATAAAATTAATCTGAAAATCTCGACGCCGGAGAGGGGGGCCGGTGGGCGGACAACCACTCCCCTTGCCCTTTGATAGGAAAATATCATTTAATATATAAAATATTATAGCAAGGGGGCAAGGGGGCCAAAATGCCCTTTTCATAAAAGTGCTTTTGACATTGGCTTTGTGTAATTATCAAAAAGATTCACATGAAATTCTTACTGTAGTGCCTTATTCACGACGAAATTTCTCAAAACTTGTAAAAACATTTCTTATGACAGCAGTTAGCTCATAAACGAGATGCTTTCAGAACATCAAAATAAAATGACATTTACAAAAGAATTAGTAGAAGCTTGGATTTTTTCAAATGCCCTTTTACTGAAACTTGCCCCTCGTGGTCCATGGTCTTTATTTATTCGTTTTACTTAATCATTTTCATCATTGCAATACAGAGCCGATGCCAATAGGGGGCATGAGAGGGCGCGTCGCCCCCCTAAAAAGCTGTTTAAACCTGAATGCTTGTCGGAAAATTTTAGGACCCTCGACATATCACATCACAAAGACTGGCTGATGATAACCTTTTTAGCTTATTATCATATTTTATTGCTAGTATTTTATGTTGCATTGTCTGAAAAAAGCCAAAGTTGGTCCTTGTGGAATAATTTAATGGTCCTTTGTCTTGACTAGTCACTTTACCAAGAAAACAACTACACCTTGAAGAGATCTATCTGCATCTAAAATATAGCAAATTGGGTTGTACAGTTGGCCACTAGACCAAAACCCTAGTAAATGGGAACTCACAAGCAGATACGCATGCGTAGCATCAATTTACCAACGAAGTAGATATGTTATCGGAAATATTTTTTATCTCCGCCCCCCTATATATCACTGCTGGTGTCAGCCCTGTTGCAATAAATGGTTTCGATTGTGTCCAAGATATAAAATAATGCACTCTGTTACTCTGGGTATCATAGCCACATTAATTTCGAGCGCGCAAATAGAAGACAGGAACGGGAAGCATCCTTGGATAGACGCTCCTCGGTCGAACTTGCGAAATTGGTCAACATTAACGTAAAGAAAATCGCGCACAAATTTATGTGGCTCTGGTACAAAAGGTAGCATATGAATACGATGGATTATTACAACTGTGGTCACTTTTAAGGTCATTCTGAATATTCTTTTATCATATCTGAGCATCAAAATTGCTACATAAAAATAAAATGAAAATAAGCGGGTAAATACGACTTTTCAAGGCATTACATGCATGATCAGTTAGCGTGTACAAACTCCTTTCTATATTAAGATTTCTATATTTATATTTACGTTATCTTGTCCTCCTCTCCCATATTACTTGGAGACGGACCCCGGAACAGGATGGATGGGTAGCATACAACTTACCCCACCTTTTCTTCGTCTCAGAAAAAAAACCTTTTTGTCATGAGCTTTTCTTTTTCAAAAACTCTTGAAAGTTCAAAATCTCTTGAAGTCGAATTAAACTTTGGATGAAAAAGTGTTGAGACGCTCTTGCACGACAGAAACGCTCTTGCGAGAAGAGTTCAGAAGAATTTACTTTGAAGTGGTTTTGACTGTTGCTCAGGGATGGATTTACCGGAGGTGTGAAGGGTAGGCACCCCCTCCCCCATTATTGTTGTTTCCTTCGGTAAATTTTGCTTTAATTCTGTAAAAAGAACTTCTTGGTGGCCAGTAGCAACAAAATGATGCAAAAATCGGGAAAAATATTGCAAAAATTACTTAATTTATCTTCTTATCTTCTTTATATTAAAGCTCAAATCTGAATTTTATTATGGAAAAACACCATTATGTGAAGACAAACCCCAAAAAATTTAACGAGGGTTGTGGCTAAGGTACCCTGGGTACCAAACTCACTATTATTATATATAGTGAGTCTGGTACCCAGGGTATGGCTAAGGTAACGTTTCTTTTTGCAACCTGAGACACGTTGGCGAAATTAGACCTGATGAGTCTTTAGATGCTCTAAGCCTTAAAACACCGAAATTGCTTTTAACAGAGCCCTCAAATAGAAGTTTGCTATTTCAAAAGACCAGGGTCCTTTTAAATGTACAATGATAACCAATTTAAGATATCATATGATCGATATAAGATAAAGAGATTTTACCCAAAAATAGATATATAGATATGAAAATAGATATATTTAAACGCTAAATGAATCCAAAAGAGAATAAATGCGAGTCGATTTCCAATAGCCTGCATTGCTTTTGAAGATATATTTCTCACACCCCATCAGTTCGTTGGGTGTTGCCATTGAAATACTTGAATAGACAACGCCAAGACTTTGAGGAATTTTGGAATATGTGGATTGTTGAAAAACCCAGGAGCGTATTGATACCTCAAGTATTGGGGGAATGTCAAAATAGTTTGCCCAAATTTTCCCGTTTTCGTAAGTTTTCCGAAAATCTAATTGATAAGGATCCTTAAAAATCTTAAAATTGATCCTTAAAAGTTTTCTTCCTGTAGTTTCTTTCCTTTCAACAGCTGATTTTTTCTTGTTGTAACGTTTTTAGAAACTTTCCGTTAACAAATAGAACTTGTGAGTCAAGTTTAGGTCATAGAAAAACGAACCTCTAAACTAACTTTCGAAAAATTGATTGAGCCTACCGTTTCTTATAACCTGTTTCTTAAAAAAAAATGAGTGTATTGCTTCAGTTTGGATCCAAACAGATTAGAGATATTACAAGCCACTCGAACGTTACTAGCAATTAATAATCTACGTCTAAATATCAGGTTCATCTGTGGATTTGACAACCCTGATAACTGATTCTGACGATACTATCCCTTTCATTGAGATTCAAGGCTGTGAAGATCTTCAATTACGATACTTGGAAACGAAATCTAATGAAGCCTGATCATCCTCTGTTTTGTTTTGTCAAAACGCAGTCTCTCGATTTCAAAAATGAGACACTGGGTTTGTTGGGGTACACGAGCGAGCGAAAATCTTCAAATGAGTGAGGCAACCCTCTGTCCTGGAGTAAGAGAGCATGGATAATAATAACTTCGTTTCATGCACATGCTTTTTGACTCCAGGACGGAGGGTTGCCTCACTCATAAAAAACTTTCTCTTGCTTGTCTCTCCAACAAAGGTTTTGAATCTTTGAATTGATAATGAATTTGGGAAATTAATTACTTTGGTTTGCAAGCACATACGTACCGTTTTTTCAAATAATATAAACTGGCAATTACCACGATAACCAGAATAGCTAGGCCAACGATGCAGCTAGTAAGCAGCAGGGTGTTCTTTCTCCCTAAATCAGAATAATTTTCATTTAGTAACGATGGGCGATCAGAATCTCGAAGAAAGAATTAGAATAAGCACATGGTGAAATTTCCATCATTTATCGAATTTCAAAGAATTGCAAGTTCCTTCCTGGTTGTGATTTCAGATTGACAATTGAGACGACACTGTCAAGGGAAGACCTTGGCCTTGCAGCCTACGGGAATTGACAGTTGAGCACCTGAAAATTATACTGACGACAAACTGATGAAAAACTGGGGGGGGGGAGTAATCACATTCACAGCTCCCTTCATATACACCCTGGGCGTTGCTATTCGAGCTAGCACATGTAACAGTAATATATATTATTTCATATTTATCTCTAGAATAATGTAATAGATATTCAATCATTGTATTATAAATATTATCATTATATTGTAAATAGAATATATAGCTTTAATATTTGGCGACAATAAGAATAGATGCTAGACAGTCTTCTTAACTGATCAAAGTGTGAAAAAAGCTAATGAAATTTTCGAAGTGCGAATTGTTGAAGAAGTTAGACTGTCAATAGATTATTGACAATATTTGGCAATGACTTTCCATCCGGGATATTCATTTAGTTGGTCATGTTCAATGTTTCTATTAAAGGCAATCTGTCACGACGTTGATTGATTATAAGAACAAAGGGATTATTTATTGTTTCCAGTCCCCTTTTAATTTATCGCATTGTAAAAAATATGGCGGAGCGCTGAAATTGTGTTTAGGCTATTGTTCCAGCTATTGTTCTCGTTAACCAATCCACAAGAAGACAGATTGCGTTTAAGCTTAAAGGACACTTTCTATTGGTTTTTGGTCTTACATGCTTCTAGCTGATTGGTTGTTGTTATTTATTGTTAATGTGCATATATGTATAAATATGCTGTAGTTGTTTTTTTGAGAAAAGCTTTTTGTAGAAGAATGTAGCTATTTGGTTCCCAGTGCTGACGAAAGGAATTCGGTTGAGATTGATACGAGTTGCGTCTCTCTGGTTCTCTCTGCCTCAAGACAAGTTGAAAAGGGTTGTGAGTCATTTTATATATTGCAGTTATCCTGTAGTTAAAGTGTAGTATAACAAGATCTTGAACTGAAAATTTACTTCAAATGCTTCATGAAATTTAATTCAAATATGTCACCAATTGATTCTCACTTTAGTATTTATACTTTTACAATAAGCCTCATTTTGGGGCTAATCGGCATGGTATCGAGACATGGTTTCAAGGCTCCAGAATATCAAATTATTATCGTCAAGTGTAGGATGATGATTGCTTTTCCTTCTGTCTCTAAACGTTATTGACGTTGTGGGAAAATATTGAATAGAGCAAACGCCATCTCGAAGCAATGGTAATATAGAAACGCCAGAAATTTTATTTTCTTACCCCCAGAATTTTCTTTCTGTGTTTGTGCATACAGACAAACTGTACTTGTAGGATTACTGCATCCAGCTTTATTGCAAATGCTAATTTCAACATTGGTATTTGCAGTTGCATCAAACGTGAAAGTTTCAGACGTTTCAGGTTTCTGGTAAACGGTAAAGAACATCTGAGTTCCAGAGAAAGAAACTGAGATTTTAGTCTCCAGGTTCTGTCCGATATTTCGAGGAGTTGCAGGAATCTAGCAACATAATAGAGAGAGTATAATTATAACTAGAAATAGCTCTTGCTAGTACTGCCCGCAAACAATTAGTTCCTTGATAATGATTGTTTTGAAAATTTAGGTCAGGATATTCGAAGAATACACCATCTTGGGTTTTTATGAGAACCGAGCTGTGATGCAGCACCGTTTTCGTGCCAAAAAAACCGAAGGCCTTAGCAGAGTCTTGGCAGAGCAACGCTCCGAAGATAGTTCCCTTCCGCACAAAGAGGTGGCGGTTAACGACCTCCTCGACAAAGCCGATTGATTGACAATTAAATTGATTGACAGTTGTCATGGCAGCAGTAAAGTGACAAAATCTGCTGACAAAGTGCTGACAACATGAACTGAAGCTTCCATATGCTACTTATACGCGGGGCAGACTATAAGCCCTTCACTCGCGCGCTATCGCGCGCGAGTTGCGGGCAATGATAAAGAGAAGAGGTGTACAGCTCAGGGAGGGGGTGCTCAAGGCGACTGAGCCAAAATAGCCCTTGTAAATGCTAAAATAGCCCTCTTCTACTTTTTGCTGTTTTTGAGAAATTTTTTGTGAGGGCCTTCTTTTGCACTTTCCCTGGCTAAAAACTAGACCGAAGAGGGGGAGGGCTCTGTGAGCGAATAGAATGTTATATAACGTTATATAGCATTAGTGTAGAACGTTATATAACAACCTGGGACGCGGTTTGAAATACTATGTGGTAAGGTAGACCCAGTTCGCATGCGGGTTAAGCGACTGACAGGAACAATTTCAGGTCCAAGCAGTGTTCAAATGTTGTAAATGTGTATAGCCTTCATCTGGACAAAACCCCTTTGAAAATCTTCCTTACAAAACAATGAAAAGGGCGGGGTTTGTGTGTGGGGCGTTTGTTTTTTGTTGTTGTCGTCGGCCTTCCTAGCGCACGTCGAACGTGTTAGTGACGGCTATATTTTCTGAGTTCTGTAGAGTTCGTGACTTACCCTGAGTGCAAGAGCCTTAGAGAGTCAAAGGATGAAGAACGAGAGAAGGAATTGCGAAGGAGAATGAAAGAGGAAAGGGGAGGCTTGTCTCTCCCTTTTCCTTTTCCATTCCCCTTCGCAATTCCTTCCCCCGTTCTTCATATTCCTTCCCCCGTTCTTCATATTCCTTCCCCCGTTCTTTATCCTTTGACTCGCTGAGACTCTGGTACCCAGGGTTTTCTTGACTCAACTAAACGATACTGCAAAGGTAGAAGGACAAAAGATGTAGGCTAGGGAGGAAAAGCACCAAGAAAGGGTAAAAAATAGCAACTGAAAAGAAAATTGGTATTCCTGAGGGCAATGGAGGGCAACTGCCCCTTGTGCCCCCGTGATCTTGGATAATACTGGCAACAGCTCCTTGTGTCCCGTGCTCCAGAGTAATATTGCGTTTCAACTGACAGAAAAGGCCAAGTGCTGCTGAAGCACGATCAAGGTATACAGGCTCAAATATTGGAAAGATATTTCACAGGCCAGTAAAATCTAGCTCACTGTCACTTACCGTCCATGAAATGATAAAAAGTTTTGATGTATCATTGAATAATGGAACACAACTGGCGTTGACGGCTGGTTGACTTCGAGTAACTGGAAAAAAAATTATTTAAATTGGACTGCTAAAAAGTAGCTCATTTACAGCTAGTTTAGGCCTACAACGCATGTCAAATAATCAACAAAATTTTTCAATATAAGATGCGAGGAGCATGAAAAAAGTGGCGGTTATTTTCAAGAACATCCAAAATCATATATGCAGCCACGTTAAATTAATTCTGGACGTCCCCTAGTCACCCAACCCTTCATTCTTCCGCTTAAAGTACGAAACAGGAACATTCCAGACATCGGGGGAAACAACGGACATTTTTCATATTTCACGCCATTTCTTTTTCATGAGTTGAGCCCAGGGGCGTAGCTAGCGTGCAGGGTGACACTCCCCCTCCGGATAATTTATAAGATGGTCGGTAAATCTTCAGTTGGTGAACAAAGTCGTCTATCTGTAGGGGAAATATCACAAATTCATAACCCTCCATTTCCCTAGTCTGGAAGGTCAGTGGTTGAGCCTCTGTTTCGTAAAAGGTATCAAAGAATACTCACCTATGTCTGGCATGTGGACAGTGACGGGGGCAGCAATCTTGGATGATGGCAACGGCAGACCGGACACGATAAGGTGGTAGATTACGGCAAAGGTATAATTCCTCAGTGGAAGAAAGCCATGAAGCAATGTTGTGTTCACCGATGGCTTCAGCATAATAGACTTTGATAAAGAAACATTATGCAATAATGCTGATTTAAGATAGAAGAGAGAAAATAAAAAATATACAATACACCTGATTTGTATAAGAGTCGTTTATCTACAAAGAGAAACCTTGGATCTGGCCGAGAAATCCGAGAAGATAGAAATATCGAAATTCACAATTTTTTGCCCGCAAGGCAAACTATATAAACAGATCTACCCCTTTCAGTTTTCGTTGGAACAGCTTTGAGCAGCATAGAGCAGAACACCACAAATCCTCTCTTATTACAGCAAGTCAAAGTATCATGCGAACGGTACAGCAATTTGTTTATATCTTGTCTAATAAAAACTCTTATCAAATTGTGTCATAGGATAAAATACGCTCTACTTGTGCATTTTGACCTTAAAAACCTATTCCTGGAGGCATGGACCGCGCAGCATTCTACATATTGAGGGGGCTAAAACGTTTTAGGGGGTTAAACATGCTAAAAACCAAGAGCAGGACGATTGTTTGCATGGTTTAAAGTATATATGCAGAAATTTGGGGGTAAAACCCCCGTAGTCCCCCAGTTCCGCGGTCCTTGCCTGGAAGAAATTAATGTTGTAGCAAACTGCTTTCAGAGCAATACTATCAAACCGTTAATAAAGGAGGATAAAGAAAAAAAATTGAAAGGACTTGAAGGGTGGTAAAAGAGTGGTCTCGAAGAAAGAGGAGTGGCTGCTCTAAGTTATGTTAATGCAGGTACCGATTTTTTATTTTCGCTTGGCTCAAGAATCGAGATGATAACATTGCTATAGAAATATGTTTGTTCAAATCAAGCTATAATTATATATTTCGGTCTCAGCAATAGGTAGAGGTTTAAAATTTTTGCTTACGAATGCTGATTACAAAAACATTTTTTTTATTTTCTAACAAGGGGGGAAATAGACTCCTTTTTCGTTTGTTTTCGAAAAGTTGCTTTTTATTTAGAAGGTACCAAGGGTGGATGAGCCCCTCTACCAATTCTCAGGATGGGCTTGAGACTCCAGTTCCACAAGTAGTTGTCTATCCGTATTGATTTCAAAGTGAATTTAAAGGCTGTTTCAAACCTGGTATCTTGATGCATTGTCCGACTGAATAAGGACTTTAATAATCATTTGAATGCTTTCGGTTCTGAAGTTTCCAACATCACGGAGAAGATCAATTCTTTTCCAAGAAAGCTTCACTGTACGATGATCGACAGCAAACGCTTTCAAATCTTGCACTGGTTCGCTGAAATCTAATGAAATAGAAAAAATAGGCCCTAACATCAATGAAAAGCGGGTAGGCTAAAATAGGCCACTGTAGTATGTTATTCGTATTTTTGAGGTCTTTACATAGAAACAGATTAAAATTATTCGGTCTATGCCTATGATATTCAAATAAGACAATTTCACGAAGAAAGCTTCATATACAGAGGTTTGCATTTCAGTCCGAAAGGAGTCTACGGCTATAACCAGCCGCAAGGCGCAGTCTCTGGGCCTAAATTATTTAGCATTTTGATTTTCGGCCAATGCAATTATTGCTCGGTGTTCTAACTACTTTTAGTAGGAGTTGCGTGTTTCAAATTGAATTCAAAAGTAAAAAGGAATAGCTCACTTGGTATTTCCACTTTAAATCGGGTCGTATTTTCCGATCTACCACAAGCTGTCTTGACTGTTGCTCGTAGTTGATATTGAAAATTAAGTAAGACTCTGCTATGGAGTAAGATGCAATTGTAGTATGTGCGTGAATTAGTCGTATTGGAGTCGCACCGTGAAACTGGCTGCCAGCGAGTCACACATAGCGGGTAGATGTCGAATGATGAATCGCATTTGTATTCGATAGCGTACGATAAACTGGAGGGGAATTTATCGTCAATAGGTACAGTGAACTGAATGAAGAAGAGATGATCTTCGTAGTATTGGTGATGAACGATTCGTATTGATGCATTGAAAGCTGCAAGGAAAAATTAGGGATTGGTAGTGAGAGTCGATCAGGGAGGGGCCGGAGGAGGGATGACTAACAAGTGTCACACCTGGTTAGCTTTAATTTTTCTTGTAAATAAAGTACACTCTTTTGAGCCTCTGTTTCGCTACAGCCTCTGTTGTAGCCTTCGCAAAGTGAGGCAGAGGCTAATTGAGTAGGTCTAAGGGTTTAAATGGAAGATTGCAAATTTTGTGATACACCCTATTGTTCTATCATATATTGCGATAAATACTGTTTCATTAGAAAATTGCAAGTTTGAATTTCCAGCTAAGTTTCACTTCTTTTCTTATTCCTTGTCACTGATTTAACGCACAGGATCTTGTCGATACCAGCAAGAGTGTCATAAAGGTAGGCAATTTCGGCAAAAAAATCGTGTATCATTATTAACAGGGAGGCCATCCTGAAAAAATTTATGAACTGGGAATGTGCTGTAAGCAATTTCTAGAAGCCACACCCATGACCGCACCTTTATACTTGCATTCGCATTAAAGATTCTCTGTTGTGCACATGAAATCGTTCAAACTATTCATTGGCTCAGGGGCATTGTGGCTAGGCGTGACCCCGGAGATTTCCCGGTGTGCCCCTTTCAAATAAGTTTGTAAAACCCAGGAAAACATTTTATGCGAGAAATTTCTTGGTAAAAAAACCCCTCATTGAAATGTAGACTCAAATTAGAGACTTGAAGGTAAACATTAACTAACAGGGCGCCATGAAAGGGATGCGTAGATTATGAACAGGGCTTCCGAGAGGGGGACAAGGAGGGACAAATTAACCCAGAATTTCGAAGTATAGGGGGCCTCTTGAATTAAGGAATCCATTTTAAGAAGTGAATTTTAACGAAAGGCAACAAGGTAAGCCTAAAACATTTGCGAGAAAATGACTGCAAGAAATACTCTGAAATGTATTTCAAGCTAATCTATAGGGAGTGGCCGCAAAATTTTTTCTGCCCGCTTCGCTCGCAGTGCACGTAGGTTTTCTATCTGGGTTTGTATCAAACGTGGACTACAAAACTAGTAACTATTTAATTTTTTATTTAGCCATATTTGGCGACCTGTGGTTTGTGATTGGAGATGCGATACAAAAGAGCTGGCACCCATTTTATTATTTAATGGTCCTTTTCTAGGAGCCACAACGCCTCTGCACTGGCTCAAAAACACTACTAGAAAAATTACTAGATTTTATTCAAATTATGTTCCAACGCATTCGTGTAACAATTTATATATACGAGATGGAAAATACTAGCCCATACGTAAAATAGCTTGTCCAAAAGAGTGTGGAGCTTGCGCAACCGGCATGCTTTGCGAACAAATTATCAAACCGGCCTAATATCGTATTACATGAAAATACCATTTCTCATCGCGTTAGAAAACAGCTACCACAAAGCATGGCAACCTTCAAGCCAACGTCACCTTACCTGCATGAGTTACAACATTGAGATTTGTTTTAGAGCTCCTGACTCCTCGCTGATCAAGTTCTTCACAAGAATACAAACCAGCATTTTCTGCTCTATATTCTTTTATCACAAGCTGGCTGGAATTGTTCTTTTGAATTAATTTATAATCATGTCGGCTTATTGTTAGCCCGTTGAGGCTCCATATAAACTTTGATCCTTTTGAGCCCTCACAAGTTAGGGTTAAGTTGCCCCCAACGCATGCTGCCACTGTTGTCCCTTCCTTTTCAAGACGAAACAAGTATCCTAAGAAAAAACGCATTAATGAGCACTCTATAAGGTGTAGAAAATTTAACGAGTTATTATTAGAAAAAGCCTTCTAGGATCAAATTAGGAAAAGATAGGCGGAGAAACAAAATCTACAAAAAATAAAACTTTCCAAATGAATTTGCAGAACATGTAAAGATAAAGGAAAAGATAAATTACATAAAGAAATCTACTATACATCCCAATTTTACGTCCAAAACAATAATTGGTTTGCAAAATAAAATGAAAAATATGGTTCTTTGACAGGATCCTTGAAGGACATCAATCTCAATCAAGGGTGGTAATACATTTTAGGGGGAAGACCCACTGAAGGAATCATCATAACACGTTCATCTGATATTAAACCACAGAATAGAAATTCTTTTATGTGACAAAACTCTTGTCTCTAATCCACTTTTTGGGTTCAGGTCGAGAGAGGTATTACATATTCGACTTTTTATTTGAAATTTACAGGGACATAATAACCAAATTAATTTCTAACTGGGTTGCCTTATCTCCTGAACTGCTTCTAATTCCATACAGTGTAATATGATCACAGTGTAATTCCATAATGATGAAAAAATATAATTTGAAGTCATATAGTATTAGTCCTGGCTCCAATCGGTTGATCTTATGGCTTTTTGGTATTGCTCCTGGTAAAATTACATTTAGAAAATCATTTTGGGGCAGTGGAGCGTGCAGCACTCTCAAAGGCTGCGATCCTGTAATGACATATTTTATTAAATTTCTACGGTTTGCAAGCAACACGAATGGATTTTGGAAATGATGTTGGAAAATTTCCAGAAAATAATTGGGCATGTCTTTCGTTTTAAAAAATTGCGGGGGAAATGTGGACAGTGCCGTAGGGAGGCTAGAATTATTTGAGAAAAATAGGAACAAATGAGATTCCAATAAGAACATTCTGAACAAAGGATTTCCTTTTATTTTAAGGGGCTTGAAACCCCCCAACCCGGCGTGAATCTGAACCCACCATTAATCCACCTTCTTTTTTCCCGCCCCCCGGAAGTATTCAGCAGATTCCTGCAACTATATTTTGAAATTGGATATGCCATTGAAAAAAATTGCATCGTGAAAAGCGGAAGCTGCCAAAGAACTAGCAGGCCTAGGCCTTCAATACAATAACTTCCCCATCATACTCACAAAATTGGGATAACAATACAAAATAGATTTATTCCAATGATTCAATCCTATATAGGAAACTACGGATCCATTTTAAGACGTTGTGCGAAATTGGTCTTACAATCATCGATTTTGATCCAGGCAGCTGATGCCAGTAGACCTTTTACTTCCATAGCAGTGGTCGGTGATGCCTCGACGGCATATAGGCCATTCAATTCAGAGTCTACTGCACTAATGAATGGTCGGGAACAAAAACCGGCAATGTTAAAACTAAAAGGATTTGATTTCCAAAAATCGATTCACACTGAGTTCTCCTCTATTAACTATGCACTGAGTCATACAACGCATTCATTCGTTGATCAAGTTAAAATAATTGGAAATAAGGAAATGAAAATATTAGAGTGAACAACTAGCAAATTACGGTTTCTCGCAATGGTGACATACCTGCAGAAGCTTGCCCATTTATAAACAATGTGACCAACAAAATCGTCGCTGTGCAAAATCTGGACATCCAAATTGATATTTCTAATTTTAAATCTTCCCTACGGATTTGTCGCTAGAGAAAATGTAGTTTTTTTCAAATATGATGCCAGACGTTGCGACCCGGCATCTTTCCCTTTCCAATATCAAGAACAATCAATGCGGAAGTGTGGCTTTGCTTAGTCACATGATCCACATAAGATTGGCTTTGGGGGAGACCCTTTCCAAAAAGCTATAGTTAAAATTTTGTAATATTTTGTAATTCTACAGCAGAAATTGACAGGGCCCCTGACGAAGGGGACCGGCGGATCATGCCCCCTCCCCCCAATTTTCGCGAAACAGAAGAGTTTTTTAAAAAATGTTTGTAATGGCTTTTAAATTTTCCTTTTAAATTTTAAATCCCTCCCCCTTACTTTCCAACCTGTGTCGGAGCCCTTTATTTATGATGTTATATATGTAACTTTTATTGATTGATTTATTGAGTCGGGGGCCCCGAGAAAAGCTGAATAAGCCTTAGATCACATGTTTTACGGATTCATCTTTTAAGCTGAGTTTCCCTGAGTTTCATAAAATCAGTGGCGAAGCCAAAGGTCGTGCCCGTCGTGCCCGGCACGACCATAAACTTCCAAAAGTAAGGTTTTCACATATTGGCAAAAATTCATTTTGCTCCGCGAAAAGTTTTCAAATATAGACAAAAATTAGTCGTATAATCGACAAATCGATCAAGCTTATCCCGCAGACATTAGTGAATTCTACTCGATTCGCCCAGGGCCCCTGGAATTATTTCAGGAGCGGAGTAGAAATCCACAGGTTTTCATATTGGTCGTGCCCAAAATCTGGTACCTTGTGATTTGGTCGTGCCCAACAATAGAAGCTTCAATTGGACAGCCTATGTTTGGTCGTGCCCAACAATAGAGAAAAACAATGCTAGTCGTGCCCTCAGAAATGAGCACGACCTCGTCATAATAATAATAATAGTTGAGGTACGATTTCCAGCATTTGATTGGCTGAAGCTGGAGGAAATCAATCACGAGGTCGTGCCCGCTTCTGAAGGCAAGACTATCTGCACCCTGTGTCATTGGGGCATACTTGTCAATTCTGCAGGCGTTTGTGGATGTTGCTGTGATATCAGGGTGATTTGAATGGTGCATGTAAATGTTCCAGTCCAATAAACCGTTGTAATTTATCAGGAAACTGGTTAACGACTGTGGAGGGATTGTTTCATAGTTATTTTGACTCAGCCTATACGGAGTCAATCCAATGGATCTCTTTGGTAGGCGAACAAGTTCTCATTCACCTAAACAGAATCAAGATCTTCAAATGTGCAAGATGCTATCTTATCTAGAAAATGGACAATAATTTGAATATCATCTGGATGTTCAATAATTTGAATATAATCGTGATCAGAATGGAAAATATGGCAGTTTTTCGCTCGGATTTGTATCAGAGAGACGCACACTGAACGGGATAAACTCAATCAATTAATCAATAAAATAATCAATATTTATTTTGACAACAGTATACTTAGGTGTTCAAGACGAACATATTATGGACATTTGGGGCAAAACGTACATAAATATATATTCATTTTACATAAGTTATGAGGTGTTTGATGTATTTTTGGCCTAGAATCTTCCCAGTAGAAAGTTCTGAATTTTGAAAGTATTTATAGTAGAAAACCTCTTTGCAAATTAGCTCTACTGGAGTTTTACCCTCCTTAAAACACGTGAAAGGGAAAAATGAAAAAGCATTGATCAACCTGTTGATGATTTTGTTTATGTTTCTGATGATATGTTTTCAAGCTCAGCCTAGTGATTTTCTGATTTTTTCCCTTGCTTTCCATGTAATTTGGTTGTGTGCAGTTTCCTTGGGTGTGTTTGTCTTAAATAAGCAGGGTGAAATAATCTTTAAGCTATTACACATACCCCCCTTAATTTTTTGCTCAAGAAACACTGTTGTCTGCAAATAACTCTCAGGCTAATGATTATTCTGTATTAAGTTTGTGACCCCAGTCATCTGATCTCAGTATTTCCACCTAGCTGGACACTGAAGAAATTTATTGAACATTCTTCATTTGTGAATGCTGCCCTGTTTATTCAAAAATTGTCATGATCTGTTTTTCAATGATTAATTTAATGCTGCTTTTCAATTGGAGTTTTATTCAAACCTTATAATGGTTATTTCATCTTATGCAACTTTCAAATATTGTCATACATAGTGTAGTTTATCATTATCTCATAAGGCATAACCTTAAATTAAGTATCTAATTGATTGGTGAATCTCTGTGAGTGGTTTGGTTTAGCTTAACAAAGTGGCTACCTACAAATCTTAATGCAACAAACCTGATGAAAAAACAGGTCTCAAGGATTTTAAAGAAAGATTGCCTTCATTCTGCCACTCACTATTTAGTGCTTTTTAACTGTGGCTAGATCAATAATGCTGCATCACAGTACTGTCTTCAGCAGATATTCTAATATTTCTGTTTCATCTGTTTCATTTGTCATCTAATTCTTGATACATGTCTTGCACTTCACAGTCAAGTTTGCCTTTAAAGCCAAACTTTTGCCTCTTTTTTAAATTAAATTCTAAATTTTATGTGTGCAAAACAAATAGTGCTTGCAATTATTATACATTTGAAATCTGAGTCCACAGGTGTATATTTTGGTCTCATTGTTGCAATAATTTGATAAAATTTTAGAAAAAGTTTGTTGTTCAAGCTTTATTATCCTGTGAACTGATATTTGAGTAAATAATACCAAAAATAAAAAAAGTTGCCAGGGACCACCATCACACTTTGGGAAGAAAATGAATTTTGAGTATCAGCCAGAGGCAGGGGAGACACAAAAGCAGCTTTTATACTTTTAATTTTAGTTTGTTTCTATCTTGTCAGAAAAGTAATGCAGTGCCATGCAATTGCTATATGAGCTCCTTAGATCACTGAAATATTTTTTTTTGATAATATTGCGGAGGCGCATTTCTGTTGCGCAGTGGCCAATTGGCACGACCATCCATGGGAGTCCAGCTTCGCCACTGCATAAAATAGTACTTATTGGTGGAAGGGAGCCCTGATAAAAAATTAGGTAGCCCATGTAATCTTGTTTAATCTATGGCCCGTTCAAGTGAGTTATGTCTGCATTTAGACTCGTTGCCTAAAGCTATATTATATTTTTGGGGCTCCTTTCAGCAAACTAGCATTAATAAAGAACCGCTTACGTTCAACAATGACTCAAGACAGACTATCAAGCCTCATGACTCTTCCGATCGAGCACGAACCAGCAAGACAAATTGATTACGACAATATCATTAATCAGTTTGCAACTGAAAAAGCAAAAAAAATTAACTTTTTTAAGGACGAAAGAACTGAAAAGCATAGTTGGCATTTTCCTGGAAGCATCGCTACTTTACCAGATTTCAGACTTTCAAGAACATTCGGGGGCAAAGCCTTTTCCAAAAGTGTCCAGGTAGGGGAAAACCAGGATGAAGCAGCTTAAATTGTAGTTCCATTTTTGCTTGAGTTGCAGTTGTTGAGAAAAATGACAAGAATGAGTGTAGCTATATTGGTTATCTGCATATAATTTAGCACTGAATATAGAGTTGTTGCTTGTGAATGAAACGGGCTACCCATTAGCAATAACGAAAAGGGTGCGTAGCGCAACCATCTACTTCACTTTAACGGATTATAGGATCATAAGCATCGTTTTTAAAGTCTCCTTTATCACCGCTATCTGCTCTGTCGAGATCCACGTAATTCTCTTTTTAAAAAGCAGCACAACATTGACAGCCTTTTAGCATGGGCATACCAATGCCAAGAATTCTGCACCACTGCGGCATGAAGGAGAAGATGTTTTTACAGAATGGAGTGCACCACATCACTTTGCTGTCATCTTTTCTCTTGGAAGAGCCAGAACTTCACCTCCTCAGTTTACAATCTGGAGCATATTCCCTTGGATTTTCCTTGTACGATCGAAGGTGTTTTAGCCATTTGTATCTTTTCCATAGCATATGATAATTGGTTTACCCTTCATGATGTAACCATTGGCAAATTCCAGAGCTCTTCTTGATGTTTCTACATCTAGCGAAACAAATATTAACTCTTAAAGCTAGTAAACAAGCAATTATGCTAAAATTCAGAACCAGGATTCTTCTAGGGGAGGTGTATTAGTGGGTGGTGCTTACTAGAGGGAATAAGGTATGGGCAGGAGTGTACTGCAGTGAATTAAGGAAAAAGGGCAACTCCCAAAAAGCTTAGAATAGCAGTATGGTATTGGCGTTTTCAAAAAGGTCCTAGCTCACTGTATAAGTCCGGTGAATTGACCTAAAAATCAAGCATTAAATTATTTAGAACTATTAACAATAAGTCTTGAAGTTGCATGAGCTCACATAAGAAGAATCAATTATGTAAAATCGTTTGGGTATCACTACCAATGCCATTAAATAAAGAGGCATAGAAAACCATTTAGCAAACAATCTCAAAAGCAAAAAAAGTAGACTGCGGATACCTTAAGTCATTGTTAACCTGTTCATTAAAAAGTGAAAACCCGAAGGCTCAAGAGAATCTGGATACGTGATACATACACCTAGTTGCCATATATGCAGAGTAGGTGCGGCGGAATTAGTGTATAACTGGTCGCCTAGGATCAATAACGCTCTACCAGGAAAATGACATCTAGAAATATGCACTAACATTCCGACCTTGGTTTGTCCGGCGATTCAAGGGTGAAGCTTAAAGTCCGGCGGGTCATTACGGGCAGCAACACTTCAGGATGGCATTGGCAAGCAGAAATATTTTGTTTTCAAACGAGAAGCCCTGAATAAATGAAGTGAATTAAATCGAAATCGAATTGAATTGAATGGAACGGAAGCGCATTTCCGGTAGCAAAGGAACTAATGGATTGTGTAAATAGCAGAAATACCTTTAAACTGAACGAACGCCTGTCCCTTCATCCGCCCATCCATTATTCGGTATTCCATGACTGGTGACTCAAGAGACTCAAATCGAACGAACAACTCCGCTAGGTCTTCCTTTGTTGTGTTGCGGGGAAGATTTTTAATGTAGAGTTTCTGTAACCAAAATTGTGGGAAAATGAAAGAATAGCATATGAAAGGACTACATTCAAAACAAGGTGTGAAAAGAACATAGGCAAAATAGGTTGTGAAAAGTAGGTATACAAAGATGTATAAAGAAGATAGCTCTCGAACTATTTCAAAGAAAATAAAAACTCCTCAAGTAAATAATTTTAATGAATAATTATAAGATATTGACACGTCATTTCACTAGAGGAATGATATATAAATATTGAAAATAATTCGTTGTGCAACACTTTTAGAGCTTTTATATTTCAATATTTTCAGAGAGGTAACTTTAAAATATTTTCTACAGAGAAAACTGTTTGTTTTATAAAAGGTCCTAGCACAAAAGAGCGTGGTCATTATTTCACGACAGTCTCTCTAAAAACTAAAATTTCTCTTAAAACAGCCTAAAAAACGAAATAAAAGAATAACGAATCCTTTATTTAGTGGTAGTGGTATGATCGTAGCAACTGGAAATCAGAGGGTCTAAGGGGGTGGTACCAACAAATGTAAAGCTCAGCAACGCCCTATGTACTCTAGGAAAAGAGGCGATTCCCTTTTGAATAAATAAGAATAAAAACTTTCTCAATGACGTCAAAATCCAATGGATCTGCTTACCCCTAGCCCCATCAATGTCCTGGGATTTTTTGACAAATTTTAAGGGAGATATCTTAAAAATTTGGGGAAAAGACTCCCTCCATTCCCCCTTGTATAACAGGCCTGTGATCTAAATAATTAAGTCTATTGAAGGAACGTTTTTAATATTGAATCTAGATATAAAGAAACCTAAATATAAAGGAAATTGATAATTCAATTTCACTAGGTTTACTACTACAATCTTCTGAGGCTTTGACTGCATAAAAGAAATGAGGCAGAAAAGAATTCGTCCGCTGCTTGGAGATGACTACTCCAATAGGGATGTTCTTGGAGGGGGGGGGCGGGGGGAGGTTACGATTGCTGGAATGTAAACGTTATGGGGCTGTCACGAAAAAAGATAACCTTGCTTGGCACTCCTGGTTCATAATTGCTAAATTTTGCAATACTCCGAATCTCGGTCACATCAAGTTTGTTTTTGCTGACTTCTTTTTCATCCAATGGTCTCACTCGAACATGGATCGGAGCCAGTATAGGACCCACAAATGTCTGCTCATTGTCGCTTTCTTCCTCATCCTCATCCTCTACTTTCTTAGTTGACTCATTTGTTTGCTTGCCTAACGATATGGCAGTTTTTGCAGACCTTCGCTTTCTTTTTTCTCTGTCCTCGTATTCTTTAAGCGTTTTCATAACAGGATCATCATCAGGGAACTCTTTAAAGGAAAAATGTTGCTTTATCAACTATTTGTAAGTAGCATAATATTTACGCTTTACGTTGTTTTACAGGTGTATGGAAGTATAGCCACGAAAAATGGAACAAAAAAAAAATTAAACCGAGGAAGTTTGTGGAAACGGTGACATGGAAAACAAGATGGAGGCAATACCGAGTCAAAAATTTTGAAATGTATGATTAACTTTTAATATTTCACATGAAGGTTTTTAGTAAAAAATAAAACTTTTGAATTTATCATGATATTGACATATGCTTTATCGATCACATCTCAGCCTGTTCAATCATAAAGATGACATAAATTTTAATTGATATTGCAAATTAACTTGGTTGATCAGGGTAATGATAGTACATTTTGAAATTATGATATTCTGAGAAGGTACTTCTGGTGTATACATGCTGAAACTATTGCAGAAAGATTGAAAAAATTAATCTGCAAATCAACACCAATCAAAACCAGTAATGAACCTTGTGTTTTGGCTCTGAGAAGATGCTTCAACTCTTCTGCCTTCTTTGTTCCCCTGTACAGAGATTGCTCTATTTCAAGTTCATGTCTTGTCATTTCTTTTGCACCAGTAAAACTGCTATCAAACTTTTCCTTGAAGAAAGTAGACCCAAAAATAATGCACACAATGGTAATATATAACAGAATCAAACACCGTATTTCGCCGTGTATAAGACGCACTTTTTTCAAATTATTATTGGCTTTGTTTGAGGGTGCTTCTTTCACATGAAAACATTGACTACCCAATCATTTCCTTTTGAACAAAAGCGTCATTTTATAGACATAATATTATTACATTTGGCACACCTGTTCTCTTAATTCGAATAATTGCACGTTTACCGGAAATTTATTAAAAACTTCTAATTCTCCAGGCGGGATAGAAAAATAACTGAAAAAGCTTTCTTACTCCCAAATGGAAAGGTTGTACCCAGCATCCTCTTATTCGGAAGACGCATCCCTGTAATCGTTGTGAATGTTGTGAATATTGTGAACGAAACAGATAACGAGCAAGAATTTTATGGATTTTAAAACATGTAAACGTTAATTGCGATTTTCATTATTTTATAATGTAAAACTTTCTACTTGATGATTTTAAACGTAAAAGTTTAACGTAACGTAATATTTGAAACATTGCGGTTTGAACGAATTTTCCTCCACAGAGTTAGTGTCTATAGTATTCTCGAGTTTATTCTTCCACTAAATATATATATATGCTTTACCAGAACTGAAAAAAGAGGTGCGTCTCATACACAAAAAGACACGGTAAAAACTATTCTTCCAGAACTCAAACATGGAATTAAGGGTTATACAAGAATGCGTCTTATAAAAGGCAAAATATTGTAGCTTCAAAGTTCTTGACAAAATAAAAGATAAATAAATAGACGAATAAGTAGATGAATAATAAAACAGAAGTTAGCATTCGGTTAAATACAAAGGGTAAATAATGAATGTTCTCTGAAATTAAGAATGTACTGTAAATCCTCCAATAAGACCCCAAGGAGCTTATTAATTAAGGAACTTTCTTGAGGGGGGGGGCTAATTCGAGGGGGATCATTAAAATAATCTATAAGTTGCCATACAAATAGCCCACCTTGCTGTTTATTCATAACTCTATAGTTCATTTCATTTGCAATTTTAGTTAATAACCCTGTCTAGCTTATCAAACCAAGGTATAAATCAAAGCACAAGAAGATATGTTAGTCCGAATGAATGCTTTTTTCTTTGCCTTTGGTTCTTTCTTGGTCAATATCTCATTTATCTTCAATCTTTTTTCATTTGCAGTGAATTTTTTGTCAATCATTAACTTAAAGTGTGAATTGTGAATATTTTTGCTGAATCTTGTAAAGCCCCTATTGAGGCTTATCTGAATGTAAAAGTAGCATGTCAGGGTTGGGTATGGTGTGGGGTTTTAAAAAATGTTACTTCTAGGGTAGGGGTTTTGGGAGTAATTCGAAGATTTGCAGTAACTTCCCTTGTCTCACCTGATCCATTGAAGCTCTTGTTTCTTTCGAATCTCCCAAGTCTGAAATCTGCTTAAAAGATTCTAATGTCTGCTGACCTGCTCTTTTTTCTTGTTCATCTTTATAAACTCTTGCTCGGTGAAATATCTTCTTACGAGAAAGCTCACTGAAAAAAATGCAACATATATAAAAACAATGGGTTCTGTATCAATATGTTTTAACTTGTATGTTACTAAAAGCTGTAGATATGTTTTTTATTAGGCAATGTCAAGGAAGGCCCAGAAGCCTATAGCAAGGCCCAAACAAGGGAAAAGAGGGAGGGACTGGCAAGAGAGGGAGGTAAGATCAAGTTTGTTGACTTTAGTTTTCAATAACGACAGGTTGCAAGACTTTGCAAAGAAGGAAGACAGTAGACAAGTCTGAAGTTCAAAAGATCTGGGGAGGAAGGATGATGAGTTGTAGAACTGAAATCCTGCATTTGGCATAGAAACTTGGAAAATGTTTTATTGATAGACTATGTTTCATATTCTGTTACTTATTTTTAGTACTGACAGTAGCAGTTTTTAGGAGGGTCCAGGGGGTCCAGGTCCCGTGCTTATGATAGCTAAAAAGGGCCCTACATCTAAGTAAAAAGATAGAAATTGTAAAAAATAAGGGCCCGCAGACGTTTTTGGTCCCGGGACCGCAGTCCCTAAAACCGCCATTGAGTGTATCCCACCCAATGGTGACACCAGTTACTAGGCTCTGGGTGGAGTAAAACAAACAGATTTTAGACCACATTGTTTTTTCACAAGAAAATGCTCTTTTACCAACATAGAACATCAATTTTACCAGAAGGGGATGCCCATGACTAACTTTGGCTTACGTAAAGATAGTCTGAAAACCATAGGACTACATCCTGAAAGAAATGTAACCCTTCCCCCAACATTTTGTCATAAAAATTAGAGGAAATTTAAAATTGATCGTGCCAAGAACAGGAAGGATGTCTCCCCAGTCCCCCCCCCTTAAACTTCACTTAAACTTCCTGCGTTGGGCTCATAACATCTCCAATCCTTGGTAGCTGCCCCCTCAACTGGATACCCATGAACTGATATTTTCTTGCTATTGTTTTTATCGTTAGGGAAACAGTGCTTCCATATTTCTTTGATATCTTTTTTTTTCTTAACTCAGCTCTGAATGAAACCTGCACAGAAACTTTAAAAGCGCTATCAAAAATGTGTTAATATTGAATTACATAAAGACTGAAAATGTGATTATATTTCCCTGTAAAAAAGTCAAATGTAAATGAAACCTTTCCAAGGTGATGTTGGTAGCCAACTGTTTCTGAACCATGCTTTTTAACTGCAGTTCAGCCTCTGAAATTTGCTTCTCCTTTGGAGGCTCGTCAACATTGTTTGTTTCATAAGGAACTTTTGCTTGAGGCCCCATCTTAATGACACCATCAGGTCTGAACCTCTTCCTTTGTGAACTAGAAAATTATTTGCTGGTAAGAAAACATGATTTCACCCTAACTTTGCAATGTTACCTCTGATATTCTGCCATTAGACAGCAATTGCTAGAGAACCCATATTGTTCCAAAAACTATATTAGCAAAATGTTTTATAAAATTGGCAGAGCAGAGGCATCATTTTATCTAGCAATTTTTGAAAATATGCATTAAAATCAAAATTTTGTAGACAGAAGATGTTTGGTTTTTGCCCTTTGTTCAGGGAGATTTTAAAAGACTTGCTAAATTCACATTATTGTATTCTTTGGTTTATTTGAATAATCAGAGTATCACACAATGAACTTTTCTTAATAATGGCAAGAAATTATTAAATGAATTTCTGATACTAATTTATTGTTGTAATGAGTGTAATGGATCACTGAGCAAATGGCAGAAATGTATATGTTATTTATCATCAGCAAAAATAATTATTTTACTATAATCCAGCTGCTAGAAATTACTTTTTCTGACAAAAAAATCATGAATTACCTTATTTGTCCATCATCTTTGCTACCTCCATGATTGTTTGTCAACATTCTAAATCAATGATCCTACAAGAATTATTGCAGTCAGTTTGTAGGTTCACCATGCCTAAACTTCACAAAGGGACTCAGCAAGATACTTTGGGGGACAACAAGGATAACTTTAAAAAACACTATTTAAATAAAGATTATTTAAATATTTAAACCAACATATTCTGTATGCTGCATTCATCACAAATTAAAAAAGTGTTTTTTTCATTCCTCTATACAAGTTACTGAATATGTAACTGTTTATCAAGTTACTGAATGGCTATGTAACTGTTTATCAAGTTACTGAATTCAATTATGAAGTTGATTCAATGCCCAGAAACTATTTCCCAATTTCACTAGTCATTTTTAAATAGGGGGTGCTCTCTCTTCAATTAGCCTGGCTACTGAAAGAGCTCCTCCTCGAGAAATTCCCCTGCATACAATTCCTTAAAATTGCGTAGCTGATTCATAAATGGGGGCAGGTTTTGTGGAGCAGTTTTTGTCTTGCAAAATCTGTCCTTGTCTAATTTGCATGGTTGTTACTTTCTAGTTTTATCAGATTGAGTTGCAATTTCTCTTTGTTTCTTTTCTCAAATTATGACATATTTATATTGTATGTTATTAATATTTGTTGTTGTTAACTTGCGATTAAATTGTATTTTGTGGAATTTTGAAATTAACTGAAGAGAAAGTTAATTTCTGACTAAGATTTTGCCAGAAGCACCATTGTAATCCTTGAAGCTAGTGGGTAAGCAGGTAGGGAAGACTGGCAGCTGGCATGAAGCTAACTCAAATCTTGGGGGCCGAGGGGGGACTATCCTTGTCATTGATATGGCCCATAAGTTGGAAAACATTTATGATTCTGGGAAATTACCTTTGTGTAGCAAAGGACAGATTTAGTTTTGAAGATGCCAGTTAGGCTGCGAATGAGATCAAGGTGAGCCCCTGGTAGAATATTTTGTTTTTGTCTAAAAAGCAACAAGGATTTTGTACAAAATTTGTTATTGAAGGAGTGAAATACAGTTTCCCCATTTCAGTTCTGGTGTACAAGTGCATTTTCAATGTTCACGAAATTTAGGGCTGCCTAATTTTTAGAGATTACCTTTAACTCATCAGTAAAATGACATCTCAGACATAGAAAGACAATAAAGAAGTATTTTCACCTCAATTCCCCTGCAAAAGCAATGTTGTTATGTTCGCGTTCGCGCCTCGGTGGCCCAAAAGATAAATGCTGATGTGAAGGATTTTGCCTCCATATCGCCAAAAATCAGCTGATTTCTTCAATGGAGTCACGTGATATTTACAACGGCCATGTTGAATGAATACTAGCAGTTCATCAAGTTTGAAATTTCACATGTCGAATACAGAGAAAACGGTTGAAGATCTACGGAGATTGTGCATTTTCAGATACCCTGATCTTATGAGGTACGTTTGAGCTTTTAAAGATTTACAATCATTGTCTTCATTTACAAGTTCGATTGTTTCATTTAGAATGTATACTATATGTATATAGAATAAAAGAGGATTTATATTCAATCGCCCCACCCCCTTTAAATTCAAATTCATTTAATTCAGCAACAAATTACAGATAATTTTACAGATATATTGAATTCTAAAATAATGGTTAGTTTACAAAACTAAAAGGCTACAAAATTAAGTTACTTAGGACGCCGAGAGAACCGAAACGGTTTATAAATACTTTTTGTACAAAATCATCCATTGCTAAGCTTGGTTCGCTCATTGATTTTTCCAACAGAATGTCAGTTTGTTATCTGTAAACCATTATTACTGTATTAGTGACCATTTTTACGACGTTTTGTTTAAAGTATGAACGATTATAAACACATTGATCCTCATAAGTCAATAAAATTTTTTTGCAGCTCAACTGATCGGACTGAATGCACATTACTGCATGCATCTTTGATCTAAAATGTTCTTCCCGAAAGATGTTCTTATTAGAAAGGGAAAATTTGGCATCATATGGTATGTACATTAATCCTCTCCTCGGGAAATAGAATCTTTTTTAGAAATTCTTTGACTTAATTTTTTCTTTGATCATAATCTATAGAAGTGAAAGATTTAGATAAAACAACTCTTAGATACGTTGATCTTCAAAATAAAATAAAATGCTTCCTTCATTAATACTAGTTTAATTGTATTAGTTAATAATTGAAAAGTGTTTGACATCTGTTGTGTAAATATTTGTATTATATGATGTAACTTTTTATGATTGCATTTTGGATTGATTGATCAATAAAAGAAACTAAAGCTATTACCCAATAGAAACTGATTACATCTTTCCTTCCTGACAATATCAAATCTGGTAACTTGAACATTTAATTTTTTCCATCCCAAAAGTATTTCTTTGTTAATCATTCCGAAAAAATTGAAACTATTTAAAATGTTAGGAATCTGCCAAGCCACTAATCTAAGCTACTGAATTTTATAGGATTGCTGCAACTCACAACACTGGGAAATGTAATTTCCTAACAAAGAGAGACTATTTCAATGTTAACGTTCCAAGGACATGGTAAGGAATTTTGAATTTTATTAAAATTTCAGTTTACATTTCAGGTCAAAAGTTTGTTGCTTTCAACAAAACCATTATCTTGCTTTTTTCAGTCATGACATATTACATCCAGCAATTCCATTTGCACTGAGGTTATCATCACAACTTATGTTTGGTGTCTCAAAGATATACCAAAAACAAACAAGAATAACTTTAGGTAGGTGTAAACATTTTGCAGTTATGACTATCCTAATTTATATACAAAGATGGTAAATATCTATGGTTCTGATTGCTCTAGGTAAGAAGAGGTTCTAGTCATCATAATAAATGCATACAAAAAGATTGTCTATCTAGCCATTTATAAAGCCATTCTTCAAAGCCTATACAATTAAGACCTTAATTCAAAATCTTTAGATTTCTTTTCCTCACTTCTAAAGTTTTTGGTAACATTTACACTACCACTGGTGCTTCAAAACCAATAGCAGAAACATAACATACTAACAATCCGTATTATGCCATTTTTTGCAAGATTTAATTCTAATTTTTTATTTTTCCCTTTGTTGTATGCCTTGACAGAAGAGGCACAGCAAATGTGGGTAAGAGTGAATGATGCATTTGACAAGAGAAAATCACTGGAGCTGTTTTGTACAGTTGCAAGGTATTTTTGAAATCCAAAAAAAATATTAAATTTTGTTATGTTTTATCAATATGACAGTATTGCCAAATTCTAAATGTTAAAAAGATCCTAAAAATGCTAAAAGGGACCTGGTCTCATCTTGATATTGCTGACCAGCAGCAGCTATAAAAAATTTTGGAACACAAAATAATTTTTTTAAATGACCAGAGCAGTCTAAACAAACAGCAAGTGAATTTGTCTGTAGTATGGATCTTTTGAAACACAAGGTCTGAGAGGGTACCCTGACAGGTCCCCGGATGCCTGAATCCCAGGTACCCTGACCCAATTCATGAATCCCAGTTTTATCAATTCCTGAATCCCAGTTTTATCAATTCATGAATCCCAGTTTTATCAATTCCTGAATCCGAGTTTTATCAATTCCCGAATCCCCCTCATACAATTTGCTAATTTTTGACTCCCAACTCCAAAAATTGATGGTCCCCACTTGATGGAAAAACATAACACCCTCATCTTTGCTTAGGAAATGAGAACTTCAGAATCCAAAAGTACAATTTTCAGAATTATTTCTCATTGCTGCATTTCATTTACACACATTTCCAAGAACACCAAAGTATTTATTGTATTACACACCAATACATTACTTTAAAATTTGAATTTGTTAGTGATACTAATGTTTTTGTGTTCAAACCATTTTGTATTGTAGGTTTGATACTATCACAATGGGGGATCCTGTTAGAAATGCAACAATGAACTATTTAGTGGATCCATTTCGAGAAGACATAATCCCATATCCAGAACCATTATTTCTTGCAGTAAGACAATTTCAGATTTACTTTTCTCAACAAAAGTTGCTCTTTAGCATTTTTTCTAAGCCCTTGAAGCTGTCTTGTGTTTGAATGACTTTTTTGGTGCCAATAGATTCATGACAATTGAAATGTTGTTGCATTTTAAACTATCAATATTCACCAATATGCCTTTCTAATCCATCTATGCTTTTATCTTTTGCTAATTTCACTGCTAGGATCAGAGACACCAGAACACCTTTTAGGGTGAGGGGGCTCTAGAGTAATTAACAAAATTTGATGGTAGCTTTTCCACTGTTATCCTTGATGCCACAACATGGATACCATACACTAGCAAAAAGGCGAGGGGGCTACAGCCCCCAGCTCCCTCCCCATGGCTGCAACATGTCTGAGGATGCATTAACATGTTTTTCTTGCAATTTTTTGTGCAAAAATGTTTTGATTGAATATAAACAGGGGATTGGGGTGTCTGGGGCATATTCAAGCGAGAAAGAGTGGTCCAGTCCAGAGCCCCTAATTTTCGAGAGCATGACCCCAAAGTACTTTGACTTCCCTATATTTCCGTCACTGCTTGGCTGGTAGCGTGCTCATTTGTTCCTCTAGATTAGCTTCAATGGTTCCTTCATCAGTTGTTTTTTCATTGCTTGCAGTTTACATTAATTTTTCTGAGATTTATCTGAGATTTGGTTGTAATATTTCAGGTGCCAATGACCATCAATGTTTTATAAGCTTATCAAACCCATTTGATATGTTCTTAAGTCACCGACATGCTATTTGAATCAGCTTATTTCCAACAGGGAGATGCAAGTTTCTTAGAAGTGAATGGCACTGTTGATACCTTCTTGTCTCCAAGTAAGAACAGTGTCAAGAGCTCATCCAGTGAGATAATGGCAAGCCCAATGCAAGCAGATAAGAAGGACATCACGTTACCCGAACATCTTATTCTGTCACCAAACCAACCCATCGAGGTGTGTTTAGTATGATAAATTAAGCAGCATGGAAATGTGTAGCTTTAAAAGGAATATCATATTACTTTGTTATTATTGACGTATTACTCTAAGTTTATTTCGTGTTTTTATACTTTGATGCTTGATAAGCAGCCTTCTCTGACAACATCATTTGTTGGACCCAAACGGTTTTTTGCTCAATAGCATATCTTGATTTGATATACTATAGAAATATTTCATATACCTAATTTCATATGTACTATAGACATTTTTCGTGCAATGGTAGCATTCTCCAAATCTCATTATTTGCCATCTTTAAAGCATGGCTAACCAATTATCCAAACCAAGAAATTAGAATTGTTCAATAGATAATTCATAATTTCCTAAAATATTAACACTGTTCGCAAACCATCTCGTGTAACCGGACGAATCGTTCTCACAAGGATGCAGTATGAAGACAATAAATTTAATCAGATTTGCTGAAATGCCTTTTTTCACAGGGGACAACTTTGTTTATCCACTTCCAACGTGACTTTGTTGTTTAAACTCTTTTTCTTTCATGCCTAGACAATTTTTAAACTTGCACGTCTTTTTCTGCTAGGTTCCTGGCGACATTGATTTTGGACCATATTTAGACGAAGATCCCTTTGAGCACCTTGGACTTGATGCTGCCCCATTGTAAGTTTATTCTTTTGATGCAAGCCATCCGTAGTTTCTTTTGGTCGGATGTAAACCCAGCAAAAATTCTCAGCTAAGTAACACATTCCATGAAGAGAAAGGTTATCACAAGCAGTCAATAATTGGTACACCCAGCTATCGCCTCTTTTGCTTTCTATCTAATGTGCTACCTATATACTATTTTCTTTTCTTTCTTGTGTATTTCAAGCCAATTAATTTTGAATTATTCAATAGGCACTCTTGATCGCCAGTATCTGCATTTATATATCGAAAATTGCTTTGAAAAAAGCCAATATTTCACAACATACTACTAACATACTAAACTACTAGCATACGCAACATACTAAGTTTTTAAACCTGTCGGCAAATAAAGATGGCTCATCTACTTTGTCGGCAAATGGGAGCTAGACCCCTCTCTCGAACACAATAGCTACTCCAGTGTCCCTAATAGACGGCCCTAGTGTATTAATCTCAGAAGAATTTGCCCTCCCCCCTTCGCTTATTAGCACCCCCCTTCTATTGAAAATTGGCCGGAATGAACACCCCCCGATGATTTTTGACCTGGAAGTTAAAAGCTCTAAATTTGATTTATCTTGTGAATGCAATTTTCTCTAAAACTATGCAAAAAATGAAACCAAATTTTGACAGTATATTCTAAAAGGTACTTCGATTTCAAAAAAGGATTGCCGACATGAACACCCCCTTCTATTAGCACCCCCTTCTATTGAAAACTGGTCGACTTGAACACCCCCTTCTATCAGCACCCCCTTCTATTGAAAACTGGTCGACATGAACACCCCCTTCTATTAGCACCCCTTTCTATTGAAAATTGGCCGGAATGAACGCCCCCCCGTCTATTACCCCCCTTCTGTTAGAGACGCTAGAGTAGTTACGACCCTGCCCAGAACCCCCAGTGAATGCGTCGTGCTTCATTTGAAAGTCAATAAGGAACTTTTGCCAACTTTTATATGCATAGGCCTGAAAAAGCAAACGATATTGCAAGAGAAAGTCAACCTCAAGGACCTGAGGATACTGCTGATAGACATGAAGAGGATGCTCCTTCTCGGTCAAAAGCTGATGCCATGATACTTGAAGTACTTGATGACGTTGTTTTAATCGATGCAGATATGGATCTTGTCGTTGGACCAATAACAGGAGGTTAGTTCAAGATGGTAGCAATTGAATTAGCAATTGAATTAGCAATTGAATTCCATAGAGTGTTTATTACAGTTTACTTGCATTCAGTTTATTAATTCTAACTTTAAAACACTTACTCTAACGTTAACTTTCTTTTTCTCACTTTAAGATATCTTCTAGAGCAGCATTGATTAATTAATTAGACTTTTTTATACTTGTCCTTATATATTAGAAATTTCTTTTTTGTCATTAAATGATGTTATAACACTATATGTCCCTGTTGCAATAATTAATACAACTGGACCTGTGAAAATTTATTCTATAACTGGTTACTGGATAAATTACCTTTTTTATGAAAAAAACCATCTTCATTAATCTTTTCTGCAGATGCCCCCCAGGAAAGAGAGTCTCAACAAGTACGTTTTTGCTAGGTTTTTTCCTTATATTGGTAGAATATTTATAAATTAGTTGTTTGCAGCCAGCAGCAGAAAAATTAACCTCTAACAAAGCCGGCTTATTTCAGATGTTCGCATAAGAAAAAACTTTGGATTTGATCTTCAACTACGATCTTTTTAGAATCAGACTTAGCCTTTGTCTTAAAGGGCATGTGTCGTGGACAAGATTGGCTAATGCAAAACAATTATTATTTTTGTTTAGTACAAAGCATGGAATCAAGGATGAATTTTTACGGCAGTAAAAATTCAAGAAGCACAAAGGAAAAGTCAAGTAACAATAGAATTCCAATCCAAATGTATTTGTTTTATTAGCCAACTGCTAACGCGACATATGCCCTTTAAGTGTCCTATGTTCTTAATCGCCCTTTTTACTTTACTTGCTGATCATTAAATTATAATGAATAATTGCAAAGTGTTTTCAAGTATTGTGTATGATGCGCATTAAATAATGCCAGCAGCAAACTACATTGGAGCCTCCATATAATGGACACCGCTGGGACCGGTGTAAATGTCCGTTATATAGAGGTGTCCGTTATATTAAGGTTGTTTTACTAGCGTTTCGAACGCTGAGGACAAAAATATCTGTCCGTTGTTAGGAGGTGTCCGTTGTTAGGAGGTGTCCGTTGTTAGGAGGTGTCCGTTGTTAGGAGGTGTCCGTTGTAGCGAGGTGTCCGTTGTTAGGAGGTGTCCGTTGTTAGGAGATGTCCGTTGTTAGGAGGTCTCCGTTGTTCAGAGGTGTGGGAGGTGTCCGTTGCTCGAATTGTTTCATGTCCTTGCATTGATTTCTAGTTTCGTTTCTTGTTATTTTGTTAAACTGTGATCATAATTATTCCTGAAAATTCAAAATGATGAATTATTGAATGTTATTGAAATTGTGGTTGATCATTCTACTCTCCCTATGATCTATAAAAAAATCTTATTATTTATTATACATTACACTCTAATATTTGGTAAAGGTATTGAATTAATTTTTGCACAACAATATCTTAAATTTACCTTTGGATTCAAGCTCCATTCAGACATTTTTTCTTACTAACTAGTTCTTCATTGATGCCTAACTCTCCATACAACAGGAGAGAAGGAATGAATACGATAGACATCGAGACGAGCCTTTGGTTTTAGCAAGGGAAAGAGCAACCATGCGTCCTGCAAAAAGACGACGATTGTTAATTGATAGAGAGATAAAGCTATCTGGGGATTCAATACGCGCCAACCTAACTAACCCGACGGATACACTGAAACAACTGGTGAGAAAAGCATTCTTGACACATATTCTCTTATCTGAAACACACATTCTCTTATCTGAAACACAATGTCCGTTATCGCCAACACATCTTCCCTTATCAGAAACACATACTCTCCCTACCACGCTTTCTTTACAAAGTAAAAAAAGCTATCAGATCTGAATCTTCAAATATATTTCCAAGATGTTGGCCTAATTGAAATTCTTTGCTGTTATGTTCAGAAGATAGGTACGAAAAATTGGAGATGGGTTTACTACAAATAAGGTATATGTAGCCTAGCTGAGAGTAGAAGACAGAGAGTAGAAGACAAAGAATAAGGAATTTCTAGTGAACCTTTTCCCATTCATAGCCCGGCCTTCACTCTTTATTTCTTCCTTCCTATTCCATTTTACAACCCTCGTTTTGCCAGAAAATCAAGCATTGCGAGACGTTAATCTTATTAACAACGTGCTGTATTTACCTAAACATAACAAACTGCAAGACTTTGCTTCAAAAGAGCCTTTTATTAAACAATTCCATCTTTTGTGTGGTATTTCGGTTGCATGATAATTCCATGTTCTCCTTAATTACCACAAAGTTCCAATTTTGAAAGTTAGGATTATCGGGTAGCCGCCGCTATGCACCCTCGCAGTGGTTGAGAACGTATCAATCTTGTTACCATGTTGTCCTCTTGTTATAACACAGATTAGGTAGCTCAAGCTTTCTATTTGTATGACTTAATTCATAATTTTGTATATGTTAATTTAGTTTAATCGTGAATTGAATTGGATTGAGTTGAATCAAATACTTGGAATTAGAAAGACCAGTATGCAGGTGAATACGACAAATATCAAAAGGCAAAGTTGATCGCTGTCTTTTATGCATCATATTTTGCATGAATTTTGACTGTTTTAATTCTGTTGTCACTCTTAATCATACTGCTTGTTTACACTCTTGTTGAAAAAATGCTATTTGAACTTTGGTGCTATCGGCTACTATCGGCGCATAAGTTGAATGCAATCGTTGCATCAGTTGATTGAAAAAATTCCAAAAGAATTGGATTAAACAGAATAAAGTTAATAATATGCCGTCATTTAGCTTTATTCTGCTTACAAAATAGCATCACCTAAAACAAAATGAATTGTTGGCAATATTTCTCATTCCTTTTTCACCCCCTGTTTTCTTAGATAATTGGAGCACCCCAACGACTCTCCGTCAGGGAATTATTCTCAACGCCAGCCTGTACTTGTAAGTACCTTCTCATTTTGTTTTTACTTGCCAATGTTATGCCATTGTATTTTTCTTAAACACTATCTTTTAAATTCTATACCATCAAGATCTAAATTGAGTAATAGCAAGAGGCTAAATCGAGGCAAAAAATACCTAAAGCTACGTTAACCTCAATTGAATGGCCTAACTTAAAAGAGGAGATCCAAAAGAGGAGACCTGTTTGCCAAAAGTAGATGTCATAACCATCCAATCAAAATGCGTGAACCAACGCTCGTGCAAGAGTTAATTTTTCCATTGTCACCACAGCTCATGCAGAAAACTTAAAAGTTATTTGTAGAACCGAAGTTAGGCCATTCACTTCAATGCGATCATCATTCTCAATTTCAAGCAACTTAATACCGTTCCAAGGTCGGCAAAATCTGCAGAGCAAAAAAAAGTTTACAAGTGTACAAAGTCTACAAAAAAAAGTCTACAAAAGTGAAAAAAAATGAAGTATATCATTCTGTAGGTAACTGTGCCTAGTTTTTCCTTAAGTATGCCCTTTGCTCTAGCTTGGTTGCTATGTCTTTACCAGAGAAGTCCCATATAAAATTGAATATTGGAATTTCATGGAAGATATCGGTCATTGTCCAAGTTGAACAACGAGTAACAGCTTGGCTTAGCAAATAGAACGAGAAACCTGATCCAAAATAAGTTTCTCTAAATTTCTCTGAAACATTACAAAAAATGAGAAATCAGCTGTTTGAGGATATGAGAAATAAACAATGGGCAGATTTGTTCTTTAAAAGTATCATCAAGAAATGTTTGATTATATCGATAATCCATTCCTACTTTGAAAAAAGAATGGAATATCTAGGCGCAATTATAAATTATATTAAAACTTGTTTTGACCAACGCAGTTTTAGAGTTTTCAAATCCAGAGTCTTTTTGTTGAAGGTATCCTATTTCCGAAAAATTTAAGATCACGTGTTACAAAATGATAACCCAACTTTACAAAGTTCCTTAATCGTTTATTTTTAGTTCACAGCTCTTCTTTTATATTTCAATGTTAGTGTTTTTTATTAAACCTTGTTATATTTATTTTTCTCCTCCAACTTATTTTGGGTAATTTTGATATCTAGAAGAGAGTTTCATAACGAGCTATATTATAAAGGTTATTTTAAAAATTTGCGAGACCTTTCCTATTTCAACTCAACAGTACAATAGACAAGACTTTTAATGCAGACGACTTACATATGGAACGAGGTATTAAAAGTAGTAGAGTAATGGGATATATTGATTAAAGAAAGCTTAAACATATTGCCTCAGATTTTCCTTCAGTCAAATCCATAGATACAGGCTTTGGTCATCCCTAAGATAACACAATTCCAAAATTTTCTTCTTTCAAGAATTTGATATTTTGGCCCCTCCACTTTTAAGTACGTTTCGCCGGCCCTGCGTTCTGTTCTGTACTAAAAAGCGTATACAGCTCATGAAAAAGTTTCTTTAATATAACGTTATTTATTAATTAAATGTATTCGATTGTTTATTCAGATTTGGCAAGTGATCGTATTTCAGAAATATGGCATGAGAACGCAAAAACTTTCCAAGACCCAACTCTACATGAAAATTTCAACATTTTGAGCGAAGAATCTGCAATGGAAAGTCCAGATAGGGTATGATATTTAATGGAAAGTCCAGATAGGGTATGATATTTAATCAAAGCAACATTGCATTTAGGAAGAAAACTTTATGTTTTGGATTTTTACTGAGAAAAACATATTTTCTGGTTTTTCAAAAAAATGAAGTTCTGCTATTAACTTAGATGAGAAATTAATTGAAAAAGCTAGGCTGTTTTTTTATTAATTCTGATTGTCAATGTTTTAGTATCACCACTAGCCAATAATAATAATAATCTACCATATAATCTACCAAAATTAGAAGTACATTTTTTGTATAATTGTGTTTTGATAGATTCTGCGTGCAGGCATTACTCCAACCAGCATTGAAATTCCACGAGCTGCAGATGAAATTTCAACCGAGTTTGAAAGATCAGGAATCAGTTCTTTAACAATGGACTCCACCCCAGCAGAACATGAATGTAAGCAAGCATTTTGCAAAAGCAGCCTCTTCATATTTCACTGTGAATTCGTATAGTAGCTCAACAGCTATCTTTCTCGCCGTTCTTCGTTTAGTTTTAAGTGTATTTGCAATAGTCAAGCTGGCACTTGCCAAACGAACATGTTTCTGAATAAAGATCAAGCAGTGGCGTACCCAGGGCTACAGCAGTGGGGTCTGGGGCACAGCCTCCAGAATTGTTGGGACCACGCCCTTCAAATTCGGAGAAACGCCCTTTTTGCAAAATTTTCCCCCATTATTTTATTTATGTTAGCTACGGTAAATAGCAAAGCATTTTACAATTGTTATTGACACAAGCATACAGTATACTACCCCCCCTCCCTAAGAGTTTTACATAGTTTTTCGACAAATCTCGAGGACCATATTTCAGAAAAGTGGTGGGGGGGAATTTTAGAAAAGTGGGTCCGCACCCCTCCCCCCATTCCCCCCTTGGGTACGCCACTAAGATCAAGTGTATCATCCAATGGCATAGCGTTATAACGCTCAAAAATCTAATATATCCAGCAGCAGGGTAAACAAACAACCTAATTGCTCAAAAAATCACCCATCTAATCTTCATGGGCTCTGGCATAGGTTGGAAACTCGGAGGCCCTGATCTTTGCACCAATATTTTAAGGTACAGAAAAGATTTGCCACATAGTTTACAGCGAAACACTTAGTGTGTGATACCCAGTTGCAGGGTAACCACTATGAAAGTGATCGACAAAAAGGTGCTCCCTTAGAGCCAATTTAATCAGATAAATAACAAATAAAGCAGCTGTTTAAAAATATCAACATTCGGCCAATTTGGATAATTTTTCAGATAAATCCAAAATAAGCCAAATTGTTTGCTAAATCCAAACAAGTTTTCATAAATCTGGATCTGTTGAATTTGGATTAGAAAAATCCAAACTGGCCACCCCGTTTGCACTAATACTTTAAGGTACAGAAAAGCACTTCCATATACAGTAGGTTCCCGCATATAAGAAACCCCCTTGTATAAGAAACCAGCTCAAATTCTTTCCAAAGGGCTCCTTTTATAAGAAACAATTTTAGGTCTGAAATTGAAACGTTTCTTATTTTCAGATCCGTCATACTTAATTCCTGTTTGCCAAAAAATAATCCCCTAAATTTTGTAATGCAATGTAGTGTTCTCAAACAGAATCAAAATTATTAAAACTAAAGATTTGTTTTTTTTATAAAAAGTACTGTGCCGAAAAATACTGTAACAGTTCATTAAACTAAAATCCACAGGAAATAAATTATTTTATGCTTCTTTTAATAATAAATAAATAACATAATTTGGCATAACCAAACACGGTCCAACACTTAAAGCTCAGTTGCTTATTTAAAAAATTTGTAACCTATATATAAGAAACTTTTACCCTGATTATAAAAAGGTATCTTAAAATAAGAAACGTCACGAGGCCTCAATTTAAAAAGTGGTTTCTTATATGCGAGAAACTACTGTAGTTTACAGCGAAACACTTAGCGATGCCCAGTTGCAGGCTAACAACTCCAAATTGTAAATCAAGCTTCATTATTATTTTAATCTAGATTTGATGAAATTGTCATTTCATATTATTTTACAACGTATGAAAAGAACAGTCTAGCCTACCTAAGAACAGTGAAGCCGATGATTCCGGGCGATGAAAGTGCAAGCATAATATTATGTTCTACAACAATTCCGTCGCAAGGCATTCGCGCATGCGCCACAAGCAGTCACTGGCAATGGTTACATAAAGCAAACACAACTATGGTTACGTGTTCTGTGGCTACTGCCCACAGTTGATAACTTTTCATTATTTCTACTCGTAAACATAGCCTGCAACCTGTTTCAGATAATTTTACTTTTAGATGTTTTTCTTTTACACACAACAAATAAAATCGTCTTCTCCATAATCTTTGTTGAAAAGCAATAGCGATGTTTTCATAATAGCAATTACGTATTCAATCTGCAATTTTAAAACAGGAATAATAATGAATTTTTGAACCCTTAGCAAGCGGACAAACCCGGAAGCGAAACTTGGAAGGGGAAGAATGGACTTTGGACCGTAGAAGGTATGTTTTCGAATTTTTTTCAAGCATATTTATGCCAAATATTTGTGGTAATACTTTACTACAGGCTTGTTCCGTCAGTTATAGAAGAATCTGCTTGCTACAGAAGCTCCATGAGTAACACTTTAAAGAGGACTTAAATATTGTTTAGTCTCGTTTTTAAACAGCGGATTGATGGCACAGTTTCTGAATGCCTGCATTTTCGGTGTCCACAATAAAATGATTATTTTTTAAAGTCGGATTCAATCAACATTTCTATGCTACAGGGCCATACTGTAGAACATAATTTATTTCCTTATTTAGTTCTTTCTTAATCTCCTTAATGCAATAAGTGTTTTCACAATGTGTTTTAGTTTTATCAAAAGGATTAGATGCAACCGTTCCATGAAAATAATGTCTAACCTTTCTTGCGCAGCCTAAGGCGGAAGGTTATGACATTTACTCTCATCTCACCCGAGAAGGGGAAGGGGGATTGCATAAGCCCCCTATCCCCAAGAACAAAAGTAGCTACCGCCCTGAGTGTACTTATTTATTGTCGAGTTAAGATAGAAATTTATAAACAATATTCTATGTATTACCTGAGCCCTTTTTGTCTGCAAAACTTTGTTGTTGAATCTTTTGAAATCAGCAAAATTCGTGTGTTTTAGATCGAGTCATGCGAGAGTTGATATTCTTTCTCCAATTGCTGATGAGTTCGGTGAAGAGCTTGCGGTACCTCTGGAAGAAATAGGTGTGTTACCCTGATTAAAATGATAACTTCCACCTTGTCGCATTTGCTCTTAACATATATCGTCTTTCTAGTCAAGAAGTTTGTTTTGTATTTTCATTCCTAAATTTCAATTGTTTAATTTCTAATGAAAGCAACATGTAGATATATATGTACATATTGTTTGAGCAAACCTTTCATATATCAAAATGCCTTTTCTTGCAAAATATAGTACTTACACAAACAGAGTAATGAATGTGTATAAACATCAATCTTCAGTTTAGATAAGAATATGAAGAATCACTTTTTGAATGCAGAGACAACCCCCGGTTTAACGTGAAACTAGAAATCACAACTGAGAGCCGTCCATATGATATTTTCAATGTATTTAGACGTTTTCCATGTTACACGAAAGTTTATTCAATATGCCAAATACCCTCCCCCTCTTGTTGTAATTTTTGCCTGTTTCATCAATTTTTGAGTCGTGTCATAAATCTTCCTGGATACACCTGTTTTCCACGAAATAACACAAAACAGTTTTCAATGAATGACTGCCCTGTGGTTCATGACAAAAATGATACTCAGAAATCGTGAATCGCGTCAAGCAAAAAGTTATCTAATATTGTAAAAAGTTTCATGAATTATATAATAAGCAGCCCTGTGAAATATTTATTCTACTAATTTTAGAGTGATCACTGTTTGTCATACTTAACGGGACTTTCTAATTTCTAGAAGAAGACCCAGCTTTCCAAGACTCTGGTGAAGATGGCCTTCCGTCGTTAAAACTTGACGAATTCCTGAGGTATGACAAATTCCATGGGAAATTCCTGTGTAGATATAATCCTAACATGAACTTACACCTTCACAAAGAATTACTTTCATGTTTCAGCCATGCTATTGTTCAGAGAATCAGATTTCATATTCGAAATATTAAGGTTTGAAGAATCTTGTCGGGCTCCGACACATGTTGGCAAGTGGGGGACCAGGACTAAAATTAAGACCCATAACAAAATAATTTTATAAAGCTCTGTTGTTTTGCAGAAAAGTGAGGGGGCCATGGCCCCCGGCCCCTCCTTCGTCGGAGACCATGAGAATGTAAGCTCATCGATTGACGTTAAGCACAGAATGTCTTAATCTGTCATACACGTGATTTAATTGAATACTTTGAATTCAAATTTGATTGAGTCCTTCAAGGTTGGAAAATTTCTGCCCGAAGGGCATTTCACTCTTGCAAACAGCGTACGAGACTTTCACCGAAACAAAAGGATTTCTAAGGATTTACCGAATTATATTTAGGCGTAAAGTTTGATCTTAAAACTAGTCGTCTGTTTGTTGTGAAAAATCAGTAATATCGTTTTCGAATTGGCTGAAATATGGCAATGGCCAGTGAAAGTTATAACTTTTACGATAGTGTTGCTGAAGTTTTTGCTTTAATTTCAAAAGCAATGCCAGATTTTAGTGAATTCAATGGACAAAGAGACTGTGACCTTGCTTCTAAAGGAAAGATTCAACTTTTTTATCGACTTCACGACTATTTTAGTCGTTTATTTTGCATTAAATATTGAAGATTCAAAATACTGATTATACAATTGTAAGACAGAACAAATTACACATTTGGACATGACGTATTTGCTCGTGTGTCATCAAATGATATAAGAAATAGGTAATGAATAAACATGAAACTAGAAATCTTCATTTTAATTGCAGAGACATGAGGGAAGTGCTGGGTGATCGAGATGAGATCCTGTTCTCGGACATTGCGTTGCCTGGAAAAACAAAACGTAAAGCTGCATCTAGATCATTCTTTCACATTCTTTGTAAGTAACTTCCGTTTGCAGACATTCAATGCTTTTACTCTTTTAACTTCCTTATGTTTCACAATACAATATGACAGCGTTTGGCCGAGACCTACATTCTTTTTTATAAGAACCAGTAAATTGAATTTAAGGCTGACTGTTCTTAATTCTTTCCAAAAATTGAGGCTGGATTGTTCTTAAATTGTTCTTAAGTTTATAGGTGGTAAGCAGTTCAGTTGCTAGCTAGTGTGTAAGCAGTTCAGTTGCTAGGAGTTCAGTTGCTGCCCAGGCCTCATTTGTCAACAAAGTCAGCGAGACATCCTTAATTTGCCGACAAATATGAAAATCACCGAAAGCACCCCTAGATGGCAATTAATTTTTGACCAGTTTTGAAGCTCGTGTTCTTATAAAATTGATCTTATAGAAAAATAGTTTAGTTTGCCAAGAATACAATTTTCTTGATTTCTTTCTGGTCAGTTGGAATAAAGCCACGTGCAAGTTTTGATAGGAAATTTCGCTTTCAAAGGATATCTGACTGAGGGGGTTTCTTCCTAAATTCTTAACCTTAAAAATGACCCTCGACCTTGAGAAACCGCTGCAGAGTCCTTCCTTTTATAGTGGGGTAAAAATGATTCATTTCGACGATTAAGCAACAGCAATATTAAGAAAATTAATATTTACTCAATATCAATATTATTACTCTGATATCATTGTTACTCTGGGCTTAGCTAAAGTATGTAAGTGATCCACTGACATATCAATGTAGAACTGTCTCTTGTCAATGCTTTAAAGCTTCTTTCGTTACAGCACTAAACGCTCGTGAGGTTATCAAAGCAAACCAGGAAGAGGTTTACGGAGAGATCAGGATTAACAGGGGGCGAAAATTCTAGAAGTTTTCTCCAAATCCAAATTTGTTGCAAAAGAAGCATGTGAAGTAAAACGTCGATATTCGATTTTGCAGCCAACAGTTATCGTTTAAAACAAGCACAGGCTAAACTTTGTTATGTTTTCCAGAAGCTTATGTTTCAGATCCTCGGGTATTGTAACTATTTTGGTTTTTAAGGATGCATTCAAAGTGTCGTTTGCAATCAATAGGTAATGCTTTTTTAATCTGTCGCTCGGTTGGTCACAGAAAAGGCGGCTGTGGATTCCATCTTGAGGAATATGACCCGCAAAGTAGATGATGGAATTGCTTAAGTAACGTTTTCTACCTCTTTTGTTATGCTTCTTTGTCACGAAGGAGGAACATCAAGGAAATATTCAAAAGACAAGAAGCAAGGATTAATACATTACCATAGATTACGGTGCTTGTCAAGGCAGAAACGAATTTGAAGTTCTTCAAGGAATAAAAAAGCGAGCACTTTGCTGCAGGGTATTATGAAAGGGTTTTCAGAATAGATTCCTTATGATTTCAGAACAATGACTTGTCAAACGTAGCTTATTGTTTACCTAGAAAAACACCCCTTGCTTATATGCGAACTTGTATCTACTCATTATTCACTTTAGCTCAATACCATCCACCTTAACATAACCCGCATTATTAATCCAAGCTGATTTTTAGATTAACAATTTTGTTTTAAATACTCTACATCTCATGAAAATCAATCGAGATTTGACAATGATTTGACATTTTGCAGCCATATTTTATCTAACCTAAGAAAAGAAATACTGTCGAATAGGCAAACATTTGTTATTTTTAATTCATTTACATTGCCTGCCGCTCATAGTTTTGTTCATTCAATGTTCGTTGAAAGCATAGTGTTCTGTTATTGCTAACATTTCATGTCATCTCGGGTTCATTTAGAGATTGTTTGTACATAGTTTTAACTTTCAGATGTACTATATGTTTATAGATATTTTATCGAAAATGCACAATAATATTTTAATATTTAAAGAATGTTGATATTTTATGCAGAGTTTAGTTCGAACAAAAATTGTTAATGATTTCCTAATGTACATTTTGTGAAAGAATGACGAGTGCAGAGTTTTATTCAGGTTCTATTTTTGGCTTTTCTCTAATGTCGGGCCTAGCTTTAGAGGTCTGGGACTGGTCGGGGTCTGGGACTGGTCGGGGTCTGGGACTGGTCGGGGTCTGGGACTGGTCGGGGTCTGAGACTGGTCGGGGTCTGGGACTGGTCGGGGTCTGATTGTTGCATACTTCAAGCCTTTAAAGGCGATCTATCACGACGTTGATTGATTATAAGAACAAAGGGATTTTTTATTGTTTCCAGTCCACCTTCAATTTATCGCATTGTAAAGTATATGGCGGAGCGCTGGAATCGTGTTTAGGCTATTGTTCCAGCTATAGTTCTCTTTAATCAATCCACAACGAGACAGATTGCCTTAAAAGGCCCCACTGATATTGAAAATAGGCAGAAATTGAGAAAGATTTTGATGTGTCCAAAAGGGGAATAAAATAATAATTGAATTTCAGGGATGGTTTTGATGTTGAATCTGAGGAAGTTGGCACTAGTGAATGTACAATTAAATCGAACTAAAAACCACCAAAGTCTTTTTACAAATTATCTCACGCTGCTTGAAAAGGAGGTGATGTATAATTCACCGGACGGAGAGAACTTTAGTCATCTTTCTCCTTCTGATCATCTTTCTTTAAATAAATAACCTTAAATGTAATAGGAACATTGTTACAAAGGAAGCGGGCAATGGACCAGCTGGTGTAATTTGGAAGTGGGGGTACTACGTAAATGACGCTTATGGGGAAGGGCTGTTAATTCTAAGTTTAAAGTGTCTGTGAAACCAAGATGTTTTTTGTCTAAATCAACGGGGGTGTAAAAAAATTTAAAAAGCATTTTGGCTCATTTTGTTTAATAAAGGGGGTAATTTTAGGGGCTGAATGTGCGCAATTTTTAGCAGAAATGACTGGGAATTTAGAGGCTAAGGATAATTTCAACTTAGGTAGATTTTTTTGTTGCTCATGCACAGGATCATAGCGGTCTTAATAATGTTAGAGGAAACCAGTCATTTCTAACCGTCGCATTTTAACGAAATACATCGCAGAATTTCGAGACTAATCGAGTCTCGAAATTATGCGATATATTCCCACAAAAATGCAGGAAAGCGTAGAATATGCCCCGCCTTAGGTTAATTATTAGAAAAAAACAGTGTGTCTTGAAAATTTTCTCTTGTAAATGGCTTTGAAAAAAGCAAACATTTAGTAAACTAAAGCTTTTCGTCTGACACTCTTCAGAGTTTAAAACGTCAGAACATAGATCGAAAACTCTACTCTAGGAAACATATACCCAGTTGTGGATCGGAATAGGCCAATCAGAAACACGAGCACATGACTGTAAAGGTTGACCAATCAGTGCCGCTTGCCTATTAGAATGTTACCAGTGGAGTCGCAGAAAATAAGTGTTGCAACAAGAACAACATTCAGAACACCTGACCCTCAAATTTTACAAAAATAACAACATTGAGCCTCAGCAAAAATTATCTGATTCTTATTCAAAAAAGAGTGTACAGTTTCCGAACAGTCATATCACAAACTAATTTAAAAAAGCATTGTTTATACAGCTTGTTCTGTATTGTGTAAACATCACCAAAGTTTGTCGTTCTTCGGTAACAACCAAAATAGCTCGAAAGAATGCAACAAGAGCTAAGTCGTCTGGGATTTGCGTTAAAATTTAAAAATCTCACTAAAAACTGATTGAAGAAAGAGGTTAAATAGTCTAAAAAAGTTCAGCTGTTACTTGCGGATAAACAATTTGCTTCTTTTAATCAGAATAACTGCTACCATTTGATGCCTAATAATTAGAGCCCCTTCCACATCGCTTACACACTTATTTTAAAAGATAACCTAATATTTTGCCAAGCCTCAATATCAGAGGTAGGAACTATACCAGAGGGGGCAATTTTATGCACTGTTGATGTTGTGGGACATTCCACACAGGGAAGGTTTAGAAGCCGTAAGTTGGACGCTGGATAGACGGGAAAATCCAAGCGTGGCTACTGACACATTAGCTGGGCTCGCTTCCTTAGTATTAGAAAATAACTATTTTGAACTTAATGATAGGTTTTATATGCAGAAGTTAGGTACGGCTATCATAGGCACGAAGTTCGCTCCGGCCTATGCCAATCTTTTCATGACTAGGTTAAAGGAGAGGTTGATGGATGCCGTCGCCGACAAGCCCCTTGTCTGGATGAGATTTATCTATGATATTTTCTTTATCTGGACACAAGAGGAGGATAAGTTATTCATTGACCATCTCAACAGTAGCCACGACACAATTAAGTTTACCAGTGAACATTCTACAGAATCTATTAGTTTCTTAGATGTCACGGTAAAAGTAGGAGAGGAAGGAGTCCTTGTTACAGACTTGTTTTGTAAACCAACTGATACCCGTCAATTCTTACATAAACAGTCTTGTCACCCTTGGCATACAAAGAAGGCAATCCCCTAAAGTCAGGCTCTTAGGTATCGTAGGATTTGCTAAGATGATCGCCAGTTTAAGGAACATGTAGGTAACCTCGCTGGATGGCTTAAGGATAGGGGGTATGAAGAGTTCTTAGTTAATAAACAAATAGATAGGGTACTTAGGCTAGACAGGGAGACTCTTCTGGCAAATGCGGGAAATAGGAAAACCAACGAATGGAGGGCTGAGAGAGTTCCATTCGTTACTACATACCATCCGGCACTTAATGGATTGGGGAACATTGCCAGGAAACACCATGCCTTGCTCACTGGTTCAGAAGAGCACAAGAAGGTGTTTCCTGTGCCACCAGTGGTTGCTTTTAGGAGGTGTAAGAATCTTAAGGATATCTTGGTTAGGGCTAGACTTACTGGTGGGAGGGAGAAGGGACACAATAACAGGGGAAGTTCGTGCTGTAAGAAGTCCAGATGTCAAGTGTGTAAAGTCTTGTCTAACAGCGTTAATTTCAAGTCTAGCACCACAGGTAAATAATATAAGAGTAACTATTCGTTTAACTGTGACTCGTCCAATGTTGTGTACTTGATTGAGTGCAATGTCTGCAGTGTCCAGTATGTAGGTAGCACATGCACGCCTTTTAGGCTTAGGTTTAATAATTACAAGGCGTGTAGTCGTAAGTTTAATTTAGGGTCTTCAGTGCCCCAGATGGAATTTTTCAGAAATTTTTCTGAGGAAGGTCATCGGGGGTTCCTGAATGACATAAGTGTTAAGGTCATAGATAGGTTAACAGGGAATGATTGGAGGAGGGAAAGTTTTTGGCAATATCGCTTAAATACGTTCTCCCCAATGGGTCTTAATGCTAGGCAGGTAGATACATAGGACATTTATATATTCTTCTACGGTTTTTAATTTTTTTTGTATATTTTCTTATTTTTTAATGTCGGCTCTTTTGTTTAAAGCTTATCTTCTCATCTTTTGTGTTTATAATTTTATGGCTATCATTTATCTCTTGTGAGACAGTCAACACCAGCATCTCCATCACATTCTTTTTTCTACCTTTCTATTCACTTCTTTCCCAGTTTCCCTTAACAATTTGCGTTCTTACACATTTAACAATATTTATTGTATTGTCTTACGAAAGTGTTTTCTTATGGTATGGACAAACAGCATTCACCCTTTCTCGTTATTGTGCATTTCTGGGTAGTTCATCATCTGCCTTCACGCTTCTCTTTTGTTCTTTTATCTATTGTATTTATTCCGCTTTTCTCACCTTCAGCTGGGCCTAGAAAGTCTACTTGTGTCGTATAATTAGCTATTATTCTCTGTTCCTGAAAATGTGTTCTTTTGTTCTTTTGTTTTGTATTCCTTATTTTACGTCCAAATGTAAGTGAAGGTTATATGTGTAATTTTCGTGACCATCTCACTGATACTGAAATTTATCTCGCGTTGCCTGCTCAAGTTCAACAGGTACTTTTTAATTTTAAACCATTCCTGAACAATGTGTAATACACATTATTTATAAATAAGACACTAACGTCCGGGTTAAGAGCTGTTTTAGAAACACAAAAGCGGAACATGAGATAACATAAAATAGAACGCCTTATAAGTCATAAGAAGCTATTTTTTCTTTTATCCATAAGTCAATTGAATAGAAAATTGGTGCCTAAGCTTTTAAGACTAGTTTCTAGCAAGTTCCAAGGTCGAACTTGATCAGTACTATGGTCTCTTAATTTCTTTTCCCCGTTCTTTTCCTACATGGATTGTATATTACAGCCATAGCTTAAATAGAACTGAAACTCAAGCCCTTTCCAGGGTTCACGCCACCGGGGGGCCGGGGTGGCCATGCCCCCCACTTTTTACGAAGCCAAGAGTTTTAAAGTACCCTGGGTACCAGAATCTCTATATAAAATAATAGAGTCTATTTTATTTTAGATATAGTGAGTCTGGTAATCTGGTAGTTTTAAAGCTGCAGAAAGATAAAATAAGAGAACTAGTTCTCTTATTTTATCTTGGCTGCAGTAAAAGGGGTAAGAAGCCTTGGCCCCTTACATTTTAGCCTCGCCCCCCCCCCACCTTCAAATTCGTGGCGGTTTTCCACATAGCTAATAGCAAGATCAAATAGTCTTGCTGCAGCTTTATCTTGCAAACAGATATCTATAATCAGTTCTTTGTTCATTTGTTCACTGCAAACAGTTGCAAGAGAAAAACCGATTTCTCAGGTCATTTATCCGCTTACTCTTTTTTGTCTTCTTCCCATGTCAAAATATCCGACTTTTATAATACGTTTCGCTCGCAGCCATATCGAATATTAGTGGGGCTTATAATGTCCACCAATGTTTGCGATATTGATAAACCAGTGCCTTCGGAACGAAGTATAGATCAGTGGGGGTTGGGGGGTTTGGGGTTGTTTGAGCATAAAAATTTTGTTTCCCAGCCTCCCCATAGCTCCTTCAGCCTCCCTTCCAATGCTTGAACACCAGGAACGCCTTCAAGATCAAAACGGTCACGGAAACTCAGCACACATGGTCAGTGGCGGTTTTGAGGGGGATCCAGGGAGGCCATTGCCCCAGGCCCCGCGCTTATGACAGCCAAAAGGGGCCCCACACCTTAGAAAAAGATGGAAATTGTAAAGAACAAGGGCCCCGGACCCCGCTGTCCCTAAAACCGCCACTGCACATGGCCTGAAATATGCGTCTTAAGTTTAATTTAAATAGTTATGTTTCGAATTTAGACTAAATAAAAATCAATCCTGTGGAGCCCCCATTGTCAGACGCACCCATACCCGGGAGATAGTGCTGACTCCGCTTTATGAATTATGATAGCCTGCACACAGGCTAGCTTATGTCGGCCTTGTACACACCAATGAGGTGGTACCCACTGATGAATCAGGAATTGTTTGATGAAACTGTTTCACAATCACAGCGGGTGATCTGACAATAAACAAGCAAGCTAAGCACATTCAAATCAAAAGCCTGTTCAATAGCAAGGTTGCCGTCGGTGTGTCTCACGCCATCGGTTCGGTGAATACTATCGCATTATTTGGCAGAGCTAAGAAGATTTTAAGAAGGAAAACACACCACAGCCATGCAATTTGTTTTTGGTTGTCTGATGCTTTTCAGTTTAACCATAGCTGCTGAGAACCGATGTAAAAGTAAGTACGTTTTGAACAATGCATCAAGGCATGGTTTCGGCATAGTTGAGAAGGGCGTGCATCAGCTTTCAGAAGTTGTGACTAATTGTTCCTAAAAATTGCACCACTGAAAGTTTCCCTTTTCAACAACTGCGATATTATTTAAAAGGCAATACTATTTCCGTGAGTTGAGAAAGGCGTGCATCAGCTATCCTCGTGTCGCGGGATGCCTTTTCAAGCTCTTATTGTGAGGATTAGAAAATTGCTGTTGAGTAAATTACTCTGATGAATCATTTTACTCTGATTAAGCCCTGTATGCCGGGGCGAAATATTAGTATATTTCTTAAATTTAATTTATTTTGAAAATTTTATCTCGTGACATTGGATTCTCGTCGTCGTATTGTTTTGTACCTGTATATCTTTCTGAGTAAATTACATTGTGTGAATAAAGGAAAGGCTATGATGGCAGGCTGCTCGATGGACACAGAATTAATTCTTGCGGCGAAAAATCTATAAAAATGTAGCAAATAAGGAACACCGCAATGGGCTATTCCATTTGATATCTGTACATGGGGATGGAAGTAAAATTCCAGAGGGTCTGGCACGAAGGATATTCCAGGGGGTATCAGACAAATGTATGTTTTCTAGGGGGTTGAAAGAAAAAAATATATGAAGTTTTTCAAGGGGTATTAAAAAATGTACGATGTTTTCTCAAATGGGTTAAGAAAATTCATTAAAAAGAATGACATGAATTTTCCGGGGGGTTGAAAGAATCAAAATCAGAGTGGTAACGATCTTCAAATTCACTTTCCGGGGGATATATGATTAACAGAAATCTTACTTCCATCCCCCTGTATGGAGTAAAAATGGAATAGCCCAATGCGACGAGAATGAACAACAACAAATATACGTAAATCAATGAAGCGTAAATCAGAGCATTACACTCTTTTTTATAAGAACCAGTAAATTTGAGTTCAGGCTGATTGTTCTTAATTTTTCCGAAAATCTGAGGCTGGATTGTTCTTAATTTGTTCTTAAATTTATAGGGTATAAGCAGTGCGATTTCTAGCTTTTCGTTCTGGGGAGGTTTTCAGGCCTCTTTTGCCAACAAAGTGCGTAGAGACAAACTTAATTTGCCACCATGTTTTAATATTCACCGAAAAAGCACCCACACATGGCTGAAAATCCTCGTTTTTGAGATAAAACGTTGTTCAAAATTTCATTTTACAGTAGCTCAGCCTCAGCTTGTTCTTAATTTGTTCTTAAATTTTGACCCATTTTGAGGCTCGTGTTCTTATAAAATTGTTCTTATAAAAAAAGAGTGTAGAATACGATGAAAGATAGATCAGAGACAGGGATAAGGTCCGTTTTTATTTTTATTTTCACTGCTAATTTACATTTTATCGCTGACCGTTATTTTCATTTGGTCCCACGCAATTTTTTGTCGCATCTTGTTGTAAAATATGACCTAATTAAAACTCATGGGTACCTTGCGAACTACAGCATTTGATGGGGCTTGCCAAACTATTGTCAAAACACGGTCTACCTAATTCTTCTCAAAATGAATATAATTGTATTGGGTAATGAATGAAAATAAATAATATCTATCGATGCAAAGACATTTGGTCATCAGTCTTTTCTTGTGGCTTTTCCGACGGGCACAGTTCGTGTCCTTTGTCCATGCACTCAGCAGCGGCTGGCACTGCTTCAACGTCTTCTCCAAAGCCACATGAAATTGAGAAAAAACAATACGACGACGACATGAAATTACGAAAAATGCTGCTGGTTTTGAATTGTGTCACGGTGCTGCTGGTTTCAAGCAGTGGTGTAGTGCTATTAAAATAATAAGGGGTTTCCGTCTTCGATGACAGGTTGCAGGCAGGAAATTTTTCATTAGTTCCTTGTCGGAATTTCTTTTTCGAAGTGGATAAAGGCCGGGTTACACGATCACTTTTTACCATCACTTTTTTTTATATTGGACCAACATGCTGAAAAGTGATCGTGTAACATACTAAAATTTTCCATTTTCGCTGCGGAATTTAATGCGCTTATCAGGTGTTAATCCTCTATCATTGGAAATTTTACTCTGAACGAAAGCAGAGTAAAATCGAGTTCATCACTTTTTTTCAAAGGCGCCGACAAATCCTTACGTCATATAATGTTTTGATGAGAAGGAAACGGCCTAGAGTTTCGAGAAAAGAAGAAAATAATGTGAATTGTGCTCAGAAACATGATTATTAGCAGAAAACGAATATGAATAATGATTTGGAGTAAATCGAAGAGCAGCCAATTACAGAAAAATAAATGCAGTTTAATAAAATACACTCATTTTTATAAGAAACAGTCCGGGAGATTTTCGCTGACCATTTTTATGGACCTGGACAAGTTCCATGGCAATGGAAATCTCTTGTTGGACCACATGACTGAACTGAACTGCTGTACATAAATAAACTATTTGGATACTTTAATGATAAACGTTTGATTTCTTTCCTAATAGCAACATTATTTTCCACTGCACTCATTTTTATAAGAAACCGTCTATAAGAAACCAGTAGTCGAAAATGAGAAAAGGTTAAGAAACTCCAATACTCGAGCTAAAAACAACTAAAGAAACTGATTTAGATTGATAAAATGCAGAATTTTCTAGATTTTCTATTGCTAATTTTGATTAAACTTACTTATACACTACAAACTTACAAGAAGAATAAAAATACACAGTGATCAGCAAACCAAGTTTAAAGTATTGAGGCTCTTGTTTTTTGAGAATAAAATAGAAAAATTCCAAAAACTCTTGAGTTCTGAAACTTTGTGAACCTTAAGAAACTCGCGCACTCAATGTCGAGGATGGTTTCTTATAAAAATGAGTGTATTTTATTAAACTGCATTTATTTTTCTGTAATGTACTGCTCTTCGATTTACTCCAAATCATTATTCATATTCGTTTTCTGCTAATAATCATGTTTCTGAGCACAATTCACGTTATTTTCTTCTTTTCTCGAAACTCTAGGCCGTTTCCTTCTCATCAAAACATTATATGACGTAAGAATTTGTCGGCGCCTTTGAAAAAAAGTGATGAACTCGATTTTACTCTGCTTTCGTTCAGAGTAAAATTTCCAATGATAGAGGATTAACACCTGATAAGCGCATTAAATTCCGCAGCGAAAATGGAAAATTTTAGCATGTTACGCGATCACTTTTCAGCATGTTGGTCCAATATCGAAAAAAGTGATGGTAAAAAGTGATCGTGTAACCCGGCCTTAACCCGGCCTTAAGAAAGAATATTAAGCTGTTGCCTTCTCCCAACCATTCTAAGCTGACGGGGGATGTACACTGCGTGAGAGACGGACGTGTATAATTGAGCGGTTTGATCAAAGGACATTTCGTGATGGTATCGAATACCTGAGCTAGATATCTTACCTAAATTTTTCTTGTTTTTTTATTTTTTTTCAAATGACACGGTATTATTTTATTATTCAATATGAATAGCAAAGAAATTGGAGACATTCTTAACGAAAAACTGAGTGCCTTTAAACTCGAGATTAAACAAATTATTGCCGCTGATTAAATTTCTATTAAACCGACATTGAATGTCGTAAAAAATTTATTACATTCAATGGCAACAAAATATGGAATAAAATACCCTTAGAAATTCGTTCTATGTCAAGTAAAAATAAATTTAGTAAAGTTTTTTATAAGTGGTTATTGCAACATTAGTGAAAATCACGAATCTTCAGTCAAGCATTCAAATATATCCAATATTAAGCTTAACCCCCTCCAATGCAAACCATTTTTGAAACTAACTGCAGTGTTCCCTCCCCTATCTTTTCTACCGTGTTAGTTTCTAGTTGTTTTTTTCTTTCTTTTTCATTTCTATTTTTACCCTCTTTTCTTTTTTGTTCTATTACTGTTTCTTATACTAAAAATTTCAAATCACGTAAAAATTTAAATCTTAATATTATTCATGTACAAGTGTATTACATTTTATAAATCAAGTTATTTTCTGGGCACGAAAACTTTTCGGGTTTATCTCAGTGTCCTTGGCAATGTTTAATTGACTATCCTAGCATTGTTATGTAATTTTTTGTATATCTGTTATAATCTTAGAAATTGTATACCTTTAAAGCTTGTATGGTTGCTGCTGAATGAAAAGTTTTGAGTTTGAGTTTGAGTTCTAGCACAAAACGTTGCGAAAAACAATAGCAAAAGGAAAAATTTGCCAATTTTAGGTATTAACAAGGTGGGCTCAGCCCTAGCACTACACCCCTGGTTTCAAGTCCGAGCGCAACATGTTGGCTGTTCCGTCGGAAAGGAAAATACCTCCTGCTGATGGATTAAGTAAACAGTGGTATGCAGTAGCTGTATTGTTCTGCAATGAGATACAGTCCCTGTCATACAGATTGCGTGACTAGGCTCAGCATTGCGGTTTCAATATACCAACAATGGAGGGAGACAATTGATCGTCCTTCTCTCTATATACACTCTTTTTTATAAGAGCAATTTTATAAGAACACGAGACTTAACATTGGTAGATGGTTAAGAACAAATTGAGAACAAGCTGAGGCTGAGCTTCTGCAAAATGCAATTTTAACAACGTTTTTTCTCAAAATTGAGGATTTTCACCCATGTGTGGGTGCTTTTCGGTGAATATTCTCTAAACTTTGTAAGAATCCAAGGAAGTGTGCGATTTTTGGAACTTAAGCGTTTGATTTGGCTCTACCACTTTAAAGGTTTATATCACTTAAGACAGATTTAGACCCCTTTTACACTAGACCGGTTCCAAAAAGATCCGTATCCATTTGAGCTCACTCCCTCCTGTTCACACGAGACCGTCTCCAAAAAAGTTCACTTACGCTTTCTGTTCACACGAGACCTGAACTCAAGATCGTTTGTGAAAGGAAGCTCAAACCACTCGAGTCGAAGGCCCCTATTACCATGACAACAAGAGTGAAAAGGCGCCAAATTCGCTTCGCTTTCGCTTTATTTATAAAGTTACTCCACCAGGTTTCTGTTCTCCAAGGCAGTGGCGGATTTAAGGGGGGCAACTAGAGGCAGTTGATCCTCCCTCGCTGAGTTGAACCAAGTCTGGCGCCCCATTTTTGGAAATGGTTTGGCACAATAATTGCGAAAAATTTCTTTAGAAAGTGAATAGCGAGCCTTCTGAAATTGTTGTATATAGCGTACTCTCTTCAGCAATTTCTGAACATTTTTCAGCGCCCCCAATACCAACTGCCCGCCCCTCCTTCAAATTTGTTCTTGATCCGCCCCTCCTCCAAGGCCTCGTCCAGAAGATTCTTCTCTTCTATTTCTTTTCAATTCGCATCTTGTGCAAAACGATCATGTTGTTTGGGGCTCTGCTCTGCTAACGCAACAAACCTGTTTTGTCGAGTTCGATGAACCTTTGACATTAGGGTTGCGAACAAGAAACTACTGCTGACTGCTGCAGAGTGTGCACATAAAACTGACATCAAATTCAACATTATTTTGAACTATTTTTCCATGATTAGAGCGTACTTGTTTCTTGGCTATTATCACGATGGTGCGTAAAAAGGGCGCCAAAGTGAGACGTTCTGAAAAGGGCGCCAAAGTATAGAGTTCTAAAGTGAGACGTCATTGAAAATCTATTTTTCGGAATCATTCATGTTTTTTGTACCGACCAAACCAGCAATTGCTAGACAGTAAATGCATTTTGGAACACCCAACAATTTGCGTTGTTTTTTTATATTTTTTAATTTCTACTGTGTCCCCACCCCCTCTCCCCAAAACAATGTTGAAAGTATAGACAAATATCATACAATGGCTTTGAAAAAGCAAACATTTAGTAAACTAAAGCTTTTCGTCTGACACTCTTCAGAGTTCACTCTTCGCGTCATAGATCGAAAACTCTACGCTAGGAAATATATATACCCGGTTGTGGATCCAGATTCCGGAATCCGGAATCCTATATTTAGAGAACGAAATATTTGATGATGAATAATGACAAAACTTACCGTGTTTGAAATTAGTATTTTATGCAAAACAAAACGTGAAGTTCAACGAACTAATTGCAAATTGAAAAAAGAAGATGCAATGGTTGAGAATAAACATGGAACCCTCTTGCAATGGAAATGGAAATTAGAACATTAACACAGTCATTGCCTATTTCACAATCTTCAAATATGGATAGAGGCAGTCTTGTGAGAGCTTAGTAGGCTAAGCCCTCGTGTCAAAATTCACGTGTCAAACATGTAACAACTTGTACACTTTTCCTTATTTTGCTTGTTTCCTGGTTTAACCTTCTGAAGTTCGACATAAAGTATAGATTTTACGTCTGAGATTAAATATTAACGATATTCTTGTCTTGATCAGAGTCGATCTTTCAAAATAGATTTCTTTATTACGGTCAATTTTGTGACATTCTTCAGGTTATGGGGACAAAATCTGAAATTCTAAAAATAACGAAAGACTTTTTCAATGACACCTTCCCGCTACTCTATTGTTTTTAAGAGGGGGATATTGAAGCTTGAGTAACAAAAGATTCCTCTTAAGGACCCTTCATCTTCTTGAAATACATCCAGCATGCTGTCCAGGATTGTCAATATGCTGTCTCAGCTAAACGAGGGCCTTCACAAGAGTCTAAAGCGTCTAGACGTACGGCTTGCTGAAGATAAGCTTTTAACGCTACTCTATCCATGTTGATCTGCACAAGAACTAAGCGTGTCCTAAACTGTGATAAAAAAATTTAAACCGTTTGAATTGGTTGTGATTAACTGCTTATTCTGCAAAAGATAGTGACATGTTTCTTACTTGGGCGTGGTGCTAAGAGGGGGTTACTGTAGCATTTCCAGGGATTCTGCAAGGATTCAAGGGATGTTTTCACGGGTGATATGCTCCTTATCAAAAGCACTCAGCTTTTGAATATGTAGCATTTCCACCATATTGTCATTTAAGACCTTGTACTTGAGCAAACTGGAGCCTCATTTTTCTCCTTTTTTGCATTCTGTTTGGGTGTTATGTGAACACACCTCCATTTTTGGTTCTGTTTGGGTGTTATGTGAACACACCTAAAGTCGAATCGACAAGTTTTGTTCAGAACCTTAGTGTACATTATACACCCTCATTCCCGCAATTGAAACGTTAATCTACCCGCAATGTCTTGATGCCATCGAAAATCATTTAATTGCTTCAGCCCTCTTGCCCTTTATTATTTATATTGTTTTCTCGATTGATGTTTGTTATATTCATTTGTGTTTTTGTCACCTGCCTTATGTGTATTGGTGCAATAAAGTAATGTTGAATTTGGTGCAATAAAATGGTGTTTAATTAAGCTTTCTATGAATCTTAAGGTAAACTAAAACCAATTTTTATTTGCAAAGTTTTCTAAGTCTAAGAGAATTATTTGCTTCTAGGAATGGAATTATTACTGACATGACTACAGACCACAGAATAAGACAGTTCTATATAACAACTGCTTCTTAATTAAGCCTATATTCTTCCTCGGCCCTTTTAAATGATTTCAAATGCTTAAAGTAAGCTTCTTAGATAAAAGTTCGAAAGAAACGGCCTGAATTAGCTTATAAACTATATTGCCTATACATCTGACCCCGAAAGGACAATGGGGAAGCTTCTAATACAATATGACGAAAGGCTCTAAATCCGACTGTTTTTGCACTTGCTCAAAATCTCAAACGGCTACAATTCTTTTCAAAGAAGGTCAGTAGGTAGTAGCTATAAAACTGGACGATCAATTTTAAGAATCCAAAATTTTACAATTAGTAGTATAAATATTTATTCTGGAAAAATGATACCCTACTTGGTTCACCTGTCAACTGATATCCCATCGGAGCATATTACAGATTGAGGCGGCTGAAACGTATTTTTTTTAGGGGGGGGGGGCTAAACATGCTAAAAACAAGAGCAGGGTAAATTTTTTATTAGGGGGCTAAAGCCCCCTCAGCCCCCTCCCGCTTACGTGGTCCCTGTATTCCATCCAAAGTTTTGTGTGTTCAATGTTTTTGGTGTGAACTGTAACCGTAGTCTTTAAAGTTATGCTGATTGTCTGTTCCAAAATTTATTTCAGAAAGCCCTCGAACACCCAAACCAGGATGCTGTCCGGATACTTATATTGGCCACTGCTGTCCAGGCATCGCGCCTTGCACGCCGATAAAGCCACGGCCAATGCCAACCCGTACTATGTCACTGCCAAACTTGCAAAATAACAGGACAATGGCTCTGAAGCTCCCTTGCTCACCTCCTTGGGACACATCCGCCTGTGGTGAAGGATTCTACAATATGAACGGAACAGTGGAAGCATGTCCGCCTGGGTTTTATTGTCCGGAACTTTTCGTATGTATCCTACCCTGCCCATTGGGGGCCTACTGCAAGCAGTTCCAAGTCACAAGATTCAAGCCGGTAATTAATATCTGTGTTTATTATTCTCTTATTAGATGGTATTGTTTTAGAATAAAATTCAGTAACAAAACCAAGTTTTTTTCATACAGGAGCTCCATATTATATACCTTCTCACAAAATCGACCGCAAGGCATGGTTTGGTTGCTACATTTAGAATTTTGTTTCTGTTCTCTGGGATTGTCCTCGTTTTCAAATTTATTAGGCTTCCAGGACCGTCTTGCAGTCAGAGGGAGGCAGTGAGAAAGGATGACTCATTTAACTCGGGCACAAAGTACTTCATGAAACCATCTAATAGCGTTGGCTAAAAGTGCCCCTATTTGAGAAAACAACACCGTTTTTTCGTTATAGGGGTGGGGGGCTTCAGGATTAGAGCATCCTTTTGTTTTTTTGGAGGATTAGAACCTTTTTGGGGGGTTCTCGAATGCTTTATGTATAGGAGTGGCACGAGAAAAGTATGATGTTATATCCAGTTCCGGAATTAAAGATAAAGGAATGTTTTACAAAGGTAGGTCTTTTTGTTAGTGTCTATCCAATCATGGAAAATTTATGGCCTACCTAGCTAAACGTCAACTCTATGATAAGGTGCTTTCCCTTGCACAAGAAGTTTTGAGTGCCCACTGGGGTTTGAGCCTTCAATAACGACACAAGGTAGAACAAACAATTTTCTGATTCAATGTGATCCACGATACGTTGTTAATTTCCACTCTAAAGTATGCAAATCTGAAATAATCAACCTGATCACCTAATACACGTTTATTTCTTTATTAATCACTCTGTTTATCTTCGATCTTTGTCTTCTATTTTAGAATTTTAAGCAGGTATGTAGAATTTGTAGAAACAAGAACTCTATGTGGCTTTCAATCCGGTTATTTTTTTCATCAAGCCTTTCCTTCTTTTAAAAGGAAAAAAATGGTGTATTGTGCAGGCGAATGGGCATGTGCTGTAGAAACTCTCATGGTGTTTTACATCCACCGACACAAATTAGTCCAGGGGTATTCAAATGTCCAGGAATGCCACACCCTGATGCTTGCCCCAAAGGTAACTACTGTCCGAATACAACAACCAAAAGAAATTGTAAGGATGGTCACTTCTGCCCAGAAGGCTCTGTCGAACCACTAAAGTGTCCGGTATGTGATACTTTAATTAGAAAAGGCTTCATTGTCATTATTATAATCATCATCAATTACAATGATAATAATAATAATAATAATCATGATTAATCTGCACCCTTATGGTATACTTCCTATATTTTTATTCAACAACCATCCCCACGAAGAAACATGGAATGCAGGGATGCTTGAATGCTGGAATGTTCCTCACGGCATTCCTCATTCCATGTTTTCAAGTTAACAATGAATAAACTGAATTTGCAATGATAAATTAAGCGCTGCCTCTTTTCTTTCTTACCCAGATATTAACAAGCTGTGGAGTAGGAGAATCAGCACCCTTAAAAAATGCTGCTGGACCGTTGCTAGCTGCATTTCTACTTCTGCTCATCGTTCTTTGCTATCAGTTCTACGTACACTACTCAGAAATAAAGTTCTACGCCCAGCTTTACTGTGGCAATTTCATGGGGCGAGAGAGGAGTTTTAGCGTCGCCTACAATGTCACTGATGGAATGATGGGTCTAACGTTAAACATGAACGAGGTCTCCGAGTCGCCTGGAGAAGATACAAAAATCAAACCAAAAGACTACACTATCGATATTTCGTTCAGAAACTTGAGTCTTACTTTGAAAACGGTACGTAAATTTTTTTTGGTTTGTTTCAAGATAATGAGAGGAACTAAGACATCTTATTCAGAACAACCCTTGTTTAAATAGCAGTCTGCATGTTGGTTTATAGCCACCATGCGCTAAAATAGCATTTTAGAAACCTTTTCTGTTACCAGCGAAGTAGTATATGATGATGGGAGTTAAACACAAATCTAAATTCCTATGTTCTCTTTCAATCAACCAGCAAATTGAAAAAGCTGCCTTCGTCCATATAAATAGAAGTTATTATCTAGTAAATAAAGAAATTTTGTGGTGCTGAGGGAGGGGGGCGCTTGCCCCTGAATTGGTATGTTAAGGTTACGGTAAACGATTCTGGCACAATATTTGGCTTTCTCTCCTAAAGCCAAACTATTAACGGACTCGGATTAAAATATATATCATTCGATGCACAAGAATTTTGTGATTCCAACCATATAAAAATAATTGGCAAACAGCATAAAATTATAAATTATGGAAACCTTCATTTACATGGGATGTTTTCCATTTTCGAAATTTCTGTTAGTTTCAAACATGGTATCAAGTTCGGCTACTAGAATGTGAAAAAGTCGAAAAATTGATGCTTTCATCCAAAAAACGTTTACCGTAACCATAATAAATGCCCTGACGTTGTTAGATTGATCGTTTTGTTTGCAGGGTTCCAAAAAGGTGGTCCTTTCTGGAGTCAATGGCGAAGTATGTAGCGGTGAAGTGACGGCCGTTATGGGACCGTCTGGTGCCGGAAAAACGACATTTTTGAACGCACTGAGTGGAAAGGCCTACTACGGGGTAAGTTTAGCACTGACTTTTTCTTCAAGTTAATTTGTTTTCTTAAACTGGTTTTTTGTTTATTGTATTTCGTCGGATTTCATCATAATCTGTATTTAAAGGCACGTGTCCCGTCAGGCAACCGTTCAGAGGCTTCGCAGTGCGTTCATGATCGAGAAATCATCGGGAATTAGCCTCATGTTGCCAATTAGAAACGAGGTCCCTGATTTGGAAACTGTAATAGATTACCGCAGGAGGATGCAAGATAAAAAACTCTCTTTATACTTTCGACTCAACTGAACACATCAACAACTAACTTATAATTCAATTCATTCCGAAACTAAGTAAACGGTTACATGGGCGTATGTGAGTCCATTATTATAAGGGGCATATCAGTACAGTAAATAAGTACATTATAACAGAAACCAGTTAGAAAATTAAAAATCAAGTAAATTGAAGTCAAAATCAAATATCTGTTTTAAGTAAAAAGCAAAAAGAGTAAGCTGCATACCCAGGACGGATTCAAGGTTAGAGGGAAAGGATTTCTAATGTAAGGTATACGCTGCTTTATTATTACTGATCTTAAATTGACAAGCAGACGAACACACAAGAAATTGACGATGCAAATTAGATGCTGCAAGCAATTTAATAACAGTTCTTAGATTACTTCTGTTATCACAGTTTTCAAGGTTGCTTTCTAACTTAAAGATGCTATGGGCACATTTGTCCCCCCCCCCTCCCTCCCCTACATGTGACCCTTAATGTACTATCCATTCCTGTATGTTTTGTTTCAACGCTTATAAAAATCTAAGGACCGTATTTTTTCCTTAGATAAGAGGTGGAGATATTTTAGTAAATGGGAAAGCGGTTGACTCAATAACGAAGTACAGAAGGGTAACTGGATTCGTTCCACAAGAAGACACCATGCATCGCAAGCTGACAGTAAGGGAGGTTCTGCTTTTTCAAGGCAGGCTCCGATTGCCAGGAAACACTGATTATGAGGTCATCAAAGATAGAGTCGAGCACATTATGGAGTTGTTAGAAATAGCCCATGTTGCCAATGTGCCAATAGGGGATGAGGTGAGAAAAGTCCTGGTAGCTTTCCGGAGTCCAAAACAGTGTTTATCCTCTCTACAGAATGTACCTTCAAACTGTGAAAATCTTCCTCAAAAAACAATCGAAAGAAAGCAGGATTTATTTTAATTTTGCAAAAAAAGGTTTTTCTTAGATCTCTCGATCTATATTAGTTGAAGATGTTACCAGAATGGTAATCTGGCCAACTTATCAAGAGGGAACTGCCCAAAAGTGCTTTCTAGAAAAGTGGAAATAAAATCTCTGCGAAAATCCTCAGATACAAGTCAGTAGAAAAGGTGGTGGCCCAGCAGAACTCGGGAAATTTCCCGGTAGGCCCCTTGAAGCTTTTCATGCGGGCCTCTTGGATTTTTATTCATTTTAAGCTTCTATCATTTATAACATCAGATTTCTGAGAACAACTGAGTGAAATAAGGCCCCATGCTGCCTCCATGACACTCATTTACAACATATTAAAACTGAATTATAAGTAATGCCATTTCAATCAAAATGGTGTGCCACTAAAAACTTGATTTTGCCGGCCGATAAAAATTCCCACCACGCATTTTGTTGGAAGGTTTTTGCACGTGAGTATTTGATTTACCCTTTGGTGCAATATAATGTTTACTTTGCATTAATTACATTTTTGGAATTATATAGACAAGGCCCATTTTGGGACATCAAATTACCTGCACCACTCACATTTTTGCTAATCCCCACTCCAACTTGCCTAATTGGCATTGCAAATGTTCTGCTGAATATCAGTTAAGAGAGAAACTGACATTTTTAATCAACTTGATCACAGGAAACACGTGGAATTTCTGGAGGCCAAAGAAAAAGAGTGAACATTGGAATGGAACTTATTGCTGATCCAACACTACTGTTTCTTGACGAGCCAACAAGGTATGAGTCAATAGAAGCCATCTTCCATAAGGCATATTCCTGTAGAGGTATTTTCTTTCTAAACCTTTGCTTTGAAATGATACTGCTATACGATTGTGCTCCTCACAAGCACAGGCACCCCTTTATTCAAACAAAACCACGTTCCTAACAGGGTTTATTTAACCAAAACAAGGACTCGAAGTTACGACAATAAATCACAAATCCTTGTTTGACCATTGATCCCAAGTGTATACATTGCATTTAGAAAGAAAATTTTTGAAGTAAACTGATTACGTTGAAACACGTCCTGTGATGTTATGGAAAAGCAGTAGAACGATATTTTTCAAAAAGAATGAATATTTAGCTGGCAAAAACATTGAATACCAGAAAAAGCATAAGTCACGTTTACAGTTTTGGATCCTGTGGGTCATTAACGTAAAGATATGGTGCTACCCTCTGGTATCAACTGACCAGAAGAAATATTTTCGCTTAACCAACCAAAACAAGTGTCAAGTGACACTCCTACAGCTTCGCCCTTTTCACTGCCTCTAAAATTTTCAAAAATAATGGGAATATAATTTTATCTTTTAGTGGCTTGGACAGCACATCCAGCCTGTCAGTTCTGCGTGCATTACGAGCTGTAGCAGAGAAAGGACGTCTCAATGTTGTCTGTGTAATTCACCAGCCTCGATATGAAATTTTTGGTACGTCATCACTGTACTGTTTTGTTAGGATTGCTTGATTCGGGCCTACACTTGGTTTAAAAATATGCCATTTGATAGTCTGTTTCAGACTGGTTGATCAGTGTGTAGATTTAGCTGAAAATAAATATTTTTGAGGATTCTTATCATCCAGAAATTCTGATGTTGGCAAATGTTATTGCTTTGGAAGAGTGATTCTACATTTGTTCAATTTGTTAATTTGAATGTGCTACGCCATGTCCTACTTTGACGCAATTAATAGTTATTGACTGCAAGATGTTTTTTTAAACATAGATGATGCCTTTAAGCTTTCAAATATTGTTAATGGTACCTGGGTCTATTTACAATGTAAATAACCTTTTCCAACTTGGAGAGACGCAGTTTTATGAAAATCATTTTATACGTTCTCCTCAATCGAGTGATTACATGACATGCTTTGCTTTTTCGGGTCGCATGTAATGTTTAGCTGTATTTTAAGGTTGCATTGTATGAAAAAATGTCGAGTTGATATTCTAAAGAACAAGATGAAAACATGGATTTTGAGGAATGCTCTAGAAACTTACAGCCATGTTAATATTGTTAAGTTTTTTTAAGATTGCATTTTAACCATAATTTTTGCCAACATTTTGCTTTGTTTCTTTTCCAGCAATGTTCCACAAACTACTGTTTTTGGGCCCTGGAGGACGAACTGTGTACCAAGGAACGGTTGAGGGGGCACGCGACTATTTTGAGACTCTGGATTTCCCATGTCCACCAAACATAAACCCGGCTGACCATTACATGGATGTTATCGGAGGAGTTGTTAAAAAGGGTGACGACAAGTTTAATCCTGTAGTGCTTTTTGACTCTTGGACCAAGCATTCTTCTGATTCGCAAGATTTTAGCAATGGCGATACGGAGAATATTACGCTAATGAATTCGCATGATAAAGGTATGTGACCATGATTTAAAAGCTACAATTACTGTTTATCATAATTTGTATTTTGCTTTTCTTTTCCCGAATGCCTGCTGCCATAAAAACAAGGAACCTTAACGTTGAGGAAAAACATCTAAAGTCGCTTGAAAAGCATGTTTCCGCATATTATTGGTCATTTTGTGGTAAGCCAAAATACTTGATACAAGTAGGACTGGGAGACTCTTGAATACAACTTAGTTTATTTTGATGTAATTGTTAATTGGCAGACGTTTTATGAGAATGATGGTAGATTTACCAACATCCTTTTGATTTTCTAGCATTCTCTAATGTATTTGTTCAGTAAGGTGTTGAAGAAAAATACCAAAGTTCTTGTTGCCAACTCAGTTTTCCAGCATGATCAAACTTCCAGCATGATCAAACTTCCAGCATGATCAAACTTCCAGCATGTTCAAACTTCCAGCATGTTCAAACTTCCAGCAGGATCAATCAGCATGATCCTCTGGTCCTTCAATTTTTCCTTGAAGATTTTCCACATTTTTCAGGAGATAATCACCGTTGAATTTCCATTTGCTCATACCTGGTTTCCGAAGATAGTTTTAGGACTACGAGAAGCTATGCAGTGAAAGTTTGATCATTTAACCTTGTTTGGGACCACTGAGCATTCCTTATATATAATATCAGCTATTTACGCGTTTAAAGTCCTCGTTGGGAAATAGCTTGCTCGTACTGGTTTAGCCGTCCAGTTTCCATCAGTTTCTAAAAGCTTCTTCTGATTTGACTCTTTGTTGCTTATAGCAGTTGGTGAAATGTTGTTTCACTCCATTTATTAAAAACATGCTTTTTAGGTTTTGCATTTAACTCGTCTCTTTTTGGTTTTTTACAGATGATGATTTTCAGGGAAGGGCAATGCCAAACATTTTTTCCCAGTTTTTTGTTTTCCTCAAAAGAGAAGCAGTTCTCCAGCTTAGATACATCAAATCATTAATACTTGACCTGTTCTTGGTGTTGCTTGCTGGCGGTGTTCTTGGAGCACTGTATGCAGAGGTAAGAATAGCTAAAATGTTTAGTCAGTACAAAATGATATAAAAAGGACCGTCGTTATGAATACGTCACCTATTATAACGAAACCCCCTTTTGTCACTAGCTGACCCATGCTGTTATGCCCTAGGATACAGTTAAGTTCCTATGCAAATTGAGCAGAGTTTGAAATCATTTTAGACGACCAATATTTGCGTGTTATTTATCTCTTTACGGGTCAGTCACGTGATCAAATATGGCCACGTGAATGAGGGGAATAAGCTGATATTGAAAGACGAAGGATATTGGAATAAATTAAAAGTAGAAAGGGTTCCGATACCATTAAATTCCTGTGGCCATGGAACAACTTCCCGATCTCTCAGCAATAATATTTAATTTGTGTCTGCTGAATAAAGTAATCGGAAAATTTCATTGTTTAGCACACAATTTATTGTAAAATAGATGTTTTGTAGATATATTTTTTTCTGTTAAGGTGTCACTACAAAAGACAATTGCAATGAACACAATGAGCTCCTTGGCAATTGGCCTCACAGCAATTCTCGCCTCTTTACGATGTTTTGGAAACCATCGAACAACTTTCTGGAGGTGATTATACTCTTCTATGCATTTATTTAAGCCTATATTTCGTGTGTAAAGGATTAATGTCGACTTGTGTTAATTGATTTTCTTTTTTGCATGGTAAGTACTTTGAGAAAATATGATAATGATAGGCCTTAGCTCGGAGGCTTTAGGAAGCTGGTCCTAATATTTGCATAACGGATCACCATAGGATCACCTAATGAAACTTATACCAAAGAAACTAATGAAATTAATTACTCCAGCAGTCGTTTTTAACTTAAGAACATTTTGGATAAATGGGAAAAGCTGATAATTTGATTCTCTTCCTATTTAGAGAATCAGCATCTGGTGTAAACAGGTTCAGCTACTTTCTCGCTGTCAATGTATGTCAGTTGCCACTGATCCTGGTCACCCCATTGGTTTACTTAAGTCTGCAGTATACATTTACATCGCCTAGAGGTAAGTTGAAACCACGCTTAACTCAGCGGCTGCCATTCCTAAATAATGAAGAAAAGAGAGACATGATATAGGCCATATAGCCCTTGAAAGCAGTAATTTTAATTAATGTAACTTTTGTCCTAAAAATCTAACTGATATTTTGATAAAATTATCTTTTTGCAAGCTTGTAGAATCAATTTTCCCACATAAACCCTATAATTCTCACCTGCTTATTTTTCTTTCAGCATTGTTTAAATATCATTACGGTGCAGTTTTGTTAGCACAGTTTGCCACAACTGGTATTGGATATGCCATTTCCTGCATTTTCAACCCACGAAACTCCCAGATGGCTGCTGTCGTTGTTGTGCTTATTTCCTCTTTGCTATCCGGTAAGACTTAAACCCTAGAATTGCGCTTTGGTGTGTAGTACAAGAATGCGTTTAATGCGGGGGATGCCATTAACTGTTTATCTCATTGTCATGCAACCTCACTTTGAGTACTCTTCAGCAGACCGGTTCATGGCAATCTTAGAATTTAGCATTACGTTTTTCAATAATTAACCTACTGCAAACCAAAAGGATTTTGTATAGAAGAAATCGCCTGGAAGATTTCCTTAAATCCGTAACTCTAAATGTTGTTGCCTTTAAATTTTGCTTAAATTTTTGATTGCCAAAGTTCCATTCTCACAGCTGCAACTTTTGCTGCCTGGCTCAACCTCTTTTGTAAAATTATTTGCATATCAAAACGCTTGATACGCCGCCAAGACAAGGGCTTCGAATAATGATTTTGATTTAGAACTGTTCTGAAAACTTGATAGGAACCTAAACAAGATACAAAAATAGTAATTTTACTGTGACTAGGTACTGTAGGCAAAGATTTTATCGCTTTCAAACCTTCTATAGTTAAATTCTGTCATTATGAACTAATCACTATTATTTCTCAATAAGGGGGTTATTAAAAACTTCTCGCAGTTATGAACTTCTCTCAATTGCTAACTAAGAGTCTGGTTGCTTGAAATATTCCCTGTGTAACGAATCCTCGGTATAACAAACTCGTACAATTAAGTAACATTTTATTTGATAAATTTTCAAGCCACATTAAAGGGAAGGTCTCAGCTTTACCGATAATATTGTTTTGTTATATGTTCAAGCTGAAATCTAACTTTGTAAATAGTAGCAATTTTCGTCAAATAGTTATTTGTTTTTAACTCCTCTTGTCTCTTAATGTTTGAATTATTTCTTCTTAACTTTCTTCGTTGGGAGGATTAAGTTGTTTAAAAGCTGTTGTATCAGGTTGGTTGTCAAGGCCATAGTATGTATAATTTGGATCCCCTGTAAGATACCAATTAAATTGGAAGGCTAGTTTTAGGAACCTTCAACTTTGATTAAAAAGATGAATTAAACTGACATCTATTAAGATCCTAAATGTTACAAGTCAATTGAAAAAAGAAATTGCTAAAATGTAAAAGAGGCTCATCACCTGCTTTTTTTTCAGGGGGTCATATTTTACATTTTCAGCTTAACAAATGAATTTTATTTTTTTAATTAAATTAAAGCAAAAACTCTGTTTTCTACTTTTGTCCATTTGTAGAAGATTTCAGGGGAATGTCACATGCTATTTCCAAATTTGAATTGCACCTCGTGATCACTGTGTGCGAAACAGGATTTTTAAACTAGATAGGTTCGTGGAATTTGCATAACTTCTTCAAGTGTGCTTCTTGTTATTGTAAATTTGTATTGATTCAATATACCATTCTCTCTCCATAGGCTCCATGCCAGATCTCTGCCAACTGAATGACTTCAAGGTCATCGGTCCTATCGCTTACAGCCTCTCCTACTGCCGTTGGTTCGTCGAGGCTTTGTTTGAGAAGGAGGTTGAGCGATATCCTGCCATTATGCAGACGCAAATCGATTATTTGGCCTTCAAGAATAATTATAACCTTGAAAGTTATGGGCTTTGTTTACTTGCGCTGTTTTGTTTTGGAATAGTTTTCCGTATTATTGCTTATCTTTGTTTAGTGTTTACAAATCGTGGTCAACAGAAGTAGCCAGCGATTTCCTAGACTTTAGAAGTGTAGCAGAACCTTTCATACAGAACATTTAAGATCATTTGATTTTAGTGTACCCAATAACTGTAGTTGTATCTTCACATCTTAAAAGTTTGTTTTTAATTGCTTGTTTCTATTGGATGCCTGTGACAGTCCCACTGATAGTCATGTACATATGTTGTTTGAATAATAATGTGGACCAAGCAGCTTCACGGAAAATCTAAAATGCTGCTACTGATATGAATTTTCTATAAAAATTCCAACTGGAGCGCTTGCCCCTTTTCTTCCGTGTGATTCCGCACCTGGCAAGCTGAAAGGTGCAATACAGATGTCACATGACAGGGTGGACTCCTGCCCCACCAAGCATTGTTTTGTTGATATATTCATGTGTAAATGCTTATAATAGCTGAATTGTTTTTTATTCATGTCTCATTTTTGAATGTGCAAAGAGTTCAATTATCTTCGATTAGTGTCAAGTTTATGAAAAACATAACATAAACATTTCGCATGCGTAGCATAATTTTGTAAGGTAATTTTTACATTCAAAAGTAGAAATGTTTATTCACTTTATTTGGGTGTTCACTTCCAAAGAAAAGGGTCAGAAAACCTCTCACAAAACCTGCGCGCGACCAAAACGGTCCATCTTTGGATGTGATTTGCAGAAAACCTACCACGCGCCCGGATGTTCAGCCTCTTTTTCGCATGATAATGTTGTTAACGATTATGAAGAGTCAATTTGGGCACAACAACTTTTTACGGGATCGACCCCTGGGTGTGGATTATGATATTTGTGCGAAAAAGAAGATGCTCGATTTTTTAAGCCTGAAATACACGATCCGTTTTAATCAGTTTTTTTAACTGAAAGCTAACTCTGTTTTGATATGGAGCTTGATCGTAAAAAAACTGCAATTCTTTTTGCTGCAGCTTTAGTCGTCAAGAAAAGGCGAAAATATCGAAAAAAGAAATTAGAGATCGTTTCCAAACTATCCGCATTTCGAAACTACTTTTGAGTCTGATGTTACATTTCATAATGATTTTTCGTACTTCCACGCATACACAAATTCATCTGTGTTTGTAACTTATCCTCATTTTCAAATCAATGCTGCTCTTAAAAATATGCCTCTTGTTCTAGGGTATTAGAGTAGCGCCAGTGGCGGAGTTAAGGGGGGGGGCAACTAGGGACAGTTGCCCTCTCTCACCGAGTTGAGGCAAGTCTGGCGCCCCTTTTTGGAAATTGTATGCCCCTTTTAAAAAATTGGTGATTTAAAAAATTTAAAAAATCAGGTGAAAAGGTTTCTGAGACCTATATAGGTTGATTTACTTCAAGTATTACTTCAAAGTTAAGTTGTTTATTTCGAAAATGGTTTATCTTTTGCTAGAAAGTCACGCTTTGGAAGACAACAAAGGCTATCCATAAAAATGTGTTCCTGCCTTCATTCAAACAGTATTTAATCTTCACTTCATAATCAAGCCAAATAGAGGTTTGGAGCAAAATTGTGATAGAATATTTGTCCGTTGTGCCTAGGAACCTTGGTTCTCGTCGATTTTATCTTCTGTCAGTAGTTAGGGTCATTGGTGGCGCTAAAAATTCTCCAACAGAGGGGCTTGACCTTCCGACAGGGGGGCTTGGCAATCGGAGTAAAAACATGGAATCCCGGTTGAAAAGGGCGCACAAACATTGAGACATTATGACGGGACATGAATTCAAGAAACAAGAAAGAGCAGCTCTTAAGAGCGGGATTATTATTTTTTGTGGGGGACTCGCTTTTTAAACAAAATGTCCCTTAAAGAAAAAAGACATATTAAGAAAGGTCTTTGTAGATCTTTTTCCGTGATTTTGCAATATTCTCAACGCTCTAAACTTTTCTGGGTAAGAAAAAGACGTCATTTAATCCGGGGCGTTGTGGCTGGGCGGGACACCACGTAAGTGCTCTGTCGCGTTTGTGTTCAGATCCAGGGACGTAAAGTGACACCCCGCCCCCACCCCTCCAGTATTTACGTGCCTGTTCAGGACGTAAATTCTCTCAATCAATTTAACATCTTGTTATTCACATCGATGTGCACTCTGATCCAATGGCCACCCTTTCTTTTCTTTCCCCAACGTCTGTCACTAGAGTTTTAGCATGACTACTCCTCTCCCAAATTTTTTCAATAATCTATGTTTTCAGAAAATCCTCGAATGGTCTTTTCTGAGCGGAATAGTAATTTGTTAAATTTTAGTCTGGGAGATGCACTTTTAGCCATTCTAAAAGGCTTAATTTCCAAACAATTTTACTTAGGAAGGTTGAGTTTATCTTTTTTGGTAGAAATACGTTTAAAGTAGATAAAATGAGCTTTAATTAGTCCCGTGACATCTAATTACCTCCATTTTCTTATATGGATATCTTATTAAAAATGGGCGAAGCCAAATCGTTCTTTGACATCGGAAATTCATTTTAGCATGCATTTGACTATCAAAACTTTAAGAAGGGAATGTCGTGGTACTCAAACTATAAAACAGGGACTTTTTATCGTTTTTGTCAACCTACATTGATAGTATTAATTGGTCACAAAGAGTACATTTTGTAATTTATTTTTAGTTAATTTAAAATGTTCACAGAGTGGTATTTCATAGCTTTCCTACATTGAAAATATTTTTGCACACCGCTTTGCTATGTCGATAATTACTAGAAACTTGCTGTGTAATAAGCATGCTACTGCCCCCAGCACAAGAGCGTGAGTATAAGTTTACATTTATAGGACATAACATGGCAATAACTCGTCGGGGGGTAGATCAGTTCTATTTCTAAATTATAGAAACATTGGGATTAGGTCGGGATGGATAAACTTGTGTCCAGCGTTTTGATCTTTAGGTGGGGCTAACACAAACCCTTTCTTTGGGAGTAGTCAAAAGTAAAGAGTAAATGTCTAGACGTCAACCCCTTTTAAAAACCACTTGCTATTTTCTTTGACTTGTCAATTTTGGAAACAAATCGGGCAGCATTTTTTAAATTGCCCAATGGGAAGGATCCTTTATGCTTTTGCACAGTCATCTCGAAAATAATGTAGTAGAAGGGCCTGCAAAGGGGAAGGTCCATTATTTTACTGGGTATAAGATTAGCTTTTAACAACAACAAATACTGGAAATTCTGCTTTCCGGATAACAACCTCTATTTCTACATCTACACACGAATTATCTCTAAGACGATCTTGATTTTGTTTTCCTCTCATTAATACTTCAGAGAACTATTTCCACATCCGAGAGCTACCTTCTTTCTATTACATGTATGTGGCAATCGTATTAATGCAACAGCTACTTTTCTATTGAAAATTACGATCAATTGTCATTGTTTTTTAACAGTCTAAATCTTTATAAATTCCCCTTTAACTCACCTCTTTGAGGATTCATTTAGTATTCCGTTATCAATGCATTTCAACAAAGACAACCCTTCGAAATATGTTATTCATTCGATGATAGCTTAAACAGATGGGGTGCCTGGGTGCAGCCCCGTAGACAGCTAAACTGGATTTTGGGGCATGGATAGAAATATAGCTTTTTCTATACCTGCCTTACGAAGCTTATAAGATATTCAAACTATTGGTTTTCGCAAATTATTGGGGGGCATTGCCCCCTGCCCCCCTCAGTGTCTACGGGCCTGCCTGGGTGTGGCATACCCCTTGATACATTAACGAATTATTTTTATATACAATGATTTAGCTACAAAAGCTTTCAAAGCAGCAACATTTTGCAGCTTCTCGTTGCAGCTTCTCGACCTATGAGCATTAGCAAACTGACATATATGTGTCTGTTTAACACGGTCCTTGTCTCACTTTCTGAACGTATAGATTTCTTCTACAAGACAGTACACGCAAGAAACAGTCATTTCTGTATGTTTGTCCATTACTGCCGCATACTAAATTCCGGACCAGACTACAGAATTGTGGACATAAACACTGAGGCTGGTTATCGAATCTATTAATGACACATCTGGCATGCGGCGAGCAATCTTTGAGCTTGCAACGATCGGCCGCTGATGCAATTTTTAAACCAAGGCCTTCTTTGTCTGAAAAGAAAGAAGAATAAAAATACTATTGACGCAAAGTATAAGCATCATAAGAGGCTTGTTCAAGGCTTTGTTGTGTAGCCTAAAAGCAGCTCCATTCGTTTTTGTCGTTACTGGACTCTGCAATACACTGGTCATATACACTGAAGAACAGTACTTGAAAATAATTTTTACTCACAGCAATCGACTTTGGAAATAGGGATGATTTCTCTCTGCAATCTGCATGACCTAACTTTCAAAAAACACATCGATCTGTAGGCTCTTTTTTCACCAGTTAATACATCTCTGCCGCAAACTTTCTTCAATTCTCTGAAATTGCAGCTTCGAGGACAATGGCACTCCTTGGTACCCGATTTGTTTTCTCTACATTCAGAGTAGAATCGACAGATACGTTCACCACAAGACGTATACGACCCTAAAGGAAAAGAAGACAATGAATTGTGAATTTTTGATAAAATGCACAAAGAACGCCTAAACCGAGAGGGAGGCATTTCTTGTGGATTCTCCCCTCTTTATGCTCAGGGATGTGTTACTATTAAAAGTACAAGAGGGGTCCTCGTGCAAAATTTCGCAAAACAACGGCAAGAAGTAGAAAAGGGTTGATATGAACTTTGAAATTTCTGTAATATGAAAAGAGCAGTGCTGTACACCTTAGGGATGAGGGTGGTTGGTCGCCCCCTGCCTTTAAATTTTGGAAGACAATGGTCTTTTGTTCTAAAACAATGGGAAAATATGACCTCATCTATCAAAACAATAGGCTTGCCACCAATTTTTGACCAAGTGTTCAACCCTGGAAAAGAGCAAGGGGGTTTGGCAAAAGAATTGTTGCAAAAACAATAATATAGGTTATTTGGCAGCAAGAAGAAGGGCTCAACTCCTGTGCCCCTGGCTCTCCACCTACTAAATTTAACAAAATTAAAAGTGATGCTGACACTATTAATGATGAAAATCATCCTTGCCCATTGGTAGCACAAGTATTTTGACACTCGAAAAATTTTCAAAATCAGGAAAAAGTCACTGTATGAAAAGGCCTGAATGAAATAAGAGCGACCAGTTTCGTTTGATCAAAAATTATGCAAGTTTAAAGAAATAACTAAGGGGTTTGAAAGATAAGGAAAAGGGCATGGAAATAGATTAGCACATTTACATTCTAGCCGGCGTGCAGTCTTTAAAAATTTCCTATGTAAAATAGTACTTTTCCCGCAGTTGAGTCTGCACGTAGGCCATTACATTCTGGTTTCCAGATGAGCTCATTTCAGTAAACACTTGACCAGTTTTAGTAAAATATTGCCAAGAAATTACTTAAATCAAAAATGAAGTTCATTCCCAAAACTAAATGCAGGTTTTTACATCGTAGCAGCTCCAATCCTTTAAAGATTCATATTTGAAGGTTCAAGGATGTTTGGAACATTTAGTATTTTGTCTTCACTGTGCCAAAAGTGCATTGTTTAACTTTTAAGAATAAACCTACGTATACCGTTAGAATTGACGATAGCCCTTGTTGTAACATAAGGCCTCTTGGTGGTCTCAGACTGCCGTGTAAAAGGTTTGCTTGGATCAATGCATCTTCGTTTGCAACCAATTAAACAACAAGCTCTTCTGTTGCTACAGTCTCCATTTTTGATACACTCATGGCTTTGTTGTTCAGGGCAATTCTTTGCTAAAGGCAGCCCAAACTTTGGACATGATTGCAGTGACCCTGAAACGCAATAAAACAAAATGTAACACAGAATTCTATACAACACCAATCAATATATCATTGCAAGTTCATAGGATGACAATCACATCATTATACAGGGCGATAATATTTTCCTGCAAGTTGTTACTGAAATAAATTAATGGTATCTTATCATTTTATAAGTTAATCAGTCTATGAAAGTCTAAAAACCTTAAGCAATTTAACCCCCCCCCCCCCTCACCTCAACCCCTCAACCACTACCACTCCTCTGTACGATCAACCAACCAGTGTGTACTTATTGTGACTCTTTCTACCTAACGCCTAAGCCTGAAGATAGCTCTAGGACACTGAGATATCATGCTGGTCCTTTCTCTAAGTGTAAACCCACTTCTTGATTCCTACTCCCTGAATTACAAAGAGCAGGCAAGTCATTTCACTCTAAGCGAATGTCTGTTCATCACAGAGACTCAAGCCTTAGACCCTTTGAATAGAGAGGTCTATAGCAAATGACCGTAACTAGACTCATTGGCTTAAACAGAAACTGCTGAGACCTTAAACAAAGTTTATACAAAGTTTGGAGCCCTTACCTTTGCATTTTCTCTCGCATACAGATTTATTTGCAAAATTATTATTGTTCCCATTGCAGCCACCATATTGGAACGACTTACAACTGTCGTCTTTCACATCATAGTAGAAGTGCAAGAAGTTAAAGGTGCAATTTCCCAAGACTTTTGGCATCAAACAAATGTTTTTATAGCTATCTAGAATGTGAGAAGACAAGAAATACTATAGAGTCAAAATTTAGAGGGAAAACTGTATAAACTTTGGGAATGCAGTGCAGAGCAAGTACTTGATGGGACGTTTTCCTGAAGGATAGCTTACGATGGGCTGCAAGCAGAGACGTTAGAAGCATTGGAGGTGCAAAGGAATGCTTTGTCCCGGTAAAGAGGGCACTTTTCCACAAGAGAAAAATAACATGTTTCAAAAACTTTGGGGGTGGAGCATTTGCTCCTGGTGCCTCCAAGTTCAAACGTCCTTAGCAAAGCCAAAACAAAAAGTTCCGTGCAGCAGTTAAACATGGCTATAGATATGTATTTTGCTAGCTGTTTTACAAAACGTTTTGTCTGTATTCCACCAGTAAGGTTTTACAGCATTTACAATGCAAAAATGACAACAACGCTGCCACAAACTAAGTGCTCGCACAGCAGTTAAGTAGGATTCAAAAATGTGAAATCTGAGCTCTGAAAAACTCGTTACTTGACAATTCAACATTATCTAAATTTTAGGTTCAAAATGAAATGAATATATCTAAGATAAAAAACTTACCTCTTATTCCTCCTTGTTTTGAGTATCAAGGTTTATAATTTTATACATATTATTTATCTACATAGGCATTCGTTTTGGCAGCTAAATAGTGACATCTCTAAAAAATACATTTTTAGAAGTTTCGTATTTGAACCTGATAGCCTAGACGAACACAATACCTTACCATTATGGATGGAAGATCAGTTAAATGTGTTACAAATTAAATGAAATATGGCCAATGGAAAGACTTGTAGTTTGCTAGAGAACTGTCATTGTCTTGAATTGGTTCAAAAATGGTTTTAAGGTCAAATTGAAGTAACTTGATTGAGAAGAAGCCTATTGTTATCTAGCCATATCTCACCAAATTTCGGATAGATTCGGCTGCTTTCCATATAATGAATAGTTTTACAATTACTCTTCAGATTGTGCAAAACTGAAAAACTCTAGGAGCATATTTCTATGACTTTATACCGTCACCAGTCTTTATGTTAATAACTGTACCTGGTTCAAGCACTGTCAGTTGGACCTCTCTTGAATATGATTTCCCAAGGTATACTATTTCACAAAGATATAGGCCATTGTCAGTGACAACAGCATTCTGGATCTTCAGCACCAAGTCTTTATCGATGATTTCAGTGTGTGATGTAGGCCAAACAAATTTTTGCCCATTTACCAACTTTGACCAGCGCCTCAAAGAGTTTTCTTTTGGTACCTGGCATTTTAGTTCGAGTGACTGCCCACTTTTTACAGTAATCACACTTCTTGTGAGGTTTAATGGGGTTGCTAAAAAAGGAAATAAAGTTGCATCCAACCTTTACATGAAATCTATACGAATCTTCAAAATGAAACCCGCAACTTTAAAAACTTGTAATGAGATATATAAGAAACATTATTTAATTCTTATACATTTACATAAAATTTAATCTCAAAGTTAATCCCTTAAATTTTTTATTTTGGTCATCAAGTTTGGAAAGAAGCTAACTTGGGGTAAAATGAGACATAACTAGCACTGTAGAAAAATGTCTTCAAAACAGAAATCAAGTTTTTAGAACAATTTCATTTGAAAATAATAGAAATCAAAGCAAAAGGAAGCAACATTCAGAAACAAAAACAACCAGTTATAATTCGGTTTTTGTATTCAAGGATGCTAGATGCAATTTAATGTTTCAAGAGTGCATGAAAATGGCGGATCATTTTTTTGCCGGATCCAAGAAGTGGGAGTAGCAATAGGTCATTGAGATAGGATACAGTGCTGTCGGAATGAAATTCATACTGGGGGGGGCTGCCTATTGTTTTCCTTCTTGTTCTCGTTCTCGAAACATACTACAGTCTGAAAATTATTGAGGGGCTCCAGCCCCCCCCCAGCCCCCCGGCTCCGACGGGCCTGGGATATGCAATAGGTCCACATCAGTCATCTTGAGGCTGTCGTTTTCTACCCTGCGTTACAAAATGATTGATGTATGCATGCATACTCGGATCGTTACCATCAAAACAACCGTCTGCAACCGAGTATCAAAGTTACTCCTTGTTTAATTGAATAAATGAAATCAAATGGAGACAATTAATTAAGAACAAGTCTAAGGCCGTTTCATTTTGCCCCTTGTCTCATTTTGCCCCTTGTCTCATTTTGCCCCTTGTCTCATTTTGCCCCTTGTCTCATTTTGCCCCTTGTCTCATTTTGCCCCTTGTCTCATTTTGCCCCTTGTCTCATTTTGCCCCATATTACCTTAACTGACTTACGTTGTGTGCATTCATCATAAGGCACCAGAATTCCTTTTGCAGGATTGCAGTCATTCAGGTGAGTGCAGCATCTGAAAAATACAAGATGCGAAATGAATAATTGTAATTCTTCAAGTTATTACCAAAGCAATCAGTGGCGTGCGCAGGGGGTGAATGAGAGGTCTGGATTCCAAACATTTTAAAAACATGGCCGTCGAGAAATTCCAGCATCGCAAAGAAACTGGCAAGGGTAGAGGAAGGTAGATCAATTACACGTTGACGTCCTTGAATGATGTTTGATTGCAACTTCAACATAAATGTTTAGTTTTGATATATTGAAAAAGGCGTTTCCATTTTTCCTGACAGTATGTAGAGGGCTTAGACCCCTCCTTTTCAGTGAACTGCGTTCCACACTGCGTCCTATCCATTCTAAAAAACATTTCCCTGATTGACAACCAGGGGTAAGAATTTTGTAATTGCTATGATCATTTTTCATTCTCTTTGATAGTGATTTGATTGTGATCAGTGAATCTATGAATCGCCCCGCTATTTATTATACAAATATTTGTAAATTATTTTCATGAAAGCCCCATTATCAGTGGTGATTAATAACTATCTTCAATATGACGTCATTATGACTATCAATTGCCCTGGGCTGAAATAAGGCTGTCTTACACGACACCAGGTACAATAGAAACCTGGATAAATGAGCATGTGATTTCGTAATAATAATAGAAAGAATAATAAGAATAGGGCCTAGTTTACTATCCAGTCTTAGGCAGTTACATGTTTTCTTCATTTTTAGAAGCACTACCACAGGCAAAGGCACAACAAAATTAACATCAAAAGAAAAAAATCAATCATTTCTGCAATCATTAATGGTTTCTCAGCGTCACCTTTCAGCATACTTTCAAAGCCATACCCCATGGGCTCCGACAAAGGTTGAAAAGTGGGTAGGCCAAGGGAAATTTAACAACCATGACAAAAGATTTTGAAAAAAACTCTATTGTTTTGCAAAAAAGTGGGGGGGGGGGGGAAGGCCCTGTACCCGTTCAATATTTTCTTTTCGAGCTCATCACCTCCTGCATAAATAGCTTGGAAAGCAGTCATATTTGTTACCTTTTCAGCAGTTATGCATTCCTAAATCTGTCCTCCCTTGTAATGTGCTCCCCTGGTGTTTTACTGTACTACAAGTAGAGCAAGGATGTCGTGCCATGGGACAGGAGGTTGCCTAATAGCTTCCCTGATTGCCCGATGAGTTCTAAACTATATCCTCGATAATGTAACAGACTTTATCCAAGAAACGAACTTTTAATATGATAACGAAGCATACATAATCAAATTCCATAATCAAATTAGTCATAGCTTCGTCTGATTGTTGTGATATACTCTTACATTTTACCCTGTACACCAGCACTAAAAGCCAAAAGATTCAGCCTACCTCTGACAATTTGTCTTGAAACAGAATTTTGTATCAAATAGCCGACAACCAGACATTCGACTCGCACTCTCTTCGATGGGGCAACGGTCTAAAAAGAGTAGAATATGTTTTGAATAAACATGATACGAAGAGTATGAGAAAAGGATCTGTTTGCATTGCATCGTTATTGCTACCAGGCACCGCGCAGCCATTGAGCTAACTGGGGCTATAGCCCACCCACTTTTTTGCAATAATAGGCTAGAAAATGTTTTTGAAGGTTTACTCTAACGCAACATTGGATATTTTACTCCTATGTAGTAGCAGTTCTCATTGACTGGGAACCATTTTTTTTCTTTTCCTAGATGTTTCATCTTATTTAATGATATGATGTATTTTGCAACTTGGTTAGCTTGGTTTTTTATTACCCTCGAGCTAATTCTATGTACTTCTATAGTTATTGATCTTCTCTGAACCAGACTGTTTATAAAAATTCAATAGAGATAAGCAAATATTTTCTAAAAGGGGCGTTTTCCGGCGCTCAAGAGGGCGTGGCCTGAAAAATTTTGGCCACACCCATTTCAGCCCTTCCATTTTTAGAGTGGTGCGCGGTCCCTGATTGCTACGTTGGTATCACAAAATTCAAAGATCTCGTCATTGCAATGTCTATGAAGGCTTAGAAAGTTGTCAATAATTGTGAGCCGATGTTTAAGACTGACCAATATTCACTTTTTGTCTATTTTCTGGAAAGAGGACTTTACAGACTTGGCCAGTTATTGTTAATTGGAATCATTTGCGTTTTTCGAGGTTCTAGCATTCATTGATATGACGTAGATTTAACGTATAGTCCTTACCAGTCCTCCACGTTGGTTGGACATCTCTGACTGGCTTTGTACATTTTGATACTCCGCAGCGCTCGTCTTCGCAGCATTTGAGATCTCCGTCACAAACGTAATCAATGTCACACTCAGCTAGCTCTTGATCGCAAAGAGCGCTTCTGGACATCACCTTGTACACTGGGCAACTGCCAGACTTTTCCAAGAAAAATGACCCTGATGCAGAACAAGAATACACACGTCATTTCCCAAAATTATTACTCAATGACCTCGACTGCAGTAGGCCTTTTACGAAAATCAATAATGCTTATTCATTTAGGCAGGCCTACAGAAAAATGACCCTGAAAGTATTTTTATACAAACGGAAGCTAAAAATGGTATAGTGCGATACAGATTTATTCAATTTCAATAACAGCGCTGTAAGATGCTTCCATTGGCGTTTGGAATAAATCTCAATCAAAAAGTCTTGCAAAACTCCAAATATCAACAGAAAGGTGTGGTTTGCAAAACATACACGCTACAATTCAGTAAATTGCTATTTCTTTCTTCTTTATTAACTGGACCATTTACTTTTTTAAGAAGCAAATTTTCATCTTGAATATCAATTTCAATAAAAAGCTATCAGTAATCAAGAATATGTGAGGTTTGAAAAGCTAAACACAAAGAACAGGTGAGCCAGAGCAGTGGGGGAAATTGATATCAAAAATCAAAATCCACGTTCTTGTACAAATATGTTTGGAACCATCGATTTCTCTGTGATATCCGTACTGCGTCAAAACAAGATAAGACTCATTTTCCTATTTCATGCTAAACTACTAGTGTGATTGGAGAGAATCCCTGATCCAAAAATTGCGTTGAATCTTAACTACAATACAACCTGCAATCGCAATCCATGATAGGCGCACTAAAGAATACGGTACTTTTAATAGGGCTGTGATTACACAAGACTGCGTTAGTGTCAGGTACCGCGCAGCCATTGGGCTAGCAGGGGCTATAGTCCCTCCACTTTTTTGCGATAATACGTTAGAAAACGTTTATGAAAGTTTACTCTAACTATGGTCTAACTAAACATCGAATAGTATACTCTTAAGAAGTAGCAGTTTTTCTTGACAAGTAACCCTTTTTGTTCATTTCTAGGTGTTTTTCTTGATGTTTTATTATTCCAAATCTATTTTTATCTATTTTTATAACTATTGATATCTTTCCTGAACCAGATTGTTTACAACACCGCAGTAGAAATAAGCCTGTATTTTCTGAAAGAGGCGTTTCCGGTGTTCTAGAGGGCGTGGCCTAAAAAATCTCGGTCACGCCCTTTTCAGCCCTCCCACATTGAGACTGGTGCGCGGTCCCTGGTTAGTGTGATTCCGGTCCCTGGTATAGAAACCTAACGTCTTCAAAATTAGGCATCTCTGGGAATTATAGTCCCACAATGTACCGTACGAAACCGTATCGTACCGAAAGAACGTTATTGTTGCAACTGGAAATAAGTTCTGCACACCTTAACGATACTTGTACACCTTATGTTGTAAAACTGTGCCTGCTGCAACATATCTTAAAACAACGGAAACATTTTGTTGGATAAATCACTGCATGTGACTGTTGAACCAACAATTTGCGTATTAGATTGACCAGCATGCAATGCAGCACTTGAAAGATCTTGTGTCTTAAAAGCATTTGTAGTGTTTGCCTTCTAAGAAACAAGGGCCTAAGGCCAAGGAATAGACTTTATAAAAAGATAGAAAGGCTTCAAAACCACTGAAAAACAACTACCTAGAATGTAGACCAAATAAGCTTAGAAACAAACAAAGCAGCAGCTAGGACACATACCTGCACGTTGTTCTGTAACCACAAAAACTAGCAATACGAAAACTGTTAATACAGAATTCATATTCGCCTTCAGAGTGGATGGATTCTATTTGTGTTGAAGTCAAGTTCTTCGTGATCAGCAACCGGAAACTCAATAAATGTAAACGACTGGCGGATTTCTTTTCAATGGCAACCTACAGCGCGAGGAGTTAGCGCTAATCCTGTGGCTTTTGAACCGGTTGCTGACCTATGATTGAAACATTGGTTTGTTAAAAGGGAATCTAATTTCAAAATCAAAAGGGAAAGTTCATTCGTTATATACTTTGGTAGCGGGCTTTCCGGCACAGCGAGGCGGTGATCGAAACCGCTTGTAAAGGGCCGCCGAGAGGGGGGCAAGCCAGAGTGCAAACTATTTATTTGTGCGCGGGATATTTTTGTCTGCCGCTAACGCTGCGCGGGAACAAATCATATTGCAAAATAGCAGGTTGAAAGCTGCGGGATTTTATCTTTAAATAGCATTTGTAAGCCTCATCGTGAGGCGGTGCGCGGGATTCATACGAAAGCCTGTGCTGCAACTGCACGGATAGATCTAAATTTGCAAACACGCTTGGATGGGATATGAGGAATACAAATTTGCAGTCTTAATAATAATAATAATAATAATAATAATATAATAATAATATAATAAATAATTTGTTTAAAGTTGGCGTACTAAATGAACGGCTGATAGCTATAAAGAAGCTAATTAAGGCCAACTATCTATAAAGAGTAAGTATGAAATAAAAATATATGATACAATATTAAAAAGGTTTAAGGTATAATGTTCTAAATAAAACCTAACCCAGCAATAAATTTTTTACACAATCTACAGTCGCATTCTATAGGGTGTGCTCTTAATTCTTTTTTAAATGTTGCCAATGATCGGGACTCTCTTATACTGTGAGGTAGTGTTTGCCACAGTTTTTGACCTAAATATCTCACAGTTTCTATACCATAAGAAGTTGTGCTGGCTTTTGGAATGCAAAGATCATTTTTAGTTCGCAAATCATAATGTACATTTCTTGTTTCAAAAATCTCACTCATGAAACTAGGGTTCAGGTTATGTTTGGTTTTGTATATTTCTATCATCAAGTACTGTAGATTGCGTTGGTGAATTGATACTGCATTATCCAAAGTCAGCAATGCTTCGTAGTCAGCATGACTGTCTTTATAAACAATGCTGAGTGCTCTTTCGTGGATTTTATTTACTTTAGCATTCAGACATCTGTCATGGAACATCCAAATTAGGGGGCAGTAACTAAACTGAGCTTTTATGAAGCTGTTCATTAGGAGACGCAGTTTATCAGAACCCATAAATGGCGAAACTCTAGCAAGAGCATGCAGTTTTTGGCTGGCTCTTTTGCATAAATTTGAGACGTGACTTTTGAAATTAAGATTTTTATCTTGGTGGGCAAGTGGGAAAATTGTCCCAGGTCCTAGAAGTCTAGGGGCCTCATAGTTATAAACTCAATTTTAAGAATAGATCAAAATAATAGAGCGTTTTAAACTATTGCAAGAAGTGAATGAACAAAATATGGAGAAATGCATTTTGAGCTGATTTGAAGGTCGCAAGCATTGTCTGCTCGCTTCGTTCGTTCGCTTATTCCGTTTTGCCACAAGCCCTTCTAAGCACCTCGGTGGCCTTTCTGCTTTTATTGCAAAGTCGTGACAAAATTGTTCAAAAAGTATTTAAACAGTTCCTCAATTTCAAGTGTGAGAAAGCTGTAACATAACAACTCCTTACTAGTCTGGAATTAATTAACATCTTCAATTTGACATTGATGGTATTTAGGAAGAAAACCTACATTTAGACTAATATTCTAGTCCTAATCCCGAAACTAAAGTTAAAAATTCGGTTTAAGGAATCTTAAAATGATGCCCTTTCAAGGTTGCCAAGTTTTGGAAAATGATACCTGTGAGATTTCATGAGCGCAGCTAGTGAACAAAAGGAACTGGGGTCTAGAGTTGGGGTAGAAGAATTCTGAGTTTCAGTAGATCTGGAGTGCTCAAATGGCTTAAAACTAGACCATTCAGAATGCCTAAACATTTGCTTATTTCACACTTAAAACATTTCAGAAAAACACAGAGAACAGGCTTCTAAACGTAAGAATAAACAATCAAAGCAATGAACAATAATAATATATAATACTGATACATTAACGCGTTTGACAATCATTCACGCAACAGGTCTGTGCAAGTGATTGTCATAAACAATGTAGTGGAATGGAATGTGTTCAGCAACCACTGAGGCGTTTGATCCGAATTGAAAGAAGAATGAGGCCCGGGAAGAAATCCGTGAGAAAAGTAACTCCCGTCGTGAGACTGTGAGAAGAGGTGAGTATCCGTGAGTCTCACGGCCAAACCCTGAGACTTGGCAAACTTGCCCTTTAGAGAATTGGTATAAATTTTCATGAAAATCATCTCGTTTTTGTGCAATTTCTCATAGGTTATTAAATGATTATTTCTCTATGCCTTTATAGCAAACTAACGCCGAACCCTTTTTCTGGAGAAAAGGAAGCGTTGGGGCTCATTTGAATTCAATTTCTGTAACTTGAATCTTGATTTACAACATTATAGTTGTCAATCTGCATTCAAACAAAGCACCAGTAAGTTATTGTGCATTATTAACGTATTTTTCTTGAAAAAACATTTATCTAATCATGGTAGGTAAAATTGATGGTAGCTTAGGGTGTTTTTATGTAACCAATCGTGTGAGCAATGTGTATTGCTTTTGCATTGTTCTTAAAGCTTGAAAAAAAGAGGCTCGTAATGATAATATTGTTTTATTCTTTATTTGTCTAAATATTATTGAAGTTGATCTTTGAATATCTTTAAGGTTGACGTCATCAACTTTATGCGAGGCCATTTTTCAGCCTCGTGGTGCAATCATCCGGGAACTTTCGATATGAATGTCGGGAAACGCATGGGAAAACTAGTCCTCTTTCTGTACATCTTGAAGCGAGTGGCAGTGTGAAACGAAAACATGCCAGTAAGTTATCAATTCTTCAGGAGTTTATTTTGCTTTTACTTATTGAAGTGGGGTCGGTGTGTAGATTAATCATAGGTGCTTCGAAAATTTTCGTTTGGGTGATCAGTGAAGCGTTTTTGTCACGTGAAATGAATAATTGTTGACTCGCCGTTGAAACCGGCCTAGGCATCCTTTAGTTCCTTCGTCGTTCTTTGACAGTGCAATAACTTATTTTGTCCCTTTAAGTTTATTGGCATTTTTTAAATTAAGTGTTGCAAGTCAATTATACTCAGCGTATTAGTCTGCATCAGTTGAAGAATAACTGAAATCACCCATAATTACAACTCAGTTTTCAGTGGTTAAGGATGCATATCTTAAAATCTAAGTATATAAGGTAAAATATCTATGTATGTATAAGGTAAAATCTAAGTAATATAAGGTATAAAGTAGTTTATTTGAAGCATGGCATTCAAAAAGTCTTCTCTCTTTCAATTGTAGTTATTCAAGGATTTGCTTCACCCCTCACTTGAGGAGGAAAAAAGGAAACACAAGCTAAAAAGGCTGGTTCAGTCACCAAACTCATACTTCATGGATGTCAAATGTCCAGGTATATTCTGTTTAAATTGTAGTTTGCTACAATGTTTGGTTATGCAAAAGGCTACAAGTTTGTTGCCAATGACATTGTTATTAGTAAATGCATTTGAAAATCATTCTTTTTCCTTCTTTCTTGCCATAGCTGTATCATTTCTCAGGCTGTGTACCCATCACCTTTGTGTATTGTCACTTGTTCTTTTTCTAAATGTAACCTTCATTTCTTGTCCATGCATCTCATGGCCAAACCATACAAAAGCTCACCATTTCAGCTCCCTTCCTCATCGCTCTTTTTGTCTTCCCCAAAACCCTTTTGACATTTGTCTTGAGAGAAAGTGTGGCTGACATTTTCTCCCCCGTCATGAAAGGCAAATCATCCCTTTGATTTAGTTACCGCCTTGTTATTTGGTATCGATTGTCTCTTTGTATCGTAAAAATTGTGACAAATTCTGGCCCAGTTCCAAAAATTTCGAACTTTTGGATAAGGTAATTCAATTAAACCTCAGAGATGTCACATAGAGGAATGAGCATTGATGTTAAAGTTCAATGAATACTTCCTCTGGGGATGGTGGGCTATTAAGTTCGCTCTGGTACAATGCGCCAGCACATATATTGAAGGTCTCACTCAAAGGAACTTTTGTATAAAGACTACTAATGACAAGAGAACACATGAAAGGTGTTTTGTTTTCGATGTCCAAGTTTTGCATGAATTCAGCGAACATAAAAGAATCCTTGATGCAATATTTTGAATATTTTTGAAGAACAGGCTCAATATGTTATAAAATGTTTGCTTTTTTCGAAGCCATTTTCAAGTTCTGTACTGCCAAAAAACTGTTCATATTTTAGAATTCCTCGCATATAAACCTTACAAATCGAATTTAATGTGCATAAGTACATTAAATTCGATAGTCCTCTTATTTAGTTCCAAATTGCCTGGCAGTAAATTGGGATGCACACTTTTTTAAATAAGAATATAGTCTATAAGAATATTAAGGCTCAAAATAACTGAAATTTAAGAATAATGCTCATTCTTAAATTAAATTTTTTGTTTATTTGAGCTTTTTGGCAAGCAGAGTTTCGTGCTACATGTTTTGAAATAGATGTATCTGGTCTTGGAGTCACTAACAATATAATGCGATTTAGTTATACCCTTTGTCGCTTAGAAATTATTTAAGAATAATCTTAGGCTCAAAAAAAAGAATTTAAGAATTTTGAGGCTCGGCAAAAAAATTAGGTATTCTTGTAAAAAGTGTGTAGTATATTTTCCAAGTTTTCTGTTTATTGTATTGAAGTTAGTTGCTTGGTAACCATACTCTTGGTAATCATTTTTATTCTGTCTCCAGGATGCTTCAAAATCACAACAGTATTCAGCCATGCCCAGACAGTTGTATTGTGTGTCAGTTGTTCAACTGTACTCTGCCAACCAACAGGTGGTAGAGCAAGGCTAACTGAAGGTTTGTTAATTTTGATATTTTTCTTGATATTTTGCGATTTAACTTGATGTTTTTCAATGTGGATGTATGCTAGTTTTATCTTTCTGTTGACAATTTTCATAAAAACATGTTTTCCTTCTCTGTGCCAAAATGATATATTCTGGTTACAACTCCATTAATGCTACTTATATTTAACGAACTTCTGGGAAGCCTTTAAAAAGGGACTGAACATAGAGCTTTTGGCAGGTGCTCTTGTTGGTAGCATTGAAAATAGGAGTTTCATTAGACATAATACTCGGAATACTCAAACATCAAAGTATGGTGTGAAACTTTTGACAGCTACCACCAAATTTATTTTCAATCTTGCTTTGACTTTAAACATGGTAATAATGAAAAATATGCTTTAATGAAAGATGTTATCATACCAGGGGCAAAATTGATAATATCCTCTGTGTTTCCAAAATGGTAGACTTTGTGCCGCCTCTTCTGCACTGAGTTTCAAATTACTTAAACAATAATTCCACTGCTTGGTTTTCAGTCATTTTTGATTGCTTTGCCATCAGATTAATTTGATTTTATCTGCATTGATATTTTCCTGGGTATAAAAGTCCTTGAATGATTGGATTTTTCATAAATGTGTGCAATTTTTAACTACCGCTCAGGAAAGCATTAATATCTGTACTGTTGACGTAGCTGCTTTCCTTGCAATTTGTAAGCTTTGTGGTACCCACGAATTCATAACAACTATGTAATTTGAAGAAAAATGTTCTAAAATTGCACTTTTGACATAGAGATTTGCAAGAATGTTTATTGGAATCAATTGACTGGCAAGTCGTATAATGCTGTATACAGCATTATTGGATGATCCAAATGATATTGATAGGCACAATCTAAAAATTGCTTCCTGCAATGAAAATACTGGTGACATACATTTAGGGGCCCTTCATATGAGACCCGAATTGAACTCTTGCAGGCATGAGTTCATATTGGCACAAAAATTTGATAAAATTTGCTCACCCTTACAGGAGACCTGACATGAAACTGTTGAAGCCTGTTAAATGCTTGTAAAATTGTGGGAAAGTTTTAGACCAAATTTTGAAATTGAGGCAGAGGATCCCAGGATTCAATTTTTGTAGCTATAAAGCTACTTTTACCTAACAAGCAATAAAATAAAGATTGAAAGTTTCCATTGAGGATAGAAATTGTGCCCTTTTCAGATACAGAGCATTGAGAAATTGATTTTAGTGGAAAAGTGATAATTTTTCATAAACTGAATTGAATAAATGTGCTGGTTCCACTGCAGTTTCATAAACTTTGTTTTCCAAATGTCAGAGGAAGTGAAGCAATTAATTTTGATAATTTTTATTGTTCTTTTTCAGGCTGTTCATTTAGGAAGAAGCCGCAATAAGTACATATAATCATAAAATGAAGAAAATTATTTTGGAAGATAAGAAGAGAAGTTTATGGTGACCGCTACAGCTCTGGAAAGAGTCCAAAAGCATTAAACTTGTATTTCTATTCATCTTTTAGGGATATCTAGAAAATGTATTTTTATTATCTGTTGTAAGACTTTATAGCAAAGGATCAATTTGGAAAACAAAATGTGATTCATCTAAGTACAAATGAAATTCTGAAGTGGATTTCTAATAAACTTTTCTGATTATCTTTCATATTGACTTTTTTCTTTGTTTAGTCTGCATTGCTGTACCAGTTTTTGTATTATGAGGCATGCGATCGCATACCATGTTGTATATTCTTATAATATTCTTAAAAATTTGATGATTCTTAGCCTGAATATTGGTATAAAAAAGGGAGTGTACTTAATTTGTTTTCTACAAAACATTGAAAGCAACCCGGTGAGAGTTTTAGTTCATCATATTTGGCAAAAACAAGCAGCTCTATAAAATATATTACCATCATGTTCAAGACTTAACGGTTTTCCTAAGTTTTAAACCTAAGCTAAAATTGCAAAGGAAATTAGATTTATCAAAAATTATTATGGAATACAGTTATATCCTGCATAATGAAGCTCATATGTAAAATTTTGCAGGCTGATTTTTCAAATTCATGTACCAAAATATAAGAACGTTGAGCCTGAATTTTTCTAGCTTTACGAAAGTGCTAATAACAGAAGTTATCGAAGAAAAATGCAAAAAAAGCAGCTTTCCAGAAACAAACTTTATCTTTCAACTCATTTAATGTTGTCAATGCTCTATAAAACGTACATTTGTTGCTAATTTTTTCATCGTATAGGAAACTCATTAAAGTCAAAACTCCACATTTTTTCAAAATTGTTTTTCAACAAGAAACAATACAGCTTGATTCTAGAAAATGAGTTTCTTATATGCGGGATTTGGCTTTTGTTGCATGACTCAAAAATACAGAATATCGTTCAGGGAATTTTCTACAAACGAAGCAGGTCAGAAACTGTCAGTGCTTGCGTTTCTAGTTGGCCTATTTTTATCCGCAACTGTGTATGTATATTTTCTAGCTTGTCGATGAAAAGCTAAGGTACCTTTCAAAAATGTTTGCTTTTTGACAAAAGCATTGAAGAGCGGAACATATAATACCAAAATACTTTCGTCCGACAGTCCTCAGAATATCAACGTCCGATATTGACAAAATGTAAGTAGAAACATGATTTAGATTCGGATCGAATTTTCTGCCTACTTTTGGATTTTTCCGCTTTTGGTTAAGTCTGCTTTTTTCAAAGCTATTTTTGATTACTTTTAAAATTTTTTATTTGTAATTTGATAATGTTTATCAAGCGTAGATGATTGTAAATATGTGTCAATACTAGAGATGCGTATGGTATAATATTTAAATGTATCAAGAAATAGAATGGTGAAGTATCATAACGGAAGCAGCTGTATTTAGCTTTACCTCCGACCTTTATAGAAACATTTCTTGGTATTTAGAAAATGTATGGATCTTAGAAAATATGCATTTCATTTCGAAGAAATGTCGTCTAAGAAACCAAGACAGAAAACAGATGTTACGTCATATTCACTGCAAATTAAAACCGAGTTGTATCTAGCAGGCTAGCAAGTCAACATAAACAACAGCAATCAAATTTTGGGCAGAAAACCTCTTAATACAAATCTAGAAATGACTGTGCTTAGCAGACCTCAGTCAAGGCAAGCTTTTTAGCCATTCCTCAACAATGGTTCTAGAGCGCTGCTCCTCGCTCTGGACGTAAATGTTTAGTCTTTGCTTGTATTTCTCGTTATGATTTTTTAAGTCTATTTGACTAAAACCATTAATAACAACAGGATCGTGTCGAAATCTGGATTTATTCTGCTCTACAACTGAAAACGAGGCTCGTCGCAAGCTTGGTGACTTCTCGCAACCATCAATAACACTTTTGCGCGAAATTTGCTTTCGCCGTTGCTTTGGTGATCGCAAATAGGGAGACAGCCTCCCGACATTACTTGCCCCTTCATAAAGTAAAGTATCCCGTTTAACGTCGTTTTCTTCATAGAGCTGGACAATAACAACGTCTTTAGCTTGTTTTTTGTGTTCCCCTGTCGTTTGACATGCTGGCACTGACATTTTGGAAGAGCTTTCCTCAATATTAGAATTAACGTCATAATTTGTACAGTGGTCTGTTCGTCGCACGATCGGGAGCGTTACGGTACGTTCAGCATTCTTACAGGCATAAAATATCCGTTCGTCGCGGCCTTGATCTGATGTACCGGGCGAGCTTTCTTCACACAGCGACCATGTGTTGCGCCGACTATGAATCACTTTCGGAAAGTGTGGCCTTGATTTTCTGTTGTATAGTTCGCTCATTGCGACAGTTAAGTGCTCCATTATTAAGAGACCCTTAAATTTGCAATTTTAAAAGGCTAACTGATTCACCTGCCGCTTGCTTCCCGTGAAAACAATATCCGCCTTTGTGAACTTCATCCAAACATAAAAAACTTTAATTCACGTGGGCAATCAAAGCTATCTTTCATCATGTATAAAATAATGAGTTAATGTCCAGATGTCTTCACTCCACTAAAAATGAGCAAAGATTCGTATCTTATACCCTATATAGCTTGCTATAAAATGAGAGTATCGCAATTAGACCACTGACGCAAGTTTGTGGCCTAAAAATATTTTAACAGAGTTGAAGAATACTTGATGCTGCATTTGGGAGTTATTATTTTGTTTTGTTGCACCCAAGGGGCGATGAGGTGAAATGGCTTTTTTCTGGTGACAATAGGACCTACGCCTATGGTGTTTTTGCTAAATGGCTTCAACCATAGTCGGTAATGTGATATGATCAGCCCTTGAAAAATTGAGTTTTGTTTCATCCCAAGCTATTTTGAAATCAATTGGAAGAGCAAATCAGGTTCAAAGTAGCTGGCCCGGGTGGGATTGCTTAACTTGACAACATGCCGCAATCGTTGGAACCAGTTTTTTCAAAGTTCTTGAGGCCTTGGTTCATTGCAGCAGCAAATTTAAATTCACTTTTAAGAAATATATAAATATTCAAAATGTAGAAGCTCGCGACCCGAGCAGTCAGAGGACATGCAAATTTTATGACGTCAACTAAAAAAACAAGTATCAATTGCTTTCTCAAGGGCACGTCTGTGTATCAACATAATCTGCACCAAAACGATCAGATGGTAACCTGGTAACCAGGGGTGTTGTGCTAGGGGGCTGAGCCCTCCTTCTTGTTAATGCCGAAAAGTAGCTAATTTCTACTTTTGCTATTGTTTTTCGCAGCGTTTTGCGCAAGAACCCCATTGTTATTTTGATAGCAGTACACCCCTGCTGATAACTAGACATTTATTTAAACGGAATAAGTATTAATGGAGGAAAAAGGAATAATGGGCTAGTTTTTAGGCTAACCTGTTTGTAGTTACTGTTGAGTTTTGTCGATTCCTTTGACTCGCGAGGGGCTAAATTACCCACTAATAACTTTTTTAGTTACATTCGTTGAATGATAAAACAGTAGCCTGGGCCTTGTTTGCTCCTTTTGATTTGGTAATATTTTTCTTCTTTCAAAATTTGTTGAGTTGTAATTGTTAAATAATATTTTTTACAATGAAGCGAAGAAGAAAATAATAGCCTCGATGCTGGCCCAGCCTCGTTTTCATTAAGAGATAAACATGAAGTAATAATCGATCTATGTCACTGCATATGAATAACAAGTTTTTACGATGAAAATCGTACAATTTATTGTTTAGATGCAGATATGCGTTAATGGGAACTGTGATATTATGCTTGCAAATAATTCAGATGTAATGATGGATAAGAAACGCAAAGAAATCATAGGCCTAATTCAAGGCGCGTCTTGCAAATCAACAGAAAGTAAAATTGCATACAGAATCACTTTTCGAAATATGACGGAGAATGATGCTTCAGTTTATTGGGTTAATTTTCAAGGCAAGGCAGTTTTCTATGGATTTATAAAAAGAACCATGGCTAGCGGCAAAGGCCTAGATATTGATACTTACATAACACATCCTTGGATAGCAGTGGATCGGAAGAAAAATGAACTGCTTGCTATAAATTTTAGCCGTATCCTCAGACCGATTTCTGCTCAAGATTTCCTTGAAGAAGAGCGTAAAATAGAGCGACTCAGAGTAAGTATTTCTTTGTTTCTCTTCTTGTCTCGTGTCATTGAATGCTTAACTAATTGTTTGAAGTGGAATTCAAATTCAATGTTATCAATGGAACTACAACAAGAGCAAATTGAAAGTGTGACTAGATAGTGACATGACTAAAAATTCGTGTCTGTTTTTGGTGTTGTCTTGCCCAGTGTGGTGGGGGGAGGGGGGTGTGCCTCTGGACCTATGCTTATTCTCTGTTGTAAATTACATTCTTGTTTATATTGCTGGTAAGTTGATGCATCTGTTTTCTTAGATATATTTAGATATATTTGTTGAATGATGGGGATTGAAACTTGTTAAATTTTATTTAAGATTAACCCAAAGCCCCAAAACCTTGATGATACCAATAATGATATGTCTTCAAGTGCCAACAGACATCTTGATGCGTTCATAACTGAATCTGGTAAGTGCTCAATGTGTGTATCAATTTCATAATGTAATATGCTGAAATGAAACGAATTTGAACTTTGCAATAGCAGACACCCAAGCCTAAAAGTGCTTGCAAAAACATAATCATTGAAATGGCCATGTGCAACTCATTTTGGCATATCAAGCATTGTGCCAGACAACTCATTTTGACATATCAAAATTTGTGACTGTGCGCCTGAGGTAACACACATCTAGAAATTTGTAGTTTAATAATGTAAAATGTTATTGAATAGGAAACTTGCACAGTTAACTACAAAAGCACGCAGATGGAAAATTTGAGTTTATGGGAATATATTATGGGTGTGTGACAAAATTTCCAGTCTGGATATTATGCAAAGTCAATATCAGAGATTCTGGTATCTATAAGGCTTTGAAGAAAATTATAAAAATAATAAAGGAATATAAGTTAAGATCCTTCATTTCAAGGTACACTGGGTACCAAGAAGCTGATTTTGGGGTACTTGAGATTAATGTGGTGGTCAAAACTGGATAGGCCTGTTTTACATGCCACAAGATATTTAGTGACTTTTTTATTTTTTTAAAAACATATAAATACAAGCAATAGTGACATGGAGAGGGTGGCCTGAAGTAGATTAGTACCACATTAAAAGAGATTGCCAAACCTAAACGTTTTGAAAATCAATTGGTATATTTGTCACATATATGGCCAAAGCCAAGCTGAGTACCCATTCGTGATTGGATGCACAAAGAGATCAATCAAAATCCTTCCTTGAGATCTAGCTTGGGTATAGAATGGTCAATCACTTAAAAATAAATTCTTATGTCAGTAAAAAAACTTTTTTTAACAGTTAATTCACTTTTCATAATTCTGTTAGTTTCTTAGGTTATTTCCTATGATTTTTAGGTGATTTGAAATTTGATATGCCACTATTGTTTGTAAATTATGTCAATAATTCTTTATCTATTGTAATTAAAGAGTTTAGAAGTTCATCTAAGATATGTATATGTTGAAAATTATGATGATGTAGAAAATAATTAGGTAAATCAACAGTTTAGATTTTTGAAATAAACATGCAAATTGATGTGCCACCAGAGCCAAAAAACATTTTGATCTATACATTTGTTGGCTAAAAAATCTTTTTGAAATTTCTTTGTAGTTCTGACATTGGAGGTTTCATGCTGCCTTAAAATTTGCAAAGAGATCGGAAAAGATGGTATCACAGCGTTAGAAATTCCCCAAAGCATCAAAGATATACTTACTAGTGTATATGATTGCTGGCTTCTCTAATCCTTTCAAAAGTGACATCAAAGCAGGAGAACGTTATGATCAAGTGAGTCTGAAATGGCATCATTTTGATAAATAATACAGTTTTTGTTTTATGCATCTAAAATCAAGAACTTTTTGTCATCTTGCATGTAAATTTTATACTACCACTGAGATACTACTAAGTGGCTTTGCAGGAAGCTCAGTTATTCACAAAGAAGGAAATAAGGAATAGAAAAAAAAAGAGAGGGAGTGAAGAAGAGGGAGAAAAAGGAGGAAGAAATTGGGAGAAAAGGAATAGTAATTTTAAAGGCTGGGAGAACTGAAAAAGAAAAGAACAGAGTTGTATGAAAAGAGGGCATCTTTTTTTGAATCAGTTAACATTGAAAATTCCTTGTCCTCTCAAAATTTTTAAGAAAACATTGTATCCTATGTTGGCTAATTTGAGAAGAACTGGGAATTTTGAAGAGTGAATATGTCAGAATCACAAACTTCAAACCTGTGATATTCAGATGATGTGTTACATCACAGCAGCTTCATGGATACACATAGGTGTAGGGTAGATTCTTTAAAATTGCATTTAAGCTGCGATGGTGTCTGTGCTGAAGTTTATGGGCATTTTAGTTAGGGCTAGAGTTTCTAACAGCTTCAAAATGCATCTGCAATGTGGGGTCTACTTTTTAAAAAAATTGGCAAATTTTTATGATACAGGAGTTGCTAATAGTTGAAGATCTCTTTACAGAAAGATGTACACCATGATTTCAGAGCAATAATCACAAGTTTGGAAAGCGTAAATCAGAGATGGAAAGGTTTTCTTACTACCTCAGGTTTTAAAAGAACAAATCCAGCTGCTCAGCCAGTGCTTTAGTTGTCTACAGACAATATGGATCTATCCTCATTATTATCCAGAAAGTATATATTTTGACAACATAAATGGATGGGCAAGTAAGTTGCAGCTGTAAGTTAACCTGTGCCAATGATTGGAGGCCATAACCTTATTAATGCAAGAAATGGAAAGAAGCAGAGAAAATTGCAAATTGCCTGTGGCTCTGCAATCATGAAGATCAAGATTCATTTTTAAGAAGAAAATTGAATTCAAGGGTTCCAATCTTGGAACAAAATTTGAAAATAGGTTAGGGAATGAAAATACAGATATCTTAAGGTTAATTGAAGACCATCCTGAGGCAGTTACACTCTTAGAAGCTTAGAAGAAGGTTGCATCAAGATGGCATCTATAAATCAAAATGTGTTCTTGAAGCAGTAAAGCAGTTCCCAGTTAGATCTTTCGATGTGATATCCGATGAAGTTTTGTAAATATAGCAAAAAGTTTCTAAAGTGATTAGAGAATATTACGAAAGACATCAGAAATCAAGAACTTGGTCACATCAATCCAAAGGATATTTTAAAAATGTTTTTGGACTCTAAAAGAATTAAAGGATTGTACAAAAATGTTATGGTAATAGTTTTGTAAGCTGTAGTTATCGCTTGCATCAAGTACTTGATTGAGTTCGTATTAGAGTCATTTACATTGGTTTGTGAAAGCCACTCTCATTCAAGAGGACGTCTGGAAGAGTGTCTGCTGCTAAGGGTATCATTGTTGCTTCAAGTTGGCCAACACCCTCAAGCTGCGGCAGTGTTGAAAAACATGCGATGAAGGCATTTTGGATGTTGAAGGAAATATCTAACTTGCACTTGAAACGCACCAGTAAAAAGATGGGATACCAAGACATGTGAAGAGTAATTGATCATATATTTCTAAAACTATCACCACTTCAATTTATGGAAAAGCTTGCTTTTTTAAAATATTTTTGAAGACGTTTACAATCAAGGGAAAAATTTAGGGGTGTACCGGATCAGGATTTTCAGAATCCGGCCGGAACCGGATTTACCGGATTTCTTCGTGGAATATCCGGCCGGATTCTACCGGATAATCTGACCATTTATAGAATTTTCAGTAAAAAAGTTTTGAGCCACTTTGCGAAAAAATGTATAGCGAGAAGATCAAAGAGACCTATTCAGGGTTGCAAGATTGAATTTACAAACGAAGGCTAGACTGGTGAGCAATTTAAGCCAAAATGCTCATAAAAAGGCCAAATCAAAAACTCTCTCAAGAATCCATCGAGCAGGCACTGGTTATATTTCTACGCTTGTGCCTGTTAGATAATTTCTTAACTTTGATAAGAATCTTACTTTTTTCCAAAACCCTTTGCTAATATCAAGATAATATTTAGGTAAGGTGATAAAATTTGAAATTTGGTTAACAGTTTGTAGTTAACTACTAATTATTCTATGAATGTAGTAATTACTTATTAATTTTAGACGTTCTGCTGAAAAGGCCAACAAGGTCAAATTTAAGTAGTAAGCAAAAAACAATTGTTCCAGGCAATCTAAATCAAAAAGCCAAAAATGAAAAAATTGGCCTAAAAAGCCGATCTGGCAACACTGGACCAAATCTGTGAATTATATCATCCAGTCTTCCTGTTTCGTGATGACGAGCACTTTCATTTCAAATCTGTTTTCAAGGCGCTTGTTTTATCGTCGATATTGTTTAGTTCTGGAAAATCCATTTTTAATCACTGTATGAAGGGAGTCTGACTTGGTTTTCCAAATTTTCTTAGTTATGATTAAAGTTCTGGAAAATCCGGCAACTGGCCGGATTTCGGAAACAAATCCGGCCGGAACCGGATTTTTAAAAAATCAGCGATCCGGTGCCGGATTATCCGGCCTACCGGATATCCGGTACATCCCTAGAAAAATTTGTTTAAAATCAAACGTTTGTAGGAACGAAAGAAACTTAAATGTAGGAGAACAATATGATACAACCAAGAAAAAACTTTTAGGGTAAATGGGAAACATGGATAGCGCTGCAGTGGAAGAAACAAACGGCAAATGAACCAGCAAATTTTTTGCTTTCTGCAAGTCATCTGAACAACCTGAAAGTAGAGATTTGGGTAGACTGTAAAACACTTTAAAAATTGACGTAACAGTAGACCTTCACGGAAACAATAATTTATAAAACTTGCAAACAATGGAAAGCAGAATAAGAGTTTTAATTCACTTCACAGGAATGTAAATTTTTTTCACCATTTGCATTTGGCTTTTGAAACAACCCAGTTTTTATCTCAAGCTGCTTCTTGTTCTGGCTCACTTACATTCAGAAAAGCATGAAGTACATCAAAGGCACATTATCAGAATAATGTTAAATTGCGTATCTCCTGGAAGATCTTGCAGCTTTGTCAACTTTCCTCAATAAACAAGCAGTTGCGATAGATATGGGGGCATGGGGGGGCTCAGCCACCCCTCCCCACCCCTAATTAGCATTCTCGTCAAAAATTCGGGCTTTCATCGCATAATTGGCAAACTTTTAACGTGTCGAAAGCCCATCCAAGACATACCTAGTTTTAAGATGTAGTGATAAACAGTAAAAGTGTGTAGTGATAAAACTATAATTTATAGTCAAAGCGAGCAAATTTTCCCTATTTTTCAGAAATTCCCTAAAGCCTCAAGGTGTAAGCATAAGGTAAAGAAGCAGGTTTAAAGAATTGAATTCATCAAACATAACAGAAGTATGACTAGAAAATACAAAACTATCTTAGACGTAAGGAGATCTGCAATTTCGCTCGCAGTAGATCTGCAGTTTCGCTCGCAGGAGACCTGCAGTTTCGCTCGCAGAAGATCTGCAGTTTCGCTCGCAGAAGATCTGCAGTTTTGCTCGCAGGAGATCTGCAGTTTCGCTCGCAGGAGATCTGTAGTTCCCCCTTTACCCTATTGGTCTCTATAGCCTCTCTGTGCTCTTAAACATACCTGATGCAATATTAGCAAGTATTAAATAATCAATATGACAAAATCAAACCTGCTTGCGAATTGAATATCTAATTTCAATGCCACTGAATAAAGCAATGAAACTAGGTAGAAAATGAAAAAATAAAGAAGAGATAAAAAGCGGCAAATGAACTTCAATGTTTAATTTGCTGTTTTTTTAGTTCATGTAATCTTGAATGACTTTTCAATAGTGTAATCGGTCGACCTCCTCTATCAGCAATTGCCTTTAATGTCATATCAATCGTGTCATCAAAAATCAACAATGGATTTTGTTTCTAGCTACCAAATTAAAGGGCATGGTTTCTTAAGGGTTTCATCAAAGTGTGCAGTGATAAATTTTTCATTAGGTATGATCCTAGATGTTATCTTGTCGGAAATTCCTGGGTCTGAGCCCCTATCACCCCTAAAATGAAAGCCTGAATTTCCGCTGCTGTAAATAAGGAACGTAAATTAAAGGATATTTTTTTGATAATGAAAGTTTAGAAGTCTCCCCCCCCCCTCTCTCTAAAAATAAGCCAACTCTTATTTTGTTCTAAAATTTTACTTAGCCTTTGCTTACAGAACCTTAGCATTATACGGTTCGGTTATTTCCTTTCTGATTTGAGAATATTCTCGACATTAGAGTTTTGCCAAAACATTGGAATTGAAACTTAGATTTTCTGGTTACTCTCAAATTTCCAACTAATTTAAAGGATTTCAAAGATTGGGGGAGAGTCTCGCCTCCTACACCCTACCGGTATTTACGTGCCTGATATGACTCACCTATAAAGAGTAGAGGTTTCCCATGGCTGCTGCATTTTTCGCTGAGTTATATTGATAATTGATGATAAAATTTATTCTCCTCCGTCTGTGTACTTTGCAAATTAAATGTTCACTTTCAAAAAATCAGAACTTTACAATGTATCCACCTTTACTTGGAACCTCATTAACCGGACACCTCTATACAACGGACAGCTCTTTTAAGAACAAACAGATACTTTTGTCTAAAATAGTCACAACACTTTTAGTGGAACTTCTATACAACGGACACCTGTAAACAACGGACAACTACACTGGTCTGAGCGGTGTCTGTTATATAGAGGTTCTACTGTACTCGAGAAGAGTGGAACAAACTTATAAACTTGACAGTGCCTTGTAAATATTTAGGAAAGAAAAACAATTTTTATTTCATTTAAAATGAATCATAACTTACAAGCCCCTAGTAAAAACTGGCATATGAAGCATATGTATATAAAATTATTAAACAGCAATTTCTGCAAAATTATCAATACATCCATTCTCAAAATACTAATTATATTTAGATCACAACTTTTTGTTCTGATTTGGGATGAAGGGATGGACTTAAGAGTTCAGTAAATGAAGCTGGGAGATTCGCTTGTAAAAAAGTCAGACAAAAATATGACTTATCTTGGGATATAAAATACGTTTTCCGTAGAGGTATTGATAAAATTTGTTCTTTGATCAAAAAACTAGATGCAAGTTTATATAAAGTGTGGTGGTCCACTCAGTTTCTGTAACATACCATCATTTAGAACCTCGCCTGTATTTATCAATTCTGTTTTAAAAAGCCAAGGGCAATGTTAAGTGGATTTAGAGTCAACAAGACTTAGCAGCAACATTTTGCTATTTCTGATTCTCTACGTACCGGTCATTTTATATGTTAAAAATTAGCATGTGTTGCATAGCACTCGTCAATGGTTCTATCTTGTGCAATCAAACTGTCAGTACCTTAAAGGGGGCAGACCCTATTCCAGTTTTGACAAAAGCATGTATTCTACTGGTGTGAAAAAGCTTAAAAATAGTTGATTCATTCAACACATATTTCTGTGAATAAAAATGTAACTGAAATCCGTTTTGAGATTTTGTAAATAAAAATTGTTTTATTGTAACACAAGCTAACATAGTGATACCAAGGGACAGTCATTGAAGCCCCTTAGCGCCCCTTCAATGGCCTAGATTTCGTCTACAATCGTTAAATCAGCTTTTACACAATCATGATATACAGTCACAGAAGCTTTAGTGAATATATAAAATGTTTCCATTTTAATTCGAGAGAGCAACAACTATCTTCCGTTTTCCCTTGAAGCTCAGTCTTGCGTGTTGGACTTGCATGTTGTCCAGTATCAAAACATCGTTTTTATTCCATGGAATTCCAACTGCACTTTTCCAACCTGCATCTCTTATTTGTTGAAGAAATTCAGGCTCAAACTCCTCACCGTCGCCATATGTGGAATGCAAAGGGTATTCATTGTCTGGAATTTTTAGGCCATAAAATGAGGGATGAGCTTTGAAGTAAGAAGCATGCATGGCATGTGCTTGGTTGAACCACAATGGCTTTCCAGTTTTATAATGAGGCTCCATCGCGTCTTTTAAGTACCAAAATGTTAGAGAGTTGTTGCCTCTCCATTCCCATTCAAATCCAAGTCTGCTCATTTCTTCTTCGGCATCCTATTGTGATAAAATATTCAATAAAAAATCCTGATGTGAAAAATGTCTTTTGGGGTCAAAAACACATAAATTATTGCCCTTTCACAAAAAATGTTCGATTTAATGAACTTAAAATCTTAATGCAAAATATGATTAAGGAAAAAACTATACAGAAACATTTTTAGTTTATTTGTTTTCTACAGATTCAAGATATGATCAAACAATATTGAAAAATTCACAATCCAAGAAATATTTGGGCATACATTTGGCCGATGAAAAAGGAAAACTATAAGAAATGAAAATAATATCAAAATAAAATTCAATGTTTTATTATTCAATTAAGTTTAACATTTTTCCAGCATTAGCTTTCTTAGTGATATGTTGAAACCAGAATTAACATCTTAAAGAAAGGACAGACAGAAAACGAAAACAACAAAACACAAATAAGTACGAAAGTTCCAAACTATACAAGACTGAGTTGTTTGTTTAGAGAAATAGTTTGTTGCTTTTACAGGTGTTATAGACACAAAATAAATACAATATTCTAAAAGATACCTCTTTGGCTGTTACTTCGAAAACTTTTTGCCGTATGTGGAATGCAAAGGGTATTCATTGTCTGGAATTTTTAGGCCGTAAAACGAGGGATGCGCTTTGAGGCAAGAGGAATGCATGGCGTGTGCTTAGTTGAACAACAATGGCTCTCTAGTTTTATAATGAGGCTTATAATTGCTTTTACGGGTGTTACAGACACAAAATAAATACAATATTCTAAAAGATACCTCTTTGGTTGTTACTTCGAAAACTTTTTGCCGTATGTGGAATGCAAAGGGTATTCATTGTCTGGAATTTTTAGGCCGTAAAATGAGGGATGCGCTTTGAGGCAAGAGGAATGCATGGCGTGTGCTTGGTTGAACAACAATAGCTCTCTAGTTTTATAATGAGGCTTATAATTGCTTTTACAAGTGTTACAGACACAAAATAAATACAATATTCTAAAAGATACCTCTTTGGTTGTTACTTCGAAAACTTTTTGCCAAGACAAGTAATTTGAGGCGGCCCCATCAGGACAATGCCGGATATATCTGATCCGCTTCTTCATTATTTTCTCCACGTACTTTTTGTCAAGTTGGGCAAACAAGTCACTGTTTTTGCAGAGCACAGACTCTCCGCCATAGTCTGGTGGTATCAAGCAGAAAAAGAAGAACTGAAAATGAAACGAACGTTTTGGTTAATAAAGAATCCTGCCGTAAGTTTAAACTAGACTATGAGAGAAAACGGTGTTAATCTAACTGTGCTTTGTCTATGATTGCCTATTTATGATTGTCTTTTTCTTTTGCACTATGTATGAGACTTATGTATGAGACTAACTGAATCTTGGAGCAAATCACTCAATGAAAATCTCGTACACAGTGGAAATCCAATCATTTTAATCCCTGAAAATCCCTGGAATTCCTTTTGTTTTCGTTGAACACTTTTCGGACGCTTTTCCGCAAGAGTGAATTGCACCCCCCATCTGTATTCCTGCAGAATTGTTTTCCGTTTTCCTAATCATCTCATGGCCTTTCAGCTTCATGTATTTATCAATTAATGCAAAATACAATTCGAAAGTTATATTATACAACTAATTAAATGACAGATATCAATCACCGTTCAAGCACTAACAAAACAAGTTATACGAGTAAAAATGAAAAAATAACGTACAAGATTGTATTTGAGATCGAGAAAGAGCTTTCTAAGTAGGACAGCTAGTCGAGAGAGCAGAAGCTCAATCTCAGCTTGTTCTTAATTTGTTCTTAACTTTTGACACAATTTTGAGGCTCGTGTTCTTATAAAATTGTTCTTATAAAAAAAAGAGTGTATAAACAAAATTCAAATCGATTGGTCCATATTCAGGGCCTCCGATGAAGGGGGTGCCGGGGGGCCTTGCCCCCCCCCCCATTTTTTTGCAAAACAATAGAGTTTTTTTCAAAATCTTTTGTTATGGGTGTTAAATTTTCCCTTGGCCCCCTCACTTTTCAACCTTTGTCGGAGCCCATGATATAATTGCTGGATGAGATGATATTACCTTTGACTTACCTATACTAAGTGCTGTATGAAGTTTGACGTAAATTTGAAGGTCGACATTATGAAAGAGGGTATTTAGTTGACATGTAAGGCACAAGCATTCTTAATACTTTTAATAGGAAACTGTAGATAAGAAACCGAATCCTAAGATTACAAAAGAATAAACAAACTGAAGTTCTGAACACACCAGTGGCGTAAGAAAATCAAGTGAGAAGAAATAAAGAGAAGGAGCGGATGAAACTGTCTAACCAACACATCTATTATTAGGCAACGAATCATGATAGAATTGGCTTTTGTCACCAGACATTACACAACTAGGCTTTTCTGTATCATCCAAAAATAATTGGAAATCTCGAATATTGCTCAACATTCATGTCAACAACTTAAGATCTTCTCTAGAGCACGTGGGTTCTTCTCCATCGTCATAACGCTTAGAAATTATCAAGTCCCAAATCCGTCCTTCCTTGAAGTTTCGATCCCATATTTGGGATGGGGCTTCTAAAGTCTTCAATCTCTGTCTCATCAGCGCGGTGATGCCTACATCTCAATTTTTACAGATTTCATAGAGGTATGATCCCTGGTCCCCTGACAAATATCCCAGAAACTCTTCTAGTGCTCACTCTTTTAAAGTTTTTTGCCAAATTCATGAAACCTCTCCTACAACTCATCCTTCATCCCCAGATCTTGTAAACTTTGAAACAACCCTCTTCTCCTTCCCAGACTCCTATAACCTGTCTCCATTCAAAACTAAAATAAAAAACTAGATCATCGCTTCCTCTTTTATAAACCCCTCCCTCCTGGGCTTTTACTATAGGCTCCCGGGCGTCGTAAACTCGACACTCACGTCTGAGCTACATTCTAAAAAAATGTAGAATAAAATGATTTACACATACGGAGTTTATTCTAAGGTTTTTGATTACTGCACATATTCAGAAAGTTTTGAAAATTTGGGTTTTGCCTTATCTATCGCCAAATCTTTGAAATAACGTAGTACATTTTTTACGTAAAATTATCGAGTTATTTCTAAGTTTTTCACAGGAATTTTTGGAGAGGAAATCAGGCTCGCCAGAGCAGAGGGGGGCTGGGGAGGCTATAGCCCCCTCCCTTTTTGTTTAACTTTGATATTCAGATAGTGGCATCGAAGATAACGGGGAAAAACTTTCATAAAAGTTTGCAAATTTGCCTAGATAGAGCCATCCCTACTACCCCCTCCCCCAACTCACACCCCCTCCCTTTCATCCCCTCC